CGTCTGGACGCTTCTCAAGAAGCAGCTCCATTACCTGCAAGCCATTGACTACATTGTCAACAGCCGCCATGGCTACGTTCTCGCTTAGCTGGACATTGGATCCGCAATGAGCAAGTAGCAGTGTCACTACACCTTGGCCGCTTTCGGTGTTGCTTGCTGCCGCCTCCATGAGGCCTTCTTCTATTTTTCTCAGTGTGTCGTGTCTCATGCTCACCGCGCCTCTACATCCACAGAGCATTGATACAGTCGTCTCCAGACTGTCTGTAAGAATTTCTCCAAGGTCGATCAACAAAGTTACAGTCTCTGCGGTGACATCTCTAATCAAATCGGCAATCATCCGATACATCTCCACATGAAATTGTGGAGGCGTCAAGTTTCTATCATAGGCAGACTTGAGAGCTTCCCATACTAGTGCCTTCTCCGCAAATTCGGGAATGGGAAATTCGCGAAAGGAGGACGCCGCTAAGACTTGTGATATAGTTTGACTCAGCCATTTGGATCCTAGTGTTGTTTTCGCGTATGGGTATATGTCTATCAACCGCTTTTCGGCCTCGCCAAAACGACCCAATCTCAGGTTCATAATAGCAATCTTCTTGGAACAATTCATTTTCGTGGGGGTCATTATATTTGGCTCGTTTTGGTACGACCTCTCTAGTGCCGATAGAATTTGTTCTCCGTTTGTGTTCCCATATGCGTTCATGAGTGAATCGGCAAATACTTGGAGTCTCGTGGTAACGTCGATGTCACTTATAATTGTGGATTTTGCAGACAAGTCACTTTTTGCAATGACTCCATCGATAGATGCAGGAAGAGGCTCTTCTTGTGGTGTCCAATCCCAAACAAGCAGCAGTTTATAGTTGTCATCTTCTTCTGGAATTTTCTTGGGCTGAAGATCCGCCGGCTCCCAATAATCAGAAGCTGTAATGATGGAGAAAACGTCATCTTCTTCTGGAGTTGTCTTGCGCTGAAGATCCGCCGGTTCCCAATAATCAGAAGCTGTAATGATGGAGGAAACTTCATCTTCTTCTGGAGTTGTCTTGCGCTGAAGCTTCATGGGTTTCCAATGCCCCGAAGTTGTGATGATGGAGAAAAAGTCATCTTTTGGTCTTAAGATAGCAATATTGTGATTCGACTTCTGACGGAAGATGATGTCACCATTTTGCACGGGGATCGCTGATGCATGCAATGTCCATTCCCTTTCACTGATGTCATTTGATTCTGTGCTCCAGGACGCAATTCTTAGGACTTGCATATCGTATCGATGCTCATCACCTCGAGAAGAAGAGATATGCCCCAGAATGGTGCCTTCGGTTTTGATCATCGCAATGTTAGGGTGAACGACCTGGATAGAGGCCTCTGGCCCAAAGACATATCGTGCTAGATTTCCGAATAGTGCATCCCAGGAAATATGTTCGTAGTTCGGCATCAGGTCCGCTGGAACATCATCCGAGCACATCCCAAGTAAGGCATATATCCTGTCGTGCTGTTTCGTGGCTTTGCGATGGCGATACATGTCGACTAGTTGTCCTAGTGATAGACTGTTTTGCGATGATCTTGAACTTTGGCTGCTCAGACGGAAGATTGAGCCCCTGATGAGGTAGACAGTTGAACCTATTGTGCCATATAAGTCCGCAATGTTGACAGATTGACGCAACGCCTGCAGCCCTATGCAAAAGGCGTATCCATCTACGCTTACGCCACCACACATTATAACCACATGTCGAGCAGCAGCGACTTCCTGGAGCACCTACACCCCCCCAAAAGAATAAGCAATTGGTTACTAATGGCCAGCTCCTAAACTTACCCAAACGCGCCCGAACCAGTCTCGCGACAGGAGCCGACGTATGGAGTTGAAAGAAGATTCATCATACGACTTGTCGAAAGCTTCCTCATTTCCAGCATTGGCCAAGGTGATGAGTGCTTCATCTGATCCATCAGCGGTCTCACCGAGCCAGACTCTGACACGACTCGCTTTGCTGTACACAGTCGCCATGCGCGAGACCTGGATAGACTTCTCCGCTTCGTTCGCTTGGTCAATACAGATTGCATCGATCCATAGAACACGGTCGGTAAACTCGTAACGTAGACGCAACAAGGCTTCGTGAAGGCTTTCTGTAATATGCAGTTTGTAGTTTCCAATCCAGATATATCGTGGTTTCTGATCGTGGCCCCATACGTAGGACAGCGCCTCGTATCCGTGCATATCCCCTTCGCATTCTTGGAGAGGAATGTCCATAAGCTCGCCATACAGATCCGCGCAGCTCAACTTGCTAGCTTTGAGAACAAGTAGCCGAGTCGAGCCATGAGTCTGGAGGGGCGTATATTTGTATTGCTCGACTGTACTTGCCTGTGAATCCGTAGCATTGTGCCCTCCAACAACGCTCGTTTGCATTCTAGAAAGCGCCGCGGGTGGCGTGTTTTCCCGCGTGCCCATCGATGCGGTACCTAGATGTTCTATCGGCCTTGGTTTTGGGCATTCGTGGAATGTATTTTGCGTTGCTGTATTGACTCTTTCAAGCTTGATGAACAGCAGGGTATCTGGATATGACACGCCGTGATTTCGATACTTGGGGATTTGGAGGCGATTTTTCTAGAATGACCAGCTTGTAAGATTACTGCCTGGACCACGAAGCAGATATGTACCTACTTCATGGATGGGGAGACAACGCGAAAGCTGTCAGTTGCACCTGAATTACATCAGGCAGCAATCACAAGCCCTAATTGTTCCGGTTGCACATATGATCCCAGCGCAAATTCAAGTTGTTTCTTAAACAGGCAACCATGTCCACTGCATTATGCAACTCTACGAAGCCGACGCACGCACATCTTGGTTTTTTCGGACGGTTCTACTGGTTTCCCAGCCTCGAGTTCCGCAATATGCCTCCAAATTGGCCCCGCTTTGGAGCCAACAGATCCTATAGGCTTGTGCATACTGTAGATCATACCTATTATTCTGTACGCTTGGTCGCAATATTGTGGCTGCGTGCATGGCACGGGAGGACTGAAAGGGCCTTGCATCGTTTGTACGCTGCGAGATGAATATGCGCCTACAATACCGGCGAACCAGGTACGGTTCCAGCCCACCATCACTTTGGAATGGTTTTCTTTTTCTTTGGGAGGTGGAGGGCAAGGTGGGACGCAATAGATTGCAACTTCCGAGCTATTGCGCCACGAATCAGTCTTTTGTTGTGATCTTTATTTATGCAGCGATGCTGCGGCAATACATAGCGAAGATCTCTAAAATCTTAAGCATCAGCCGTAATAGCAGTGCTGCGCTTAAAAGCGAGCGTAACTCAGTCTTCTCGTCTCCAAAGCCCGCTGGCTCTGCAAAAATAGTGGCCGCATCGAAAAACGACCAAATCTATACCTAAAGTAGCTAGTTCTGGCAGCTCCCACCGCGAGTTCATTTTTACACTTCTGTTCAATGCCTACACCGTCAACTCAAACAGCAATGTCTATGTCGATGATATCTCAGTTTTGGACAAGAAACGGGATCGTATATGCTATTCAACTGAATTCCTCAGTAAGGATTTAGGAGCTTAAAATTCATATCGAGACTACGAAATTGCAGTGACAGGTATGCTTCCCTGGTTGAGAAACCGACGGCCCCAATACAAAGAACAGAAAGCAGGTGTGTAATGAGGTTAAGCGATGGCTGCAAATGACCACGATGCTGCGGTTTCAAAGAAAATGAAGGTCATAACATTTGCTTGGAGAGAGTGGGTGACTAACATGCTCGGGGGAAATTATTACCTCCGTAAAAAGTAGAAAGTTTCTTTATCGCTGCGCGGGCGAGCCTGATTATTGCCTCCTCATAGGGTTTTAAGGCACTTGAAAGGATGCGCGCGGGGGCGATTGGTAAGTAGGTCTTATTCGCTGAAAATCCTCGAACTTTGTGGTATTCCGTCGTGGTGCCATTCCACCTCAGAGGTTTTCTATTCCTTTTTCTTCTGTCGTCGTGCCAATATTGAATCTAGATAATTTTTTATTTTTTTTCAGTCGAATGGCGAAGAGTTACACGCGCATTGTGTAGTAGTCGAGACGATCTTAAAAACGGCAACACACTACCCGGGGTAGGCGAGCACTTTAAATTGTGGAGATAATGCCAGTTGTGCCGAACCGCAAAACTATATCACGACAATATACCTAGCCTACCAGACCCGTAGAGGCTCATACAATGTCGTCTCCCGATGCATCGTGTCATTTGCTGCGTCTTGCTCCGGAGCTCGTGGCGCTGATAACATCATGCCTACCGAATAGCGCAATCAAAAACCTCCGCCTCAGCTGTCGGGCCCTCAGCGGCAGTGCAGCTCTCCGCCTCCACAGGGTCTTCCTGTCCCCCAACCCGCGTAATGTGGAAGTCTTCCGTGCCGTCGCGGACCATGAAGTCTTCCGCCGAAGAATCGTTGAGATCATCTGGGATGACGCGCTGCTGTTGGACCGCGGGCCTGGGCACATACCAGGGCCAACTGATGGGCCCATAAGCCCCGAGTGGTATGACAGGGCCTGTGGAATAAATCTTCTTGAACTTGACAAGGTCAAGAAATCAAACCATCCGGACTATGCCGTGGCAAAGTTGCAGATGGCTGCGCAGCTTCCATTCAATGTTTCATGGGAACACTATCAAGAGCTCCTCGGCCAGCAGGAAGAAGTGATAGCGTCCAAGTCTGATATTGAGGCTTTGCGCTACGGGCTACAGCAATTTCCGGCTCTAAAGAGGATCACAATCACCCCGGCGGCACACGGATTGCTTTTCATCCCACTGTACGAAACCCCCATGATTCGCGCCTTGCCGCATGGTTTCAATTACCCCATACCTCGAGGTTGGCCGACCCCAGAGCGTGGTGATGCACCGTATTACGTGCAGAGTTGGGACAGGGACAAGAGCAAATGGAGGGGCTTCAATATTGTAACAAGGGAACTGGCATCTGCCCCGCATGGCCACAGCATCACGGAGCTGGTTCTCGATGTACATTATTTGAACACCGGACTCAATTGCCATGTCTTTGATGGGCAAAATGATGAGTATGACAACCTGGTCAAGATCCTGCGACAGCCTGGCTTTAGCCGCCTCGATCTCGCTCTTCTTTCAGATGGTCAACAGTATCAGGGTTGGTCCTCGTTTCGCAACGGTAACCTGAGGAGCGCACTCAGCGAAGCAACAGACTTGCAGCATATCAACTTTGAAAGCCAAACCAATCAGTTGCAATTTTGGGAGCCGGAGAAATTTGACCGGCATTTTCTGCCCTTGGACACACTCCTGCCAGTGGAAAGGTGGCACAAACTTCGGCACTTTGGACTGTCGAATTTCCTCGTGAGGCAGGATGATTTGCTTGCCTTGTTGGCTGCGCTGCCCAAGTCAGTACGATCAGTTGAGCTAGGCTTCCTGCTCTTCCTCGACGAGAGATCCCATAAAGATTTGTTGGATGCAATGCGGCAAACTCTGGGTTGGCGCGATCGCCCTGTGAATGAACGGCCCACAGTTACTATACTTTGTCCGCAACACAAGACTAAAATACCGTGGAGGTACATGTGGATACGTGACGCCGTCAATGATTTTCTCTACGACAACGCAACTAATCCCTTTAGCGACATGGATCTGGATGGCATCTGGCCGGATGTAAACAGAGGAGCAATCTTGCGCTGGCCGTTTCTTCCTGCTCTGGACGAACCTTACTAATGCTATCCCCAACTGAGGCAGGGGAGTGTCTCTGCCTGATGTATACTTTCCTATGAGTCTGCTGGTGTATTTAGTTACTCTAAACCTAGCTGGAGTTAGCGGGCGTTAATATGTGGTAATCTGTATGATGCTTGTGGCGTTGCGACCTGATTGTTTTTTCTGCTACGTGACATTCATGGGAGAGGCATTGAAATTTCCTCATACTACTGACATAAGTATACTGATTGAATAAATAATGTCAACCTACAGTTTCTTCCTATGCGACACACATACAAGCTATACGAAGTAGTATGGATTATATAGCAGATGGGTTTGTGCCGACAAGCAAGAGGCTAACCAATAGCCGCGCATCTGGATCCACAGTCGCATAAGCGAATGCATACAAATTGAGATCAAGTAAACACTTCACATCACCAGGCGGATGCGACAGCTTTGCCTCCGAGATTGCGGTTGGCAGGTTGGAATATCTTGTCAATGGCATCAACCACGGTTAGACCCTTGTATGTTATGCACCCAGCGTATGTACCTTGCATGCGCGGTGTAGCTCGTGTGTAGCAAAGCATATAAATCGTCGCTAAACCATTGAGATGCTGACTGTCCGCGCATCCAACTTTGTTTCTCCTTGACACAGAAGACAACTTGCCATCGTGGGCGTGAAGGGCTGAAATATTGGCATACATTTGCATCGCGCAGGTTCTTGACACAATGGCTGGCCTCTCATCCATTGGACCCTGGTCTTTCAATCCAATCGTCGCTTCCTTTCCTCCGACCTTGTTTCCAAATATTGCCTATTGGAATGTCACCAATGGGACTTACACGTACCAGGTCCAGTTGTCTTGGCCGTTGAATTGGACTTCTACCGAGGCCAATAGCACTGTGGACACACTGTAAGTGGCATATCATTCTACAGGCAGCACTCGGTCCGCTAAACTGCCCCGCAGATTCGTCCTTGACGGCAACGCGCTGGCCCAGACAGCCACCGAGGCGTTCCGTAAGCGCCGCCCAGTTGAGTTCGCACAACCGGACACTATCGTTGTGAGTATCGGGTATCCCGATCTGATACCCGACTCGCCGTACTCCAACGGGCGGTACTATGACTACCAAATGCCCGTATGTCCAACGTGCGCCCCGACGATTGAGCCCGTCGGTGTTCCCTCTGGTGCCGACGCCTTCATCACCTTCATGGACACTGTTCTCCGCCCTTGGGTGCAAAGTTACTTTCCCAACACGACTTTCAACCGCGATGGTCTATACGGCCATTCTTTCGCAGGACTTTTTGTCATTTATGCCCTCATGGTGCGGTCGGACCTGTTTGATGTTTTCCTGAGTGCATCGCCCTATCTGGTCTGGAACAATGAATACATTTTTGATCATCTGGAAGCGCTGACGAATGGATCACTGCCTGCCAACGCCACAAAGCCAGCACTTCAACTTGCATACGGGAGTCTGGAAGAGTACCCTCGGAAAAGAAGGACCGAGACGGACGAAGCGTTTGCGGAAAGACAGGCGCTGCTCAGCTCATTGAAAACAAATGAGCTGGTGGAGCGGTTCTATAATGAAGTCAAGAACAGCTCGGTACTAAGGGATGTGGACCTGCTTGTATACCCAAATAGCTACCATGCAGCAGTGGGATCAGCAGCATTGTGCGACGGGATAGACTATTTCTTGGACTGGTGAAAGCCTGAATGATACAATCACTGTAGGAGAGCGAACAACATTTTTTACCCCCATTGCATACTTCCAGGGCTTGGCCAACCCAGATATACTAAATAGTCACCCAGCCGCCTTCCTCGGAACACGCAGGATGGAAGCACTGTATATCAATATGCCGTGTGCCCAAATCAGCATTAGTCTAGGCACATGTAAATACTCACTAGGCACGGTCAAAGGTGAAGATCGATTCCAAAAACGATGAGGTGTGATGATATCCATGCCGAAGAAGAGGAGGCCTGGCTACCAGCTGCCAGCGTTGTTGTTTTCACCCCTCATCTAGCACTAGATTCGCGCCTGTCAACACATGTCGGCTCTGTGCCAGTCCGCACCTCATGGCCTACAGGTACACGCTAATTTCTCAGCTCGGCATCAGACGTTTTGTTTTTAACTTTTCAGCGCAACAGACCCTGGCGAGCTGAAAAGAAATCCACAACAGGACAACAAGAACCTTTTGTCGCAGATTTATATCGTGCGGTGATGTACTATCGAGAGCCACCATGCTGCAAATTATCTCCTTGTTCGCGCCAGCATGCAGCTGACATTGCTTCACACCGGCTAATGCACCGCCCCAGTGTTAAAGTACAACCTTTTGCAAATCAGGCATGCAAGCCTTTGGTCCCCAACAACGACAAGGCTGGATAACGATCCATTCACTCGTGACAAACCCCCGCATTGACACAGTCCAATTTCAGTTCCTCGGATTTATGCAACACACATCGTCATTACATGACCCGCACTGATCTTCAATTCAGATGCTTCGTCCTGTTATGACAACTACAGGCGTTCGCCTCCTCTCGGTGATGGTCCTGGCGACTTCTGTGGCCGCGGCAGATGACGCTGAATTTGCTTTCAATCTCCTCTCAGACGTTGCGCCGTAAGTCTTTGATGTCTCGCAGGGATAGTGCACTCATCTGACCATCTTAATTGCCAGAATTCTCGCTCTTTCTGGTGACCAATTTGCCAGGCAATTCACCAGTGTGAATCTAACATGGGTTGACCACCTCATTTTCGCCATGGTGCCTCTGTGCATCATAAGCGCCATTACCAGCGCCATTAGGATTCGGGGAATGCGAGTTGCTAAGGCATTCATTGGACGTGCGAGGGAAAATCGAGCTCTTGCAGAAATCGAGCTGATGTCCTCAACATCTGGTGAGGTCTGTGAGCATGGCAGCGCCAAGACAAGTATTCTTATACAGTAAAACAATGTCGAAAAAGATATAAAAGAGAACTTGTTGCGCATGGCACAGCATCGTGACTCCAATCCAAGTCGCCCTCGTGCAGAGAAGCCATGTCCGCAATTGTGAATACAGGGTAATCGCAATTCATCATGACTCAACGCACGTGCTGATCTTGTCTTGGATGTTTGAAATATGGGGATTGGGACTTCAAAGTGGACGAAAAGGTGGCATGAATATGCGACATCTTTGGTACGGGATGCGATTGCCTACTGGCCTGTCCAAGCTTCAGATAGTAGTTTTCGGACGTGCTAGCCATAATACGTTTGCAGGTCGGTAATGGCTTGAACAAGACTATGCCTCTCATATGTATTGGTTCTGCAATTGGCGTCTTCTAAGAGAGTGCGATAAAATATGCGAAGAGGCCATATACCGGTCATAACAGCTTCACCAAAAACCCTAGAAGGAGCCTACAAACCACACACCAGATCCGTCGGGTGCCTCGGAGCGCTTAAAGATGTGATATTCATCCTCCGACCTAGGGGCTCTTTGAAACCAAGCGTAGGGGATATCGCGAGCTTTGAGCTTCATTAACCCATTGTAGTTTTCCATATCGTCTATACCTTGGTAGCGTCTCACAGCTTGCGAATCGATTAACCAGAGGTACGGTCTACCATAAACGGTCGTCCGTGCCTGTTTGTCTTTGATTAGTACAACAAGGAGGCCATCGTTGGACTCTCGACTAACCCTTCTCTCCTGCATAGATATTGGTGCCAAGGGTATCGTCTCTTCGGGCAGTGCGGCCAAGGATCGAAGAGAGCCCTCATCGATAATGAGGAAATCCACAAATCTCGGGTTGCGATTAAATTGGACCTCGTCGGTCTTGACAGCTTGGCGGAGCCAGGCGTCGAAGATTCCTGTTAGGGATTTGATGTCATTTTGATTCGCCTTGGCGAGGTCGGGAAGTTGGAGAGCTTCCAGCTCCTTGCTTTCGACAACCTCGAGGACGAAGCGACGGCCAAGTTCAAAGTTCACGGTCCCATCAGGTTTGTTTTCTGTAAGACGGCCGTAATGGATGAAATATTTAGTAACCCAGAGTCTCAACTTGGCCAACGCAATCGGCCAGAGCCGATCGGATTCGTCAGAGTATATGGTGCGCAATACTAGTTGGTCATGTCAGCTGGAGCATCAGACTCTGGAATACAACCAAGTTATTACCTGTGTAGCCCCAGGATCCATGAGCATATGTCGAACCACATCTCATCGTGTCATAAAGCTCATACATCCAGCCCATAGCAGTCCGGCTCCTAGTCTCGTTGGGGCCATGACTAGCCCACTTGAACAGGTCATCAGGGGGGTCCGGAAAAGTCTCTTGGATAGACATGATTGATCCAGGAGTACTGTCTTGACAATGTTGCGTAAAAGAGTCGAGGGAGGAATTGGCTAGAGGTTGTTGAGAAGAGAAAGCCTAAAGGCGGAAAGTCGCTTGGGGTTAATGCCTACCTAGATATTATGTACCTTGTAGGTAGGTATGTAATCGTGGCCCAACTCAGGGGATGCACTACGCCAGGTAGGAGGTGCCAGCCTTTCGCTTATTTACCTACATACCAGGTAGGTACATAACCTAGATACATATGTAATCAGAAGGGCTTGATCGTGCGTGCAAGATTCCGAGTCGGGCTGGTGGCAAATACAGCAACGCGCACTCCAGACTCCAAGCGCGGCGGCGTGCTAACGGAACCGGATTTTAAGCTCAACAGATAGCGTGGCGTGTGTTAGCGGTGCAGCGCCTAGAGTTCAAAAAATTATCGCTGCGGGGCTGCCTATGACCTAGAAACTTAGCAGGCAACTGCATTGGTCCTGCCTTCGAGACGAAGCCTTTTATGAGGAAGTTTGTCTCTTTAGTTTCAATTACCTTTTTAGTTGCGGATCTTTAATACAAGTGTCCTTGTAGGGATGGATTTCGACAGTCGGAATCAAAAGGTAAATTCATTCCTAAATGCAAATCTTGTCCAAAAGCATTATAGGTAGCATTCCAGCAGAGGGAATGAGCATTCCAAGCCCCACAGCAATTCCCCTAGGTACCTACAGTCTGGTGCTAGGCAGTACACATGGGTAGCAATCATCTTCGGGCGAGCTTAAGGCTTTTCGCCTAGACGCGCTGTGTGCTGAAATTTCTCTCGGCTCGGCTCACTATGATATCTGGCCTACCCGTGCACTTTTACACACATATTGGCTTTTTTTTTTTTGGGTGGCTTGCGCGCGCGTCCATAGGCCCTCGGTCTTTTGGTAGAATTTCCTCATTCACCTATTCTAAGAACCTGTTTAGAATATGATGCTTTCTTTCTCCTTATGCCGTGTCGCAAAACCAGGTACCTGTATTTCACTAATTCGGACTCAAAGGTCGCCCTGCTCCCTTGCCCCGATACAAGTTCCAAACCCAAGCACCGGCTTAGCTTACGATATCTACGGAAGCTGCGGGAAGAAGCCTGTGACGGGGATATCAGGCAAAGCGCTATAAGCGTTGACCAAGTTTTGCCGGATGTCCCTATCGCCGGGGTTGTTCATGATGGCTGGAACATTCGCAATGTCCGGAAGCCAAGAATCGCCAAATGCGCGGACCCTGCTCTTGATCACACCCAACATATCTTGAAACCAGGCATCAAAGTGTTCCAAGGCATGGGGACTTTGCCCATTGTTCGCATTTTCATAGACTCGCTCTGCTTCGCGGATGAGTTCTCGAAAGCTTTTGATCACGGTTTGGAGCCGGCTAAAGGGATTCCGCTGCAAGTGCCACCGGTAAGTCTCAAGAACCTGTGGCCCAAGTCGTTAGTCAGTGGTGTCGATAGAGGAGCTGTGCGTCTGTAGTTGGCATGGCCTATAATCTCACCTTGGAGACTTGAGTCAACGCCGCCTTTGGGCATGCTGCCGCCGTGTCGGAGCCGTATAATAAAAGTCCCATTTCGTCGTTGGAGACTATTTCTTCTCTTCCCGTCCACATCTGGAAAACGTCAGTATTTGTTCGTCAAGTAATAGGGGGACATGGACAAAGGGACTCGTACCTTTTCTTTTTTGAGATTCATATCTTGAATCATCAGTGTCATCACGTCACGGTTCGTCATGCTCCCTAGGGCATCCATCATGCGGTATTGTATCGTCTGGCCCGCTGCGTCTGTTGTCTGTAATGATTCCGAGAAGAACTTGAATGGCACTATCCTATAATGACCGACATAATTCTGGCTGTCGCTTTGCACCCTTCCAAGAAGGGCGTCGTCGCCCCATATGCGCGGCATTTTTCGTTCGAAAACGTGATCGTCTGTACAGATATATCGTCAGGTCGCTGATACCATGTGTTATTTGGACAGGGGGTTTCCTACTATCGTATCCTCGTTTGACTTTGTTCTGTGGGGTTAAGATGTCGTTGATTATTGGTAAGAAGTTGGCACAAGTCGGGTCGTAAGTGTAGGCCTCTGCTAATTTACTACGGTCTTTCACCTTGGAGAGCCTGGACGCTGAAGGATACTGTAATGAGTCAGTGGGAGAGATTTTCCAGGCCTCCTTTGGTTACCCTCTGCAAACATCAGCGAAGGGTATCGAACTTACGTCTATCGTGGCCCACTCAAGATTTTGTGGTGGACTGTTGGGTATGGCTGGATCGCTTGGGTTCCACGGATAAAGGGATGCCTTGGGAGCCCTTTCTTCAATGCCATTGGCACTGTCGTCTTCGGCACTAGCCTCTGCGACGCTGTTTATGCATTCATCGTCGCCCTCCATGCAGCAACCGTCCAAGGTGCAGACACAGGTGCTTGAGCAAGAGCCCGAACCGCCATCGTCATCCCCACCGCTCCCCGAGAAGATAGCTTGGAGAACACCCAGGTTACAGGTGATGTATCGAGGCCACTGTGTAACTCCATATTGGAGGTAGGTTTCGTACCCAGCACCAACCTGGTAATCATACAGGCTTGCGTAAGAGAGACGATCGTAATGCGGGATTACCGTGTCATTCCATATCTGCTGAGTAGATTCTCGAGGCGTTCCGGTAAAGAGCTCCTCGACCATGAGTTCTACGCTTTGAGAGACGATATAGGAGAAGAATCCCTCTGACTGCCGTCTATCCAAGGAAGTTTCTACCATGAACGAGGACAATTGTCAATCCGAGGAACTTGAGGAGCTCGAAGAGAGAGTTTGCTTACCATTACCGCTCGTATAGTCTACCGAATCGAGCCCACTCGAGCCCGATCGCCTCCGGAGGGGATTCGTGTCGAAAATGTTGTTTGTGCAAACCGGGTCATCCATAAAGTCTATGCAGATTGTCGTGGTGAGTGTCAAGAGCTACGCAGATGACCATGTAAAGACATGATGGGACCGCTTACTTTCAAGCGCGCTCTTAAATAATTCATCTTCGCTATTCTCGAACCGTGTGGCATATGACTTGTAGTTTGGCTTGCAACAACGCGCCATGGCGCTTCCGCCGGAACAGCCCACATGATCCATAGCCACAAGAGCGAGCCCAGCGGAACACTTAGGAGTACAGAACTTCAGCCCCGTGTCTTCATCAGTGTACTATCGCTCGAGACGGTCAGTATTTCTCCTAGACATAGTAGAGCGTTTTTCGACGGTGGTCTATTGGAAAGGATTAATTTGCAGTGAACTTACATCCTCCATGCCTTGCCATTCGCAGTCCTTCCATTTCTTATCGTCTTCAGGCTGCTCACAACAGTACTTGTTCTTGCTGTTGTCGTCCATACCGGAGCGTGAATTGATGCAAGCGGCGTCGCCGCTGCCATATCCAGAGAACGCGACAACATCAGCTCCGCAGGTTGCTCGGGTGCAATACGGCCAGCTTTTGTCAGTATACGAGTGCCCCGACCAGTCACACTGCGAATACAACGCCATGTTGTCTGTATCGGTAGTGCAACAGGCGGCTTGATAGCTGCGGATGCTTGAGCCAAATCCGTCGAAAGCACCGCAATACTCATTGTTGCTACCAATCTCCTTGGTGCCAGCTGGACAAGAGTTGCCATCTGCGTCGGGTTAGCCATATAACTCTCAACCTGGAACAATACGTACTGTCGCATTTTCCATTGTTATGGGAGTACCATCCACAAGTTGGAATACTGCTGTCTGGTGGGCAGCATAGCTTGCTAAGAGAGGATCAACATGACTGGAGAAATTTCATTTCGTGTTTATGGAAGGGAAAACGTACTGGAAGCCACGTCCGTCGCAGCCTGCACCATTGGTCATGAATTCGTTGGGTCTGGCACCGCCATCTTTCCTCAGCATTCGCACCCAGTCCGCCGGGCAGTCCTCATCACAGTTTGTCCACCGGCACTGAGAATGGTCTGTCTCGTCCGTGACATACCCACTGCCAGCAGCAGCTGAGTTCTCATAGAATATGCCACCGAAGAGTCGAGGTGCAACGCGCGAAAGGGCTCGTGAGTACTTTGCGTCCTTGGTATCGTGTGATATCGACCACACCATCACACCGCCAAGGCAAAGGCTCCGCGCAAAATCAGCCTTGAGCTTCAAGGATTCCTCGTCATCGTAGGTAAGCCAATGGTTATCGTTCCACCGAAGGATCTTGACCGCGGCATCCTCGTCTAGGACCGGCTCCAGACTCTGGTCTGCAACTATTTCATCAATCTCAGAGTTGAGCAGCACGCCTACCTCGGCGCTGCAAGCCTGGGCGTTGGTTCCGGACTCATATGTGCAACCGGGGTCCATGCATGCAGAGCTTGTGGCCACATACCCACGGCCATAGAATGCGAGCCCAAGTGTCACTTTGTTCTTTTCAACGTCGTTTCGCCAGAGGAGATCCAGCCCGTCTTTGATTTCCGTCAAGTTCGTATGCGCGTTGAGATATGGCCCAACCCATTTATTGGGCTTATCCCAGACACCGTGGAAGTCGTACGCCATCACATTAAAGAAGTCCACATGTGGTGAAATATTCTTGAGGTCGAAGTGTTGGAGATACCCTGAATAACATTGTCAGCAACCGTAGCTTACATACTTGGCAGAGCAATGTGCAACCTATTGCTCTTCATCATTACTCACAGAAGGAAGCTGGCAGCGTGATGCTAATCTCGTAGCTCTTGAGGGCGCTCTTCAGGGTCTTGACGAAGTTAGGGAAGTTGACAAAATCCTCTTCACGTCCGTTTCGATCATCAGCGGCTGGATACTCCCAGTCTAGGTCGATGCCATCGAAGTCGTAGGTTTGGAGAAACGAGATTACCGAGTCGATGAATTTTCTCTGAGCCCCCGGGCTCCTGGCGATATCAGAGAATGTGGTCGCTGTTGGTCCTGCGTTATTAAATGTCCAGCCTCCTATGGCTATGAGTACCTTGAGGTTCGGATCACCCTTCTTGAGGGATGCCACTCGTTTGTACATTTCAACATCTTCCCTCGCAGCCGGCACAATCCGGAAGCTCGTGGGGTCGATGCTGGCAAATGCAAAGTTGATGTGTGTATATACACCTTTGGGTATTTGTTCGGGAAGGAAACGATTGCACGCTCGGGCTGATGACCAACTCTCATAGTAGCCGACCACGCGCGTGAACTGGCTGTTCTCCACGACATCGCAGCTCGGGCGGTTCACCTTCTTGGAGCCGCAGAACTCGGACGTGGTTCCACAGAAGCCATACTTGGAGCAGCAGACCTATTTCGTTGCGTCAGTCATCTTTTCACATTCAGTAGGAAGGTAGATTCACTAACATTTAGAGGACATGTGGTGTGCAACACATAGTCTTCACCATAGCCGCCCGGATCGCAGTCTGCTTTTCGCTCGCAGTTGTTGACGCATATTTCCTTTTTGCAGTCTTCGCACCGGTCAGCATATGGCTTCAGGAGGCGCGTTGGCTTGGATCTTGCTCTCCAAGTTGTACTTACAGTCTGGTCCAAGACCACAGAACCCAAACTTGCTGCAGCAGCCAACTTGACAGGGCACAGATGCACTACACTCGGGGGCATCTTGGGCTTTGCAAGTGTCAATGACAAGAGCGAACAATGCCAAGATAAAGAAGAAAGCAAAAGGATTTCTTGTCAAGTCCATGACGGGCATGGAGATGATCGGGATATCGCCTGTTGACACAGTTGCTAGTTCCCGTCACCAGACAATAGCATGGCATGGGAATGAGAGGGAACGATCAGCAGGAAATGCCCACGATATATGATTTTTCAATGATGCTAAGGCCCCGCTAGAGATTTGCCCGCGCCGTCGGCTATCTGTCTCTCCTTGATCACAATGTTCTCGTGGTATTTCCATATCTTAGCCCAATGAATCACGAGTGAAGAGTCTGCCCCCTCGCCTGACCGGAGTCTAGATTCCACCGCACACTAACGTTAAATTTGCATCCTTGGCTGTATTGGAATGAGCATCATTTGTTCCGAAATCCTTCCTTTGTCCATAAACGAGTCATAGGGAAGATTCACGGCGATAGAAATATGTGTACCTATTCGAGTACCCATATAACTAGTTGAAGACCCATCGGCTTCAAGGTCTGGCGATTATAGGATGTCAGCTAATAGAGACTAGTGCTTTCTGAGATTCATAGGCTACGAACATCACATAAGGTTAATTTCAACCTTGGTTTACGGCCGGAACCAATGGGTATCCATAGACCCCTGAAGGACCCCTTAAACAAAAATTCCTCGTATTTGTTTCCGGAGAAATCTTAGATAATGTCGAGCTTGCGCAGGGACTGAGGTCGAGATTGAACTAGTGACTCGCTTCGGAGTCTTCGAGCAGTCGCCAAGAAAACGGTTCCAAACCACTAGGAGCTTTGCCTAGTGCGCGGAATTTCAATTGCATTCTACCACTTATGCACTAACCGAACTTGCCCGTCTGACTGCCATATGTCATTGGCCCTGATAGACATGCCATGTATATGAGGTTGTGGCACTCTCCGTCATTGTGCCATGGCCTTCTATTTGTCCCAAGGTCTTCTGTTGACGTGCTCTCAATCTTGGGAGCCGAGACAGAATGGAACACCACGGGGCTTTGACCATGAGAGTGGCTCTGGCCATACTTCTTGTCACTACCTTTCTCACGCAGGTCCTTGCTTCTCACAATCATGGCTCACATCACGTACACCCTTCTTCTTCCTCTGTCAGTGCTCGAAACGAGAGCGAGACGTCTCGAGAAGCGGCGGCGGCGGCTGTGGAGGCAGCCCTAGCGTCGCTTGGTTTATTGAACAAGGCTCGTATTGAAAATCCTCACTTCAACAGCTACACGCTCAAATCTGGCGACGATACTGCCGACCCGGCACCTAGTATCAACATATCGGCTGCGACTGAGGATGGAATCACGAGAAGATTCCGCCGGCGACAGGAGAACAGCACCGTCGATGAGGTTGATACTAGCTACTCCATCTCCCCCGAGCTAGCACAGGCGGCAAAAGTCATGGCTGAATCTACGCCACAAATTCCTTCAGGTAATCACAGTGATGTGGCAGCCGCGATGAAGGAAAAGTACACACACAGCACCAATGATACGAATGTGCCACAGTCGCACAAAACTCCAGAGGGAAGACTGTCAGTCTATGGCGATGATGGTGACATGACGAATGGCACAGCAAATGTCAAACGAGCTGATGAGTGGTGGATGGTCGGCATGGCTTCGAATGGAAAAAGTCCCCATGCGCCAGACGATTACAAGGTTAGCTGCCTGGACGTTGCTCCAATTGCTGAGTGGGCAATCATTGTCACGTAGCTAACGACAGTATGATAGGTCTGGAGAAACGTCAAAGATTACGGTGCCAAGGGTGATGGTGTCACGGACGATACGGAGGCCATCAACCGTGCCGTGTCTGAGGGTGGTAGATGTGGCGCGAACTGCGGATCTAGCACCGTATACCCTGCTGTCGTGTACTTCCCGCCAGGCGTCTACCTCGTCAGCAGTCCCATTATACAGTACTTCAACACAGAGTTCCTCGGTGATGTGAGTCTCCCACTTTCGAGTCCTGTGTTGATGAGGGATGATTACCTTGAAAGAATGGTACAAGCTAACAAGCGCTCGCGCCGCACAGCCGTTGAACATACCTACTCTCCTCGCTGCCTCGAGCTTTGTGGGACAGGGCGTCATTACTAGTGATGTCTATGTGAGCGACAATTCAGAATGGTACGTCCCAGGAAAGGCGGTGGAAAGGCAGCAAACCTCATATGCAACAACGACAAGCATTTTAACTCGATTCTCAGGTATCTCAATACAGCCAATTTCTTGCGCAGTGTCAGAAATTTCAAGATAGACATTAGACCCGCCTCGCCATGGAGCTATATATGTGCTATACACTGGCAGGTTGCGCAGGCAACATCACTGGAGAATCTTGAGATTTACATGCTGTACGATTCTGATGTACCCGGACACAACCAGCAGGTATGTTGAAAATTTGTTTATTTAATCCTTGTTGAATTCAAGAATCCACCTAACATGGTCTTCAAGGGTATCTACATGGAGAACGGATCAGGGGGGTATCTGGCTGACATTATCTTTGTTGGTGGACACTTTGGGTATGTGAAACTTTTCTCCGTCCCATTTTCCAGTACTCCACGACACTAACAGCATGTAAAGGGCATACTTTGGCAATCAGCAGTTCACAACCAGTCATTTGATTTTTGTGAACTCTGTCATCGGTTTACAAGTGCATTGGGACTGGGCGTGGACAATGCAAGACTTCATCTTCGAAAGCTGTACTACAGGGCTGCTCGTTGTTGGCGGAGTGAGTAAATCCCCATGTCTTGTACGTTGTCGATGTGAATTAACACTGTAGTGTAGGCTGGTGGTTCCATGTCCAACGGTCAAAATCTTGGATCCCTCGTGCTCGTTGACTCCATCATCGCCAATACGCCCCGAGCCATTGTGACGACCCTTTCCTCGGATAGCTCCACCTCATTCTACCTGCAGAACGTCGGGTTCTTCAACACGGAGGTCGCAGTCACCGATGACTCGACCGGCAATGCTCTACTGGCCGGTGGCAACCAAGTCGTCGTGGACAGCTGGGGCTTTGGACGTGTAATTGATAACACAGACAACACTGGCGAGACTTTCTTCGCCAATGGAGAATATATCGCCATAATGGACCGCAACACCGCGCTACTGGGAGACGCCTACAATCAGATGGCGCCCAACTTTTTTACGCGGCGAAGGCCAGGCTATCTCGACGTTGCATCGAGCAAGGTCATGAATGTCAAGACATTAGGAGCAGTGGGCGACGGTGTCGCGGATGATACGAATGCGCTCAATTCCATCCTAGAGGGCGCCGCCAATACGTCGTCGGTGGTCTTCTTCCCGTATGGTATATACTTGGTAACGGATACGCTTCGTGTCCCGCTTGGTTCGCGTATCATTGGACAGGTGTGGCCTCAGATCATGGGTACAGGTGAAAAGGTTAGTCACGCGCCGTTTCTTTCAACACATTCGATCATCAACTTCATGGCCACCGGGACTGACCCACGGTTAGTTCTCTGACGAGTCTCAACCTCGAGCTGTTGTGCAAGTAGGCAAAACGGGCGACGTAGGTATCGCCGAGATCTCAAACATGATGGTGACCGTCAGGGGTGCTACCGCGGGCGCCGTAGTCATCGAATGGAACGTTGCTGAATCAAGCCTTGGAGCTGCTGGGATGTGGGGTGAGTCAAGAGTTTTGCACTCATCGACAACAAATTCCGATGACTAATCACGCATGCAGATACTCACGTCAGAGTCGGAGGTGCTGCTGGTAGCGATCTCTCGCTTGCGCAATGCCCCAAGCAGTCGGGCATGGTGAATCCCCATTGCAAGGCTGCGTCGCTTCTGATGCATCTGACGCCCAAATCAACAGCATACCTTGAAAATGTCTGGCTCTGGGCAGCCGACCACGACCTGGACGATTCCTCCTTGGGCCAGATAGATGTCTATTCTGGCCGGGGTCTCCTGGTCGAAAGCGAGAAGGCTTGGCTATGGGGCACATCGGTCGAGCACAGCGTGTTGTACCAGTATCAATTCTCCGGGGCGGAGAATGTGGTTATGGGCATGATTCAGACCGAGTCGCCTTATTTCCAGCCCGTCCCGCTGGCACCAGCACCATTCACCACAGGCATGTTCCCGAACGACCCTACCTTTACCAACTGTGTGGGTGCCTCATCGCCGCGCTGCGCCGTCTCGTGGGCTGTCCGCATCATCGACTCGTCTTCTCTATACATGCTTGGCGCTGGCCTGTATAGCTGGTTCGACGATTATGACCAGGACTGTGTAAGCACCGGAGACTGCCAGGAGCGCGGGTTCGAGATCCGGGAGAGCACCGATATCTGGCTTTATAACCTGTGCACCAAGGCCATCCAGGAGATGGTGTCACCCCTTGGGAGTGTACCAACCTACGCCAAGGACAACGTGAACGGGTTCCTTTCTTCAATTTTGGCCTGGCTTCATGGCTCAACCCAGATTGTGGGCCAGCGCGACTTTCCCGGCTTTCGCGTTTGGACACCAGGCATGCTGGACAAGGCCAATGGTGCCCTGCTTTCCGAGAGCTGCAGGAACGCTTTGACCGAGATTATTGCGTGCGACAATCGTACCGAGAGTTTCCAGATGCCAGGACTACGCAGCTGGCTTGGCACCGTCGAGGATACAGACAGTGTCTGTATGGACTCGTGTGGCGAGAGCTTGCAGAGCTGGTTCGATAGCGTTTCCATTGCATGTGATGGGCGGCTGATCAACGATGCATTGCCCACACTACTCGGAGGCCGGATATGGACCAACTGGAACCAGACTTGTCTCAAAGATCCCGCCACAGGTAAATACTGTGGGGAAATAATTGACGACTTCAGCCTGGTATCGTCGATCGAGAACATGCCTCGCGATGAGCTATGCTCCTTCTGCTGGATCGAGCACTACGCCATACCTCAGCGCTCCCAGTACTCGAACTACGATGAGTTTTTGCAGTCCCAGCTCGACTACACCGCCTCCCAGTGCGGCCAAGGTGACATTGATACCAGCATTCCAGATTCGCCGTTTCGAACCGACGAATCATCGACCTATTGTCAAAGTAATTATTGGTATACTACATCGGATGGCGACACCTGTGACTCGATAGCAGAGAGCAATAGCGTCTCATCAGCAGCACTGTATCAAGGGAACCCTGATACCATCTACAACTGCTCTTCCATAGCGGCTGGTACAGATTTGTGCATGCCAGCATCTTGCGAGCTTATATGGGTCGTACAACCCGGAGACACGTGTACCTCTATCGAGTACAACGTCACTGCGTCCACAATGAGCTCAGTGTTTGGAAATATAAAAAAATACAATCGCTGGGTGGACCGCGACTGCACGAATCTGCACGCAGCTGGCGATGCAGTCTTTGGGCACGTCGTATGTCTGTCGCCGCAGAACGGCCTGTTTTCCGCCAACGCATCCATGCCGGGTGATACTACTATCCCAGCAGCCAATACCGGGTATACAAACTACATCAGCGATCCCCCAGAGGGAGCCACGGTTGCGGAGGGAACGACGATGAATTGCGGCACGTGGCACATTGTCGTGGAGGACGACACTTGCGGCACCATTGCATTCACGAGTGGCACGACGATCTACATTTTTATGGAGGTGAACCCCTCAGTCGGAACAGATATCCAGAGCTGTACTAGCCAATTGGTAATTGGAGATGCATACTGCGCAGTGCCTCATTCCGCCTGGGACCAGGTGTCGAGATAAGCAGATCGTGTGTTTTCGGAGTGAGGTCCAGGTCAGCTATATGGAGCGTCGTCCGTTGATACGTGCCGTGGAACAAAAGTAAGCAGTCTTGGGGAACGCTGTTGGCTGTTTGGGAGACTTAAGGAAACGATATATAGCGGTGCGGTATGTTCAGGTTGTCGGGGCGAATGTATAAAGACACCAAGACAAGATTAATCTACATAAGATTTAGTATTTTAGTATCTATCGTACAAAAGAAAGAAGCTATTATAGTCTGACAGAGAAAACGTAATAGTCGTATCTTTTTGCCTTTTTTTTTTTGTTGTGAAAAAAGAAAACATATAGTATATCCCCGTTTAGAAAAAGCCATGCTATGAAAAAATGAAAACACTTTTGACTGCCAATAATGCAATGACGGCCAAGCAACTTATGCACTGAGTCAGGAAGCAAAGTAGCACAGTCTAGCTAAACAACAAATTAATGCGTATTGGCCATGCAGAAAGAGGATGTCCGTCTGAAATTTATGTCCCACGGAACGTAGGGAAGGCTGCCTCGACCTCGCCCCGATTCTTCATCAGCTATTTTGAAAAGCCGAATCTGAATTTGGTTTCACAAGCATATTATGCAGTTTGGCTTGTGCTGTACGGACTCTTGTTTTATAAAGCCACATATATAGCTAGGGACAAACTCTTTTTCGCCTCCAATTATACTAGTCTCACTTGAGCCGATGTGTGAAGGGGGAACTGAAGACGAGATGATCGAGGAAGCATTGAAAACTTGTCTGAGTTGATCTCTTGTGTACAAAAGAGAGGTGCTGAAGAGCGACTATATACCCACGCAGGTGATCTGCGGTGGGTACTGACTGCGTCAGTACGACACTTTCCGAAGTTGGACGTGAACCAGACACACGTACAGGGTCCCAACAGCACCAGCCTGGACTGATTATCAGGAGAGTCTTCAAGTTACTCCCTGCAACAGCCACAGCACCAAGAATTGCTCAAAAGTGCATAGTATCATACATTTCTATATTTAATCCCAAACCGTAAACTAATAGCTTTTACTGGACAGATATCACGGTTGTCAAAAAGTCTAGCGATTCGTACAGAGCATGCATACACAGCGACTACAGCATCTCTCCATCTACCGTTCACTTCTACTTCGAGATTGAGGTTTTTGAACAATCAGAGTCTCGGTAAGCGACCCGTTCTCATATGCATTTTGTAATCTGCGAGCATAAAGCTCATTGCCCAATATAGGATTTTAGGTATCGGCTTCTGCGGGCTGCGCAACAGCAAAGATACGATGCCAGGCTGGTTCTCAAAGTCGTGGGCATATCACGGCGACGACGGGAAACTGTTCCTTGAGTCGGGTGCTGGTGAAATCCCAAGCCCAGATTTTGGTGCGTTGGGCAGATTTGGCCGTGGCGATACAGTGGGTGCTGGCTTGAACATGCATACTGGATAGGGCTTTTGCACGTTGAATGGCCAGAAACTGAACATGGGTAAGCGTCTAGATAACGTACTTGAGGATATGACTTTCGACCCATGTACTAATTCTGTTATAGGAAATATTTTCAAGCAGCCTGATGATAGTTTCCGATCTGGAAAATTGTATCCTTGCGTCGGGTTTGACATGACCAACGAGGGCGTAGGTCTTTGCTTCAAGGTCAATTTTGATGGCTCAGCCGGGCATCCATTCAAATATAAAGGGGCTTTTTAGGTTGACTCAATGAATAGTCTATGAACGTATGTGTTTGATTGGGCATACGATTTCTTGAAGCCACGATGACATCGCCTGATCTGACAAAATTGTCGGCTTTGCGGTTTCCCCGGCATGGGTTCATGAGATCCATTCAACATGCAAGCGGGTGACTGACTTGACCATCAATTATGAAGTATGCGACCAATATACCTAAGTTATAGTAATGCTTCCGTCATTGATCTCATGTGCAGTGCAAGTTCACGTAACATTCATCGGACACAACGTTACGTTGATCAGATAACCAAGAATCACTTTAATCCAGCATGAACCAAGTAACCAAGTAGGAGAGCTGTCCCTTGAAGTTGACTGCGCGGATCTTTCTAAAGATTCTCCTTGGAGCTCTTGCCTATACCACTGGGAGATGCCTTCCATACGGCGGCGGCCCCGTTCCAGGGGTTCCCCTCCGCCTCGGCCATCTCGGCGAGGCGAGCGAAGAATTTGCCACTGGATGCACTGTCGACGAATTCGCGCACGCGCACGATCTTGCTGCCATCGGGCGTGAAGTTGAACATCATGACATATTCATTCTGGTACGGGCCGAGGGGCGTGTCGGCCGTCGACCGCACCCACATCGCGACCTTGTTGTCGGCCTCGTCCTCAAACACGTCGTCCACGGTGACGGTAAAGTTGCGGAACAGCGGCATCACGGCGCCAAAGGCCGCACGGTACGTGGCGTTGTCCATGGGCGGGCGCTTGAGAGATGCTGCGCGCACAACGTGTTGGTGTCTGTGTATATATCCATGCAACACTATGATAGAGGGAGGGAACATGGCAACCTACTAGGAAGTACCTGCTGTATACAAGACTCGTGTCGATAGGCCATGATGGCGTCGATGGTCCATATGTTATAGCCCTCAATGGCTTGGAACGCTACCTCGCGGCGCTTAGACATGGTTGAGACTAGACAAGTAATCAAACGTAAGAAAGAACTAAGACGGATTTCTGTGAGTATTTTACTCTAAGCCTTAGGAAGTGTTTACTCACCAGAGATCGAAATACACTAGAATACAGAGTACAGATCTATTCGTACCTAGGTTGGGATTGGATATGCGCGGGGTAGGCTTGTGAAGACACGATCAGGTAATCAGACAACCAAACCAGGGGGTTTATCTCTAAATCTTGTGATACCTCGATTCTGATTGGCCGTCCATGCCCAGGGTCATCGGCCAGATGCTTGACCAGACCGCGGTGCTTTCCTATTGGAGGTTAAACTGGCCTCGGCTGATCCCCGGAAGCTCCGGACATCTATCCGGGCGTTATGGCGTTGGTCAGTGTTCAGGGATCCTTCATTCACCATTTGACAGTGATACAACCACTTCTTGTTTTTTTTAATCTGATATTTAGCATACGAAGTACGTGCCTCTCTAATTGGTCCCCAGGCCCTCACTGCTTGGTGTTGCACTGACGTAATCGGTACCCACGACAGATAACTTGCTCGAATATATCGGACACCTCTCTTTTGTAGATGGTAGGATGAACCCAGACACCTTTCAGACAGTCCTTCCATCATAGCTTCTCCTCCGCATCGGCTCAGGAGAGATTATCCCTTGTTGGGTATTCAGCCTCAAAGATTTCTTCAATGTGAAATTCTTTTACGGAAGTAGGTTTCAAATAAAAGACGGCTAAATTTGGCAGTATTCTCGAGTATTGTTAAAGCAATGTAGTACCCCTTCATTCTTCTTGAGTTTACTGTCTGGCTGTTTGACAAGACCTTTTACTTCATTTTGTCTTCGTGAGCTACAATTCTCTCCTGCCCAACAACCTTTAAAGCCTGGTGATAAGGACAGCCTCCCCATTGCGCAACATTCGAGTAGCGCTTGGCAAAGTCTGGAGCATACTCTGCATCCATTTCCTGGATCTGTTGCTTTCGCTGAACCTTGTCCTCTGGTCCCATATTTTCCATCTGTGGTACCGCGGCAACCTGAGGGTCAGGGAATACATTGTCCTGCAGCCAGAACAGAAAGCCAAAGGCCCATATGACCATGGCCCGGAGCCATGGATTAACTGGCTCAATGTGATGTGCTCGCAAAGTAGTTGGCAAACTGAGTGCGATCGGGATGGAGCGCCCCAACCATCTCAAGGGTCTTGGAAAGAACCGAAATGCGAAAAAGTCGTACATGGCATTCGCACAAAGATTGCCTTGCTCAGATCCGGGGTGCGGTTGATTCTCGTAGTCCTCGCAGTACCTGACCATGCCGTCCCAATCGCTCGGGAACGAATGTAGTGCCACTCCATCCTCGGCTTGGAAAAGAGGAACCATTTCCCTCATGACAAGATGCGAGGCGATTTTGACCTTGTCGGAAACTCCAGAGAGGCCAAGCCTTTTTCGCAGACGGTCCATCATGGTGCCAGTAAACGCAAGTGTGTAGATGTAATCGTCATTGTGGGAGAAGACGCCCTTGTACTGCTTTGCCCAGTATCTGTGCAGCTTGTTGATGCTCTCCACCGACTCCTTGGTTCGCGTGTCGTGCGGGCCATACCACCACCAAGTAGCATTTTTGCTCTCGGTCTGCTCGACTCTTTCTCCCGCCTTGTTCAAGATTTTACCGCCGTCCTCTCGCCAAACGACGCGGGCGCCCCACTCGGTCACGATGAAATTGGGAAAGGTGAGGCAGTAGATCAGGGTGTTCATGAAATCGTTTCCTCCATACCCCACGGAGAGCCGGAATATCTCCGCGTAGTCCTCATAAGGGTTTAAAGATTCAATCTGGTCGTGAATCCATTTCCGAGATCTCTTGATGTCAGCCATGGAGGAAATAATGGTAGTGTTTGCGAACAGTGAAAGGAAGTGGCTGTAAGGGAAATATCGGGATTTGTTCATAATCTATTCTCTGACCACCGATCAATGTAGATTGTTGACTTTTATACCGGCAAAGGAGGCACCGAGAACACCGGTCACCCGGCGGCAGTGAGCCCATGATCTCAGAAACAATGTCGGCGTCGGCGAGTATCTAGCAACCCATTTCCACCTTGATCAGCAGACGGGCCCTACGACAGCCGGAAGTGGGGACTCTCCAGCCCTCACCAGCCTATTGGAATTTCAAGCTAATAGGGGATCTTCCCTTGTCCGGGGATAATCTTAAACTCCCCGATTCACTACCAACAAGGTGGGCGGCTTTCACGCTCCTGTCACCGCAAGCTTATAGACGACATTATTATCGGTATTCGACAGCTCCGCGGAACCGGTATTCGCGATTAAGCGAAACGCGACGGACGCGCATTTGAATCCGGTTTCAAGAGTTATTTGATATACGCAAACTCTTGATCTGTCGTAAGGACTACTTAATCGCCTTGACGCATCATTTCGGGAATGTGAATTGTATTCTACTCCGACCACGAGAAGTCACAACAATGCAGATGGCGGAGCCTTTCGCTGGTCATAGCTCAGCATTTTGCCTCTTCATAGTTTAGCTCGTGTCGAGCTTCCTGTTTGCCTGTAGAAAAAGATACTGATTAATCATGTGACAATGCCACTCGAGGAGCTTTTGGACTTACTTTACAAGACCAACGCATTTGATTTCAATGTCTGTGTTTCCGGGGAGGGTTTTCACCGCCACGCAACTGGCCGAATTTAGTATATGCTACAAATAGTTGAGCATCATTTGACTCACGTCCGAGCAGGCTTCAATTTCCCCCAGTATTCCTCATAGACTTTGTTGACTGTGCCATAATCCGCCATGTCGGCCAGGTAAATGTTGACTTCAATGACTTCCTCAATGCTAGAACCGCCAGCCTCGAGAACGGCAGCGAGGTTTTGGATGCAACAATGCTATATAATAGAAAGCATTTAGCACACATGGACACGATGGAAAAAGTGGATAGGAATCGGAACTAACTGCGCGGGCTTCAATTGGTCCCGGTACCAGATCACCAGTCACCGGATCCCTACCGACGGCACCCGAGGTGAAGACCAAGCCGTTGGCAATGATGCCCTGGCTCATGAGCTTTGCCGGAACGGCGGGCGCCTTGGACGATGTTACTGCGACGCGCATCTTTGCAGAGAGCGATAATCAAAAAGCGTAATACTCGGATTCAATGAGGGCAAAGATGAGCACAAATTTCAGAACAAAACATGAAAGGTGAGAAAATAGAATATTGAAATAATGTCAAGTTACTGACTACCAGTGTTTTTTGGTGAATGACTGCAGGCATATGGGGCTTATCGGCTAGTGTGTCTTTGAATTCTGTCATCGCCCCGAGTGGATCGGAGGTGAAGTCGGGCTTTCCGACACGCGATTTTCTAGTAGATAAGACTCACCGAAGTCCGCTGAGGTGGAGAACCGGCCGGCGTTGAAGCACACGTTGGCTGCAGAGTAAGAGCTGATTTTTCAAAAGGGCATTTCTCATCGCATGTATGAGACTCAACGCCATGTTTCTCGAAAGCCTGAGGCGGTGCACTTCCCGATAGTCACTATTGCTGATCTTGTTTCTGTGGCCTCTTTCAAAGCTGAGTTCACTATAGGCTCTTTTCGCATGCTCAATGGTCTCAACGTTACAACACCAAACGAACCATAGTCTAAGATGATAGTTGATGCTTGTTGCGATCGATATGAAGAATGCCTTTGTTGACAATGGTAGGCTGAATCTAGAAGAGTCCCCTAATGGCCGCTGTCGATCACGCTGCCGGAAGCTGAACGACGGGTGACTGATAGTCAGCTTCCAGTAAACCCCGCTCATGTCGTTGTCCGGGTAAAGATTTGATGAAGGAGGTGGAGGTGGCGTTATATTTCGCGGGACGGTAGCAGACACGGTCCTGATGCAAGTGCCAAGAACGTGAGCTGCGAGGAATCAAAGGCCCCTGCATCAGCAGAACTGGCAGGCCAGTCCGCCAAAAACCTGCAAACCTTAATTTAACTTTGATGGAAACCAAGAAACGGTATGCGCTTGAGCCGAGCCTTGATTTAGTTCGCTGTATTGCAGCGACAACCGCACCTGAAAGCAGTTGACTGGCCACAGTACAATGACGGATGCAGAGCTCAGGAGAGCAAGTTGCACTTGCGCTGACCAGCTCGATCAACTTGAAAAAGGTTTTACCAAAAGAAAAGAAACAATCATTTGTCGGACTTTGTATAATAGTTCTCAACATGCCTAAAATTTTGACATTCTGAGCCATCGTAAACATCTAATTGTGTTCTTGATTAGAGACACAGAGCAACGATGAATAGTCGTACATTTATATTTTTGCTTATTACCGTCGGCAGATCCATTGCTAAACAGCATAGAGTACATCATCATCACAATGATCATGGATATCAAACTCTACTGCCAGTCCAAGACACAACTACACCCTTGAGCACTCCGACAGCTTTGACGACCGGTACAACCACCACGACAAGCTCAATCACTCTAACGAAAACAATCATTGTATCACAGCCAACAAGAGGCGCGCCTCCAACTGGTTCAACCTTTGCCATTCGAGATGCACTTCAAGAGCGGGAACTCCTTGTAACTTACCTCCAGAGCGAAGTAGTCGGGGATATCGAAGGTTTTACCCTCTTTAGTGATATACCGGATATAGAAAACCAACAGCGATATATCTTGAATGACAAGGGAAACCTCATCCACGTGGCGACCGGGTGGGTGGCACACGGCGATGATTTGGTCGGCCACAGATTCGAAAACCCCAAAACTCCCGACGATGCTCTATCCTCTCCGGCGTGTATATGTGCCGTCGACCCAGTTACCTCGCAATTGACATGTTCTTGTGGGAGTGCCACAAAAGTCTGCATGGACACGAGTAGTAGTTCGACAACTCCTTGTACCGAACAAGACATATCGGATACTTGGGCAGAGGTTTCATGGTACGTTTTCCCGGATGATCCCAGCGTCACCACCGGCATCAGTCCGACAGCGACTCCTTCACCACCGCCAGAAGATCGGCAATTTCTATTGGAAAGTGCCAACTCTGAGTACTTATTGGTTGTGGTTGACCATACACCATTTCTCGTGCTCGAAGACAGCAACAGCACGACGGGCTTGGACGTGATCTTTGGGATAGACGACGACGGCGCTTGGATCAATGTCGCAACGGGCGATATTGCTGCTTCCAACCCCGAGTTCACGACCGGGCCCATCTCTTTCTGGAGTCGAGAGGACATGGCGAGGCTCGGCCTGAAACCCAGCACCTGTGACGTTGTGGACCAGAGCGGATCAGTTGGCTTTCACTGCAACAACCGCCGCTTCTGTGCGACGGAATGGGGACTGTTTTATTGCTATGGAACTCGGCCAGATGATAATGTGGTGCATCTCTACTCGGGGCTTGAGATATAAGCGCGGCCGAGTGGCTGCTGCGTCGCCGAAATGGCCGAATTGCACGCGACAAGAATGCGCATCTAGGGGGGTTATTCTCTTGTAAACAGAGTGATGGCTTGGAATAGCTGGACGACAAGGTGTTGAAAAGTTGAAAAGTCGCTTGGGCCATGCTACTTGATTCGGAAGGACTTCTTTGAATAAAACAGTACCAAAAACTCGGTATCTTGCCATTTATCAACACAAAGGCAATATCTCGTGCCATGCAGTTGAAATCTTTGCGCCTGTTGGAATTGCGAGCAGGCAGGGACAGGTCCTGGCAGCAATCAAGTTATGGGCATGAGGCCCTATAAGGCGCCGTGTTTAGTGGCACAGCTAGCTATTGGCGCCCCGCGATTTCGCACCGCAACGAAATCACGATTTGTTCTGCCAATTGGAATTTTGATTCGAATATGACCTCGATCAACGTGGTGCGAAAGAAGAGAAAAAAAAAAGGAAGAAAAAGATTAAAAAGGCACCTACAGCAAAGGTTGATTTTTGGTGTTTCCCGAGGTTGCAGACGCCTGATCGAGCAGCCGCCCACCTGTGAGCCTACCCAACCTGAGTCGTGCTGAAATGATTCGGACACCGTAGCACATAGCCGCCAGTTCGTCGCAAGTCGAATGATTGTTCAGACCTTGGCTACACAGATGCGCATGTTTGATTGGTGTTTCTTTATCATAGTAACAAATTCTGTTTTACCTAACAATTCCAGAAAGCGGCATTCTCACGTCGCCTATCTCGCGGCCTTGCATTCTCGAAACCTCCTCCTTGGCCCCGAGAAACGGCATGTTTTCGTCACCGAGCAGTCCAATTGTGAAGACTGCCTTGTCTTTCTGCTGATCATGGAACCAGCCGAGACGGAATTCGCTGCCGATCAGCAAAGCCTCCAATTCCTGCGCCTTCATGTACCATGCGCCAGGAGGTACCAACTCGATAATATTTGATTCATATAGCAATGCCGCTTGGGCTGCAATGCTTCCAGGCTCTTCGGGAGCCAGCCCTTGAAGATTCATATCGAGCATCCACCATCTCTGTCTCCACCCCAGCTTTCGTAGGCCCCTGGACACCAGTGCCCAGATATTCACCAGGACAATGAGGACAAGTATGCATAGAATTAGATACGTCGGAATAGCATTTTGTACCAACCGGCGCCTTGAGACGTCATATATGGTGACAGGCACAGTGTCCAGTTCCGGGGCATTGAACGGCTCAGAGATGGAGGTCTGATTGATCAGTAGTCTACTCTCTGAGCTCGCAAGTTGTCCAGCTGCCATGGTGAAATCATGTGTCAATTGGGCGAGAATCTCATCCACATGCGCCTCGCTGCCGAGACTTTCTAGTGCCACCGGGCCGTACGGCTCAAGAAGCACACGGAACGGTTTTCCTAGTCCGGAGTTGATGTCAATGGCAGGAAACACAGATGTCGGAGTCGTCCATCCATTCAGATCTGGTATAGGGAACACGGGGACATGGGGCCTGCTGCTGTTTTGAATAATCCGGGGCGGATTGTCCGAATCAATGGTGAAATTGCCACCCACGAGCGTCAGTTCGACGTCAACATCCACCCAGGAGTAGTTGCACCGCATCGCAGTAAAGAAGCTGACGTCGGCAGACGAGGCATCAAAGCTGCCCCACGCGTAGGTCTGCTGAGTCCATCCGTGTAGCCGCGGGGCATGAATCGTGCTCTGCGTGCCAGGACACCACAAGGTGATAGGATCTGCTGCAGATTCGACGAGGGCACCAAGATAAGCCATATTGTCCGAGGAGTCTCCGCTCGTTGCGTTGCCAAGGGCGGTTTTCATGGTCACGCTGCTACCATCGGGGCAGGTGATGTTCTCACTCATCATGTGCTGATAGTAGTAGTTGTCATCCTCACAACCGTATATACACACTTTTTGTTTCGCAATGGTGTATTCGGATCGGTCCATATGTACGCAATCTGCCACCAATTGAACCGCTGGAATTTCGGCCGTGGCAGAGACGTTCGACAGTCCGTCTGGCGCTGCTAGGCCTTCAAGCACTGGAAACACCAAGGTATCGTACGTATTTGTCGGGTATGAACTATTAATGTCTGCCTGCTTGAGAAGCAAACTTCCTATCAGCCCCCGATAGTTGTTAAATGGATTCATTCCAAGCGCGGTTGGATCGGTGACATTTCCAAACCAGGTTCCCTGCTGGAGTTCCATGTGATATGGCTTGGGTACTGCTTGTGTCGTGAAGAGAATACTGGAAAGTGAAGTTAGGAATGCAGAGAAGAAGGTCAGGGTCTGAGAAATCGTGACCGTCGGTAGCCCCATGCGAAGTGATTGCCAGAATGCTCGAAAACCCAACATATCCACAAGCGACATATCCAAGAACTGCGACGGAACAGGCAAGGACGACGGCAATGAGAAAACGGAGAGGTTGCGAATGATTCCGTTGCAGGAAGTAATGTACAGTGAAACCAACGACGTGAGCAGGCCGGGGATCATCAATCCAAAGGTTGAGAGATACGCGTTGCCGCCAAGCGTTGCGATGCCATTCTGCGTCTGCGAGACATGAAAAAGCGTGCCAACAGCGACAATAAGGCACACCAATGCGAGTGTAACGGCTGTTCGCACCCAGGTTCTCAATGGCAATACCGAGCCTCTAGAGCTGGCCCAAGTCTGGCTATCGTACGCCGGCAATATTCCTCGGATTTCTTTCAAAAAGGCCAAGATTCCCAACAAAGTGGCTGGATCTCGGGGAAATGTATCTGGCTCTACTGTGAAGAAGAGAGTAGTGACCAAGGTCAGAGAAGCAATAAGAAAGCACAGTCCTGCTATAATGAAGGCGATTCTCTCGTCAACTAGCAGTCGCTCCACGGGAATCTGTCGCGTTCCATTGACCTCGACGGAATTGGACTGCCTCATTCGATAGTGACTAACAAACGGCCCAAATCGTGAGTACATGTCTTGAACATGTTCCTCTATCACAGCAGAGGTATACAGCGAGAGATTTTGTGTATGATCGACATTGTCCAGGTTGACGCCCGAGTCATATCCCGAGGAGAAATCAACCCAATTTCCGTCGCGGAATGCGATCGAATCTGCTTGGACGATGCCACATCCTCCTTCATCCGAGCCGTAGAAGCTGATGTCCGGTGATTGCAACCAGCAATTGGCCCACTGTCCTCCAACATCATCTGGAATGGCATACGAGAGCAGGCGCTGGAAGTCAACGTCAATGTCGATAGGATTCTCTTCGCTGTCTTGGACTGATTGTACGGTGCGGTTGACTCCATTATCAACAACCTCTACCTTTGACGTCCAAACATGCGGGGAGCATACCACTCCACCCGCGGTACCCAAAACCGGCAAGGATATATTTTCCGCTGAAGGGCCAAAAAAAGCTGCGACAACTGCAAACTGTTGTTGAGGCCGTGGTAGGTTGCTACAAGACTTATTCAGGTAGAGGTCGTCCAAAGTCCACCAACTTGTCACATTGGGCGGGCCAACGTCACCCAGATACCACGAAAAGCCGGATGAAAGATTAAATGAAGCGCCGCATCCTTGAAACTTGGGCGTGATGGTCGCCTCGTATATATATCTTTCTGGATCATATGTTATGTTTGATGAAATAGATTCAAGCTGCACACATTGCACATCGACGTATATTCCATCAACGATCGCAGACAATGGTGCTACCAGCTTTCCTGGGTCATTCGTGATGTTGCTCACAGCTTCGAACTTTTGGTATGCTCCAACTTCGGTAAGACCAAACGGCAGCTGAGATCCGAGAGCATTTATACTTTTAGCAACATAATATGGACTCGCATCGAGTGCTGTTAAGTTCGTCGGTGGTGCAAATGAATCAAGTGCCCTGACGGGAACATCCAACACAGTGTCGACAGTACCGTGATAGAATAGGCTCGTGGAGAGGATTATGACAACTTCTAGAATAACTGTGGTGCCCAAGACAAGAGAGATGAGAAAGTGCCGATTGCGAAGAGACCTGTAGAATGCGACAGGCGAGAGCTCATAGACATATTCAAGAGCAAGTATGGCGGACTGTTCTTGCTGACCCTTGGCGAGAATGATCCAGGGCATGTATCGCCGAGCTTGTACTTCGGTTCTAGACCAGAGAGCCGCTACAAGAGTGAGGACTGTGGAGAGGGATACTCGTTAGCAAGGTTCTCTTGAGTTCCTGAACGATAAACCTTCTCGACTTACTTGCTGTAGGGGCAAATCTCCAAACATACTGCCACTGTTGGGCAAATTCTACGAGACCTTGATCTACTCGCGATTGGTGGTCCAGGTAAATGATGAGCCCAGCAAGAAGGAGGAAAACTCCAATGAATGCGGCGAGTGTGCTTCGTCGGAGCCAGAAAGGACGCCAATCGACGCCCGCGTCGCGATCGGAGAGAGCATCCGACGAGATCAGAGAATATGAGCTCTGGTACCCATGCTTGTCATCTTTTGAACTGGATACAGTTTGATGGACAGAAGGATTTGAAATCGAAGCATCATCTTCATAGATTGACGCCTTTGGCAGCATCAAGGCGCGTTGTGCCAAGTCTGATGCCATACCTAGACTCGGCGTAGTGCTTCTTTTGTGGCGAGCCCACGCGAGATCATTGTTGTTTCTGCCAGAAAATCGCCAACAGAAATTCAAATGGATGTTTTCTCTAAGAATAAGAGAATCCAGAAGAAACGAGAGAAAAGAAACTCTGTGATCGCGCCGGGACTGCGTGTAGCTGAGCTCGCATAAAGGGTTCACTTCACTCCAGGCACAGGTGGGTTGCAGATTCGCAGGGATCCGCATCCTACAGGTACCCGAGAGATTGGCCTGGCCCTACAGCACTCCCTCATCCCCAAACACCAATATGCACCTTCATAGGTACAGGTATTTTGGTGAATCGATGAAAAGCATCGCCAACATCCGCGCAGCAGTCATGTCATTTAGAACAAGATTTGATTGGTAATTCCCGACTTTGAACCCCTCAAAGCACCGCACTCGTAGATTGCCACAATCAATGAGAATGTGTCTTTTTAAAACTCCCCTCAGATATGCACTGGTGCTCTCTAAAGTCCTAGTGTAACAGTTTCAAACCTTTTCGCCTCTGGCCCCCAAAAGCGGTGTGCAGCGGGAGTCTTTAGCATCCTTTTCTGGTAAGTGCGCAGTATGCAGGTGAGCGGCACAGCACTCTGCTAGGCGAGGATTCCCCTACAAAAATTATTAAGAATAGCGGGACAGACACCCTGCACGCCGGTTAGAACCCCGCTAAAATTGTAGGACGCGGCCGCGCGATAAGGTTGCCCCAAGTCGGCTTGCGCAGGGCTGCATATGTCCCTACTCCTAGGTAGATTTCTTATTCAAGCTTACATATTTACGCTTAATTGAAAGCTTCGTCGGATGTGGACAAACCCAAGCATATGGCGAATTCTTTTTCAATTGCACATTGGAATAGTGGCCCTCGCGAGCTGCGTCCTTTCCGGGAATGACTTTGTCGTTTTCAAAGTCCATTCTGGTATTTGTCGCACATGACTGTCGTATATTGAAGAATACCAACATTTGAATGTAAGCACGAAACATTCAAGAACAACTGGACAGCTTAACGCAATTGAAGTTACTAAATTGTACATGCCATCTCTCGGAGTGATATTATGCGAGAATATCTTCAAGCCACGCCGCTGCTGTCGTGTCCCAGATTTTCGCATAAGCCGTGTGAGCAGTCAGGTTGGATCCAGCCGCGTCGCAAACACCGTCCAGATCGTCACAATAATCATGCAGGCGGTCGGAATATTTTGCCAGCGCGGCAATCTGATCAGCCGTTCTTGGGTATTTCTGTAGTGATGTTAGCACGGTATATATTTTCTTGAGAATATATAATTACGCACGCCAGTGGCAGCGACATCGCCGACGTTGTAAGTCTGGTTGGCTGTGTGGCGGGGATCACCATACAGCAGGATAGCAGCAACTAGTCAAAGTGAGTTGGCCTCTAATTTTTCTTATATCATTTGATAGAGATATTCTTACTTTGCGATCCAAGAGTGTCGGGATCGATAGTCGGCGACGTGTAGTTTCCAAGAGTGTTCCCAGCTCCATCGCCTCCGCCTGCGAGCATATCGCCAACAACCATGGCACCCTATATGTTTATTTAGTCCGATCACCAATGAAATATCTGCGAATCATCCATACCTGGGAATATCCAAGCAACACAAGTTTGGAATCGGGACAGGCTTCAGCGTAAGCCTTGACTTGTGCGGTGCCGTTGGCAATACCCTCCTGGTAGCTAGGAGTTGAGCCTTCCTGGGTAGCTGGGTAGAGAATGTTCTCGTAGGTACTCCCATTGATGGCATCCGTGACCAAGGTCGTCAATGAGCCAAGCAGGCCGGGATAGCTCTCAGTGGTTCCGCGGGCCAGGAACAGGTGTACATCTGCACAAGCTGCCCGTGTCGTACAAGCAGCTTGGGTCAGTGCCGGGAACATGACCATGCCAGCTGCGAGATAACGAGAAGCCATGTTGCCTAGTATCGTATGTCAAGTTCGTATGTGACAATGATTGTGTCGTGATGAAATTCATTCATTGGGCGAAAGATCGGCTTTATAACAAACTCTCGCCGGTGTAGGTATACTCCGTACGGATGGGTCAGAACCTCTTCGCTTAGCATTGTGCTTCAACTACCATTCGCCAACCAAAAAGGGGAAGGACGACCGGAATGTCCCCATATAGATTTTTGAAAAACCGGGGACCGCTAAATTATAGTGGTAGCTCAATATCGACATCAAACGTAAAATCAGCTACCTACGAGCCGAGAAGCCTAAACTCCGAACGCTAATCACGTCATCACAGCTAGAAGCAAACAAAAAACACTTCCGTACTCGTTCCGCGCCGGATAGTATCTAGTCGTGGCCGGAAGTCCGGACTTTAATCCGTGCAGGCCGGTGTTTCTCGCCTTGGACACGTAAGCATGTCGGTCGCAGTCTAAATGAGTTCAACTCCTACCGTTACATTAGACCTGACACTTGATGCCTTGAGCCTAGACCCTGCGTGCCCGATATAGCAGACGAAAGTCGCCTCCTGCGATTCAGGCGAAGCACGCCCTCCATGGCACCGAAGGGATTAAGCAGTAGTCGTGTAAGACATGGACAGCATGGCGATTTCCTACCCTCTGCTGCACGTGTATCGGGCAGCATGGCGCAAGTACCACATAAGTGCTACCAGGATATCACATTGGACAGGAGATATGTTTGTGCGGACCCAACATTCGTGAAATGAAATGCCGGATCACGACCTGGCCGCAGCGAGTTTCTGGGTGCATCGCGGATCATGCACCGCTATTTTCGGACCCATTTGCGGATGAAAATTAACCATTTCACAAAAGAGTTCTTAGCCGAAAAGGAAATGCAATCATGCTGCAATAGTCATCTTATTGTACAACTGTCTTATATTCGTACATCGTTCGGGCTTGATGAATTATGTGGACGGATCACAAGCGTAGACGTCGAGGGACTCTTCGCTGCAGCTGTACCCTGGCCAAGGACTATCCCAAATACCCTCGGCCGTATCATAATTATGCCACTCGGGCACACCTTGCCACCTGAACAGATCCTCCATGGCTGAGGCGACATGGACGAGTCTGGCTTCACCCCATTGACGGCCCCAGAGACAGAGGCCGAACGGCACCGAGTATCCCGTCTGCCCTACCGGAAGAGCGGCGATGGGGTACCCGGCATACGACGGGATCGATGCACAGGCTTGACTTCCAGTACCGGTATCATCATTGGGGATAAGCAGAGCGTCGAGCTCAATGACGGTGCCATTGTCGGTCGTGTAGGCATGGCCGCCATCAATTGCTGTTTGCGCAGCATGTCTGCCCCAGCCAAAGTTTGCCCAAAAGGCATCACCTTGCGTGCCGTTGGTGGCAATTGCTAGATCGTAGAAATCCTGCCCGGTTTCTGTATTGTACCACCAAGTGCTGTTGCCAAGCGCGCCCGTCGTGTCGTTGTGGGCATCGTTCCAGGCGGCCATCTCCGTGAGGGTGCTCATACCGTAGCGTTCGTCGTCGGCCGGAAAGGTCCAGTTTCTCAGCCACTCGGCATATGCAACATCGAGAAGTACTTCATAGACGGTCAATTGCTGGCGGCTGTCTGGAGTATCTGATGGTTGTCCGAAACCATATGGGTTGGCAATCTCTTGTATGCCAGGAATATACTGGAATGGTCAGTGCTCACGGTCAATTATTACAGATATGATGAGGCTACGTACGCTGATATTGTAGAGCTCAGCTCCGGCGGCCTTGAGCTGGTCAAGAAGTCCTTCATACTTGACACGCTGATCGGGCGCATTGACTGCCTATTATTGCATGTCAGTCACTGTCGATGAGTGCGTGGAGCCAATCCGACTTACCGGGTTGGTCGACCAGTAAGGATTCCAGGGCAAGCCCAGCTTCATACCGCGCAGGCCTCCCTTTTGAGCTAAATGGGCAGTGTAGCCTTCGGTGGGAAGATGGCCCAAAGCGTTCCATGTCAAGTTGTCAGAACGGTCAGCACCGGCCATGATATCCAATAGGTAGGCGACATCCTTCATGGACCGCGCCATAGGTCCCGGCGTATCATGGTAAAAGCTTCCAGGTATGATGCCGTGTCGTGACAGTAGACCAGGCGTCGACTTGATGGTATACAGCCCGAGATGCGACGAAGGGTGAACTAAGGACCCGTGAGTCTCACTTCCGAAGGAAATTGCCGCCTGATTACTGGCGACCGCCACAGCAGAGCCACCACTACTGCCACTCGTGCCCTGGGTCAGGTTGTATGGGTTTCTGATTTGGCCCGCTCTCGTTGAATAACCGTCCGAGAAATTGGTCAATGCTCTGTGATCGGCCGCCTCTGACAATGAAGCATGGGCCAACAGTACACCGCCAGCGGCCCTTATCTTTGCGACTACAGTGGCTTCCTCAGGGTATCTGCCGCCAAGAAGAACGAGACCTCCTTCAGATGTATTGTGCTTGTCATCTGTGTAGTAGTTGTCTTTGACCACGAATGGGATGCCATGCATGGGTCCACGAGGTCCTGACTGAGACCGCTCTTCATCAAGAGCAGCGGCGATAGAAAGAGCATCTGGATTGGTCTCACTGATGGAGTGGAGATATCTAGGTAGATGCAGTAAGTAATTGAGTAAAGCCGAGAGATTTCTTCTTGACAATTATATTCAGAAACAATTGTACGTACTTGTTAGTCTGCTCTATGCGTGCCAAGTAGCATTCGACAAGTTGTTGGCTGGTGAGCGTTCCTTGACCCATGTAGAGTTGCAGGTCACCAATTGTAGCATCTTCAATCGAAACACCATTGCACAGCGCCATTGGGAATGGCGTGACACTGCTGTTTTGGCGGCCATCTGAGTAATTGGTATTGCTACATTGGCCTCGGGGATGGATTCGGCTGCCATTGGCCAAGCTACCAAGGCCGGCAAACAGGATAGCCCAAGTAGGAACGAGTGTGCCCTTCATCTTGCATTCGGGGATGCTTAGTATGATCCACCGCCCCTAGATCGCAGCGAGATGCGTTGGACGCTCCCCAGGAGACATCTGCTGTGCATTCATATATTTATATGCCTCAAGGAAATTGTTTTCTTCTTCCATGTCGGCCGAGTTCATCAGGACTAACAATTGTTTTCCAGTAGCGCCAGTATTTCGTCGCCATTGTCCGATTCCATTCTCGGAAATAAACGCTTGGCCTTTGGTCTGGTTTGGCATTGTACACTGATTAGAGCCGGACATGAATTTCTTATCATCGCGGAGTAGCCCGATCCCCATACTTGGGTCGATACCATTCCCTTAAGAGCATGGTTGACCCTGTTCCCCAGCGAGAAGGTACTGAACTAAGCTTACTTCTGGCTAGTGCTACGGGGTGAGCCTAACTTTTTGCCAGGGTTCTAAATTTTTGTTACTAGAGCTAGTAAGTGCCAGTTACTAGACTAGACTAGGGCTAGTACTAGTATTACTATAGTAAGTGGTCTGTTACTAGCCCCCACTAATTTCCACTTTTGGAAATAATAAAAAATATTAAAATTATCTGCGAAAAAAAGCGGTTTTAACGGTGGTAATTACGTATTTATAGCTTTATTGGATATTTTATAATAAATTATAATATATTAAAAAATAAATTTTAAAAAAATACTTAAAAAATATTTAAAAAAAATAAAAATATTCGAAAAAATTAAAAATAAATAAAAATAATTATAATTTTTTAATTTAAATTAAATATTAATATATTTATATATTATTAAAATATATACGATTTTTTATTTTTAAAATTTTTTTATTTTAAAGCTTTATATATATATATTTTATATTAAAATTTAATTTTTTTTTTAATTTTTTTAATAAAATAATACGTTTTTCTTAATTTAAAATCGGAAAAAAATAAATAAAATAAATAAAAACCAGCATAAAAATCAGTAAAAAATTAGCTATTAAACGGTATATTTTACTTATTAAAAAACCCACTTTTCAAATAAGTGGGACTTACTCTAGTATTACTAGAGCTAGTAACTGCCACTTACTAGACTAGACTAGACCCCCTAGTAACTAGAGCTAGTAACTTTTACTAGAGTAAAAGGTCAGTACCCTGCTTTTTGCCCATTTCCCCAACATGATAACGCTGATTGAATAAATGTTGGAGATGCTTCGTTCAATGCTGACATTGATGACAAAGAATTCAATCTTCGTCTACGTTACTTTCTTTCTGCACGAGTGCCAATTCATGTGGTGGACAGGATCAGCCCCTCTTCCAAATTTGAATATCGCGCACTATTTTCTTTCAAGAATACCTGCATAGACACATCTTTATCGTATGTCAAAGACATCAAGCTTCAGATTTCCACCTTTCAAGAGCTGCAAGGGCTCACCATCCGAGTAGCCATGCACGTAGCATGAGCCCGCCAACAAATATTCCTGGCCCACTCTCCTCAATAGACAGGGTATCGAGAAACCTTCTAGAAGGCACACAATGTCACCCTCGACGATAGCTGGCGGTGCAAGTCCCACTTGGCCGCGTTTGGTGATGAACAGTGGCCAACCAATCCACTTGAACAAGAGGCGGGTCATTTGATTAAACGAATTGACCGCGTCTTCATACTCTGCCGAACTTAGAGCGCTGTGCAGCGTCGATATATCTGGCGCTCCAGGTCCTATAAAGGCATCGTCGAGGGCTGTTCTCACTTCTTCTAGGCTCGCATATCCAAAGGAGCGATACTTTGCCTTTGCATTATCATCGTCTTCAGGTTCTCCTGTGCGCAGGATGATCCTAAACGCATGTGCTGATAAGCATTGAAGAGATGGTGTAATTTGTAATGGAAGACCCTGAGTATCTCTTCCTTTGTTGAGCGCACGCAGGAGCTTTTCCAGCGGTCGTGTGCCATTTCTCGTGTGACCATCATCCCACGCCTTGAGAAACTCCAAGCAGGTCCACCAGAACTTCTTCATGAGATCGTCAAATGGATCAGGCTGCGGATCTCCAACGTATCGGATCACCTTTGTGCATTGATCGAGTTCCAACCCAGTAAACCGTATTCTGTGCTTGTCCAGTATTACCGGGCCTTCAGGGTGCATCTCGTCTAGCCAGGCTTGCGCCAAGGAATTTGGTGGTAGGATGACATAATTCATATCGTCCTTCAATGTGTGAAACTTTGGTACCCAAGACGGGAAGACGGAAGTGCTTCTGTCCTCACGAATAAGCCCTGCAGTGCAAAAGAAGTTTTTATACTTCTTGTGACGCACTGCAGCAGCCACAAGGTCCCAGTACACCTCAGCGGGCTGCTTGGTGTAGTCTGGAACGATACCTCCCTCAATGACTCCTGCAAGTCCAAAGACGGCATCTCGTGGATCAGTGGAACGACACACTGCGCTGATGTGTGGGACCAGGCGATAATCATCTTTCGTTACTGATTTCCTCAATACCTGAATCCAGTTGATGAACAAAGATGAGAGCTCATTGTCATGGATAACCCAATCCCATACGCGTTGGTCAAAGAATGGAGGCTTAGGCGGCTTCTGTGCCACGAACCTTTCAGCAAACAGGTTAAAGTCGCTCAGCTGTTGGAAAGTCATTGATTCTTTGCCACTGTGGATGATGACAATATTCGGCCTCTGCGCCAGAGCGACCTCTTGCACGATCCAAATTCGTGTCCAGTAGACATGACCACTAAGCTTGTCTATCGCGTTCCAGGCTTGATTTCGGGCAAATCTTTCCGTGTTTTGCTCGTGAAACTTAGGATTCTGCCCCAAGAACTCAAGATCGGACTCGCTAAAAGCCACCTTTGAGTCCGGATAACTCCCCAACTTCTCTTCAGTCTCGGCAACGTGGCCAGCGCAAGCTTTGATCAGGCTGAAGGCTATCTCGGTAGAATCGTCAGAAGGCCCAAGCCAGGAAATCACCCAATTTGCTTGGGAATAGATTGACCCCATCAAGGAAACCTGTTGCGACCTTTCAGCCAGGTCTTGCTGGTTGATGCAGACGGCATCTGCCCAAAGAAAAGCAGGTCCATCGTGTTTTCCTGCATATGATTCCCTAAATTGTCTTAGTGCCGAGGCCAGGCTCTTGGTCGCCTGGAATGGCTGTCCATTAACCAGAATCTCTTCAGTGTCTGTTGCGTCTCCCCACACGTACGATAGTGCTGCATACTGTGGAGGAGAGTTTTGTAGTTGTGCAATTTTGATCTCGCAACAGACTTTTGCGTCATGATCAAGATTTGGTACTACTTCAAGCAACCTGATCTCTGCATGATTGGGATTCAGGCTGGTGTACTTCGGAGTGCAGACTGTCAAACGGTACGATCGGTCGCAGAAGATTCCGAAAAAAAAATAATCAGCGAAGAATAGCGCGACCTTCGTGTCGCCTGGGAAATGAATCGGCCCAGAGAAAAGATGACACAGGGCGGAGCAAGGTGGGGGCGCAATCCTCGATAATGGAAGGAATTGAGGTTGCGCTGTCAGCGGGGAAATGAACAGGGGTCTTCATCAAGCCGAATTCCAAAATTCACTAGTCTTGTATTTTTTTATTCTCGTATGGTCTCTAGTCTGAATAGCTCTTCATATAGAGATCTATGACATGACTTCCAATTCTCTACAGCGAGAAGGAGACAAATTTTGCAGTCCAAGTTTTCTCGATGCCATAGTGGAGTCTGGCGGAAACAAGAGTTGAAGCTGAAAAACAGAGGGCAAAGCTATATCAGCATGTCGGAGGCGATATTAGACAAGTATGATCATACCACAGACTCATGTCACAAGCCTCAAGACACTTAGAAGAACATAACATTATATACTTCTGCAGCCGACTACGAAGCCGGGGGACGTAAAGAAGTTCAGTTTATTAATACTCAGAGGAGAACCCAAGTGCTACCTAACAATTTTATAGAAATACACCGCGAGCAATAAATACAAACTCGGCTATCTGATTCTTTACGCCTTCTTGGCAAAAGTCTTCTTCAAGGCAGGAATGGATGGAGAGAAGAAATACTCGCCACCACGAGAAATGACCCAATCCGCGGTCAAAGTGAGCGGCTTGGTCAAGTCATTCTTGAAAGCGCCCTCCATCTCCCTCACGGTACCCGCCGGGGCGACTCCGATCAAGGGATCGAAACCGGGCTTACCATTTGGAGGAAAGGGGAAGTCCGGGTTGTTTGCCCAAACTAATGAGTGTGGTTAGCTAACCAATGCAAATCATGTTGTCTACATTGTTATGGGAAACTTACCATTCTGAAGGAATTCAAAGCCATTGGCAATATTACTCTGGTAACAAGCAAATAATAGACCTCTCTCGAGCTTGTCATCACTGGAGCTCTTCTTGCTTTCTCGCTCCTCGGGCGTGACCTCGGGTCCAAACGTGATGCCGCGACGGATAATGCGGCGAACATCGGTGTTGTTGTTGATTGTACCATCGTCATTCTTGGAATCAAGGTCACCACGCGGGTTGGTCTTGCGAATATGTGCTGCGTAGGGGCAAAGCTCCTGGCTATCAATGTTGAACCGGAAATTCTGATTCTTGTCAGGAGCCGCGAGGGAGGGGTCGTCCCTGCCGGGTGCCAACTGGACTGGTGCGCCGCTCTTCCAGCGGCCGACAAGACGCGCGCCTAGAAGGTCTTTGACTTCCTCCCTGGGAATTTCCGGGCCCACATCTGCGGCATTGGCGCTCTTCTCCAAAAAGGCGTCAAACTCGGGCACGAGCTGCTTGAGATAGCGGAAGGCCAGGAAGCTACCGTCAATAGCCCACGATGGACGGGATACGGGGCCTGGACCAACTTGACCGGCGCCAGGAGGAACATCACCATTGTCACCTTCTCGACCAACGAGAATGATTCCCTGGTCCACAGGCCCGTCATGAGGTCCATCCATATCGGGGGCCGATACACCCTTGACGGATGGTTGAGACAGACCATCGTTGAAGCCGAAACTGTTGTCATTTTTGTCAGCTACTGTCCATACTTTTGGATTCCTGCGGATGTAACTTACTGTTCGTGCCCCTTCTCAGCGCCAGGTCTCAGCTTGCCGTCAAGTTCCTTGACCACTTCAATACTGGCGTCCTTGTGGCCGACATGGAAGATGTGCTTGACTCTGTCCCAACCACGGTTGAGAACGTGCTGGTGACTGGCAGCAACGAGTATGACACCGTGAACATCATTCTTGAATGCCGGATCCCAGTCCTCGAGTTTATCACCGAGCTTTTCGACGGCATCTTTCTTCTGGCCAATCTTGAACGGCCCATCCTTGATGTCGTCGGTGATTCCAAGCTGCACAAGTATGATATGATCAGTGTCTGAAGAAGAAATCATACAACGATTTGCAGGACCTGAGAACTTACTGCAGTTAATCCGAATTGAGAAAATGCAATGTTGACTGAACTGTTCTCGATGAGGCCAATCTGGTGACCCTCAGGAGCAATCCTTCTCTTTGCATCCTTGATCTCCTCGCGAAAGCTTCGGGCGTCTTTTGCTGAAGTGATCAGAGGCAAGAGGTGTGTGAGTTGGTTCCGGAACGAGGCAGCGTGGTCTGCCTTGATGCGGAAGAAGAAGAAGGTCTGCACCTTCTTGGCAATACCTTCACTGTTTCTTTGTCAGCACAAGGTTCTCATGGTTTGTGTTTGTGTGTGTATGGTGAGAATTGCACCTACAGGATATCTCCCTGGATGTTCTTTAGGTCCAGAGGTGGGAGAGCCCCATTGTGCTGCAAAGGAATCTGAGCGTCACCCATGGTTGTGTTGTTCAATTATGTCAATAAATATGTGTTATTTGTGGATAGTAACGATCGCACCAAATGACGACGCAAGTTTCATTAGTCCTTCCTCCCCTTTATATATAGCAGTGGCCCATATAGTCCTACGACGTCAACCAGGCAACTAAAATCCCGTAGTATTGGATTTGAACGTGACTTCAGTACAGCCTCAGCGTGCATTGCCTACTCGCACTGCGCCCTAGCCTCAGAGAAGGACATAATATTCGTTGAGTCATCCCAACGGCAAGACCCAGCCGCAGCCTTGGCGGTGTAAGCTTACAACGGGAGCCACCACAAGATTGGTCGCGCCGCCCGGGTTAACCAAGGATCGCCAATCAGATGCACATTGGCGTCAGCCTCTTCGGTATCGTTGCAAATGCGCCGGTTCCCATTGGCTCGCGTCCGCCAATCTCGTAAAGACCGACATTCTTATTCACTATGGAATCATAACCGACGTGTGCCACAGGTGATTTTTCGACGTCAACATAGCAGAGCGACTCATGGGTATGGACATTCTCTTTGTTCTGAGAAGAATTCGTGGGAACCTCCAGCAGAATACGCCGTCTACAATTGCGCTTGATTATCAATGCATGTCTCTGAGTAAGGTTGAGGACGATGCAAGTGCCGGACAGTGGCGCTTTTCCTCTTACCAGTTGGAATTGGGTGGGACCACTGGCTGTACAAAAGTATCTATTTTGGTCTTGTAAGGCTTAACAGCCATCTAGGTGTAACAGGGGATCAGGGGTTATGTGTAACACATCCAGCTGAGCATTTGTTTGTCGGTGTGGGCAAACACGACATGTCCCGGTTGTCACCAAAGTACCTGGGGTATTGAAAGCATGTGTCACACCAAATTACTTACTTCTGAAGATTAGACGCTGAAGCCTTGCACCATTCAGGGGTACTCATGCTTATGTCAATCCCCAGCCAAGCGGTAGCGCAAGGGTTCGTGAAGTGACGTATCTCATCACATGTCGCTTACGTTGCTATTAGCGAGTTATTCGTCGAGAAACATGATTATATGCTGCTGACTGCAAGTGGAGGGAACACGGTGGCCGGTATCAGCGGTCAGGGTCCAGGGGAACTGAATCAAGGTGCTGACAGGTAAGCGGCACATGACGAATTGAATAGATGGTTGAACGCGGAAAAAAGATTGTACCGTCATTTAGAAACACATTACGGCGCCGTAGGGAATATAGGACAGGAATTATAAGTGCTAGAATTAGGATGACTGATTTTAGCACGATCACATTCTCATAACTTACACAACAAAGGACTACTTTACTTATGTTTTGATAGTCTCCATTGTCTAGTGTTGTACTAAATCTTCAGTGTCATCTGGGGCGTTCGTAATTTTGGCAGTAAGTTTTCTGCATCATTGTGCAGTCTGATTCTATAGCATTCAAATCATGAAGAGCCCATATAACTTGCATTGAGTCTCCCTATGGCAAGTTTGCTCGCATGATGCAAGATCACCTATCGGGAAACATAAATTATATAACAACTCATGGGGACGTCGCAGTATAGCTTGCACAACAAGAAGCAAAAGAAGTGGGCTTCAAACTAGACGATTCGTATTATTTTCGTAAATAGAAATAATCTTTAGTTCTAGTCACTATATATGTGCAACCTCTGGTAAACGGATCAGCCACGTCTGCATGTGGGAAGCCGTCAGGGAACAGCCGATACTACTTGATTCTATAAGTAGCTGAGTGGAATCAAATCAACCAATCAGATAATGAATGGGCGGATAGTATTATTACATGCACATTCTGATCTGCGAGGCCAGAATGGGAACCGTTGGATATACTACGCTACCTGACGATTTCCCCGCAATTGTTAACGAACAACTCAGACTGCCTGGCTGAGCCTAGCTTGCCCTGTCCTGTTGTCATGCAAGACAAAACCCCGCAGCAGCAGGGGCCAGTCGGACTTTTTGGCTGAGAACTGGTGCGGCTGAAGATTGTACGTTGAAGAACGACGAGGTCGCTGTAATAATGATGACACGTTACCCTTGTCCTACCTTTTCCTAACAACGCGCTGTATCGGGGGCCTTCTATTGATGCCCGTGCTAGAGTCAATCTACCAAATTGTCCATCGATACCTATTCTAGAGCTATCCACAAGGGATAGATTATAGATTTATGCGATGGCTGCAGTTGCGTTGCTCGCTCCTGCAGCCCCGCAGTTACCTGGACTGGTGCAGCAGTAATCACTTTCCCCTTAGCTATGAGTAAACAATACATTCTAATAAGTGGACAGAAAATCAGAGAAGCTGTGGTCTGAGGCCTTGTCAAGCTTGAAGTCTGATTTGAGGGAATCACTTCTCTCTGTTGAGGGAGACCGACGTGCAACATTGGAAGTCGTCCTCTTCGAAGCGAGGAATAAGCGAGAGATAGCCATGCGAAAACAGTGGAAGATTACCAAGAAGAATGGCGACATCATCATTTTGCGTGATGTTTTCGAAAAGATCATTCAGTGGGTGGACAAGTTCAAGGCTATTGGAGACACCGCTATGAGTGCCGCTCCGAGTTATGCGTCTATCCCTTGGAATGTTGTGTGTGTTCTCATCAAGGTGACCATCAACGAAAGCGAAGAGTTCGCCGCCATGATTGATGGTCTCCAAGAAGTCACCAACGTGATTGCTCGATACGCAATCTTTGAAAGCATATACCTGCAACAACACACGTCTGCTACGGAACACCTCGAGGCTTCATTGGTAGCGCTTTATGCTGCAGTCTTATCATTCTTGGGAGAAGCCGACGCACATTTTGGTCGCAATACCACTCGAAGATTCCTTCGATCAACGCTTCGGCCAGCATCCGAGATTGAGAAATCTTTAGAGCTGATACGATCTAGACAGACCGAGGTCGACCGTACAGCAAACATTGCCGGTATGGAAATTCTCCAGAACACGTCAACGGCGATGCATGAACTGGTGACAATGGTTGGAAACCTGACTCTCCAGCTAAACATTACCAATTATCGACTGGAGCAGATGCATACGAGCAGAGTCTCGAGACCAAAGTCGCCGACTGAGTCTCTGAAAAGCGTGGTTACTTCTATCATGGGTCCAACCCAGAGATTGTCGCAAAGAGGCCCAATGCCCCGCGATGATCTTTCTCCAGAGGCACGTCGGATCATCTTCGATTGGTTATCACCAGTCAAATATCAAACCCATCATTTGGTGGAGACGAAGGATCGTCTACCAAACTCGGGAGCATGGATGTTTCGCAGCTCACAGTTCCGGAACTGGAGAGACTCGAGTATATCCGAGACTTTATGGCTGCATGGCATGCCCGGATGTGGAAAGACAAAATTGGCGTAAGCGCAAAACTGTATGCTCAACGATAAAACTACAAGGCTAACTCTGTCCACTTCCAGCTCTGCTGTCATTGATTTGGATCTAGGAGTTGGTAACGCCCATACTTCCAACGCTGCTCCCCTGGCCTACTTCTACTGTTCTCGAAATAGTGCAGAGCCCGAGAGGTGGGACCCTTCCGAAGTCCTTCGCTGCATCGCCAGGCAGCTATGCCGAGATGATCCTGATTTCTTCGTCTATGAGCCGTTGAAGCATCTTTACGAGAAAGCCGATAAGCCTAGACATGGAGAAAGGCGAATAGACAATGACGCCTGTGTCGAATTGGTATTACAATTGTTGCGCGAGAATCCTGCGACCATTGTCATTGATGCCCTAGACGAGCTAGACCCAGATAGACGACACAGTCTACTAGAGAGTCTAGATCAAATCGTCAAGCGCTCGGCAAATGTCATCAAGGTCTTTATGACCAGCAGAGACGATCTTGATATAAGCATCCGCCTCCGCTCGACCCCAAATTTGTATATCAGTGCCTCTTCAAACCAAATCGATGTTGCTTCTTTCATTGACGTGAAGATACATGAAGCAGTCGATCAAAAGAAGCTCCTGGGTGGAAACGTTCCGCCCGGACTAATTTTGAAAATGAAAGAAACCCTCAATGACGGTGCAGGGGGAAGGTCAGTATAAAGTGACCGCAAACGTAAATTATAATGTTGACAACTGTGCCAGATTCCGTTGGGTTAGTCTGCAAATCTCGAACTTGTGCGACCCTAAACGCATGAGAACTCAGGAGGAAATTCTGCGAGAGCTCGAGCATCTTCCAGAATCACTTCAAGACCTGTATTCAATCGCTCTTCAACAGATCAACCAACTCCAGGAAGCTTATAGACATACGGCTAGAACCGCTTTGCAGCTTTTGCTCGTGGCTGTGCGGCCTATCCCCTGGTCAGAATTCCTCCACCTTCTGAGCGTCAATCCGAACAGTGGAGGCCTGGTTGTTCTCAAGACGGATGTTGTCAGCATGACGGGAAACTTTCTACTAGATGAAGACCATAGTGGTACCCCAAGATTCGCACACCAGTCTGCAAGGGAATATCTCGAGTCGCTCCCAGATTTCGAATCATTATCGAGTAACGCATCTGCAGCACACATATGTTTGCATCACATCAAACAGCCAGGTAATTGGGATTCGAGAAACTTTTCCTACTCATCATTCTACTTGGGCAACCACCTTGGTAAGACACACAAATGTCAGCGAGACACATTCCGGCCAATCTTGGAAGAACTACTGCTGCCCACGCAGAATTTTGTTGAGGCAAATAGGTTCGAGCCTTTGATGCCCGAGTCTGAATTATTCCAGAAGTGGCGACGACGCATCTCAAGCTTCCAGCGAACTGGTTACCTGGGCAACAACCGCAATGTGGACGGGGCGGAGTTGTGTCCGGCGACTATGGTATCTACTAAACCTATATTTGCCATCTGCGCTATGGGCCTGGCCGAGTTCTTGCCATTGCTCCCGCGCAAAGTGCTACAAACTTACGAGCAACCACAGCTAGATTTTGCCGATCTAAGTGCAGTGGGTTATGAAGCGCTACGCCAGTATCATATGCGCAGTTCCCTCGAGATTGCCATCCTGCTCCATCAATCAGATATTGTGGCGACCTTTCATCAGCTGGGTCTTGACATGGATCGTCTTGGTCCTTTTAATGAAAAGCCCGTACACCTGGCAGCCAAGCTAGGAAATAACGACATCCTCCGTCTTCTCCTGAGCTTTGGCGTCGATCCCAACTCGATGATGAGTCTCGGAGTTGCAAGGCCAGAGGAAGACAGCCAGAATACAACTAGGTTGGACGATACTAATGACGAGCGGCGCAGACCAGCATCTTCCTTGGGGTTTCATGTTCGCGTCAACAACCGCAGCGAAATCCGCAGCCCTTTCTTTTTCAAGGAGGAAAGTCTTTCCATCCTTCACTTGGCCATGCACACATCCAACGCCGCCCAGTGTATACAAACTCTCATTGAGTACGGTGCTTCCGTGAACCTACGAACCTCCAGAGATGTGACACCTCTCCAGCGCTGTCTTGAATATGGGAATTTGAAAGTCACTTCTGAGGTCTTCAAGATTCTCTTGGCAGCTGGATCCCGCCCCAACGATGTACTTCCAGGGGGCCAGAGTATAGTTCACGTGGTAGCCACAATGGGTCTCTCCAACATCACCCGGCTTCTTCTAGAGGCAGGAGCAGATTGTGTCACTGAAGACCATCATGGCCAAACTCCCTATGACCTTGCACGACGCATGGGTAACCATGAAGTAACCGCAATACTGGCTGTTGTGGACGCTGAATACCGGAAAACGCACCCACACAAGTCTCATGAACTATTCAAACATCATTCGACTTCTGATATCCCACTGTTCAACGTCGAACTAGATGACTCTAGTACTACAATAGCTTCCGATACCCAACCCGCCGATGGAGAATATTTAAGCCCCAACACCCAGTCCAAGCGGCCAAAATTCCTCACAAAATTGGTCAACAGAGAGTGGGGTCGACTAACATCTGGACGATGAGCTGTTCACTTCTGTGTGCTGGCCACGCGTTCTTCCACATTCGCAAGGTTTTGAGTCGGCTTTGAAGTGTGGACTTGGACTGCTACTTCTCCGCTATTCTAGATTCGTGACGTATAAATGTGTAATTACTTGAATTCTTTCGAGACAGCCTGTGTGATGAGAGTTTGGTTCAAGTCGCGTTCAAGCGGGGGAAGATTCCGTGTAGTAGCAGCCACAAACGCTCCAAATTGCCTGGACACGCCACGCGCCTTGAAAATCTAGTCTCGATAGGCAGACAACAGTGACATGATCCAATTTCACCTGAGCCAACATGCGAAGGGGAGAAGGAGATCGAGGGGATATTGCAAAGATGTCAGAGTTGATCCTACAGATCAACAAAAGAGGTGCTGAAGAGCTATCGAATATACCCGAGCAGGTGATCTGTGGTGGGTACTGACTATTCCAGGGCCACATCATCCCACATTGACTGGAGGGCGTAACATTGAGATCATCTGAGAGTGGTATGAACGTACATGAAGTGGAATTGTGCACCAGGTGAATGCTCAAGGCTTTCCAGCTTGCTTTTTAAAGCTGAGACCTACTGCTCTGAGCCGTGCTGCCAAATCGAGGACTGCCGCACGGCATTCCCCAACAAAAAAAAAAAAANAAAAAAAAAAAAAAATACAAACCAGCCAGTGGGCCAGCAAAACCAGATATGCGAGCTCGACCAGATTAGAATTTCGGAGAAGTTTGTTAAGTTCATATTTTAAAAGTTTCCGTTATGCACCCCGACTGTTACGAGTGCGAATGCAGCCAAGTCGCAAGCTGGCACTGTACGGTCTACTTCGGAATTGTAGTGCTACAGTATGTTGGACGGTACATCACTAGCAATTGTGGAGACATGTACAACAGAATTACAAGTCACATTCGTTCAATGGCAAGCACCGCAAGTTCACAAGTACTATACTCTGCAGTCTTCATCGTGTTCGTACTGTAAGAGTGCACGGGCCATGACGAAAACCTTTGAAATATGCCTTCGTATAGTATCTCGATGTATTTAAGGTCGCAGTTAGAACTAGGCAATTGCAAATTGAATTTCTCAGCTGCAAGCAAAATCCTGGGACTGAAAGTGAAAAGCATATTCAATTAAGGAGTACTCTGTATATGGGCGGGGTATGACTGGTCTTTGAAGCGACAACTTTCGACGGTTTCAGGAAGCAACACTTATACACAATGACACTGTGTCACCAAAACTACTATTTCGATTTACAAACAGGATCGTTACAAAACACCATTGGCCATGAGAGATGGACTTGTATCGCTATCAACCTTTACCGTCGGACCTCAGCCGCCCCATTCGCCTTTTGCAGATCCTTCCGAGCAAAGAAGAACAAGCGCCGATGCATTGTCGGCTCATATTATTTGACCTGCAAGACCCCGAAGGCTTACGGATAGGAAACCATCTTTACGAAGCTTTATCATTGAATTGGGGATATTCTGAAGAGACAAAAACAGTTTCTATAGAGTCTGACTCCCTGTTCATCGAAGAAGGCCTCCATGCGGCACTATCTCGTCTTCGACATCGGGACATTGAACGCCTCATGTGGATCGATGCTATTTGCATCAACCATGAGGATGAAGAGGAAGTAGCACTCCAGGTTCAATACATGGCAGAGATCTATGCCAGAGCCAGCCGCGTTGTTGCCTGGCTCGATGAGATGACTGGTGATCATCAGACCGATTCTAAGATGCGCAAAGAAAACCACCAAGCGCTTCACGCAATTGCCTCTGCCGCAAGTGGCATGTCGTTGCAATCTGGTCGTAGCAATGATGATTACGAAATGGCCATGAACCTTTGTCTCGGTGCATGGTTTCGTCGCGTTTGGGTAGGCAATCAATCCCCCAAACAATACGAGCTGCTTTAATTGATAGCGAGATGGCAGGTACTGCAAGAAGTTACTGTTGCACGAAATGTTACGTTCATGTGTCAGTCGATTGAGATAAATAGCCATGCGTTATGCCTGGGAGTAAGGGCGATACTCGATGATAGGCCGCCCTACTCGCTTCCTGGCATCATTCATCGCATAGAAGCCGGGACCCTTCGACTGGAACCTGCTGTCAATTCGTCTGGCGAATTTACGTCCCAGTGTCACCCTCTTTCCGACCTTTTGGAAGTTTCTCGCCCTCACGAGGCATTAGACTGCCGCGACAAGGTTTATGCTTTACTTGGCATAAGCAGCGACGCACCGCCTGGCCTAGTCCCTGACTATAATATCTCGTGGGCAGATCTTTTCAGTCAGATTGTGAGGTCTATGCTCTTCAAAGATGTTGAGGTCACCACGCGCGAGGATTTTCCACTGGCACTGATTAGAGGCAAAGTCTCCTGGGTAGGAGAAGTCACCAGGCTTCAGTTGAGTGATGTTTGGCATAATCAGTTGGAGATAACGGTCCAACCCTTTCCCCAAACTTCTAACAAAGATCGCGAATGGACATTTCATTTACCGGTGACTGCAAGGCCAGTGATGCCGGGGGATATCGTCTGCGAGTTGCGAAATGCGCCACATCCATTAATCCTCAGACTTCACAAAGACTTTTGCGAGATAATCTGGATTGCAATCACCGCAATTCATTGCAACGCTCTTTGGAGCCGCTTTGCAACTTCTATTCCTCCCAGGAAATATTACGATCCAATTTTCTTGACTTGGAATTGGGATATGAAAGCCGCCGTTGGAAAGGCGGCGAGCAGAAGATTCTTCCTCCGTCAATACTTAAAAGAGCAAGGATTTTCAAAGCGTCAACCCATGTACGCGCGAGACCTATACTTGCTGGGAACTATATATGCTAGGCTTGGACGAATCGACAATGCAATTGAGCCATTTCAGATGCAAATAGTAAAATCCGCACAGGTGTCTAAATCGGTTGGCTTCTGCTCGCTCGATTCGATGTTCTGGTTGTCTTCTTTGTACAACCTGAGAGGCGGCGACGGCGATGATCAGCTATCTGCATATTGGAGCATAGTGTTGTCGTCATTCGATCGAGGGAAAGACTTTGAAGAACTGAACGAGATACGCAGAGTCGAGCTTGCATCGATGCCTGATGAAGGCCCAGTGTGGTTCCTCCTCGAGTCACAAGGAGAGCACACCAACGTCACTGAAGGTGTCGTGGCAGCAGCGGCCGCAAATGAGAAAGCTGGGGAAGGAATCATGAGAGTTCTCCTGGACTTCAAAGGAGATACACTCCCGATTACCGACCTGGTCATCAAGACGGCTACACGAAATAATCAAAGTGGTTCAAAGATCATGACACTTCTCCTCAACCACGAACTGCAACAACTCATTATCACGAATGATGTCCTGCGCGAGTCCTGTATAGACGTACGACTGCTTCTTCTGGGCTGGGAAGGTCGCCCCTTTACTATTGCTTACGATATTGCGACCGTCATTGTCAGCTTGTATGAGATTCATTTCGATAACAAGTCTTTCGACGCCCGACAGCTTCTGACGCTCTTCGTCAAGAGACACGCGGGGCCAATTGTTGTTGATATTGGGTTCATTCACATCATCGCTGACCTGGAGTCACAAGGCGCGGAGTATCCTTGGGATCATCGTCATTCTAGCTTGTGCTATGATATTCTTGACACGCTTCTGGGTTGGGAGGGAGATGAGATTACCATCACCGAAGATGCTTCACGGACAGCCAAGGATTGTTTTCCAAGCTTCTGGGACGTCGATATGGCAGATGCTACGTGAGAGAGACATGCAGCTTCGAGCTCTTCTAGACCATGTACATGATTGATGATACATAATGATGGGTGTCTTGATTGGTATTAATACAGAGACAACATTCATGGTAGTCATTGGGAAACTTGAGCTGTTCAACAGGGAGATTTGAAGGAGTCAACCCTTTTTATTTTCTTTATTGACTGTATTGACTTCTATGTTCATAAATCCTCGTATTTACCAAAGCGATTTTCCAAGTCCGTGACGGCATTGATCATGACATCGTGCCAGTCATACGTCTGAATCTTGCTCATGCGCATCCGCGTGTGAGCCTGAAGCTTTTCAAAGTCCCGACCAATATCCGGGTTGAGAAACTTGACAATCTGGCCCTGAAGTCGGCTGCTCTCGACAAGCCACTGAGCCCGTTCTCGGCGCACAGAGTCGTAGATTTTCAGTGCTTCAGTCACACACTCGAGAACTGGTACGGTGCTTCTATCCGACTCGGTCAGAGTATTTACACGCTCTATGAGAGCAACTAGGATCGCTGCGTCCTCAATGCCCATGGCTGCGCCGGCTCCGTGGTGAGGAGTCGAGCCATGTGCAGCATCACCAGCAACAGCGATTCGACCGTTGACGAAAGAGGCCAGTGGGTGGTCAAGTGTGTCAAATATGGCCCAACGACTGACTCGATCGGGCAAGAGCTGTATCAGAGCTTGAACAGCAGGACCAAAGTCCGAGTAGGCTTCGACGACTTCTTCCTTGTTAACGGAGATGGCATGTTTGCGCCCCTGGGGCCAGTCTTGATCATCCTTGACGAATGCTGCAACGTTGAGGGACTGCCTCTCGCCGACGGGGTAGGTGATGATGTTTGCGTTATCGCCAATGAACATGACTTGTTCCTCAGCTAGCTGTCCCAAGGCTGCATGGGCACTCTTGTAGTCGACCAGGCAGCGAAAGGCGCTTTCGTGAGCATAGTGAGAATAAGCGGAGGGACTTTCGGGTGCAGCGACAACCCGGCGCACTCGAGAATTGATTCCATCACATCCAATCACTGAGGTAAAAATCTGATTAGTTGCTGATGGTCTCTTCCCAGAAATTAGTGTCTTACCAATATCTGCCTGGGCCATCGTGCCATCGACAAATCTCAAAACAGCTTTACTGTCACCATCTAAGCCTTCGATCGTCTCGAGTCGCTTGCCGAGCTGAATCTGGTGTTTCGGAAATAGCTTGACCATTTCGTGTAGCAGCTGCCCTCGATGGCAGTAATGCAAGTCGACTTCGCCAGCCATTTTGATGCCGGGCACATCCTCATAACGCATGGCCCTAATGTCTTCCTTGGTCATGCCATCCACCCAGCGCTGGCTGCCCTCCGCTGGAGGTCCAGCCGTATCGACGGCACCGGCGAGACGAGGCTCGAGGAATCTCATACAGCCGACGACATTATCCGTAAAACCAAAGCCGGCGCTGATCTCCTTGAGCTCGGAGGCCTGGTCATAGAGTGTCACGGCAATGTTTCGCTTGGCAAGTCCCAGAGCAACCTGGATGCCAATGACACCGGCGCCAATGACGACGACTTCAAGCGGTTGTTCTTGATGTGAGGTACTCTTCGATGACGACATGTTGGCGACTTAATTATGTGTGGGTTTCCGAGGTGTATATCTGTACTTTGTGTAGGTGTTGTTGACTTGGTCTGGGGGAAACATCACCACCATACCGTGAATCATCAATTTCTTTATACCAGACATTTCCATGTGTTGTTGTGCCTCCAGCATGTCGGACGGACATTTCCACCTTCCGTCCTCTGGACGTGAATGTGCGAGTTGAGCTGCTGCCGACTGGCGGCTATCACAATCTCCGTGATGGTAATGATTGTATCCCACATGACTGTAGCATGCCACCACCCGCTACGACGTGATACGCCGATGAATTTCAATGAACAACGGGCCGTGCTTGTGCCGACAGTGACGCTCGCGTCTTTCGCGCTTATTGACTACGAGTGACGTCGTCGCTCCAGGAACTAGGGGCCAATTTCCCCCTTACGCTCAACTATATCGGTTCTTCTTTGGAAGAAAAGCAATTTTCTGAGTTTGTCACGTCCAATAATCACGTTTTTAACTGTTTTGTTTTCCTGCACGCAATCAATGACTGGAGCTGGCGGCATGCTCATCGGTGACATATCACGAAAGCAACATATTCTCTTTGGAAACAAGGTCTTGGAGCCATCATGGAGAGAAAACGACGCTTGCGAGCGCTTCGCTTACTGCCTGTACTGCCCATCTGCAATAGTCCAGTACAGTACGTAAGCTGGATCAATCACCTAGCAAGGTAAAGGAAAAACAATTGATATTGTTGCTTTTGTGACGGCCTGACGCAATGTATAGTCCTTTATTACTTGCCGTAAATTTGATTTCTTGTCGATGTTATTTACTTCACTCGCCGTGGATCGCGGAAAGATGCGAAGGTGAGGGTTTGATATCGTACAACTTCTACAAACGGGCGTCAAGAGGAGCCCACGGCTTTCCTTTACGGCTTTCCTTTGGCGGCAAGAGAAACGACTCAGTAGTAGCCGGCCGGTGGGTAAAAAAGTATCGCAATCATTGCTTAATCCAAATAGCTGAAGTTCTAGGAATGTATCTTTGCTATGAAAAAAAGGTAAAGAAACAAAAAAAAAAAGACGACCGACATATGCGACGTCGAGGCAGTCAATTGCATAATGCTGTCGCATTCGCATCTTGGACGGCCAAATCTGAAAGCTGATTAATAATGTCAAACTGATGCAGACCTTGGCCGACTTGAGGGCTGAAGAACTTTTAGGCAGCTGGTTACTGGTGGATGCGCCCGACGCTGGTGCAGCCAGGGGGCACGCATAGTGGATGGTCAGTGGCTTCTAGGGGCTGGAGGTAAGGACTAAAGTCCTTTGATGTCAGCAAGGTGCAGAACATTATGCATTCGTCGTATAATCTGCTCACAAAGACTGTTCTCCCTTTGTACTACGCAGACATCAAGACTCGGAATCAAATTCAACATGCGAGTGCGAGTAGAAAGATCTGATAAGCAACAGATGCTGACATATCGAGTAAGCAGTTTCGACCATAGAGCTGTATTAGGCTCCATTTCACGACGTTGGCCGCCTGATTAGCGCCCCCCAACAGGGTCAAGTAGTGACACAGATACAGCATCTAGCTTGCGTGTGTCGGCGCCGTCACGGGGATTGAATCTCCGACACCATCCAAGTCCGAGCCTATGTATAGGAATCATACTGAAAGTATACGAGAAGCCTCTCATATTCCCGACTGGATGACAAACTCTCAAAGTTGACAAGGACAATGCACAAGACGTACAGAATGTGAAGGTGTGAGGATATGAGAATGTAAAAATGTATATATAATGCTAGAGTTTCCATGAATACATCACGTTGTTCATGCTCATCATCATCTGCAGTCATCTACTCAATCAATACACATCACAAAGTCTTCTGAAGATTTTAGTGCTTCAACATGTCCCACGTCTTGATTCTCGGTGGTGCTGGCTATGTTGGCCTGGCTCTTGGTCAAGCTCTCGTCCGCAGTGGCAATTGCATTGTATTCGCCACCACTCGAGATGCATCAAAGAGCAACACTCTTCTCTCGAACGAGATCACACCCTTGGTCGGGAACCTAAGCGACGCCGACTTCATCAAGACTGTCATTGCCAAGCATCGCATTGACGTCGTTGTCGATCTCTCGCAGGCCTATGCCGACGCGACCACGATTCTCAACACTGTCGTCGAGGCCGCCAAGGCGAGAGCCTCTGCGCTGGCCGCCGACGACTCGGTGGGACCCAAGCTGGGCTTCATCTACACCTCGGGAACCTGGGTCAACGGGTCGACCAGAGACCACCAGGTCAGCGATACCACGGTCCCCGGTACCTCGCTCGCCGTCGACAAGCCGGCCACGGCCGTCGCCTGGCGCCCAGCTCACGAGCAAGCCGTGCTCAGGGCCCGCGACGCTCTGGACGTGGCCGTGCTGCGACCCGGGGCCGTCTATGGTCGCGGCTCCTGGGTCTGGGGCCTCTACTGGTCCAAAGTCCTCGCCGCCACGCAAGACGGTCAGTCTGGCGAAGACATTGCCATTCCCGCCGACGCCGATACTCGCACTGGCGTCGTTCACGTCGACGACATTGCCGACGCCTTTGTCAAGGCCATTGGCAGCATGCACAACCTCGGCTCCTGGCCCGTCTACGACGTCGTCAGCGAGACCGTGTCGCTCACGGTCGTCCTGGAAAAGGTCAAGCGCATCCTGGGCGCCACGGGCAAACTGTCCTATGTCGGTACCCACGGTGATGCTTTCCTCGAGGCGCTGGCGTTGGTGACTAATGCTTCCTCTGCACGGGCAAGGATTGAGCTGGGGTGGACCCCTAAGCGAAGAGAGTTTGTGCGCGATCTGCCGCAGTTGGTGGCCGCTTGGCAGGCTTCCCAGCCTGGCCAGTAATTTTGTAGCCATCGTTCAAAAGTCGCGTACTTGCATCATGTAGAGCTTATTTGATTGAATTCTTAATGTCATAGACATTTTATTATATAAAGATTACCATTTGCTTAGATTCTTTGAGATTATACAATATGATCACAATTTGTTCATGATTGAAGTCCATATAAGACCGTAATCTTTGGACAGCTCCGGTGCCAACTGACTAACAAACGGCGCCACCCATAGCTTTGAACAGCACTGGAAATACTATTCACAATCAAAGATTGTCTAGGCACGAGTATTGAGGACACTAATGGCATATGTGGTAGGACGGTGTTTGGAAAGAATCTGAAAAAGGCACTGGATGCACCACGGTTTGGAACAAGGACTGATTCATTCCGTGTTCATATTGAATCACCAGTCGAATACTCGGACTAGACCGTGCCAACAGTTTAATCCCTAATTGGTTTGGTGCAGGGCATGTCGAAGACCTAAGGCTTAGGCTTCATCCAGGTGGAACTCTATGTTTTAGCGCTCGGAATAAGGCATTGGATCTTGCTCCATCTCCGACGATCATACACTGTGACTTGGGATGTTATAGCGTGCTCAATTAGTAAGAAGCATTGATTATACTAGGATGTGAAAGGTCTAAGGACTGGACGTTTGACCCGGCGACCGGAGGACGGCCGCGCGATTGATTGGCATGATACGCGTCTTTACAACACTCTCTCCCACCCTGCGATTCGCAATCCCACGGCTTCTCCTCAATTTGAAGTTCGCCAATTCTTGCATGTTGAGCTGGCCCGATACTCTGCTAGCGGCATACCGATGATATTCTCCATACTTCATCAGGAACGTAGAGCTTTTTCAATCGCACTCAATGCAGCAAAGAGATCATTATCATGATATTTCCTTGCACAGATCTGGATATTGACGGGCGCCCCTTCGAAATCGCCTTCCTCCCATAGTTCGCGCACATGGGTACACTCGTGGCTCAGTGGTGTTTGGTTAGTGTACGTCTCTGTCCCTTTTGGCCCTGCCTTGATTGGCGTCGGAATGACTACACCGGGAGCGTCGACATAGTTCCAGAAACCCGTGTAGTTCCAGTAAAAGGCCGTCTCGTGCGAACACGCTGTCCCGACAAATACTGGACAAATGATTATGTCCACGTCTTGTGCATTCCAGTGCTCGGCAAAGTCGCACCGGAAATCGTCGCGCAGCAGTCGATGCTTGAGAACTCCAGAGCTCCCAATGTCGTCCCCCTCTGCATCTCGTACGATCCATTCTGTCAATGGAAGCGTCGGCTCACCGGAAGCTCTGAAATGATCGCGCAACACCTTGCCTCCGTCCGGATAATAGGCGAGGCGCAAATTCTTTATGGCTTCGGCCACCTTGAAGGGCGCAAAGTCTTTGACTTCAAAATCAGGATGCGACTGTAGACGTTCTCTTACCCATTGCAGGCCTTTTGTGACTGGAGGCTGCGGCTCAATCACACCGTCATTCATCATGAATCCAATCTTCAAGGGAGTCTTCTTCTGTTCGGTAGCCAGACCAGTCCAAGGGATTGGAATGATCCGTGGGTCTTTGAGGTAAGGCTTGGCGCTTAAAATGACGGACATGAACAGATCCATGTCCCGAGCTGATGTGCACATTGGTCCGACCGAGCACAAGACATTGAGCTCAGCTGAAAAGCCTCCTTCCGAAAAGTCCTTCATTGGCAACGTGTATGACGTGGGCTTGAACCCATATATACCACAGAAACCAGAAGGACCACGAACGCTACCACCAATATCGGTACCGATGCCGAGGACGGAGCCGCGCATCGCCACCAGAGCACCTTCACCACCAGTCGAGCCACCAGCACTCAACAGAATGTTGTGAGGGTTAAGCGTACGACCAGCCAGAGATACAGTCTCCAGATGCATCAAGGCCTGAGGTTGCATGGTCTTGCAGTAGAAGACAGCACCGGCTTCGCGAAGGATGGATATCACTAGAATCATGTCAGCCATGTTTCGTAACAAAACATCGTTGATGGTCCGGCAGACTTACTGTGGCAGTCTTCCTTGGCGATTCTTCTGGTATCCCAGGATGCACCAAGCACAGAATGTCCTTTGACGGGAATGTGCTCTTTGACGCTTATGGGTACACCATGCAGCGGGCCAATGGTTTTCCCCGTAGCTGCAAGATGGTCGTCCAACTCCTTGGCTCTAGCCACTGCTTCGGTCATGAACCATTCTCCCAGGCAGCATGTCAGTTGATGGGCAATGATGGCGCGCTTGGCAAAAGCAGTGACTACGGCCACCGAGGTGAGTTTCCTAGCCGCGATAGCCTCTGCGAGAGCCGTTGCGTCGTACTTTTCCGTAATCTCGACCTCTTCCGGTGTCAAGAGTCCACATGAAGCCGGAATGCCGGTCACATCCTTCGGAGGGTTCTCAATCACATCTCGTGGGAGAATCAACTCTTTCGGCACCTTGGCCGCAAACTCACCGAGGTGGCGTCGCTTCAATGATTCAAACTGCGGCGTGCCGGTGGGAAGTGATCCTGGCTGGACGATGGGGAGAGTTGTCGACACCATGGTGTTGTTTGTGCTTCAGTCGAATTTGCTTAACCTCTTCTTTACAAAGCGACTTTGCCAAAGTTGAAAAGAAATGTAGGGGTTGCACGGCCGTAAATTTGATGATGTTTTGGTTGCAGTGTCCGTCAATCTGAAATGGGTCGTATTTCAGCCAAACGTGATTGAAAAGAGGAATGATTGGTTCATGATTATGGTGCAGTCGAGATTATCGGGCAGAATCCGAAAGGCGCGACTGTGGGCTGGTTCCGATGGTGGAAGGCAAGGTGGACGGGAAAATACTTGCTTTCATCAGCAGATTCAATGCAGCACTAAGAACATTGAAGTGACGCCACAGCGGCTCCTTTGCATCGATTTGCTAAGATAGAATGTCTATTTGACTGGACGGATTGATTTCGCATGTTCTGAAATGATGTCAAATGTAGCATTGGTACCATGTCGGGAACCGCCAAGCCTGCAACGTACAGTAGTTTGAATGGCGATGCCCGTCTTGTAACGAAGGTTGTACATAGAAAGAAGCGACCGCAGCCCGCATATCTTGTCGGCAATGCTGACTTTTCGATACTGATATGCTCTTATCATTCTCATTGACCACAAGGTTTCGAGTAAATCGGCCCTACAGCCCAAGCACTAACATAGGCGCTAAGTAGTACAGATTACAGACGCGGGGGTTGTACCTTGGCGTTGAGGTTATCTAAATGGTCCTCTTATCTAGCTGTGGATCGCCTGTAGTGTACAAGGATGCGACATAGCTACAGATTATGTACATTAGACGAAGTGTTCGTACTTGAGCCTGGCTCCGCTGCGTGGAGTCTGATAAGACTTTGAACACATCGGGCCTATATAATATATTCCTACTACCATTTAACCCATTAATATTAACGGTAGTACATGTTATATGTGAAAAAATGGCTGATAAGATTTATGCGCCCTGGCAATTCTCTACAAATATGCATCCTTAGGGCTATATACGATTAAATGTTAAGGCCGTAAATTATTCCATTCAAAAGTAAGTAAGTGTGCTTTGCCTGGCTGCGAGCCCCGAGAGTGATGATCCTAAAGGGTGATCTCTTAATCTATACTATTTGGGCAAAGTGGGGCTATGGGAAAGTGTGATATATAAGAGAGGGCGAAAGCTATTATAGCTGCGGGGGAATTAGGTATATTAATAATACCTAGCGCAGTGTTTAGCACCTAACAAAGTAAGTCACCTATTTGCACCATATTATTTCAAATTATTTATTTTGACCTTTTCATACGCTTCAGCACTCGTATTATTCGAAGTTCTTCATTTGCGAAGCATATGTAACTACTCAATATAATTGTTTATACCCGGATCTCTTAATAATAACTCGCTACCACTAAGGGACATAACCTTTAAATACACGCCCATATCTAAGCCATACTCTAGCTAGCGAAGCTAGTTGAGACGGTGCTGGTTCAAGAAACCATGTTAATTAATGTTATTGTACCTTCTTTAACATTTCCCATAACCCCCCCCCCCCCCCCCCCCACCAAAAAAAACCAACCAAAGCGCAATTTCCAATCATAAAAATGAATCAACGTAATATCCAACACATGATGGTGCTTAGTCCCCAAAAACCGGGTAGCATACAATGGCTCTTCTCAACTTGTTGATCAAATCCGGTCTTTTCGCCATTAAATTTTGCAAAGCTGTGACATGATTGTGTGCAGATAACACCAGGGATTTCGGATCGACGACTTGCAACATGATCTGAAGATCTGAAATATCGGTTCTTTCCTTCACAGATCCCTCACGCTCATACTGAGACAGTATCTTTTCTCGTAAAAGCCACACTGGGTGCATGACAGGAATCTTCCAATCTCCGCTTGATCCTGAATACTGGTCGGGTGAGAAAGTAAGTGTTGTCATTGGATTTGAAGCTGTGTCTGCAATGTTGTACTGTTGCCTGTTTGGCCAGGCTTCGACGTCGAAAATCTCGATCTCCACGAGGTATTCGTCTTTCCCACGATAGATAGGGATCGCAGGAATCCTCACTCCAAACTGCTCAACAGATCGGATGATCTTTGGGTGTTTTTGGACCAGCCAGTTTGAGATGACCTCGGCGTTATAGGATTTGTTTGGCTGAATGACAAGGTCTAGGTCTGAAGTACCACGATATTCAGCGTCCGAAGCCACTCGAACAAGTGAGCACGCGGCGCCACCAATAACTGCAAACTTGACTTTCCCACCCAGGAGCTCTGATATTTTCTGAGCAACTTCCACGAGCTCCTCGGGGGTTAGCTGAGCAGATTGAGGCATATTGTGTCGTGGGTACAGCGGCGAGAAATAGTTAAAGAATAGTTGAAAAAGGGTAGAATGAGAAGTTAAGGTACAATGGTGAAGGTCGAATAGGAGTGAATGATGGATATCGAGACATTCCGATGTCCTGTGATATGATATATATATACTTGCTTTGTCGTCGCCAGGAGACCCCCGAGCCCTCAGCATGAAGGCAACGTATTAGAACACACGCCATTATGGAGCTTTAGTCTGCCATTGTTGGTTCTTCCTTCGAATCACCAGGGAACAAATTGCTGAGCGATTCATCGCGGCTCGCATGTTGGGTTATCACAGTCCTCCTTCAAAAATCAGATCACCATACAGGCAATTGGGCCTACGCGCGCGCGTGGAATATGAGAGCAGCTATTGACCCCTGCCTCCCTGCCTGGACTAGATCCTGGCGGCCCAGGAACCACGACTTTGGTTCATGAGGAAATACAGCTCCGGCAATCAAACCTCTTCTATTCGCTTCCTACAGAGCTTCGTACCTATATTTGGGTGCCATGTTGCGGGGGATCAAGCGCGCGCGACAAGTAATGGGCCGGGCCATCTTTGTCAATCCCAACTCAGTATAATTTAGTGGACTCTCAGAATGATAGCAGGGACTGTCGTCTAAGCGCGTGTGACAACGGGGATATCTACATACGCCCTGCGGCTACGAGGCACATGAAAGCCGTTGACGCCCGGGAGGCGCCCCAGGACCTTCCGCGCCGCTGGGGCCTGGGACCCCGGCAACCTGGACTGCAACCTTGGAACCAACAGTAGCGGATAAACTTCGGCACCATGACACAACAAGTTAGCGGGTAGCTGTACGAGTTACAATCATGAACAACCCCGCCCCTCATCGATCACCGTTGCGACATTCGATGCCCAAGTTCACGTACATCCAGCAACAAGGAAACTTCACGCAACATTCGTCGGAGCCAGTTCTCTTCACTCCCACTCAATGGATTATCTAGCCGAAGTCTTAAAACCCATTCCACTGGTGGTCTGGGGCGGACCTGCCCTACAACACTGTGGGGTAAGGGCGTTTATCCGGGTAAGTGCTGCAATTTCTATCGTAGCTTCACAAGACATCGCGTATTTCAGATATTTATACGGAAGCGTCAGGGATACATCTTCATCGTCAATGAATGCGACCGCGACCTCGCTGAGACAAAAATGCTTGAGGCCGGATTTCGTCGCGCAAACTGGTCATGGGTTTCCTGCGACCCTGCCAAGTTGCAAACCCTGGACGACAAAACTCAGCGTTTGCACGAAACTTGGATACCAGAATTTGAAGACCTCGATAATAATTCCATCCGTTTCGCATTTCCCGCGGGTTATGAGAGGATTGGCAACGAGCCTGTCGCTTTTATTCTTCCTTCCTTCGTTGGTCTTGGACCGCCACGTTTAGGAAGTATGGAAGCAAGCCAAGGCGAAACAGAGCAGGAAGGAAGGCCATCGCAGCGAAACGAGATATCACAGGCAAAAACACTACTACAAGACGATGAAGTGCTCCAGGAAACCCCCCCGCCTGCAGAAATCAAGCCACTTCCAGAATCTGAGTCACGTCTGGAGCCACACCCGCTGCAGCCAAGGGAAAGTTTACTCGACACAAAAACGTTACCAGACCTCATAAATCCGGCAAATATAATGCAACCTCCCGAAGAGCAACCCCACGAGGAGCAATCCCACGAGGAGCAACTCCACGAGGAGCAACCCCACGAGGAGCAACCTCACGCGCAACAACCCAACGAAAAAGGTGCAACTGACGATCCCAGATTCACATGTGTAGACGGCTTCCTCTACTATCCGACTCTCCCAGTTTTACTTGAAAGCCTTATTCGCGCTCGACTCCGTATTCCCGAGGACACATTCGGTATGTGGCGATCGATGCTGGAGGTTTGGGCCATCTCCTATCTGTGGGGGCAGACCATGGCACCCGAGGATGTTCTGGACGGGATCGAGGACGATGATATTAAAGCGTGGTTTAATAAGGAAACCAAAAGATTCGAAGGTGGCATAGACCGGGTAACCATCACCAAGAGAAAGGGACGACTGACAGGTACCAGACCAATAGTGGATATAGATCTATAAAACCAGATGTGACACCTGCGATACCCAGCAGGCCCGGAGGCGTATAGAGGCGGAGAAACTGTTGTCGGGATGAGTTAGCTCGCAAATATGTTATGCCTTGGGATCATGGAAACGGCTCTCTTATCTAATCGTGGATCGCCAGTACAGGGATGCGACTTGAAAGTGCCGGTGCTAAACCCCGGCTCCGCTACGTGGAGTCTGATAAGACTACCGATGATCACATCGGGCATACAACACATGTTCCGATTGCCATCCTACTCACAAATATTGACGGCATGTGCTGCATGGTAGGAAATGGTTTGCAATGTGTGTGCGCCCTCACAAGCGTAGCCTCGTGCCATTGGGGTTATTTACGACCAGACCTCAATACGGTCATGTTGGTGATGCAAATGCTAGCTCCTTGTATCATGTCTAGCGGCTGCATGTTGCAAGAAACGGATCGATAATATCCCAGTCGTGCATGTTATCGGACGCATGAGATCGGCACAATAAGTGTTTTCCAAAAGCCTAACCGGCAGCCGGCATTATGTGAGGAGAGCAATGATCAGCGATTAGGATGCCTGCGACGACAGCAATCGAGCCTTCCACGGCAGTTCCGATGATAAAGATATCCAAGTACACACCTGGCACTTATGCTTGTAGTCTTTTATAGTTGCTATTCACCCAGCCAGATCCATCTGATGTCCAATGATGCTTTCCGTGAACGCCATAACCTTCAGTCACAACGTGCGTGGTGCAACACCTGGCCATAGCCCTTGGCACAAACGGTACTCCTTCTCTTCTTTAAAAACTGGCATACTAGTGCTGCGAGCGCGCAAGCCATGGCATCTCACATTGAGGCTCCCGATGTGACACCCGGGACGGTCCACCTCATCAACATGCCCGAGGTAGCCGCGTCCGGAGGTGCCATAGAGCTCGTACCGCGTCCCAGCGACGATCCCGAAGACCCGCTCAACTGGACTCCGCAACGGAAGCGAATGCTGGCTGGTATGGTTCTCTGCTATACCTTGGGCATTGGTTTTCCCTTGACCCTCCAGTATTCCGTCCTTTCCGACATTACTGCAGATACCGGCATCACGACAGCTGCATTGGTCCAGGGAACGGGCTTGATGTTCCTCTTCCTTGGATGGGGCTGTCTGTTCTGGCAACCCATTGCCCTGGCTTATGGGAGGCGCGGTGTGTATTTGATCTCGGCACTGGCCTCGGTACCGCTCATGGTCTGGACGGCGTATACCCGGAGCGAAGGCGAATGGTATGCGCACCGCATCATCATTGGCTTCTTTGGCGCGTGCATCGAATCCTTGCCCGAAGTCAGCATTCCGGACGTCTTTTTTGCGCATGACCGCGGTACTTGGATGTCACTATACGTATTTACACTATTTGGCTCCAACTTTCTTGCGCCGCTCTGTGCAGGCTGGTTCGCCGAGGCGTTCGGATGGCGATGGACGATGCACTTTGGCGCCATCATGGCAGCTGTCACGTTCATAATTCTCTTCTTCTTCATGGAAGAAACAATGTATTTCCGCACCACACTGGAGGGTCTAGAACAGGCTGCGGATGAAAGCCCCGCCACATCAGAGAAACCTGTTAACGGGGAAAAGACGGGAATGTCTTCACCGACAGAGACCTCTTCCGAGCCTCCAAGAGGTGGACCTTATCAAGCAAAGACTAAAAAGGGAATCTGGGCAAGCCTTAAACCATTTAGACTTCTTGCCGGACGCCCATCCCTAAGCTCCATGTCTAAGTCAATGTTGCTACCGCTGGTGATTATTGCACGATTCCCCACCGTGCTTTGGGCTGGCTTTATCTATGGTATCAATCTTTCCTGGTACAATGTGCTAAATGGAACAATTAGCCCAGTCCTCAGTGCCGAGCCATATGGATGGTCAACCGGTGCTGTTGGCTCAATGTATGTCGGGCCTATCATTGGTGCCGCCGTCGCCTGTGTATGGTCAGGCATCGTGGCCGATCGCTTCGCTATTTATTTGGCAAAGAAGAACAAGGGCGTCCGCGAGCCCGAGCATCGCCTGTGGCCCCTTGCCATGTCCTCAGTTCTCTCGTGTATAGGCTTGATCATCTGGGGCGTCGGTGCATACTATGATATCCATTGGGTCGGTCTGGCCTTTGGATTGGGGATTTTGACTTTTGCTTGTGTGACAGGCGGGTCTATTGCATTATCATACAACGTGGACTGCTTTAAAGATATTAGTGGACACTCAACTACTTCCGTAATAGTCATACGTAACACCATGGGTTTTGCGATATCATACGGAATTACACCCTGGTATACAAATATGGGAATGCGAAACTGTTTCATCATGGCTGGATTCCTGTCATTGGGGTGTACTGGGACTTTCTTGATAATGATTTGGAAAGGAAAGTCTCTGCGAAGAAGGTCAGCTAAGCAGTATTGGGACCTTGTTGGAAGAGTTCATGCTCTTCTATGAATTGGGAAGCTCCCCTGTTCGACGAGGGGAATAGCATCATGGCAAGCTAATGAGGTACATGAGATAGTGAAGAGTTTCATACCCTGAATTGAATGATTCGGCCATTTTCATTCTTGTCACGTCAGTTTCACACTTCTGACTCGAGAAGGTGCATTGAGCATTCGTAAGCAGAATCAAATGAAAATTATTGATTGCCAAGGACACGGTCACGGCAAGGTGAGCACTTGCAGAACAGTTTGACTAAAGTAACGGGTTTGAGCCTTCCCCGGATCTGCATGGTGTTTCGTTGCAAAGAGTCTGGACCTCATACCAAGGCTACCTAGATGCCTAAACATCAATCTAGAGAAGTTAATCGTTATAATCACGATTGCGACTAGGCTTGATCCAGCTGTTGATAAAGACAAAGTCAGCCCGAGAAGCAGTCATGTGCTGGATAAGCGTAAGATTTAGGCCGGGTGTTGCCGTTGGAATCGATCAGGACACGGACAGTATCTAAACCAAACGCTCCCCGACTGATGCGCTAATTCTGAGTCTTCGTCTTCGTAGTGCCCTTCCAAGCAGAGAATCAGGTGAGACATCCGATGCTCAGGTACCGAGTCAGATGTCTCAGTCTCTTCCAACCCATCCTCTGTCGCGCCGAACACAGAACCCCTCTAAGCAAACAAATATTGGAAGCAAATCCGGGTTTTACATTTTATAACTAGCTCAAATGTATAAGTCTTTCGATGTTCGTGGTGAGTGAAACTTGGGTGAGAATATTGTTAGTCGTAATACGTATCTGTGAGGTGAGTAGATGGTAGCATTACAGCAGCGTTGGTCTGGCCAAGACTTTCTAGACCGGTCTTCGCTCTCGTAAATGTATCCAGGATCAAATACATTATAGAAAACAATCATTTCATTCTTTGCCAAGAATACTGTATTTTTTGCAATATAGAGGGTTGCATTCACGTGATGCGAGTTCGCGTTGTCCGTCCTTTCCATACCGTATACATGGCGTTTCCGAGTATAGAGAGCTTGAACTGGATTCATTTACGCCATATTGGAGTCTTGGCATGAAGTCGGAAATTGTAAGCGCGGGAAAGACAGAAATGATAGCTGACTGGTGGCCGGACACACCGTTGCGGCAATGCGGAAGCCATGACGCAGGGCTATACATGGTGAGAATACCAAGCTATCAGCCCAACTGACTCAGATTTGTATGATAGCTGCAAAGGTTCCATCTACCTGGGTCGACGGTCACAAGCCACATTACTTCGTTGCTCTAAAAATAAGTGCTTGAGTCTAGAACGATACAAATCCGTTGGGCTAAACAAGGTCCATGATTCGTTTCCCCTGACTAGAAGCATTCTAGAAGAAACAGCAGCCACTTAGAGAGAGTACCGACTGAATGGTTCTCAGAACAAGACCTCGATGGCCTTGTGTGACCTTTGAGATGTAGCGTCAGGTTCGGGAATCACCGCCATGGTCGTGAAGATGGCAGCGCCGTGTTCCTCATGTCTGGTAGAGAAAATGAATATATAAGGAGGTCGACTATCCGCGCTTTTTCAACCATCATTCATCATCACACAATCAAACAGTCTTTCAATCTATAGATCCCATCATCTTCACTACATCCCAATAATCCTTCCACAGTCACTTCAGATATCTGACATTCATTCTCAAAGATATCTCTCCTTCCCCAAGTCATTTAACATGGGCCTCTCACTCTACATCGTTGCTCTTCTGAGCTTGGCATCACATATTAGCCCTGCCCAGGCAGCTTTCAAATACTCGGACGTCAAGCAAGTTATTTCTTTCGGTGATTCCTACAGTTTTGTCCAAGGCACATACGGACAGCCCAACAAGACATTTATTGGCTCCTACACTCAATACGCCTACACATCCACACAGCTTTTGAACAACAAGATGGTACAGAACTTTACCGGCACAGCAGAGGGTGGAGCAAACTGGCTCCAGCGTCTGACTGGCTGTGGAGTGCAAGACGGTAGCTATTCGCCGGCAAACTGCTCCATGTCCCTCTGGAACTTTGCATATGCCGGAGCCTCCGTTGGCGATCAGTGGCTGCCCAGACACAACCCATACACCATTCCTCTGGTGAACCAAACCTCGCGGTACTTGACCTATGGTGACCCGGTTCTGCGATCCAAGGCCAAGATCAACAAGAGCACGGCCCTCGTCACTATCTGGATCGGGGTCAATGATATCTTTGACACGGTCACCTACAAGCCATCCAACATCACCAACGAGGCATTCTGGGCAAGTGAGATCGATGGCGTGTTCCAGCAAAGCGTTCAGCCACTTTACAACAACGGATACAAGAACTTTCTATTCATGAACTTGCCTCCTCTCGACCGCACTGCAGGAAACCAGCGCTCATCCACTCCCTACCCCTCCAAGGCCCAAGTCAACTCTTGGGGTTCCATCTTGGCCAACCGTACCCAGGCATTCCAAGCCAAGTACTCCGACTCCAAGGCTATGCTCTACGATGCCAACACTTTCCTCAATAATGTCTTGGACAACCCCAGCAAGTATGGCATCACCAGAACCAACTCCTACTGCGCTGCATGGAACCAGATTGGTGTCCTGACCAACCCTGCCTCATATGGCTGCTCTTCGCTGGACAAGTACTTTTGGTACAACGCTGCACACATGTCTGTCACCACTCACAAGGTCATGGCGGCTGATCTGAAGTCATTCCTTATCTCTCAATCTTCATCTTGATCTCTCATTTCTAAGCATCGCAAATCTTTTTGTACAGAAAAACTGGAGTAGCATTTGTTTTACCTGGCTGTCCGGATTGGTAGCACAGGATCGCCTATCATTGAGATGAATCTTTTCTTTTTCATATTCATTACCTATAGACAGCCTGCATAAAATGTTGTTGTACATGTATCAGATCCATAGAAGAAGAAAAAACTCTTAATTAGAAACTTAGCAAGCAAATCTACCTGTGTAATATTCAGAAATCAGAAGTGAACTCTTCACGATCGAATCCTTGGTGTACACAAAACCTCTAAACCAATAGCTTTACTGAGTTTGAAACTGTTTCATATCAGATTACCATAGGGTAAAATGAGCTCACTTTAAAATCAGCCCTATTGCAATGCCAAGGCCTGTGGGTTTCTTTTGCCGCAGGTCATGAATAAGGTTGTCTCGGCAGCAACCTTCACTCCCCTCAATGACAAAATCTCGGGAGAAATCCAACGTTCAATAAAGCTAACAAAATACGCCTGGACAGCATATGATGACTTCTCGCCACAAGAGAGCGACATATGTTGGATGGTTTCTCGCCACAGGTGTAAAAATTCATCCTTTGTTGCAGGCAGCCTTGGGCCACGTAGCTGCGAGCGGTATATCTGGGCGACGATGGTCAGCCCGGCCGCCAACGCCGAGACAGAGTCCGGGCGTGGCCTGGCGGCTTGGCTTTGGGCTGTCCGCCGCAAAGTATTGCCAAATTACCTACGACCAATCACCTGCGACGGCGACGGAATGTTTCTGAGAGCCCCCTTGAGACACACTGCCTTATCACTGTGGACTGATGAATCATGACCTTCACGATAACTCTTTTTTTTTTCTCTACATGCGGTAACAAGCTATACAAAAATGTGCGCTCAAGTCCCGCGTAATCGCAAATCGCCTACCACTGCCCGATGGTCACTTAGATAAATGCCATTGTCAAACACATTTGGCAGTATCGCATATCCAAGCGGCGACCAGGGGCTCGACCCCGTATCTGCAGAACTCCCATGAGGACCAAACCAAATGTAGTCTATCCTGCCCCGCTCCTTTTGCCAGTCCTCGGGCTTGAAACCTGTAAAGGTGACATCCTCACCGTATCGCTCGGGTGGCGGAATCTCTTCATGCAGATCGCGCAACCAGCCGTCATCCCTCAACGAGAGATATGCCTCCTGGTCAGGAAAGGAGTTGAAATCTCCCGTCAGGAACACACCTAAAGGTTGTCCCTGAGACCACTGTTCGTGCACTCTGCGCAAAGTAGCAAGAATGATCTTGACGCTCTCAAATCGGCTCTCGGAGCTTTCGTTGTCCAGATGAGTATTGGCTGCAATGTGTCGCCTCTTGGTCTGTTTGTGTTCAAATACGCCCACGGTGAGGATTCGGATACTTCCAGCCCCCCATCCCTTGCTTGGCTTGTCGGGTGTCGGGCTGAGCCAAATGGTCTCATTGTGCAACAAGTCGTATGTCTGAATGGGATAGATGATGGGGCTGTATTCTCCCTTTGTCGCTCCGTCGTCCCGGCCTACGCCCACGTGCGCCCAGAGCGGCCCCTGCGCAGGCTCGTCTGTCCGCTGGTCATCTGGAACTCTGTTCAACGCTGCAAGTATATCCACTAACTGGTTGTGGAGAACCTCTTGAAGGCCTATAAACGCCGAGCCATGTGCGAGCGGTTGAGCTGTTGACACATTTGCCCCCGGTGAAGGCGTTTCCAGCAGTCGTACCTCGTGCAGAAGCTGGTTGGTGAGTACTGGCGCGCGGTCCGGCCAAAGCTTTTCATTTGGAAAAGGTGAGGAGGTCGCATAGCGAATATTGAAGGAAATAACGCGTAGCTGTATCGGAGGTCCATCATCGCCTACCGGGCTCTGTCTGGCAAAGAATGTCTGAAACGGGTTCCACGTAGCCATGGCTAATTACGTCCCAAATTGAGTGAAGCTATCCAGACTTTGATTCAATTGGCAGTTATTCAATGCTTATTCGAGATTGCTATTCATCGTGCAAGGCCTCGCAGGAATAGGATGAGCAGACGAACATTCCGGATGTCAAACGCCGATGTACCCCGCACATGTCACAGGAGATCCGGTCCGGGCAACCAATCAAATGGCTGCGAATACACTGAATCCAGAGGGAAGTATAATTTGGACAAGGACAATATAATGAGCACTACAAAAAGTGCCAGATTTTACCATGTTGCGCACTCGGTATTATACAGCCATTCCGTCAATAGCACGAGGCCGCCGCCGCGTCTCCGGATGCAACGATGACCTAGGAGATAACGGGTAGATAAGCCAGTGATCAGCAACAAGATAAAATAATCCCAAAAACTCCACGTCCCCGCATCTTGCTCAGGTGTGATTATTCCCGAACCCTCAACTCTGCCCTCCCTGCAAACCAGCAACTATCGTGGACATCAAATTGTGGCCATTTCTCAATTGTGTATTCGGCAATGGATGATGTGCAAAGTATAGCGCTTTCCAAGGAGGAGCTGGAACAGGGGCGTTACGGTACGGGGACTTTGGTCAAGGTCTTGAACGCAATGCACCAAGATGGACTTGTGGTTTTGAAGGACGTCATACCTGTCGAGGTTATCGACAAACTCAATGCAAAGATGTGCGAAGACGCCGAAAAGAGGATCGCCGACCCTAGCCAAGGATACAATCATGGCATCAAATGTGAGTTTCTGGACCTCTCAACTGCAGCATTTGGTGGAAAGACGCTAAATGAGCGGCGCAGCTAATATTCTGCAACGGCCACCAATCTGCGATGCTCAATATCTCAACAAGGAGATATACTTTAACCCGTTTTTGCTGCAGGTTGCCAACGCGTGAGTCTAGCTCTTTTAACGTTTAGTACAAATCAGCAGTGTATTTGACCAATGCTCTCCAGCTATCTTGGACACAAACCCATTTGGAACTGGTTGACTTCCAATGTGGCGTTGGCAAACACTGGCGGCATCCGTCAACCCGCGCACAAGGATAGCCGTTACGTCCACCCCTTGTTCCCCTACTTTTTCATCGCCAATATTCCGCTTTGCGACTTTAGCATTGAAAACGGCGCCACCGAATTTTGGCTCGGCTCGCACGCCCACACCACGTCGACCGACCAAGTCATGCCGTCGACCCTCGAAGATATCAAGCCCTACCCGGGAGGCAGCATGGATGACCCTCTACCAGCCATATCAGACGAGGCCAAGTCGCAGCGCACGCAAATTCGTCCACCAATCCAACCGCTCTGCCGCAAAGGCGACATCATGATTCGGGACCTGCGAACCTGGCACGCCGGAATGCCAAACTCGAGTGCAGAGCACCGAGTCATGTTGGGCCTAGGCTATCAGGTAAGTGAAACATTTCAGCCCCGGCCGTGATCAGTGGCACGCAGCAACACGATTAACAAGTGTGCAGAGTCCCGCTCATGGAAATGAGTCAATGCACGTGCATCTTCCAAAATCGCAAGAGCAATTCTTCAAGAGTCATGACGCAGACATGGTGGAAGTGCGGGCAAAGTGGTATGAAGATGACGAGTTGGCCAACACACAGGCTGATACCGTCTTTGACACGCGGCCTTCCTACTTGAAGCGAATTGATGAACTAGAGCTCTGGATATGACATTAACATTTTGAAATTGAAATGCGTTCTCATTCGAGGTCATCTGTTGGATAGTTGACGAATGTAATCTGGGCAACACACATGGGTTCTCAACCACCCTAGATGCCCCATGTCTTTCTCGATCTCTTTTTATCGCTTGATTACCTATGAACAGTGCTAGGCCTTGTGGGAATGTTCCGTTGACCGTGGCGAAAACAGGCACTTCAACGCCGGCTTCTTCCACAACTGTGTCAGTCGACAAGTGTTGGGCCAATCCCCCGGGTCCGTTGCAAACTTCCAGTCGTACGCGTAGGCAATCTTGGCCAGGGTGACCCTCATCTCCAGCCAGGCCAAGTTCACCCCGATGCACATCCTCGGCCCAATACTAAACGGTGCCGTGTAGGGTTTCTCGCGGTCATTCTTGAGCCAGCGCTCGGGGTCAAAGGTGTGCGGAGATGGGGCGTTGAGAGGATGACGGTGCAGGCTCATGATGTCGGTGGAGACGTAGGTGCCTTTGGGAACGTAAATACCGTCGACATACTCACCTGGTGAGACGCGCGGTGGACCTGGAGGAACTGGAGGGAATGTGCGCATCCTATACGATTGGTACTTTCGTCAGTCAAATCTGTTCAGCATATTGAATTCGAAATTATTCAATCCAACGTACGTTTCTTCCAGAACCGCATTCAGATATGGCAACTTGGCTACTGCATCGCCGGTAATGCTCTCATACGAACTGAATGCCTTGTCCAGCTCAGTGTGGAGTTTTTGCTGGACATCTGGGTGCCTGATAATGAAATAAAAGGCCGTGGTAAGCGTTGTGGCAGCCGTTTCGGCGCCAGCCATAAGAAACAAGGTGGCTTCTTGTACCATCTGCTCTTCAGTCTGGAGCTTGTTGCGGATGACATGAGCAAATAGATCTTCGCGGCGGTTAGAATCGCCAATCTCGATGCGTCGTCTCACTTTCTCAAACGTGAACTGTTGGTGCAAGGCCAAGCTCTCCAGAGCACTCTTTGGAATAAGCCATGGCAACAGATATTGGAGGATGGGCGCTCGCTTGGTCATTGCCATGACCGTGGTGCCGTAGAGCGCGTTGAGGAGCATGTCGACCCATGCGTGCGATTGAGCTTTCTCGACGGCACCGAACGACTCCCCAAAGGTCAGATCGCCTTGACAAGATCATGTTAGTCAAATGCATAAGATCAGCATACCACTATGCGACATACCTATAATGTCAAATGTGAGCCATTCCGCAGCTCGTGCCATGTCAACGCTACCATTTGCATTACTGAGGCGCAGTAGCTGTTTGACGAGCGTGTCGATATGTAGGTGGATAACATCTTCCTGATCGCGCAACGCCTGTGTTCTAAAGGCCGATTGATACATTTTGACTTGGCTTGCATGTCTCTCTGGATCTCTTTCGTAGGCCATGCTAGCATTCTTTCCTCCATTATCGTAAAACCTTTCAGACTTTACAAAAAGCTTTTTCTGTTTTGATGGTGGGCCGTATATGTCTTTTACAGATTGAGGTGTTGAGAAGGATAAATCGTTTGGCGCAACGCGTATAACATTTCCTATGTATACGCAATGGCTGATCAGCCGCTACATTAATTCGTTAAATATTTAAATGCACTTACCGTATTTTCTATGCATTTCTTCCATGATAAAGGGGTAGCGGCCACCCGTCCATGCTTTAATGTACCAGGTCTGCAGATATGAGAATCGGGATGATGTTGCAATAAAAAAGGTGACTGACCTCTGATAGTTTTGCCAAGAGCGGTCCGGGATACTTGGACAATGGGTGAAAATAAAGCGAATAAAAGCACCAACCCGCAAAGTACAATACCGGCTTGCAATGGTCAGCCAAAGTCACGAGGATAATTCGGCTCGACTTACCAAGAGGAGCCCCGCGGCCAAGATATAAGTAATTTGCACCATCATCAGGACTATGGCATGTGAGTATCGATCGTTGGATTTGTATGGAAATATTGTGCGCGAGGAAAAGATTTAAATCAGAAAGTGCAATTTGCTGAATATAATGAATCCAAACAACGACCCACAAAGGATGGAAGTGATTGATCACGACTGGACCTCTCCACCAAATATAAGGGGTTATGCTCGGCAATGTAACCCTTTCTCCAATTTACATTCTTCAAGGCAGCCATTCCCGAGAAAAGCAAGCACCAATGGTGCGCCTTGTCCCATAGTATGTGGTCCATCATAACCCTTCTATAATCGGGCAAGACTGCAACATGATGTAACGCATATGCCGGTCTGCAGCAACTGAATTCAGGCTCTTCATTTCATTGGTGCAATGGAGCGACATATCTGTGTCGACATAACGGCACAGGCTGAGTCATGGCCATACACTGTACACGTTGTCAAGTGCAGGCGTTGTGCGTCCGTTTTCAGCTGCAGTGGGTTGCAGTGCATCTATGTCCTGGTAAATGTGAATTTTTTATTGTGCAGACCATCCCCAATTATGTATCATCAATTATGCATCATATACCCTTGTGCCAGTCATGAAATCCAATCAGCGACATCATGCAGATTCTGGTGCAAGGGCTACGAATGTACACAAATGGAATACATTCGTCACCAAGACATTGAAAAAAATAATCCAGATAATTATTCGGCGGTAAAGAGATTTCCTATGTAACTAGCCGCGTTAACGAGGCCATTTCAAGATAACTACACCAACAGTCACAATTGACGTGCTGAAGCTCTTTGTTGGGCATCAGAAAACTAATCAACTGTTTCGCCCTCGCACTCTGTACAGTCCTCGTCTACTGTCCTTTGCCACAGCTCATCGGTCTTTCCGATCTCAGCGGTTACCTCGCCCTCGCATATCCCACAATCCTCTTGTGCCGTCCTTTGCCATAGCTCATCGGTCTTCCTAATACTTAGAAGAGGATCCGCCTCGGAATCTTGTAAATCTATGAGTACACTAGACACAAGAGGATGTTGGGCTAGATGGGGACACGCACTTTTGAGCTTGGGAGTTGGGGCCGCGGTAGCGACAGCGATCCAAGACAGGAGCAGGGCGACCTTCATTTTGTGATTGTGATAGGAAAGTTTGTGGAAATGTCAAGATGATCTTATTGTGGATTGTCGTAGATAGAGATGCAAAGATGAAAGAGAATTCATTTGTTCGAGGTATCAGTCATGGTTTATATACCTGTAGACAGTCCGAATTTCGCGAAACCTGCCGAAACGGAGTAAATGAGTCGTACTGCTTAAGAGGTTGCAGAAAATACAAAGACCAATGACAAACATGTGCCCGTACTCTTTATACGATGCTAGAAGGCTGATTGGCTTTCGAGGCGCCGATGAGACCACAACCCATTTGAACGGCAAATGTAATCTCCAATGAGGTCTATGATCGCCTTGTTTTAAATACACCCTTGTTGTCCGGTATAAGTATTTGTCAAGCTGTCGTTGGCACCCTGTTCCAGCAGGCATCGTACAGATGTGTCAGCCATTATTTCGACCCGATAGCTACTGAAATGCAGGGTTGGATTGCCACGAGATCCAGTCGTGATACTTTGGGGACTGGAAAGTGATATGCTGCCTACTATTGAATCTTTGTAATGCGAGATGAAGTCTCCGAGGCCCTTGCAATTCTGCATATGACACACTGGAATGATGAGTACTAAGTTCCCATAGCATGCAGTCCAAGTGAATCATGATGTCTGGACGATTGCTATTATTCACAAAGGTTCGCTCTCCCTTAGCAAATATGCCCCTAGGACCTACGCGCACGCAACTTCCGTCACATGCAGCAAACTTGTTTTCTTCTTCTTCTTCTTTCTTTTTTTAATCTGATCTCGGACAGGGGACAGACACGATGAACATTGCGGGATCCGTGCAATTCAACGTCGATTAAGTAGGAGACCAATGGATCTGAAAGCTCGGACTATAATTCGACAGGGATGGCACATAATGACGTGTAGTAGCTTTCACTAATATACGGTTCTATACACAATTGGGCGCTAATCAAATGCAAATGGTTGATGTTCTTGTGCCCTGGTGGCGTCGTCAAATGCAATACACCAGCCTTTGGGGCTCGTACAAGTAGGTATAGTTGTGTGCCCAATGTCACGCGGGCCTAACCATCTATGCGACATAATAGGCAATATGAGCCAACTCCAATCTAATCGCTCCTTAGCCACTCAAGCCTGGTACAATGCAAATCTTGTCCGTTCAAAGGATAGGATTGATTATCGTTCTGACGTTTTGACCTGTGTATCTACGTAGTCATTCTGCCGGGCGAGTGCAGTTTACTAAAGAATTATTGGTTATTTGCTTTTTAGAAGGTGTGGTGTTGTTGGGAGGAATTGGACAAGTCGTGCCGCAATGCACATGTTGCATGAAACAGGCTCGACAGGCGGATGAACTCCAATATCATTGCCAAGAGCGGCCCGGGATGCTTGCATGTGGATAATGGATCAAGGCAAAACAAATAAACGCACCAACCCGCAAATAACGGGTCAAGACTGTGGCATCAGGTAAGGCATATGCCGGGCGTAAGCATCTGATGTCAAAAACTTCATCCTATTGGTAGAATAAAGCAATCTCTCCATGTCGACGAAAAGGGGGAGGCTGAAGCGTGGCCATACACGAGGTCAAGTGCTTGACCATTTCTGGTTGCACTGGGTTGCAGTGCATCTAGCTCCTGACGAATGCCAATGTGTCCCGGTGCAGCTCGTCTCCAAATTTGAAACATATAGAGCCGGATTCGCTGTCAGTCATTGCATCCAATTAAAGATACCATCCAGGTTCTGAGGGCTGGCTTCGCCTTGTGCGCGTAACAGGTCATGAACAGACCGGGCCATTCAAACGTTGCCGGGATGCGTGTGGTGTACGAACCTAGGTACACCCGCGTTTGTTTCTCTTCCGGGCAATATCCGACGAATCAGGCAAGTCCGGATAACAAATCGCCTGCGCCAAGGTCCCACGTACGAATGTTCCATTTATTGATGTGTTGGCTTGAGTTGAGTATGGCTATACATTGCGAACGTGGCGGTAGTTTCGCACATGCGTTGGTGGGAGCAACCGATCGGACGCGCGCAATCTTGGCTTGCAGATGCAACAATAACTGGGTAGGTATCGGTGCGAGCCTTTGAGGCGGGTAAGAGAAAGGGGAACAGGCAAAGACCAAAAAATAGTCGTTATACCGAAACATCCGAAAAAGGGAAAAATGGATTTAAACTCAGTTTTAATGTTTGCGCCTTAAGCTGGTATAGCCGTAAGCATATGGCGATTTATATCCCTCAGCTTTTTTTATCGGTTTCATTACCGTACTAAAAGTCATTATAAAGTAAAAAGCCTTTTAGCGTTTATATATCCCTTTTAAAAATAAAAGTCGTTATGGTATAGATTATCCTCCCATGCATATAGGTCCTAGTTCGTGATCGTTTCCCTAAATTGCCATCTAGCCTGGACCCCACTTGTCATATCGTATCCTTTATTTACAAATGCATATATAGGATTTATAAAACACTGACACGAACGCTGATAAGGTGTAAGAGGTGCTGAGGAGGTCGGCATAAAATCCCTCATCCAATATTCCCATCGCTGCAAATTTTCCCGTATATTCAACCACACTACCTCTTTGTCTTTTTTCATCATTGGGAACTCCAATGCATCGCGGCGCAAGCCCCATGTCTCGTATGCACCACCAAGGATCCATTGCGTCAGCAGGGCCGCGTTGAGCGAGTCCACCCCTTGATGGCCAGTGTGTCGCACGTGCCGAATCCGTTCAATGTTGCGGCGTCCGATCAAGCCAAAGAACCGGAGCATGGCTTCTTGCCGTCCGTCAAAGATGCTGTGCGCCCAAAAGACGGGCATTGCTTCGGCGCGGATCTGGCGACAGGTCCAGACGAGGGCCGGCTCGGGGATACGCGGCTTGTGTTTCCGACGACTGATTTCGATCACGGTCCCGCCTAAAACGTGTCGCCAAATTTCCAGTCGCAACTCGGCTGGAAGTGCAAGTAGCAGAGAGCACGGTATAGGGTCGTGGCTGTTCATTGCTGATGTTGTAACTATATCAAATGTGTGTGCCGTGCGCTAATTTGGGACGTTGATGATGATTTGGTAGTATTTGTTTTGCTATACGAATTTGACGAGTATATGTAGTTAGTTCGTAGCTCCAAACAAGTATTATTTTAAATGAGTCACACGGCATCACCCCTTGCCTTTAATTCAGTAAGCAAAAGGTGGGTTATATACGTTAATTACAGGGTACCGGGACGTCAGGATTTCCAATACAGTGCCGGTTAGTGGGGTTTCTCCAGGCCTCAGCCACTAAATTCTCTCTGTTATCCTTGCTCCAGAATGAGCGGCTACAGGTACAGATATCTTTGGACCATGGTGAGCTTCTTTAACAAGACGAACGCATTGAAGGTTAAGAGCAGTAAACAGATGGGATTGATTTTTATTAGCCGTGAAAAACACTTAATGGGTAATTTCTAGAACTTAGTTCCTTACTTGGCCGGATAATCAGGCCAGTGTATAAGCAGTCTTGATAATATCCGCAATCTGATTTCGTTCGTTAGTATACAAAATTCCGCGACGCGAAAAAAAGAAAACAAGAGTCGAAACACTTACTTTTTCACCCTGTCCATATATCGTGGCCGTAGGGGCCGCCGAGATAATCATGGGCCACGCGCTAATGTCAATTACACGGAGCCCCTGTACACCATAGACCCTCAGTTGATCATCTACGACTCCGCCAAGATCTTGGGGCAACATTGCAGCAGTACAGCACTGGTGAGCGTTGCTGGGATTGATCTGCTGTCGCAGCACTGCTTTGATATCATCGTCATCCTGTATTCCCTCACCAAATGGGGAAAGCTCAATTGGTCCCAATTCTCTCATGGAAGGTTGGTTAAAAATGTCCCTGTGCTTGCGAAAGAGTGCCAAGGTGAAATCCAAGTCGGCGGGGTTGGTCATGGATCTCCAGTCGATCACAGGATTGGCCAATGGGTTGGTACTGTTGATGTTGATGGTGCCGCGACTGAGCGGTTTGACAAAGTACAGTGTCGCCGTCGTGGTTGTGCTCCAATGTATCTGCCCGATTGGTGACGAAGAACTATTCAGCTGCCCAAGAGTAATCTCAAACTGCTTCTTATAGCCATCCAGTACAGTCGAATCGATGTCAGACGGCAGGTAAAGAGCCGGATCCTCACTATCAATTTCGTCAACGATGCTTTGGCAGTCACTCGTGGCATTGCAGAGGGCGACCGATGCAATGTTGGTGCTCAATGGGTGAACAATGGTAAATGCGCCCAGACGCTGCTGCTCATATAGCTCGAGCTGCTCGGCACGATACGTTGCATTTGTATCAAGAGATCCTTGATTCGGAGTTACATTATTGGTGACTGTAATGTGAGCATATAGCCGGTCTTCAAGCGTCGCTTTACTTACAGTTGTATGAAATTGTTAGAGTCGCGTGGTCTTGTAAGTTTTGACCGACACCTGGCAGATCGGCCAATACTTTGACACCCAATGATTCGAGGCGAGCACGAGGGCCGATACCTGAAAGCTGCAGTACTTGAGGTGTGTGAACACCTCCAGCTGCGAGTAGAACCTCTTTTGTTGCCGTGACTTGTGAAACATTTCCGCCAGCACTGGGCAAATACTCGACTCCAATGGCCGCGGTGCCATTAAACAGAACTTTTGCGACAGTCGTGTCAGCCAAGATATGGTAGTTGGGACGCGCGTCCTTGACCCTATCATAATGATTGATGCGCGCATAGCTTCTCGTCCCGTTGACCGGGTCAAGGAAAGAAGACATGTAAAATGCCCCCTTGTTGTCACCGCCATTGGGGTCTGGTGCCTGACTGATGTTTGCATCAAGTGCAGCTCGCCACCAATTTTCTGAGCCGTCAGTATATGGAGATCAACCTAGACTATCTTCAAGAATCAGGAAATATCAACTTACCGCTTCCCGGAAAGTGATAAGAAGGATAGGATCCCTGGACCGGGCCAGAATGACCATGAACGTCATCTGCATACGAAATGTTTGCTTGTGCAGCATAGGTTGGATCTGGGTCTGTAAAATTCTCGCTCTTGAAACTTTTAGTTGACGTGCACAGGAATTATTTGGGAGAATGAGTACTACCTTTTTGAAATAGGGCAACATGTTGTCCCATGCCCAACCTTCATTGCCCAGAGTTACCCAGGCACTGTAGTCCTCTTTTCCCCCACGGGTGTACACCATTGCATTGACAGCAGATCCACCTCCTACAACACGACCGCATACCGAAGAGAACGAGATATTGTCCAATCCAATCTGTGGCTCACTTTCCAACCCAGGCCAAAAATACTGAAAGGGCGGGTAGTCTCCGGGGATCAACACATTGTCCTCATACTGATCGAACGGCCCGGCTTCAATAACCAAGACCGAGACTACATTGACATTAGCAATCGTCACATGATGCGCTGCATAGAGGGGTCATGCTAACCAGAGGAGTCCTCGGTCAGTCTATCGGCCACCGTCAGACCTGCGGGGCCCGCGCCCGCTATAATGAAATCATATTCCGCATTCACATCGCGACGTTCGATTGCAACAGCATGGCGGGGTATAGTGTTTCCCCGAGCAAGCTGTAGACAACTGACTGCCCATGAAAGTGTATGCAGAAGATTCAACTTGGGCATCATGGCCTCCTGCTGTTGGTATTGCCAAGATCAGGAATCAGATAAAGTAGAACTTGACAAGTTTTTGTGCGAAGAGGATGCTCTTCCAGGAATCTCGAATTGGCAGATGTTTTCGCTGGCTGCAAGGGCCGTCTGTCAGCCCGCATGACAGGGTCGCATTGAGAGGCAAGCGAGTGTTCCTTGATCACGTATTGAGTCAGGTCACAACGGCGCATTGCCTACCTTGTCTTTTGCCAGCCATCTTCTTTTTGCTGCTGCATCAGCATCAAGTCACCTTTGGGACAGCCAAGACAGCATGCAAATGGAGAACTCGTGCGAGGGGGGTATTGCTATTTCGTATAAACTCAAGCAATGCAGCTGCTTTGTCTATACAGGATTTGCCGATTACCGAGAGGTTCAGTCCCCTACGCAACGAATGCCATGGGTCCATATTGGCTAAGATACTAATAGCTAACAAGGCCAATTTCGTATGCCTTTATTTGCAGCGCCAGACACTGTGAGAAATACCTGCAAAGGGGGAGATTGCCGCCCATGTACCAAAATCCAGGATGACCGCTGGGTCGCCACATGGCTCTGAACTCGCCCTCTTCATCAAGGCCCCAAACATCCTTCAGTTTGTCGGCGACCTGATCACCAAACATGGCTCTAGCCTGCGTCCTCATATTTTGGTAGCCAGTAGCGAAGATGATTTCGTCTGCGGGTAGAATAGACCCATCAGCGAATTTGATGCCGTCTTTCAAAATCTCTTCGACTTCTTGCCCATGCTTGATGGCGATCTTGCCGTCAATAATGAGCTGGCTGGCTCCAACATCAATGTAGTAGCCGCCGCCACGTTGGTAGTACTTGTATAAAAGTCCCGCCCGACTGGGTCCCGAGTCGACTGCGAAACCGGCTTTTTGCAGGCCCAAGAGTGTTTCCTTGTCCCTTTCATTTTGGATGACGGCGAGTTCCTGGGAGAGCGACTTGTGGTAGGCAGCGACCTGACCCCACATGATGATGTCGGCATCCTCTACCGGCGGTCCGTCCTCGGAAAAGAGCGGCTGGAGAGCCGTCTGGACAATGGTCTCGGAGGAAACAACGCAGGTGGAGGAGCGTTGCACCATGGTCACGTCGTAGCCGGCCTTGTAAAAGTCCTCGGCAATGTCGTGGCCCGAGTTGCAAGACCCAATGACCACGGCGCGCTTGCCCTGCGAGTTGGGGACCGCGCCGGTGAACTGGGAGCTGTGGCATAGACGGCCCTGGAATTGCTCCACGCCTTTGATTGTGGGAAAGTTGATCATGCCCGAGTGGCCTGTAGCTTGAACAATGTGGCGTGGGTGAAAGGTGCGTGTTTCTTTCTTGTCGCCTACCTGTCGTTCAACTGTGACAGTCCAACGTTTGGCGCTGTCGTCCCATGAAGATGACTTCATTTCTGTACTTGTCCAGACATTCAACTCGAGGAGCGAGACATAAGCCTCAAAGAAATCGGCAAGCTTGTCCTTGGGTGTGAAGATGGGCCATGTATCGGGAAAATTGATGTACGGCAGATGGTCAAACCAGACGGGATCATGAAGTACTAGACTTTGGTATCGCTTCCTCCAATTGTCTCCAACTCTCGCATTTCGGTCAATCATGAGAGATTTGATACCCACCATTTTCAAACGGGCAGCAGCTGTGAGGCCACCCTGGCCGGAGCCTGCCAGACTTGTCAGTCGCTAGGATTGATGCAATTGGATATCAAGAGCAACTCACCAATGATCAGCACAGTCGGGTCGTCTTCTTCAAAGTTCTTTTCTGCAATTCGCTTTTCGAACCAGTTTTTGGACTCGGCGCCCCGAACACCACGCTCTTTGCCGTACGGTCGATTTCGACCTCGCGGCTCATCTACCCCAGACAAGGATTTCAAGCTCGTATAGATGGTCAAGACCTTCCAGTCTCCGTTCGACTGCGTCAACCTAACGAGTCCCCTGCCTTCTCCGACCGTGGTTGATACAGAAATGAAAAACATGATAGTATTGACTTTGCCGGCGGTATCAAGGGGAGCGCACTGAGGTGCCCGGTGAGGCAAGGCCGAATCGAGCGACAATTTGGTCACCCGGCATTCTTTTTGGAGGACATTGAGGATCTTGGCGGGCCCTTGTAGCGTTCTCAGATCCCAAGTCAGACAGAGATGATCGCGCCAGAATGAGGCGTCGGTGAACAAATTGGCCAAAGAGGCGTAGTCTTTATTCTCGAGGGCCGCATTGATCTTGCTCAATGTGTCTTTGGCCACATCCTCGAGCGACAGTCCATCGGTCTCGATCGTGGCAGGGTATTTCGCAGGAGATATGTTGCACGAGCCAGGCTCTACACGCTCATCGGTCAGAGTCTTCAACGTGCACTGAGCTGCGTCATCGATCACGTTTTCACCCATGGCTGTGTTCTTCGATATTGAGTGAAGTAATACAGTGTTGATTGATACCGCGAAGTAATGTTGAGTGTAGTCTGGAAGATTTGAGATGAATTCGAGAGCAGGTGATTGTGTTTAAGCCAAAACTTTCTTGTCTCCAGCTGGATGATGCGGGCGTCTTTCGGGGCAGTCCTGCACCGACATCACTTCGCCGAACATGACCTTATTAGTGTTCAACATCTCCACAAAGCTCCACCTTGGCCATTGCTTCTTCAAAGACAATTGACAGATCTACAATGGGGTCCCAGAAATACTCGGTCCACCCCATTTCCCAGCCACCCGATTATATATGCATGCACGACTTCGCTTATACAGAACTCTATTAATTTCTATAGTAAAAACAAAAAAATACTATATATCGCGTCCTTTTATTATGCAGATTAAAATCCAGTATACTATCCACGCGCCAGCTTTACGGCGGTAAGCCGTTTTTCTATAGAATTAATTAATTTAATAATATAACTGCTTAGAATTGCCTCCTACGCCGCATGCAAATAAATGGTAAAATACTTTGTATTTATTATATTTTTCTTAAGGTCCCAGAGCTCTGGGAATATCTTGCGAAGGTTTTTTTTAAGTGTTATCCATATTTATTCGATGGGGTTAAAATTTAGGCTATATAATGGCTAGCCTTCGTAAATAGCTATACCGTATTAAAGGAACCACTGCTTTATAAAATCCGATTTATAAATAAGGGTATTATCCTGCTAGAACACCTGCTAATTTTTATACCACGGTAGAAAACTTTCCTTTAAGCACTTTTAATAATTTTACAAAATAAATCTACGTTACCTTCCCTTAAAACCGGGCGTTAAGTCCCGGGTTATTATTATTAATAGGCTGCGTTTGCCTATATTTATACTATATACTTTCTCGGCCTAAATCGACCCCTAAACTATAATGGAAATATTGGCTTTAATATGGTTTTTAAGGTTTACAAATTCCTTTTTAAATTTCTCGCTCGGGTAACGAAAAACCTACGCGATTAGGCTCGAAGAAGAGTTTTGGCAAAAAAACTCGTCGGAGTAAATTATTTATATTATTAGCTATAGCGCGTCGATAACTTTATATACACGTACCGCCTTCACCTCGTTTAGGTTTTATAATCCCTAATATGCAAAGGCATATCTAGCCCTAGCGTCCTTTTTGGATAATAGGATTCTTTTTTAGGACCTCTATTTCCGGAGTTTTTCCTTTTAAAATTGCCGTCGCACCGTAGATTTAGATATATTAAAAAGTAAACCTCGGATTATATCTTTCTACGACGCGTTACGGTTCCTTTTGCAAATTATAAGCATGCTACGTCGCTAACGGTCCGTAAAACCTTTACGCCCTTTACTAGGTTTTTTTAAAAAAGATTTGTAAAATTTGAGCTAGTTTTTCTAGCGTTAAATAAAAAAGCGGCTGGTACGAAAGCGACGCGCGACTTCGCGTTAAGATATTCTATTATAATGTAGCCCTAACGCAAAGGCTTTTTTTTTCGGGGAAAAATCTATACCGGGCTTTTAATCCCGTAAAATGGGATTTAAGATTTCGTCTAGTTTATCGGCTATTTTAAACGTATTATGGTAAAAAAAAAAAAGGTGTAAATCGCGTATACCACGCGTAACGCGACTTTTTAAATGGGTGGACCGAGTAAAATTGATACCCCACTGTACCCTATAAGAATGCGTGTTCCCTCCGCAAACCGGCTGAGTGAAGCATGAATTTGGAGTAGATTTGGGGGTAATGGCACCCGCTCTGGGGCATCCCCGCCTCCCCCACATACAAAGGTGGCGTATACTGCGGGATGGCGTTGATACAACGTGCTATTCGGCCGACCGGATTCATTGGGAAATAAACATTCATGATAGTACAAATACAAGCATCCTCAAATATGCCAGCCTAGAAGCGGGGTTGAGCTGCGTGCAGTTTTATGTATAGTTGTCCGATCATAGGTCTTTTTGCGCTGGATTGAGATGACAATGCTTATGCTGCCTACCGTACCTATGTATACAGGCCACACAAGCAACGTTGAAGGCAATACTGGGCGTCGATAAGCCATGCCGGGTCTTGATGAAATCTCGGTACTCGATCAATGACTTGATTCGCAAAGCTTGACCATTGAGTAATGCTAGAGAACAGCATAGAGATCCATCATTATTCCGTTGAGTGACGTGTTGTGCAGTTCCCCAGTAGATCCATTCTTTGTCTATTTGAGTAGTGTACCAAGTACGTTTCCACTTTGATCGCTTCTACGACCCCCGCCTCAAGGCAGATGATATGAAATTGACTATTCTCGCGCAGCTGGATCTGTGCGGCATACCAAGAGTGGGAACCCGATGCGCCAAAGGGAGGGGGAAAAAAAAAACACTATCGCTTCACGAAGGAATCGTTGGAGTTTGCTGGCCTTGGTAACTTGGCTACATGCATATGAGCTTCCCTTGCAATCCTCCTCGTTTCCCCGCAAAAAGCCAGCTTTAGAAGTGCTATATTGCGAGGTGCGCCCACGCTAATAGCCAGCCGGTGACTCTCACATAGCAACCAGTTTTCATAAAATAATTGCTACAATCCTGGCATTCCATTTGAATACTTTTGAATCAAATACTAGTAACCTCACGATAGCAAGCACTTGTCATAAAAGGTGTGCAGCTGTTGGATACAGATGTAATGCAGAGGAAGATGTGTTGCTAATGTTTAACTGATCAAGTCTCCACCAGGACTTCCCGTCGCCAAAATTGCCGGTTTCGGAATTTTGGCCGAAAAATTACCTACCAAGGAAATGTGTAGAAAAAATCCCTTTCTCACAGTGACCCCGTAGAAGCACCATTTATCACGAGCACTATTGTGTGACAGCACATTGGTTTCCATTCTAGGCTACCGAAACTTTGAGTGGCGAACGGGTGGGATTCCAGGTCGTTTATTCGTCAAGAAGAAGTGTATAAGAATCCAAATCACGTTAGACATGTCCCCGCTCCCACGGAACTCGGGAGGTTATGGGGAAACCAAGGAGGTCCTATAAGCTTCAGGTCACAATTGTTCGGTCGATCAACTGTCCGAGTCCTGTGATCGGAGCTCTTCCCGGGCGTTGGGGAGGGGTCTAGAGAATGCTTTATCAATGTCTGCTATGCTATATCTGGATCTAGATTCGCTGATGCATGAAATCAAGTAGATAAGTCTACTTGACAATCGTAGCAGTATCTGCAGTAGTCATCGTCGATAACTTCTTCCTGCTTCTGTTAACCCTACTGCTTCATCGAGGACATGACTACAGACGACATCTCCAGCTCTCAGCCATTCTCGGTGAATGGCAAAACAGCTATAGTGACTGGAGCTGGGTCAGGTAGAGATGTCCCAGCTCTTGGCATGATAGATCTTCAATGGCTAACTTGGTATGTGATGTAGGAATCAACCTGGAGTTTGCAAAGCTTCTGGTATCCCTCAACTGCAATGTCGTGCTAGCCGATTTGGCTCTCCGTCCTGAGGCAGCCGAGTTCGTGTCCAAGTACGAGGCCAACAAAGAAGGCCCTCGGGCAGTCTTCGTTGAGACCAATGTTACCAAGTGGGCAGACATCACGCGCATGTTCGAGTTCACATTGGCCCAGTTTGGTGACTTTGACATTCTCTGCCCCGGAGCAGGCGTCTATGAACCGCATTGGTCATCGTTCTGGCACCCTCCTGGGTCATCAGAAAGTAGAGACAGTCCCGACGGCGACCGATACGCGCTGCTTGATATCAATCTCACGCATCCGATCCGGGCTACACAGCTCGCCATGTCGCATTGGCTGCATCCCCGGCCGTCGGCCAACTCCAAATTCCCCACCCCGAAGCCGGTGTCGCTGCAAAATCCCAAGCGCGTGATTCACATCTCGTCGGTTGCAGGTCAACTCCCAGTCTTCCGAGCTCCCATCTACGGTGCTACCAAACATGCCATCTCGGGCTTTGTGAGGTGTCTAGCACCAGTCGCAGATGTCGGTATTTCCGTCACCGCTGTCGCCCCAGGTGTTGTAAAGACGCCTTTGTGGACGGATCATCCAGAGAAGCTCGTCAATGTCAATGAGGGACAAGATGCTTGGGTGACGCCTCAAGAAGTGGCCGAAGCAATGCTCCAATGTGTACAACAAGAGCCAGGAGGTACCATTTTGGAGGTTGGGAGCAAATTTGTTAGGCCAGTCAAGGCTGTGAATGACCCCGGCCCGGATCTTGATCCGAAGCGAGGTCTGGCGACAAGTAACACAGACAAGGGAAACTCCATGGTGTGGGAATGGCTTCAAGACCCCAAGTTTTGGGGCTAGGCTTTAGCGGTATAATTTGTGGCGTTGACGAGGTAATGATATGGTCGTGTTTCCACAAATAGCATGTACGAGGACGCTGTAGCTGTTGAAAAATTGACCCAAATACCACAAAGATTGCAACAATTGATTACAAGACTTGCATCAGCTCTCAATGGCAGTCTCAGTGTCTTCAGCTTGAGCAGCTTTTGCCTGATGGGTGGCCATGAGAGCCGTGCGACTTTTGTGCTTCAAGCCACGACGGTGGCGTTGGCCGTTGACATGCTTGTTCCATTGATCTTCTGTCTGAAGTGTCATGTTGCAGACCTCACAAAGCCTTGCTTCGGCCTTTGGCTTGTTTGATGTATCTTGAGCAGCATATGTGGAAAGAACTTCTTTGGCGGTTTTAGAGACGGATGCAGGCTTTGGAAGTGCACACCCGTCAAGATACGCTTCCATGATATTCGAGGCGGGTATCAATACATTGGGGGCGAAATCTGATGCCAGTGAGCTGTCCAGCAGATACAGGTAGTCGAGCGCACCATGGTGTTTTAGCTCGGGAATGGTCTTGAGGCGAAGCCATCTGAGTTGATACCTTGCGTACTGGCGTGTTGCAATCTTGGTCAACTCCATGTTTTCAACTTTTAGCTTATCCAAGGTATTTATGTCCTCGCCATTGTCCTCAGCCAAAAGGAATGACTCGAATTGCTTGAAACCAATAGATTGCCAGATACCACGGGTGCGGTCAACTTCAACTCCTGCAGCAGTTTTCATACGAAGGTGTTCATGAAGCGTTCTCACTTCACCTATCAAGCCATTCTGCTCCATCTTGTCCACTCGCTTTTCTAAGCGTTCTTTGAGAATGTCTGGGTTTGCATAGACCCAGAACATCAGGGCATCCCAGGATGTATTCTCGGAATCTGCAGCTCCCTTTGCTCTCTGTTGCTCTTGATATATGTCTGAGGCTCTTTTCCCGGTGGTCAGAAAGATCTCCAAGGATCGCTTGATTTTGCGCCTGTCCTCGGGATGCCACCGGGCGCCCATGACTGGGTCAACTTCCTTGAGCTTTTCAAGCATGTTCTCTGTCGGGCCCGCAAGGATCGGATGCATTTTCTCGATTTCCAACTGTGCTGTGAATGTTGATTCATCGTTCTCATCTGGTGAGTCTACAAGACTGTTGCCAAAAAGAAGAGAGCTGATATAGTAGTGCGTCCCGCCTACAACGATGGGCAACTTGCCCCTACTGCGAATCTCACGGATAAGCTTGCTGGCTTCCCTGACAAAAACGCTGACTGTCCAGGTTGGCTCATCAACATCGACCATGGCTAGCAGGTGGTGCGGAATGCCGCGTTGCTCTTCATCAGAAATTTGGTTGGTGATGATTGGTAGACCCCTGTACATCTGCATAGCATCTGCATTGATGATCTCTCCATTGAACCTGACGGCCAAGTCTACCGCGAGCTAAACATTTAATCAGACTCAAATGGTTCCAATGGATTTATAGTGGCAAGAACAAGTGTATCATTAGGAGTATAGTAACATTGACTCACATCTGACTTTCCCGTGCCGGTGGTGCCCATGATCGCCACAAGGGGCTCCTTTGGACTTTGGCGATTTGAAGACATGCTGGCGACATTGCGGACCCTGGACAATTTACAAGCCAAAATTGGTTGCTGCAGTGCAAAATGACCAAATACACTGCAGCGTCTAAACATGAATTAAGACACGATTGCCGGTAAAGAAAAGAGTCACACGATAACAGGAAACGTCTTGCTGGTTCTCCGGCCTTCTCTGTCCACGTCTCGATCTTCTGAGATCCTTCAACAACAAACAATTGGCGCCAAAATTAGCATGGCAAAAAGGCAAAAGGACCCTTGGTAAGAAATGCAGCCAATGAGAATCCAGGGTTAGGATGCTTTTTTTCAGGACACAGTGCACTGACGGTTGAGGCTCAAAATCGGACAAGTCCAGTATTGGGGCAGAACGGGACGGAATAACCTGCAAGGAATCCGACAGGGTGCGCGGTTGAGAAGGTTCCTTCAGCTTGGGGCGTTGAGCTTAAATCGCAAGCATCCGATGGATCTCCGCAAAGAAAATGTCTCAAGGATTGGATGAATCCCATGGAAGCCAGAAGCTTGCCGAAGCTCAGAGCTCCGATTCCACGTTTTCAAGGGTCTGAGCAGTTTGCCCAGTGCCATTAGCTGCTGCTGGCTGGTGGGAGCTGGAGGCTGACTTGCGAGTCACGTGCATCTCCACATATTTGGAGCACCCTTAGAAAGGGGACACATCGTCAATTTGGGGGAGAAGGGAGCCGCCAAAACTGCCTGTGGCTTTCGCTTTAGGCATGGTCCATTGGCGACCAGGGACTGGGACCCGACTGGGGCTCACTATTTTTTAATTGAAGCCAGATCTGTTCATGGCCTCCAAACCCCAGCCCAGCACCAGCCCAGCCCATACTAAACCTCGTGCTGCTAGTCGCGACGTAGCCTTTCTGTCCTCTCCTTTCTACCTCCTCACTCTTTAAAGGCACATCGGCATCTCGCGACTCTCCCTGCTTCTTTTTCAATTGGGAACGCAACAGGTGTCGCTGTGAGCGGGTTTCTTCTTCTCTTCTTCCTTCTTAACTTTTACTCTATAGTATTTCCCACAGACGCATCGCCACCATGTCGAGCTGTAAGTCCAAATCCCCTCCCCATCGAGGTCCCAATCACCACCAAAAACCCAAAAGCAATCTTGCCTCTCTGTGCATCGCATCCGGCTCTGTAGCGGCCTTTGAAGCTTCAGAGACTTGCGAGGACCTTTGCGACGCGCTTTCCCCTGTCATTTGAAGCCATTGAGATGCTGGAGACCACAATGCTTACTCGCTTCCCTCGTTTGCAGTACGATTCCTCGACCTCGTCAAGCCATTCGTGGCCTTTCTGCCAGAGGTGCAGCAGCCCGAGACCAAGATTCCCTTCAACCAAAAGTTGATGTGGACTGGTCTTACCCTGCTCATCTTCTTGGTCATGAGCCAGATGCCTCTCTACGGTATCGTCTCGTCCGATACCTCTGATCCTCTTTACTGGCTGCGCATGATGATGGCGAGTAACCGCGGTACGCTTATGGAGCTTGGTATCACGCCCATCATCACCTCCGGTATGGTCTTCCAGCTCCTCGCTGGAACCCACATGATCGACGTCAACCTCGACCTCAAGTCCGACCGTGAACTCTACCAGACTGCCCAGAAGCTGTTTGCCTTCATTCTCTCCGCCGGTACTGCCACTGTCTACGTCTTCAGCGGTCTCTACGGCCCGCCCAGCGACCTCGGTGCTGGTATCGTCTTCCTCCTTGTCCTGCAGCTCGTTGTTGCTGGCATGATTGTCATTCTCCTCGATGAGCTCCTCCAGAAGGGTTACGGTCTGGGCAGCGGTATTTCTCTGTTCATTGCCACCAACATTTGCGAGTCCATCATGTGGAAGGCTTTCTCTCCCACCTCCATTAACACTGGTCGTGGTCCCGAGTTCGAGGGTGCCGTCATTGCCCTCTTCCACCTTCTCATGACCTGGCCCAACAAGCAGCGTGCTCTCCAGGAGGCTTTCTACCGCCAGAACCTTCCCAACATCATGAACTTGCTCGCTACTCTCGCCGTCTTCGCTGCTGTCATCTATCTCCAGGGCTTCCGCGTCGAGATTCCCGTCAAGTCCAACCGCCAGCGTGGTGCTCGTGGCTCCTACCCCGTCCGTCTGTTCTACACCTCCAACATGCCCATCATGCTGCAGTCGGCTCTGTCCTCGAACATCTTCCTGATCAGCCAGATGCTCTACTCTCGCTTTTCCGAGAACCTTCTCGTCCAGCTTTTCGGTGTCTGGGAGGCCAAGGAGGGTTCTGCCCAGCTTTCCGCCGTTTCTGGCCTCGTCTACTACATGTCTCCTCCCTTGAACTTCAAGGATGCTCTCCTCGACCCTATCCACACTGCTGTCTACATCGCCTACATGCTTACTGCCTGCGCCATCTTCTCCAAGACTTGGATTGAGGTGTCTGGCTCCAGCCCTCGCGACGTTGCCAAGCAGCTCAAGGACCAGGGTCTTGTCATGGCTGGTCACCGTGACCAGAGCATGTACCGTGAGCTCAAGCGCATCATTCCCACTGCCGCCGCCTTTGGTGGTGCCTGCATTGGTGCGCTCTCGGTTGCTAGCGACCTGATGGGAGCTCTCGGCTCCGGTACCGGTACCCTTCTCGCTGTCACGTAAGTTACTTTCAAAGACTCTTTTCCTCAAAAGAACAAAATAACTAATTGTTTCTCTGCAGCATCATTTATGGCTACTTCGAGATTGCAGCCAAGGAAGGTGACCTTGCTGGTATGAAGGGCATGATCATGGGCTAGTTATCCGAATGATCTCCCTCCGGTCCGATACCAACAACTACATATTCTCGACCAGTGAACACGTCACGAAAATCCGATGGTGGGCCATCGAGTGTACAATGTAAAGGGAAAAATATAAAAGTGCATTTACGTAACAGGAAGGCAAGCGTGCATATAGGTGGCTTCTGTCTGGTCTTGTCTCGCCGTGGCCCATAATTGGTGACGAGTGCTACTGCGCACGGGAGACATAGTGTACACGTTCACACAGTGTCTCCAGTTAGGAATTAAAACCTCTGTATAATTACAAACTCGCTAGACTTTGGTGACTCGCAAACCTGTAGTGCATTATGACGACCCTTTTGCCAAGCATCATCGACAATATCCATGGATGATGTCAAGCTATGGGATCCTCTGTGAGACTACTTATTCTCCACTGGTCTTTCCTTGGCCTTGTTGTACAGTCTCACTCTAGTTTTTAGGTCTTCCTCGGCACTCTCCAGCGTGGCGTCGTACACACATAATACTCTGACGGACGGACCTTGCGAGCTTGGGCATTCTTGTGACGTGACAGCTAAGGCGAGCGGCCAGAATCCGGCCCGTGCTGACGACTTCTTTTCGCCGGTCGACCTCCCGCCGTCGGGCGTGGAACATTTCTTGTAGGCGCTCGTGGCTGTTCATCGTCGGGCACGAGACCGCGTAGTTAGAGCAAGGAGGGCGGACAATAGGACTATCTGGAGGCGGAAACATCAAGGTGAGTTTGCTCATTGGCTGCTTGATGACTTCCTCAGTCAGCGCGTCGTGCGGCATTGCCTTGTCCACTAGGTTGTTAAAGTCTAGAATATGGTATTTTGGAGAAAACTTTGAAAGAGTGACTGGGGAAGTAACGAAGAGGTCTTTCTTGAATATCTGTCCAACTTCGCCTTGATCATTCCAGCCAAGGCCATCTCAACTTCCTTGTATGATCGGAAAGGGCATTGTCGATAAATTGTTCTCCTTTCATGATCAATTCGAACATGTAAAAGCCATCCATATCCATGTCGTTCAGGCAGCGGGGGCCTTTTCGTCAAACTATATCCGAGATTGTGCGCCTAATCTAGAATCATCAGGAGACCCTCACCTCTATTCATGGATCTTGTCCATACCGAGTAACACTCCTCTCAAAATTGTGAGCCGCTGAATAAGATGGGAAGTTCTTGAAATAGGCTTGATATGATATCCGTGTCGACAAGAACTGGCGGTGGGGAATTATATTGACGTTGTATCTGGTGCCGGCAGCTGTGGAAGGCTGAAGATGGTCACGACTTGTCGGATCCCACTTCATGTCGAGTATCTTGCTTGGTAGCTCTGGTCTTGACATGGGCTCTTCACCCACAACACAATTAGCTCCAATTTCTATGTACAGAGTAAGGGTTGCGCACATGAATAACGGGGTTCTCTCTGCCACCTATCAATATGCTTGAATTGGCTGTGGCTGCGCAAAATAAACGTCCATTTGAGTGATACGCGTTGTGTCCCGATTTGGGCGTGTTTCGTCATTGGAGGCTTTTGCATCAAGTGGATTGTGAAACCTTGGAAAAATGTGAGGACTCTCGTCAAATCTATAAATAAAACTGTTGAACATTACCTTGTCTTTATCGGTACCCTGTTTGGATTATCTAGTTCCTAAACATTCCTCATTCTACTCGAGACCAAAGGTGGATAGTGTCAAGTGTCCAAAGCTCCAAAAATAAGAATAGAATCAAATTTACAGTGAATGATGGCTGACAAGAGAGGCATAGAGACATGAATAAAGGTGTGGAGAGTAAAATCATACAAAATACATGGTCTGGGGTTTGATCTTAGTCCACTTTCTATGGGAATTATCGGTACCCGCAATAACATTACCGTCAGTTCAGTAACAACGAATCTCTACACGTAATTCGACTTAGACGAGCACATACTCCTGACATTGGACTTTCCATTGCCTTATGGCCATTGGGAACCCGATCCCTGTAGAACCCCTGTTGTCCAATCCCAAAGCTTTGCCGCCAGCGCATTGTCGCGCGTGAGTTTCCCCTCCTCACCAGGTTGACCTATAGGCTGGTAGTACCGGCCGCTCTCGACGTCTTCACTGAAGCTGCACCAAAGCTGTGTCTTGGCACCCTCCTCGCTCGACACTCCCGTCAACCAGACAATGGGTCTGACGACGAAATACCATGGAAGCCAGTGCACTACCTTTTCTCCATCCCATATGCCGGTCCTAACACCACCTGGCTGGAGCGATACTGACTTGATTTGCGGATATCTCTTGGCCAGCTCATGTGCGAAGAGCGTCTTGGCGAGAGCGGCCTGTGCATAGAGCGTCACACCGTCACGGTTCGCCATTGACGTTTTTAGCTCATCAAATAGGATGCCCTCTGGCGCTGCACGGCTGTGCAGGGCTGAAGATACAGCCACGACTCGGACGTCGGAGTCGGGACGCGCCGCAGTCTGCAGCAGCTTGGGCAGGAGAAGCTGCGTCAATAAAGCGTGACCAAGATAGTTTGTCGCGAACTGCGTTTCGTAGCCATCCGTCGATGTGGCGTACGGCACAAGACCGATGCCAGCATTTAGCTGAAGCACATCTAGGCGTTCGGCCTCAAGGTTCACTTTGGCCGCAGCAGCCTTCACTGACTCGAAACTCGACAGGTCAAGGTCCAGAATCTCTATGTTGGCTTTCTCGGCCGCTTTTAACGTTGCCCTGATGCGAGCGACCGCTGCCTCTGCTCTTGGGCGTGATCGTGCCCCGAGATAGAGCTTTTGTGGGTTGTGTTGGGCCAGTGCGGCAAGGGTAGCCTCTCCAAGACCAGAGTTACCACCTGTGACAAGGCAAACCCGTCGGCTCAAGTCTGGAATGTCGGTCAATGGATTGAAATTTGGCTTGTTGCTAAATGGTAGGAAGTAGGACAAGGGCCGCATCTCTATATGAGCGCTTGAGAAACTGGGCGATTTTTTGGTATTGATATATTGCGGGACGAAAGATATTTGGATCTTGCACAGGAGTTGTTTCTCCATAGGTGCGGTCTTGTACATTGTTGTATCGGAGGTAGTGTTAAGCAAGTCTGGCAAATCCGACAGCCGCAGGGACTCCGACAGGGGTGCGACATAACGCAAAGGCATTACATTGCTCAGCACGAATAATTAGTGGTTCCTTCGAGGCCTAGGCTACCATTCGTTGAATAACTCATTCAGCGTAGGCATAGATTATGTAGCTGCTCACGGTTTTCGTGATGATATCCGGATTTACCGGCCTATAATATGAGAGAGATTGAAGCAAAACCGTCAAGGCAGACTCTGAAGCAAACTAACAACCCCTGCCTTTCTTATCAGCAACAGTCCATGGTAACGCCTCGTAGAAACATAAAATTCTAGGATCTGGTGCTCACAGCCGTTTCGCTCCGTCTCATATACAAGAAAGATAAGAGAAAGGGGTATCGGAATAAGAGGAACTGGTGAAGCTCTGAGTCAAATGCAAGTTCTCCTTTGTCTCTCTTCATCCTGATAGGTAGGAGACTGGGCTATTGGATTTTGGCCTAGATAGTATCCAAACTTTTTAGTGACTGCTTTCTCAACTATATTTTCTGCCCAAATCAAGGAAATGTCATTGTAGCCAGCTTTCCGAAATCTGAACAAAACGTCAGTACCTTGAAACTCCTCACCATATCTTAAGCTATGGAATGTTCAATAAGATTGAGTTATCACTGTGTGCTACAGGAATCGTCCTGTGACACGTGATACAGTTGGTTGACACTCAACAGAAAGCTGAGCCATCCCTTGATTTGTGGCTGCGTTCAGTCTCATGATCTTGTATCATGCCGGGAGTCAACAGCTTTTCAAAGAGGTCGTTCCTAGATTTGGAGAAAACGGAATTATATGCTCTGGTGACGTACTAAACGAGAGGGACGATGTCCGGATTCGTCGGCAATCCCAATTACTCTAATATGACTGAATAACAAATACACAATAAGAAACGCCAACAATGATTTCGATTTTGTTCAAATCGCCAGAATCGGCAGTAAAACAATGGCCATAGACGTTGTTAGCACTGAAACGGTTTGCTACATCGTACGAATACGGATATCAACTACGGAAATCAACTTGACATCGTCCAAACACAGGCCGGAAGGAGATGGGATAGACAATGCGCACTTTCTCCAAAGCTCTACAATTGGCATCTTGTGACTCAGGAGGTGCTTCTGATATTGACGAATGCGTCAATCTGGTAGGTGAAGGTCGTGTGGGCTACTGAATAACGCCCTGTATATCTGAGTATAAACAGATTTCCCGAGGATAGTTGACCCTATCTTCATCTGACATTCCATCACAACAAGAAACACCATGGCAAGCAAGGTCTATCGCTCAGCAGACGACTACATTTCTTCAGTATTACAATATTCAAGTTGAACACCATGACTAAAAGCGCAACAGAGGCTTTCACCGGGAAGACCGAAAGCCAGGTCGTTTCACTACTTAATAGTATGGCTAAGGATATTACTGAAGCCCTAGAGGGAATCCTTGGAGGCGAAAACAAGACACTTGCTAAGATTCGCAATGACATTCCGGAAATCGAGGAGTACGCGGAGCTAGTCAGTGCGGGTGGTTGCGATGGGGATAAACTCTTTGAGCACCGGGACGAAGACACTCGGACAAAGTGGGTCGAGCAGTACGATGAAAGGGTTCAGAATGCAGAGAAACTTGAAATCGATTTCGAGTAAAGCTTCTCCGATTGCGCGCCTACGCGTGGTAAGGCGGCGAGGATGGGAGAGGCTATTGCAGCCAGAGGAGGTGATTTGAGAATGCGTACCGATTCACGGGAGAGGTGACGGGAGGAAGCTACGAATCGATATTAGACAACGAGAAAAGCTTGCTGGGAGGAAATCTATGTATTTATGGTCAGCTCATCATCGAGGCTGTCGTAAATGAGAAGAAAAACTTCCCAGCATGTCCAATGAGACAAAACAGTAGTAGTGAATATTCTTGTGGAGTTAACTGGCCTGAACGTCAAAGACCGCCGGGCCCTCGTCGACAAGCTAGTACAGCGAGCTGAGCAGCGCGGCCCTGTCTTAAAGAGTCTCATTGCGGATGAGCCGTCATCGCTAACCTAGTAGGCATCGCCGATTCGCAAGAGAGGCTTATGAAATAGGAGCAAATGGTCGAAAGGAGGGCAAGGCAGGTCAAATGGTGGCGCAAGGTAGTTTATCAGATCAAATTGATTTCTGCCCAGCTTGAAAACATCGGAAATCATGAGCAAGCCCGAGCGGCTCCAGTGCATCTCTATGCGGCAAAGCCGGAGTCTGGAGAATAGGAGCGGATGGCACGACAAGCTACAGTGGAGGGACAAGTAAAACCAAGTGTAATGGATAGGAGAAATCGGAATGAGATTAGATCTAGTACCCCACGTGCATTGCATACCGGCATCTATCCGGGAGCCACAAATTCTCCGAACCTGAGGTGCCACATTCTGTTGCTTTCCGTCTTTATAATAGCATTTTCCATGGCAATTTGCATGGAAGAACAGCCAATAGAACTCGTTTCAAGAAGATGGACGTGTCCCAAAGCGGGCATTTCGAATGACAAACGGACTGACAGCTCCATTACTCATGCCCCGTCGGCGATGATCCTTTCTAGACAAAGCCTTTGTATCCTTCCTATATCTGTGCTTTGGCCTCTTGTAGATGAGCAGCCGCGTCAGCCTTGGCGTACACGTAGGTGCGCATATTGACGTTGCCCCCAACGCTTTATCATGAGGTGCCAGCCGAGTATCGGCCTTCGCAGGAGTAGCTGGAAGTCCGGTAGGGCTTTCTTCTTTTATGTTTCATTTAACGCTGTATCCTTCCTTGTCAAACTCGAGTGACAGTGGCGCTTGTACTACTACAGCATGTGATACGTGACTCTGCCTACGGCCGCATACGACCCAACAGTATTGAGCTGACGCAGCTCAACACCCACACCCCACTTTACCTCAGTGTTTCACGGCTATCTGCCACTTACATTCCTACATAGGCCACCTACCTTCCTATGTAGGAATGTAGGCAAAGGGAGACGCCATCACCAACATATATGAGCCCAAGGTCATGAAAAACAATGGAAATGAAATTACAATAATGGCAGTGGTCGTCGGCAGGACGAGGACCACCAAAAAAGAAGAAGGAAAATAAACGAAGCTCGTTCGACAAGGCGCGCGCATCGCCTCAAGACACATGGCGCAAGTCTTCCACCAGTTCAATTACCTGCCGGCGGAGATTCGCGCCAGTATCTGGGAGCTTGCCGTTGATACGCAGCAGCGCATCATCACGACTTGCGATGGCATCAAGATCCTAAAGGCGCCGACGCCGCCCTTGTTCCTCGTCAGCCACGAGGCCAAGGAGTGCGCCATGCGGCAGTACCGGCGCCACCCCAACGAGTACCGGCAGTATCCCGATGGCGGGTGCATCCAGACGTCGGACGCGTGCGCCGCCATGACGGCCGAGTCCCGGGACAAGGGCCCGTACTTTGCGCCCAAGTACGACATTCTGCTGCTCCTGCCGGGCACGGCCGACGGGTTCGGCGACGCCATATGGAGGCGGTTGCTGGGCATGCCGCGCGTGGCGTTTCGATCGCTGCAGCACGCCAACATGATCTTTGGGCAAATCTCTCCGTCCAACGCGAGCGAGACGTCGGCCGTGCGCGCCATTTGCGCCAGCAACATTACGGAGCTGTGGATCCTAAACGATGAGCAACACCACCACCACAAAGATGGCGGCGGCGGCGGCGATGATGGTGATGCCAACAGCGCGGTGCGTTGGTCGAGAAAACTACCAAAGTACTGGCTGCACCCGCACTGCGAGGTCGAGAGCGCCAATGGCGACGACTGCCAGGATGCCGATGGCGCGTTTCGACATCTCTTGCGCATGAACGGCTTTGCGCGCGACGAGCGACGTCATGGGCCGCCGATTCTATGAACTTGCTTTGACGACATGGGCAATTGGCATACGCATCTGAGAATGGTTTCTTTTTCTCTTATCCCCCATTTAATAGATTGGACAGATGGAAGGTTTGGTTTGATTTTGTGTCATTTGAAAAATTATATATCCACCACGGTGACCACTTGACAACTGGCACCAATGGGCATCATTTTGTTTTTACAGAGTACTGGGTTTAACGCTTATCGTTGGAGGTTGCACCATATGGCGGACGATTGCGTCATTACACAAGATCAATATTATAGATATGCATCTCTGCCAGATTTCAATTCTTGCACAAACTTTCCCGAAAGCACGTTCGTGTATATTCGCTTTTCATATCATTGTTCATTTCTTCTTTTGTTGTGCATCGGGACGTCGAGACCAAATGGCTCATGATACTATAGCGCCAGCCAAGCCCGAGGGGCCGTTCTCCGGGGGCTGTGCGTGTCGGGCAGTGCGCTACACGCTGCCGAAGCGCCCTATCTACATTCACGCGTGCCACTGCCGGTACTGCCAGCGGGAGACGGGATCCGCGTTTGCGCTCAACGCCATGTACGAGAGCCACCTCGTCCACCTGGTACCAGAGTCCCAGCAGCCAGAGCTCGTTCAGACCCCTGCCGCGTCCGGCAACCCGCAGACCATTGCCCGGTGTCCCGCGTGCCGCGTCGCTGTGTGGAGCCATTACGGCGGGCTTGGCGATCGCCTCAAGATTGTCCGGGTCGGCACGCTGGATGAGCCGGATACGTGGGGCTTTGCGCCCGAGATGCACATTTACACCAGCACCAAGCAGCCATGGGTTTTACTGAATGGCGACGTGCCACAAGTGGCAGAGTATTACGATCGCAAGGACTACTGGCCTCAAGAAAGATTGGATCGGTTTGCAAAGGCATTTGCTTGATGGAGCTCCAAGATCCGAGGATCTAGAGCTGCCTTTGAAGTCGTCAAGCTCAGCCAGCGGATCAGATGAGGAATTTCATGGGTGATTTGTTCCAAGGTTAGAAAAAAAACAAAGTTCACTTTCACGACTTCAACTCATCTGTACAACACCCGAGATACAGAAGACAGCTGATATCGATATAGACACATTGATTTGGAGTTATATATACAAGAAATGAATGCTCGTAATGCTGTCACCACTTAGGACATGGAAGGAATGTCAATCTCAGCAATGGTCCAGACCTTGCCGCTCTCGCTGCTGGTGAGACCAGAGTAAGTGGCGCCCTGGCTGGTAGCAATGGTGTCACCAAAGCTGGAGTCGGCCTCGTAGAGCGTAATGACGGTGTTCTTGTAGGTCTGGGCAGCGACCGTGCCAGTGCAGCCACCGTCGCACTCGGTACCAGTACCGTATCCAGTCTGTCACGAGTCAAGTCAGCATTCATGTCCAATTGAGCGTTCTAGGATGAGGATATTGTTTCATCTTACCATGTACGGGCCGCTGTCGTAGGAGAAGCTGCTGAGTTGAGTGCCAGTGGCAACGTCGGTCGCGGTCTGGAGCCAGGTGGTGCCGTCGCTCTGTAGCTCGTAGACGATCTCGACGCTCATGTCGCCCGAGACGGGGGCCGAATCGCCATCGAGCTGGCCAAAGGAGCCAAAGAGGGAGCAGCGGATGCACCACTCGCCAGTCGAGGCACCGCACCAGCTGTTGTCGGGCCACGACTCGAGCGTGGTCTGGACGAGATCGCCGGTGCCGTTGGACATGCCGGGCCACAGGAAGAGCTCGCCGGTCTGGGACGAAGGGGCCTCGCCGGGCGTAATGGTGGTCACGGCCTTGGTGATGCGCGACTTGGTCGGGCCCAGGGAGACGGCGCCGCCCCAGCTGTCCTCGCGGCGGCCGAGAGTCTTGGTGGGCAGCACGGCGGGTGCAGATCGGAAGAGGTTGAGACCCAGGGCCGCAGAGGGCAGCAGGGCAATAGCAGTAGCAGCCTTCATTTTGACGTTTTTAAAAGAGGTAAGAGATGGAACAAATGGGCGAAAGGAATGTTTGATCAAGGACCGGCCTTCGGGTTTGCGAAAGAAATGTATGTACAGATAGATCCTTGGGAGATGACTGAGATCACTGGTAGAATAGGTCCTCGGCAGAAGGAGGCTCCTTTGCCAAGTTATATAGAACGCGACATCGACAACGGGCAGAGCCTCAGTGGGCGCATTCTTTTGCTATTTTCTCCATAACGGCCATCGCAAGACTAAGATGCCCCCCTTTCCATTTCCGTCAATGTTCTCTTCGTGTCCGCGAATAGAGTGCCTCGACCCCGGACCGCGGGTCTTGGTCAGCATGAGCTCCGGGGCTAGAAGTGTGCTGGTGAGCGCTGGCAATGGAGGCGTCGTCTGATGGCTCGGCACTCTCCTGCCGTCAACTACTATAAACAAAACGGAGGGATCACCCCGAGGACCTGGTGCATCCCGGCACTCGGGGGTCTCCCCTGGTCGTGATGGTGAAACTCGGCTGGGTTGCTCGAATCTAGTGGGATTCTGTGGATCTAGCCAATCTGCTGGGCTCAAAATATGACTGCCGCCATCACCGTTCAATGATAATATTGGTGATTACGAACAGTATAAGGCTTATTCTATCTTTCGATTTACATGTATCAAAGCTGAGTTGTTGATAAATAGTCTCTCCCACGTTGAATATGCTTAAAACATCCCCAAAAATGATTTTGAAGAGAGTTTTTAAAAAGGTTCTAGTCCCGAGCCTAAAATCACCACCAATTACCCCAGTCTCCCCTGGCCCATCTCCAATTTCCAGGTCGAACAGACTTAACCAGGGTCAACCAACGGAGTCTATAATCACCACCAACGGCTGAGCCGCGGCGGATTGATTCTTTTACGTATAAACCAATGCTAATGCTAGTACTCGTGCACTCATGTTGCACCAGGATGCGCAACGCTAGAACACATATACAGTTGCATTGCACTGGGACCCCTGGGGGTCGTACCAAATTGAATAGAATTTCACGAAAGGGGCAATGACTTTACACCGAGGACGCGTCACATCTTTTCTTTTTCGTTACAACGTCATACCGCTCTGCCAGTGCTCGCATTTGTACGAGTGGAAAAAAGGAACAATTTGAGGGGGAAAAAAGTATGCTATGATGTCTACCACCCAACAAGCCAACCAAACAAACCATCCAGCCATCCCTCCATGTATACTCCGTACAGCAAGGTATCTTCCTCAGTGAATCTTCCAGTCTCCATCTTGATACACCCGGTATCTTGTCCTTTAGCCTCATCTCCATGAAGCGCTGACGCTCGCCGTGGTCGAGCACGAAGTCGGCACCGTGTACGAGCGGTTCGGGTCGCTCTCCCAGGTAATGGCGCCCGAGGAGCTGACCTTGACAAACTTGTACTCGAACGCCGTGCCCGCGGGCAGCGACAGCGTGTACGTCCACAGCGGGCTGGCGGCCGTGTACGAGGCGGCCGACATGGCGGGCGCGCTGGCCACGGTCCAGCTGCCCAGCTGCGAAATGGAGCCCACCAGCTTGATGGTGTCGCCATAGGCCGTCGTGACGGACTCGGCAAAGCTCACGGCCACGGTGGCGGCGTTGCTGCTGCAGGCCGTCGAGGTCGACGTCGACGACGTCGTCGTCGTGGTCTTGGTGGACAGGGTCGTCGAGGTGGCCGTCGAGGTCGAGCTTGAGCTGGAGGATCCGCCACCGCTGCCGCTGCCGCTAATGGCAATGTCGGCGCACGAGATGTAAATCTGACCCGTCTGGAAAGAGTTCCACTTGAACTGCAGCAGGGTGTGCGCCGAGCTGTAGTCTGGAATCTTGATCTTCTTGGTCACCGTGTACCCGCCAGCAATGGTCGTCGCGCAAGAGTTGAGGGCCGCATTATCGACACCTTCGCATCCGCGGCGGCTGTCGGCGTTGAAGGCGTTGCAGGTGAACCAGTCATTGCGGTAACATGCCTGGTCCGAGGTGCAGTCGGGGTTGTAGCCGCACGTCTGCCCCGAGACGTCGGTGCACTCGAGCAGTCCGGCGTCGAAGCAGTCCTGGGCCGCCTGCTTCTCGGCGTCGGTCGGCGTGTAGCCGGGGGTCAGGAACTTGTCGACAATGTCCTGGTCCTGGCAGATGCGGTAGCTGAACATGCCGCCGTGGTCGCCGTTGGCGTCCACGCACCACTGCACGTCGACGACTTGTCCCGGCGTGTAGGTGGCGACGGTGGACTGGCCCCAAGAGGCGCCAGGCGTGTTGTAGTCGACACTGACGCGAGCATTATAGCCGCACACGCCGCTGCGGCCGACGGGCGCAACATCAAGATCGGGCCAGGAAGCGACGGGCTCCAAGATGGTACATTCTGGGCAAGTGTCGGTACCAGCCTATATTACGCAAAGTTAGAACTGGGCAGTGATCTTCATGCTTGTGCGACCAAATGACTTACCTCGAATCCGAGACGGGTTCTGCTGGACGGAATAGTCAGGTACCCGTGGCCAGCGACCGAAGAGGCAAAGATCAACGAGAAAAGGATAGACGAAGCCATTGTTTTTGGAAATACTCGGCCCGAGTAGAGGATATATTGATTGCAGCGTTCGTGATGCGCTTACTCCGGTGATATTGTTGAACGGGAAGGTGCGCGTCTACTTATACTCTATCGACTAAGCCGCTCCACTGGAGACGACGATGAGTTGGAACATGGCAAGCGACATCGTGCCAAGCAGCCAGCCGTGGTTCAGTACTAGAATGCCAGCAAGCAGTCTGCCTAGCATCATGCCAAAATTGCTTGACCAGTACTGGAGAACCTATCATTCTGCTCCACTTTCCACTATGATCAGCGAATCCCATGGCGGCGGAGTTGTGTCGCACACGATATCCCACGTGCCATGCTTCCTCGACGGGGTACATGAGGTTGCGTTGTCAAAAGGCCCGAATCCAGGGGCGGAAAGTGTCATGAATTTGAACTATTTTCAGACAAGTACAAAGCCATAGACTGATGAAAAAATGCAGACAGCGGCTCTACTACTACCTTTTCGAAGAGCGCCGGAACTCTTTTCAGCATATTGCGGCGGAAATGGTTAGTAGGGGCGGGCAAGAAGGCCGAATGAAGGCCGAAAACCACAGAACAGCCCCCGGCTTATTTGGGCAGAACTTGGTTCAGGAAAGCGCCCGGAATGTGATAGTCTTCCACGTGAGCAAGAGAAAGGCCGAGATGTAATAGAGAACTATATGGGAGTCTGGATTTGGGTGTGACTATTCCTAGTTACCAGTACCAGATTTTGTCAGCTCGCTTGCTTCCGAACCACGTGCTTTTGCAGATTGCGAACCCATAACTTGGAACAAACTCCGCCATTGCATCTAGCAATAGTATGAAGAAGCGGAATACCAGGACAGAAGCGTGTAAAGGCCAGCGAAAATGGAGGATAGTCTCGGTGGTTCTATCGGCCCAATGCGGAGGGACGAACCGAGCCCCACGAGAAAAAAATAAATAAGAAAGGGGAGATGCAAGAAATGCCGTCAATGAGCGACTGCCAACCCCAGGTTTGTGGGGAAACCTCGTCTCCTAGCGGCCGGGCCTATACTATATCGTGTCCGCTATAATACCCCAAGTCACCGCATACGGCCGTCTGGGGTCGCAGCCAGCCGCTGACCAGGCGCCTTGGCAACGAACACATGCCGGATCTGAACAAGCTTGATGAGCTTAGTTGGGCCTGGGGGATTCGCATTCTCGCTCTCTCTCTGTGTGTGTGTGGCCTCTTGCGCCGATCTATGGGAGGCCTGGAAAAGACTGCAAGACTTTCCGTATGCACATGCAAGGACCGATCTCAGCCTATTTGTGACTGTCCATCTAGTCCCGCATCTGTCCAACTCATCTGTTAAAATGCTTGTGCGGAATAAATCACTTTGACAATGTGCGCGCTTAATCATCCAAATGTGCTTTTCATGGCCACCTGCATGGATATGTCGAGTATCCGCGTCATAGTCACGGCATAGACATACGATCATAGCAACACGTGGTTCTTTCACGCACAACGTACAGCAACTGCATTGCAAAATGAATGAGAACTAGGAACTGAAATGTTAGACGGCGTCCACCAAGTAAGGTACAGCTTGCAGTGCCGAGCTTTGGACCCTGCCACGTGTGGCTGCTGAAATAAGGATATTGAGATTGTCCTCAATTCTAGGTAACTCCAGACAAGTTCTTCTTGTTCATCAAGGTTGCCAGCTCATCACCACAATCGTCTCGAGTCTTTGACCGACATGGGCCGACGAATACGTGAAAGCGGCAGTGTCCCATTCTCGCCGCACCCAGCATTGAAACAGGCCGACACAGTATGAATGTACCTAATCTTGCCATTCTCGACCCTAAAGAAGTGGCTATCCGGCACGGGCTTTTGACCCACTGAGCGATCGAGGCCCGGGAAACCCAGAAAAATATCCACGGTCCCCATCTCCTCGTCGACCACGTACCGGCGGTTCGTCACCTTGATGGTCGAGGGCAGCCCCAAGCCGCACGTCTCGGCGCCCGTATGGTTGGTGTCGGTATAGAGACCGCCCTCGAGACGCGCGCACGACGCCGCCCAGGGCACCGTCACGTTGACATTGGCAAAGCGGTTAAAGTAGGCGTCGCCCGCGGCCTGGATGACGGCGCGCGTGTCGCGCCGGTCCGCGGGGATGGGCGCCCAGTTCTCCTGCGCGTTCCAGTAGAGGTAGCCCGTCGCGTTGAAGAGCCAGTCGCCGGCATCCGTCACGATGGACTCGACGGTCGTGATCTCGTCGTCGGTAAACACCATGCGCGTGCCAATGACGTAGGGGTGCTTGGGGTCCGTCACAATGAGCTCGGTAAAGGTGGCGCACTGGGTCGTGTCGTGCGTGCTCCGGTTGAAATCAATCTTGAGGGGCTGCGTCAGGACTCCCGTGTTGATGTCTACTGGTACGTCATTCTCTGTGTAGTTGACTTTGCTGGAAAGTGCAGAGATGCCAATGTGACCCGAGCTCTGAGACTTGACATACTCGGCCGTTGCGTTCTGAAGGAGATCTCGCGTGCATGCTGCCGCAGTCGGAACAGCCAGCGACATGACGGTATATACAGTAGCGACATGCATGGTGGACCTCTCTCAATGCCTATGATAAATAATATTTCTTGCCTGGAATCAGCAAGCCATTTTGCCGTGGTGTGATCCTTTTAATATTCCATTGCGTGGTGAGCCATCATGGCAGTGACGCTGCTGGTGAATGAATTGCCGAAGCCATATGGCCGTGTGGTATCTTCACATTATAGGCAGGATGCAAGTTTGATTGAATCAAGTGCCATCATTGCCAGATATCCGTTTCTTGCACCAGTTTATAAGAATGGTATCGGCTCAAAGCGTATACCGACCATGATTGCCTAGGCTAAAATCATGCCAAGAAGTCTGTCCACGAAATTTGCCCAGCACTGACAAATTAGCCGGGATTGATCGTGAAAGGAGAATTGGTGGGCTGTGATAGGTCTCGCGATACTGTACGTACTATATGATTTCGAATGCCTTATTCTCCGAGAGAAACAATGAACAAAGAACCCGCAGGTGTCAAGCGGTGATTACCATGGGCGCGTACTGCGCCTCTAGCTACGCAGCACATCAATAACAAGAAGCCGGACTCAAATAACACATATCGTATATCCGAATAGTCAAGCCCGAATTGCTGCGCTCGGGCCGATATCACAGTCCTGCTTGATGACTGATTGCGAGCGCTCCCACTAGATCCCAAGTTACAAACTCTAGCTTGGGGCGCAATGTAACGAGATAAAGTTGTAGTGTTTGTAGACAGGTGCGCGAGAGTTAATAATAATCCTGGGGGCGACACCTTGCAGAGGCTTTTCACCGTTCGCGCCGATGCTGCACTATTACCCCCATACTTAAGCTTACTCAGGACCATACGGACTTAGCACGAAAGGTCATTGCAGCTCGCCCCTTGGATATAAGCGCGAGACTATACTCGAACATGGTTCGGACCGAACATTCGCACCGTCCTAGGAATCAGAATCAGTGATTCGGCCCAGTCGCTCTTGTTCAACGGCGAGTTGATACTACTCTATCGATGAGAGGCGTCGGAGCTCTGCTCGACGATCAAATCCTGGGTACTAGTCGTCATGACGCCGCGTGAGTAAGCGATCTGGTTCAATGTACAACATTGCGTTGTGTTTGAAATCACGGGAAATATAATGCCGCGAGCGGCGGGATGTTCTGATCTAAAGTGTACGTGGTGGTGATAGAAGTCAGTATATAAAGAGGCACGCCAATGCGTTTTCGCTGGATCAATTTATTTCAAGCAATACTATACATTGCAAATCCCCCAACATGAACAAACTATCCGAAGATCCAAACTTTCACTATGAAGCCCTGCGCTCGCTCGGCCTCGCCCGCTACGGCGGCAGTGACGTGGCAGAGCAGCTCGCCATCCTGCCCAAGATCAAGCCCGGCGACCCGGAGAGCTGGTACGAAGAGTGGGAGGCGCTGGCGCAACGCGTTCTCTCGTCCGCCAACGAGGATAATGGAAAGATCCCCATGTCCCCAACCAGCCTCTGCGACATGTACTTTCGGGCCAGCCATTACTTTTTCGTGGCCGACTTTTTCATTCACGGCAACCAGGCCGATCCCCGTCTCCGGCAGTCGTTTGACCTTTGGCGCAAGTACTTTGACAAGGCCAATGCGCTCCTGCCGGTCCCGGGACAGCACGCCGTGGTCAAGACGGGCAATGGATTCGACGTGCCCATCATCATCTATCAGGCTCCTCCTCAGGCCACCGTCGTCGCTGCGGGATCCTCCTCCTCCCAGAGTCCTCCCCGCCCGACTCTGCTCGTCGGCGGCGGCTTTGACAGCAACTACGAGGAGACATATCACGCCTTTGCCGTGCCCGCCCTCGATCGCGGATACAATGTGATTATCTACGAAGGGCCCGGCCAGCCGAGCCTGTTGCACACGCAAAAGGTCGGCTTCATTGCCGAGTGGGAAAAGGTGGTGAGCCCGATCCTCGACTACATTGAGGAGCAGCAAGCAAAGTCCCAGCTATCCTTTATCGATTTCAAAAAGATTGGCCTCATTGGCTGGAGCCTGGGCGGCTATCTATCAGCGCGCGCCGCTGCCTTTGAGCCCCGTCTCGCTGCCGTCATGTGTATTGATGGCGTCTGGAGCTTCCAGGACTGCATCGGTCAGATCTTCCCGGACGCAATGGCGGCGTTCCGACGTGGTGACCGGGAGGCTTGTGACGCGGCCTTTGAAAAGGACTATACACAAAACACGAACCGGCGCTGGTTCCATGATCACGCAAAGTTCTCATTCCAGCGTCAGTCAGCCTTTGAGATTCTACAAATCACGGACAAGATGAGCCTTGATGGCGGTATCGCAGAGAAGATCAAAATACCTGCCTTGATCGCCGAAGCCCTGGATGACATATTCTTTGCCGGCCAGCCGGAACGCGTTGCGCAAACTATTGGAGCAAATGCATATTTGGTATCGTTCGGGGACAAGCATGCCGCTTCTGCACATTGTCACAGTGGTGCGTTTAGTTACGCAAACGCAAAGATCATGGACTGGTTCGGCCACGTCACTCGTTAATGACACTCATATCTGTTATTTGGGGCGCCACTCATTTGTATGGTCGATGCCTGGCGTTGCGGCTCATATATGAACACTGGGCACCAGGGCATTCAGATGGGGCATGCTCATGGTAGTAGACATTGCAAAGGTGGTATCATTCAAAGGAACGTAGCTATCAAGCCAAACTCTATCACAGAGTACAACGGGGGATGGAAGGAATGAAATCCGTGTCTCCTCATCTTAATCCGGATTGCTCTTGTACATAAAAACGCCTCTCCCGAATCCATTCATAACACAGTTGGTTTTCATTTCCCAGCAGTAAACATCATGATTTGTCTCCTAGGGTGAAAGTTTCTTAATTTTCATAGGGTATTTCTTGGGAGAATGAACATATAGGACCGACACTACAGGTTCCTAGTATTGTGGCATCTGGTGAAAACAGGAGTCCCTCTCGATCTAGTTCTCGGATGGCTTATCGTTGGCCAGACCCTCTTCGACATAAGCAGGGGGTGCATCAACATCGTCCTCCTGGTTAGACATCAAACCAGCCTTTTCATCCTCGGCGGCAGCTTCCTTTCGGGCAGCCTTGTGAGTCGAGTGACCGCGGCGGTGGTGGTGGCGGCGGGCACCGCCACGTCGGAAGCACGCACGCCATAGGTAAACAATGGCGGTCCCGACCATCATGCCAACGATGCTGGCGGTGATTCCTGCTGCAATGCCAACAGCAACAGGCAGCAGAATGTGCGAGGCAATGTTGCGAAGCAAATGGCTGAAGCGATGACGGTGTTGCTGACCGTGGGGTCCGTGGCCGTGAGTGAATGCTGGGTGTCCGTGGTGACCGTCAAGCTGTCCTGCAGCATGAGCGGGACGGCGTCCACCACCGCAGTGAGGGCGGAAGCGACCCATGGATGACGAGAGCATAGCCTTCCACTTGCAAAGCATAGTAGTACATTCCTCTTGCTTATCCATGGGGGTCTTGGGAAGAGTCTCGGACTCGGTAGTCTGGATACCTCCAATCATGAGTCCACCCTCAGGGGTCTTGATGACCTTGATATCGACGGTAGGCACTCCATCAACAAAGACGTTGCCAACTTCGATAATCTGCAGCTCAATCTGGACGAGTTCGAGGTCATCATCGGTGCTCTGTGCAACGGGGGCCGTGCTCATGGCGTATCCAAGAGGCTGAATGATGGGTTTGTGCTGCTTTCGGTGGCCGGGCAACTTGTGCTTGCCTTCAACCGAGTCGGGGAGCACTTGTGCGCCCAATGTATCAGCTAGCCTCATACCCCGAGGATAGAGCTCAAAGTCGTTGAGCATTAGGCGATCGTGGTCGGCGGCATGGTCGATGCTAAAGGCCAGTTCCAGATGACTAGGGATATCCGTCTTGACCTTGGGTGGCTTGCGGTGGTCGCCCTTGTGGTGAGAGATTGGCACAGGACATCCCGGGCAGGGCAGCTCGAGTTTCTGTGCCTCTGCGGTCTCTGGAACTGCAATCTTGAAGTCCGTCTCAGAGGGCACAGGAAGAGTTGTGACATGATCGTTGTCGGAAATATCGGTGACAGGAAGTAGAAAGGCACTGGTGGTGGACACGGCCAGGCCGGCGGCGGTGATCAGCGATGTCAACTGCATCGTGAATGCGCCTTGTAGAGTAGGTGGCAAAACTGCAGTATGTCGGGGAGTTTTGCAGGGTTGGTTTGTATACAGGAGAAAGAAAGGAGAGAAAAAGGAAAGACGGTACAGCGGCTTTGGCGGTGTTGGCGGTATTGTTTGATTTGTAGAAGAGAGAAAAAAGGATGGGAAAGTCGAAAGAAGGAGATGGAAGATTTGGAATGTGATTTGGATGGGATGAAGTTGATTGATTGAATGGAAAGTCCGGGAAGGAGTCGACTGATGGATGACTGACGACTACTGAATGGCAGCCCACTGTTGGATGGTGAGTGTGACAGACGGACAAAGGACCCGCCTCTGTACAAGCCCCACCCTGTCCCGATTAGGCCAATGTCTGTTTGTCTGAGGTTTGAGGTCACTCCCAAACCTCCTGGGCATCGTCTCAGTGGTCGTCTCACTCGTCTAGGTCCACAATCCCACCATGTCCCGCCGTAGGGGGAGCCCACCTTAGGCCCAGAGGACCGGATGATCTGCCGGCCAGGTGCTCCAATCAATCCACGACGATCTTGCAGCTTCACATTGCAAACAAGAGAACAGCAGGCCGACAGTGCCGAACAGTACAAAACTGGAGGACCCTGAGACTCAAATCAACATGATCAGGTGCTTGAACTGACTTGTTGAAGTCTCTCCCAATAGTACCTACCCCCCTCCAGGCACAAAGGTGAATATTCTACCACCTGAGGCCGAGCTGACATTTGCGTAACCAGTTAGAATGCCAACGGGAGGCGAAAAAAAGTGGCCGGTTCCTCCATAATAAAAGTGACGTATGCTTCGAGGCCGCGCACACCTGGGCCAGGTACCTCTTCTCAGGTGGGCAAAAGGCTAACCGGGTGCAGTAAAACGGGTGGGGTCAGGCAACAGAACTGCTCTTTTGGGTCTTGGCAAAAGGATTGTGATCAGCCCTCGATTGCGAATCTCTGGTGATTCAGTTGAGCGCCTGCCAAATAACCACCAAGCTGGGAGAGCTTCTCGGTCTCCGAATCCTGACCTCCGCCAAATCCGTGGACATTCCCCGGCACTTCACCATCTAGGCAAGGCAAAGCTAGGCTAGAACGTTTTATCAACTGTCAATCTTTCTTTGGTGGACCATTTCTTAAGATTAATGTCTTGGAAAAACGCGTATGCATGTCATATAGTTCTATATTTGCAGACTTTTGTCTCGCTTTCGCTTTTTAGTGTGGATTGATAGTTGCGCATGTCCGTCCCTCTTTAGGTTTTCTTGGTGATGATGGTTTTCTGGAGCCTACAGGATTGTGCTCCTCCTTGTGCAAAACCGCCTGCATCTCGGCTGCAACTGATCTAGGATGACTACAGTAGTGGGAAATTGTGGGGGCTAAGAAGTCTTCTGGGCTCTTGTCAAGTGCTGAAAGTCTAGTGAGGAGAAATGTTCTTCTCAAATCAAGAGTTCTTCTCAAATGAAGAGTTCTTCTTGGACCCCCAAGCCACTGTAACCTGGCCACTGCAGCCACTTTTCAATTGATTTAAACAGCTCCTCATCGTGACTGTAAATCCGTAAATCCGTAATGCCGTAACCGTAAGCTTGTCAATTTGATATAAATCCGTAAGTCTTGTGTTCAAATCGTGTTGTGTTCAAAAGAAAAAGAAAAAAATCGCGTGTTTTCTTTTTGCCAGTGGATGGCTTAGTGGATGGCTTAGTGGGTGGTCCCGATGGCTATAGTGGACGTTATAGCGGCCTTACAGTGGGGTTTTCAAGAAGAACTCTTGATTTGAGAAGAACTCTTAGATTAAGAAGAACATTTTGCCACAGAAGGCTTTTAGTGTGGGGAAGGCCCTGTAAATTAGCAGGTTTTATTATATATAGAAGACTTCTTAACCCCCTAAAAGCCCCACAGCTGTACAGTATATCACTCCAACAGCCCGGCAGATCTAGACGCTGCTTCAACCTCCTTCTCAAGCTCTTTTGCCTCTTCGATGTATCCGTGGTCTTTATAATATTTCTGCAGGTGCCCAGTCGCGGCAATAGTCCTCCTCTTATCCCACCCTGTCTCCTGCACTAGAACATTGATATACTCCCTCGCGACTCTTTCAACTTCGTCCTTGGTGCCCGTCTTCTCCTTGCACCGAAATCGCACGTAGTAACTATCCCACAAATCAATCTTTTTCGAGTGTTCACTCTTGGGGTGGGTTCTGAGCCATTCCAGGACCCCGTCGTTGAGCTTTTCGGCCTCCTCCACCCTGTCCACTCGCCAGTATGTAAAGCTCAGGGCCAATCTTGTAGACTGTGCCTCGGCCATTAGTCCCGCCGCGTCGAGCCGCTCAATCTGGCCCAGCTGTCTCCCTTCAATGATTCCCTCACCCACCATGTTCATTTCCTTCTCGGTGCTCAGAAAGTCGAGCGTATCGTACATGTTCTCGTAGAGAAGCAGAACCGCAGAGTTTGACGGTCCGAGTTGAGCCTCGAGCGTCTCGTTGTACATCTCCAGTATCTGGAGGGCGTGCCGCCTGAGCTGCAGAGTCCCGGCATCCCGGAGCTTGGACAAGATGATCCGCAGCGGGTGCCGCGCCGGCAACTTGACGGCCGCCATCTCGGCTGCATACGACAAGAACTTGCCGCCGATGCGGTGGTCAAGCTGCAGGGCGACTAGGTACGCTCCTTGGATCAGGGCCAGATCCGGCTTCTCCAGCAGCGTCGAGAAATGCTCAAAGCTCTGGTTCAACGTCTTGAAGGCCTGCTTGTACTTGCCCAGGTCGAGGAATTGCGAGGCCAGCAGTGTTCGTCCCCACCACTGGTTACTCTCTGGGTTGCCAATGGTTTTGCTGTCCGCCCAGTGCCCTTGCTCCAAGAGCCCAAAGCCAAACTGCTGCGAGAGTAATATCACTTCCTCGGGCAGTCGAAAGTCATCTGGAGTATTGAGGCGTTTGTAGATTGATGATGCATTGGGGTTCAGCCGCATCCTCGCACCACCAGGCCTAGTATGAATTCTTGCTGGGCGAACAATGCTCAACTCTGTAATGTCCGCATTGCTGTCTTCTGTAGTGTCGGGCACAGTCAATGTGCTTGATTGAGGGACATTGGACACCACCATTGGCTCTTCATGAGCGCTTGATGATGGAGGGACTGTTGCTTTTCTCTTATTATACTTGCGTAGGCCCCATTTCAAAATCCTCTGCTTATACATCTTTGCGCTAAGGAGCCAGTTAGTTCACTAACTACTACCAATTATGCTGCATATACCCAAAATACGGCCAATAAAATGAAAGAACTCACGTGGCATGAAAGTCATGTTTATCTTCCATAATCTTCATGGCTTCTCTCAGCACTTTCCCCTCCTCCATGTACAACCTCGTGATCGTTGGCCGCCATTTGTCAAAGTCGCCTTCTGTAGCCCAGCGGCTCCTTTGCCCGCTACCCATTGCGGCGACTAGGGACTGCGGGGGTTCATTGGTTGGTTGATTCCGGGCAGTGAATTGAACTAGTATATGGGAGCGCTAGAACTCAGATCACTTGTCGGAAACCCTGCATCTCACAAATCGTTGCAGTATATACGGGCGAGTGGACTAAACAGCTCTGGCGCTGACGGCCTTCTCTCGAGTCTAGTGCTGTTGTTGTGCGGGGGAGGAGAACGGTGGAGACTGCAATCAGAGGACTTTATACCTCAGAGTCGCACAGCAGTTGAGTCTACACCGCGGCGGCGGTCCGGATGTCGCTTCTGCTTGCTGCTTGGTGGGAACTCGGCACTTGTGATCAATGAGTAACGCGACCATACCCAACAGTTCGGGAATGCTCATGGTCCAGGGGGACATGACAGTCGAAATGCATGCAGCTGGGCAAACATATACCACCTCATCTATGCCAAAGCTGGACCATTTGCATCACGTGATGCCAGGAGATGCGACACCACTTTGTTGTCCTTTGTTAATCAGCCCCCAGGTCGAGAAGGGATATATTTGGATACGTGAACCTTGGACCTAAAGATGATTCGTGATAGTTGCAGCCAAGGTGACCGGGGCCCATGCCGGGCCAGCCGGTAAAAAAGCCAGTGTCTTTACTCGTTGGCAATTGGCGGTTGGAGCCCCCTCCCCCTGCAGCTGTATGTATGTAGCCTGTAGGGCAGCTCATGTGCAGTAGTATTTATAGGACCCCACAAGGGGAACAACGTGCTCGTTTGGCGATGTGACGCTGTTCCAAGTCGCCCAGTCGAACGAGCGTTATCAGGACAGGGTCGCTGCTTCAGCTGCTCCTTTCTATTCACTGACTGACCCGTCACAAAGACGAAAAGCGTTATGCATCATCCTTTGGGAAGAGGGGTCCTATACTACCTACGACGCTGTGTATCATGCACATTTGAGCAATGGACTGGCAAAAGGCTGCTCCCAGAGGCTGCAGCTTCAAATCCTCATTCCGAAAGCTGAAATTGCCATGTATTAAGCGATTTATTATTATTCGTCAATAGATGGCCCGTCAAACGCGCAACTCATAGCGGATCTCGGCCGTCAATGGCGGCCGGGAGAACAAGGAAGAATAGTCTGTCGCCGGCACGGTCGATTTCCCATCAATCGTGCCGAGCTTCAAGTTGCGCACCAGAGTCAAAATGATGGTGACGAGATTGACATAGGCAAACTTTTCTCCAATGCACCGATGGCGACCGGCACCAAAAGGCAGATAGGGACTTCTGGTTCCCTTGTTCGTGGCCCCGTATCCATAATCTACAATGTCCTCTTCTGCCTCCTCTTCAACCTTTGACTGCCCGGCGTCCCACCGGTGCGGATCCCAAATGTCGGCTCTCGAAAAGTAGCCTTGACTAAGATGCGTCATGATGGGCGACGCCACCAGGACCTTGTCGGTGGTAATGACATAGTCAGTGTCAGGCACGGCTATGGGATTCTTGACCTTGCGCATAATCGAATGGATGGACGAGTGCACCCGGAGCGTCTCCTTGACGACATTGTTGAGGAGGGGAAGCTTTTCAAGGTCGGCATACTGGAGGTGGCTCGACGTATCGGGGCCGAGCTGTTGTAGTTGTTCCTGGTATACTTCTTCGAGTATGTCGGGGTGAGCGGCCAGGCGGAGCATGATCCAAGCGCTGGCAGAGGAAGATGAGTGCTGGCCGCCCATGAGCATTGTGATCATCATGTCGGCAACTTCCTGGTCCGGCACGGAGACACCGTTCTTGTAGACACAGCTCATCAGATGGGAGATCATGTCGTGTTCGATTGGTTTTTCCCCAGCGGCTTGAGCCTCGCGCCGGCCGTTGATGATGTCCATGTAGACGCCACACATCTTTTCGCGGGCGGCGTCGCGTCGTCGATTGTGAGGGAGCGGCGCCCACGGAATCAGAAAGTTTATCGGCTTGAAGCCATTGTCGAGGTCGTGATAGTATTCGGCAAATTCGGCAGAGAGCTTTCTTCGAACTTCACTTCCCTGGAGGGCACGGCTTGCTGTGAAGAGGGTGATTTCAGACATGACTGCTGACACATTGACCCGACCTGAAGTGCCTTTGAATTCCGACTTGAGGTGCGCCAGGACCTCTTGTTCGATCAAAGGCACGTACGACTCCAGAGCGGCTTGCGTCAATCCAAATTTAACGAATTTCTTCTGCTCCATAAGTTTAGAGTTTGGACAGTCGTAGATAATGTCTTTTCCAAACACTGGCGTCGTCAGTGGCGAGTAGATTTCTTCAGCATTGACATCTTGTAGTTTGCCGTTGAGTATGAGTTCATTGCCTTCAGTACCGAGGCAAACTGTCATCTTCCTTCCGAATAGAATAAAAGTGAAAATGTCGCCATGTTTTTGGCGACACGATTCGTAGAACTTTACTGGATCTGTGCCGTAAGAGATTGCATTTCCGACAAAGGGTAGGAAGTGGAAGACCAATGGGGGCTCCGACTTTTCGCGGGGGATCTGTTGCCAGAGTGCATTGGCGGCGATTGTGATAATGAGGACACCAATGGAATATTGAATCAATTGGACAAACGTCTCGGCAGCATTCATGCCCATCATGTCTGAAATGGATCGCAAGCCTGGGTCACAATAGATTGAGCAGAAGGGGTGACAATACCTTCTAATGGAGGGAAACTCCGACCTTATGTATGTTCAGCAGTACCAAGATCGCTTGATTGACGTCTGCCTTGGACCGCATGCCAAGACTTTTACAGCACAAGGCTTTTCAAACCAAAATTGCAAATTCATTCTCTCTCATTACTCCAATGTCTCTGTAAGGCGCAGGGAGCATACAGTTGCTTCACACAAATTGACCTGGATAGTACATACGATAGTGCCTAGTGTGTGACTATAGGCCTGTGAGAAGTGGGGCAGATCGTATTCGTATTCTTGTTGCACCATAAGACACGACTGTCGAATCAGTCGATATCTTGGCATAGCCGGCCCGTCAAATGATGCTGGAGACCTCATACGAGTACTTCCTTATTCTTCTTCTTTTTTCATTGCTTCTATACTAACAATGCGAATACTGACTGTCTTTTCTTTCGAACGAACTGCATTCCTCTCGTCTAAACATTGTCGATAACCTGATGCGAGGTCCATTCGCGTACCCGTTCATCATGCTACCCCTGGACAGTATGCGTTGCACTATATCCACATGCTGTAATATATAACCCCTTTCCCATGTTGCGTGCCTGGAGACGGACCGGAGGGTCAGACGGAGGGTCGCTTATGCATCGGACGGTCGTCTTACTGACCGGAGCATCACTTGCACAGCCACCGACGTCCCGCTCTTGCGTGCCGAACATGTTCACCGCTCTCGATTATCCCGAGCCTCTTTCAACTGCTTGGTAACTTTTTTTCTTTGGGGTTGACAAACTGGGACATTCTCAAAACTATCACCTATAATGATTTCGGCGGAAGCCTGCCCTAGATCAACTCGTCGACGCAGGTGTTTCTATCCTCGCCTCATCAAACACTCGAGACTCTTTCATTCTTCGCCAACGTTACCTTTGAAGCAGACATGGGGTCACCATTTTTGTTGAGTCGATGTGACCACTTGTAACTGTTCTGGATCCTCGACAGGATATCTGCCCCTAGTAGCCTATTGAGGGAACTAGCCGCCTTGCCAGCCAAATGATGAATCGGTTTTGGCACAGACGGTGCCGTAAGGACAAGTATAGCAGTTGTCATTTCAAACAGACCGAACACGCCAGCCTCTGAAAAAATGTATGCAATGTCCCTTGAAGCGGTAAATCGACAGGTCAAATATATTCGATAAGCGGCTGTGAGCATGGATCTGTTTTGGATTTCTCAGTCAGTCGTCTTCCAAAATCACTTGAGATGTTTTGTTCAAGCAATTCAGACTTACAATATGCCAATGGAAAAGACAAGTGATACTCCAGCTCGTTTGGCTCTTGACAGCTGCAGTCTCCAAATAATACTTTGTGGAAGTAGAAGAATGCACATGTCTGTGATGAGGTTGAGTGCGGCCAAGACGACGGCTACGTCTGTTGTGTTGACGCAATGGCCTCCCTTTGTGGTCCCGTTCAGCCAGTACTCTTGCGGCTTGCAAGATGTTGCGTCAATCAAGATGGCCAACAAACATGTGAGGACGTTAAAAGTTCCTAGAATGTAACACAACCACTGGAAAGGCTTAAGAGGGCGCGCTGCTGATATGAAGATGTGAATCCATTCCAAAAGGATGAGCGGCTTGATGACCATGATTGTGCTTTCGTAGAGAATGTACCCGTAAAAGCCGTTCTATTTGACCATGAGCTGATTGATTCAGTCAAACACGGAACAAGCCCAGAAATTTACCTACGTAAAAGAACTTGATAAGACCTCGGATGGTAAAATCCCACGTGTGAACTAAATGGCCAGGGTTTTCGGTCATCTTTAACCAGTATACACAATGCGCAATAAATAATCCCTAAAGATGTACCATCTTGTTAGAAATCAAGACCCGAAGCTGCGTCTGCGTCAGAGCGTTTTGATAAACGCACAAAGGTTGGTAAAAGTAAATCTGTAACGCCAGTCAGTTCTCTAATATGGACCGTAATTAGAATTATGCTTGCAATCTTCAATGCGCGGGGTCTTCAACAGAGCGAATTTCGCATAGAGCCGTAGGCAGACGAAGACCGTGACTATGATCATACACACTGTGTAGCTCGCGATCACGATATCGTTCCCGTTGGGAGGGGAAATCAAATTCTGGATTTCTCCATGAGGAGCTTCCATAGCTGGAAGGTCGAGGTAGTTATTGTTCATGATGCCCGATACGAGAGCGAGATAATTCAAAGATCAAGCTTGGTTTTAGATCCGATGCACTTTATACTAGATCTGATTTTAGCGATTCTAAATATCCTCGATTTGTTGCAAGGCTACGAGGCATTCTTCATTTCTGCCGTCACCGCGCCTCAGTCACGCCTCACTAATTACTTGAAAAGCAACAACATCAAAGGACACAGCCTGCACGCCACCATGGTTTGATGACTGTCAGCTCATGATTACCGTGGCGGCCCCCACCCTGCTGAAGCACCCGCGAGCTAAACAGCCGTAATTGAAGGACACTAATTATACCAATAGAACTATCGCGATTGAACGGGAAAGATTGATAATAACTCCGTGTTCCACGGCTGGCCATGGAGAGAAAAGTCGGAGAGGGAGGTGGACTCAATGATTCTCCGTCCAGTACTTGCTGTTCGGCCTAGGCCCCAAACCAGACTTGGTGTAGATCATGTCCAACGCGCGCGCCTGGGAAATGCTATCCTCATGGGAAATGAACTTGCCCGAACCCTCGATGCCATGGATTCTGTTGACAAACTGCTCCAACATAAATCGATAAGTAGACCAGTATGGATTGCTGTTGGCGTCCTTGCCCATCTCCTCGAAGGTGTAGGCCTTTTTGAAATCCTTTCGCGTGTATCTCTTCACCACGGAAGAGTCCCGCGTGACCTCGAATTCGTCTGTCACGTCGATACGATGGTAGTGATTCGAGAGCATAAAGTTGTAAAAGATGACTGTCCGCGTCCTGGTCACCTGCGTGCCTTCTTTCTTTGCATCCTCCTCTTCTGGCGCTGGGACAGGTCTGTGTTTCACCGTGATGTTTGAAAAGCCGAGTTCCGTCACAGGGGTCCGCAAAGACCCGTGAATCTTACCAATGCCGCCATTGGGAAATTTGAAGGTGGCATCGAATGAGTGATCGCACCGCTCGCGGGGTGCTGCCATGGGCACCAAGTTGGCCTCGGTGCACTCGGTGGGTTCTGCACCAAATGCTTCACGAAGGGCAGACACTGGGTATGTGCCCAAATCTAGGATGGATCCGCCGGCGATGCTGTAGTCGTAGCGGATATTATCATCTGCAGCTATAAATTTCGGGATTGGAGAAACTGCGAATGCCTCAGAAATATTGGGCTGGTCTAGGGTTGTCAGGAACAAGTGAAATGCCGCGGTAAAGCGAGAGTGAAATGCCTCCATGAGCACGGGTGGTTTGGCAGACTGAGAGAGGAGAGGATGGCGAAACAGGGTCTCGGCCTCCTGGACATTGCTGGTGGACGGCTTTTCGAGCAAGACGTGTTTGCCCTTTGCGAGCGCTTTCACAGTCCACTCGAAGTGAAGCCCGCATGGCAGTGGATTGTAGATTGCATCAATCTCTGGATCGTTGAGGAGGTCTAGTCAAGGTGTCAGCATATCGCTGTTGGTTGAGTTGCCCGATAGTGGGGTTGACGTTGCGTACCATCGTAGCTATCCTTGACCACTGGAATACTGTGCTTCTTGGCAAAAGCAGTAGCTCGTGTCTTGTCGCGTGCAGCGACGGCATAGATGATGACCCCAGGATGACTCTGAGCAGGCGAAATGAAAGCCATGGGCCTGGATTCTATTAGTCATTCATGCATTCTGTAGAGGTGCTGCGGCACAGAGTTGGGCGCCAGACTCACGCAATGTTGGCAGCGCCTAGTATTCCAAACTTCAGCGCATTTTGCTCCTTGGGCGGTGCGGGTGGATTGAGCATTGTCCAATTGCGGTGCAAGCCGCTTAAAAACGCTGACACGGTAGATGCCATGTTGATGATTTGTTTCTCCTGGACAGATGAAATGTTCTTGTCGCCAATACTGGGTTTTGAGGGAGGAAGAGTATTGAAAGACACACCTGTACAGCAAGCTCTCATTTATATTGAAACTAGGTAGCCCCTCAACTAGGTACGGGTGGATGGAACCAACACAACGGTGGCAGGCGGGGCAGGGCCAAACATGGCTCCGTCGTCGGGTGTTATGTTCACGCCGCATAGAACTGACAGATATGATGTTATCTCGCGCAAGCACTCGAAGTTTTACGCGCCGTCACAGACGTTTTCATTACAAGCAATGAAAAGATACCTACATAAGAATTCACTGATTTAAAATCGCCAAGATGGTGAACTCGGTCCGAGCAGCCGCGCACCTGAAAGGTACAGATTACTCTGAAATAGTATCAACACATGAAGATTCAGCATCCTACCAACCGCAATCTGTCCGTGCAAATGGGCAACTCGAATACACAACTTATCACTTGTTACCCTTGCGCAGCATAACGGCTTGGCCCCTTGCCTGCTGCCATTCGCATTGGAGAGCTGGACAACAGATCACATTTCCACGTACAACTCAAGGTCCACTAGCTCTCACATAAGCTCGGTATAAGCCGGCCGCTGGGGATCATCATGCTACTTGGCAACCCATGTAGGGGTCCACAGGGCTGAAGTATTGGATGATTACAATCCCACGATATGTAACCATGTATTTTCAAAAGCAGGAATAAACCAAGAGAACTTGAGAATGATAATTACTATCGACGTGTATCAGGTGAGGATCCTCATGTAATCGACATCAAAGCTTCTCGAGGTGTATGAATGCTGGTGTAAACGATGCTCCTCACTGTGTTCCAAGTCATGCTGACAAAAAGCTTCTACGTAATACACCAATTTCTAAGCATATGCACACTCATGCGGTTGTCAAAATGCCAAAACCACCAGCAATAGAGTTTGCCGGTATGTTAGAAATGTTCAAGTAGGACCTGATGCCCTACTGACGCCCTGCGATCGTCATTTAAGTGACGTGCCAAGTCAAATGTACTTCCCCAGTGGTGGTCCACGGGAGCTAAATCCCCCGCATCCAATAAGCCGCAAGATCCCGCAGATGAGGCAAGATTGGGACTATATTCGAGTAAGATACAACTAATTTTGCTTAGCGATTATGAACGCGAAAATAAATCCGACCTGGTAGTATTTTAATCAGTGATGGTCAAGTATATAAAACTGGCCTGGTCAGCTCGCTACATAAAATCAATGGCCGGTATAGTCTTTACCTACAAGCAACCATCACTTCCATCACTTCATCCAACAAGGGGAATTAATCGCCATGTCGATCCGCCGAACTACAATCCAAACGCTGCCATTACCACAGCTCCCCGGCTGGGAAGCTCGCGTCATGCTGCTAGAACTACCCCCAGGCTTCGCTGTTCCAGCCCATACCCATCCAGTGTCGGGTGTCGTCTATGTACTACAGGGGGTGGTTCTTACACAATTTGAGGACGAGGAGGCAGAGACATATTCCATTGGACAAAGCTTTATTGAACACGGAGAGAGAATTCACGCCAAGGTCGAAAATGAGAGCAAGACCGAGGAACTAAAACTGTTGGTGTCATTTGTGATCAAGGTTGGGGACTTGTATACGGTGATGCAGGGATAAATAAAGCTGCAGTTTGTCCACCTGCACAAGTTTCGAGTGTCCCGAGTGCCTCTGGGTAAGAGCATTCAAGACTTTGATCCTTTGATCGCAACCCTCAAATTTACGCTTTCTTCATGCCAACAGCGATTGAACTCTTCGAACAAGATACAACTGGTTCTAGAAGGTGACCATTCGTGAGAAACATCAAACAGTTCCGCGCATAACAATCTATTTTGACCAACATTGAGCCAGGTTATATCGGTATAAATACGTGAGTTCTTAGATGGCGTGCCTAGGTGGCCGCTCGTCTCTATTGTACGTCTACAGCTCCCCACTCCCAACGCTCTTCTCGCTGACGTATTCTGTTGCCTTGGGAACAGACCCATTGTTAGCCGACTTTTGGCCCTGCGGTAGTATACTAGCCCCCTAAGGTCCACTACCGGCCTCGCTGAGGAGGTCAGGGTTTCCACGCGCGTGCAGTGCAAATTGAATACCTAATCATTCAATTAATTCACTTCATGGCCCATCTTGTATTAAAATCCCATTATTTCATAGCATCCGGTATTCTATTAGATTTTTTCCTCATGTCTCCCGAGAATGGAATGTCGATGAATTCATAGCAGCTGAAAATGTATCTCGTGCATAAAACAAGTACCTACTAGGTACGTAACCTAACATTAGGTACATATGTATTTGATGTAGATTAACCTGCAACGGCGGCTTAGCAATGGCGCCTGGGCTTGGCTTGCAGCGGTCTCTGTAGATCCCTGGCTCTCAAGGCGCCGCACTGCCACGCATCATCAGTTACAGCCAATAAATGTTGGAAAAGCTGAAAATGCTTTCTTTGTTTGTCTCTCAGTTTGCAAATGCACGCTGCTCACGGGCGGCCTTGGCGGTTCCGCTTAGGGGTTGAGGGCTGAAAGACAGTAGGGATGCCTACAACACAAAATTTCTGACATTTGAGGCGTAACAGAGATCTTCTCTCCCTCAACAGCATACCGATCAACCCGTTTTCTGCATCCCATACAGGAGAGTCATTGACAAGCCAAAGACCCGCGGCCATGGCTGAGGCTATCAATAACGACCCGGTAGACAAAACAGTGGGATGGTATACCGCTCCAACTGAGCGGGGTACATTGTCGCTCGTCTATAGTTGCCTTCTTACCATCTTCGCTTGCACATGGACAGTCCTTCACCTGAACGTTCCTGGGCATGAAGATTCTACCGCGACAAGATTTCTCAGAAAATTGAAGTGGATGGCTATTACCATCTTACTTCCTGAATTTGTCTTTTCAAAATCAGTGTGTGAGTTAAGACTGGCCTTGAAGGACTACCGCGAATTCAGAGAGACACTTGCAACAATCGAAACAGACCGCATCACTTGGGAAACGCCGAACCCGTATGGTGGCATGACAGGCTTAAGGAGAAGCTGGAAAGTGAACGACAAGGAATCCAAAGTGGTACAGGCGTTATATCGCTTGATGGGTCTCGGCCTATGGGAATCAGCTTCCAAGGACAAGCCTTGCAATGATCAGTCCGTCACCACTACGAGCGCGACAATCGAAGAAAGCAAGACTTTGACAAAGCTACCCACGCACCCTGAGAGTTCACGAGGGGATTCAAACGAACAAGATCCTACCATAGACAACACCAATACACAAGATCCAAGACCTGAAGTGGTTGTCATCCCAAGTTCACAGGATCCCGAGAACAGCGACAAAGACAAAACCCAAACCAGATGGAGAGAGCAGCCTCAATTTTGGACGCTAACTCATTCGTATCTGGCCAACATGGGCGGCTTGGCATACTGGCACACCGCTTTCAGCCCTTTTGTTCTCACAGGCTCCAAACTCAGTCGTCACTACGAGTGGCGTAATGTCGATCACCCGCTCAAAGGCTTTTCTCTCCAAATGGAAGACATTGCAGACAAAAGCAAAGCAGATTGGCTGCTGAAAAGCCTTTCTGTACTGCAAATTTCCTCACTTGTTTTGACAGTAATCGCTAGAGGGGTAGCAGGTCTTCCGATTACGCAACTCGAAATTGCCACATTGGCATTTTCCATATTTGCAATCGCCACCTTTGCTGTTAATTGGTGGAAACCGAAGGATATATCTCAACCAATATGGATCCCCCACATCACTAGAGGTTTTGATTGTTCGGAAGATCATGAGCAAGATCCGGAGAACAATACTGGGGTTTTCAATTACACTCAGCCCTTCATGCAGCGTTTGCTATCTCCTCATCGGGCAAGACGACGTGAGAGACGCATTCAAGATCTACTTCGTGTCCCAAACGATATGGTAGATATGGAGGGAGAGGTCCCACTTATTGTTATTCTGATGGCTATTTCTGCTCTCATCTTTGGGGGATTACACTGTTCTGCATGGAATTTTGAGTTTCCTACGCGCACAGAACTTATACTGTGGAGGATTACTAGTATTTCATCCTCACTTGTTCCCTTTGCATCTCTTCTGGCCAGCTTGACCCTAACGTATTTCGCGACCTCTTATACGATTGGCAGAAAAGTTTCGGCTGTGAGAAGCGAGATGGAATGCCTGCGTGCATGGCCGGATGGATATCTCGACATGATCACGGACCCATTCTTTCTGAAACCAGTCGTCAAATTGCGTCCCGGATTTTCCATATCGAGGCAACAAGAAACTCACTTTTTTCTCATGGCAATCTTGCTCAGACCAGCTGGAATTCATCGTTTTGATAAGATCCCAGAGGATGAAGAAATACAGCGAGCAAGGGACAGTGAGCAAAAAAGCGGCCTCTATCGCACAGCAAGGTCTATGGAACTTTTCGCAAATCGATTTGCACACTTTCGAGGACTGCTCAAAAATTTAAATGAAGGCATCAGATGGTCTGGTGAGTCGGTCGACTTAGATTTCAGCATCTCGACGCTGTTCATATATGACAAAGAGTTGGAGATATGGAAAGACTTTGAGAATTCTTATGTTAAGAGAATAGCCCCAGTGATGGGTAAGGAGCACTCCGAGTCCACAGCAGTGGGCGACCTTATGAGCGGCCTTGGCCGATTGAGGGAAAGGTTTCACCGATTCGACAAAACTCGTGAGCAATGCACGAGAGCATCCCGAATAGTTACGATCGGCGGTGGTATACTCTATATCACGGCGCGTCTGATCCTTCTCGCTCTACTCTTTAGCCCTCTAAGATCGGCTCCTATTGGCGTCTACCAAAACACGCCCTGGACTAGATTCATTCCGAGCTTTTCATAAGCAGCTCAATGACCGACCAAAAGATATTGTCCTGATAAATATGGGGAATGAATACAGCTTCGACCAACCTTGCCGTGGAAATCACTGAAGGACAAGTACTACTCGTGTCCTGACGACCAGAAACGAGGCCCGTCACGGTCGATGCCATTGAATCTTCCAACTCGCCTGTCGGCATACCACTTGCTGAGCACCTACACCCGGGCGATGCGTCGAACCAGACACGTAAGGTGTGATGCTCTGTTTCGACAGGACAGCCACCACTGCGATGGCGTAAATAGATTTCCCACAGGCAATGGCCTGATACCATGACCAAAGCGTCCAGCCACATGGTACCCTCGAGTTCATCTCGCAGAAGGAGACTGCGACGCTTCCAGCAAGATTCAGACCAGATTGTCCGTGGGACTTGCCAGCGCCGGCAGTACCCAACGCCATTCTCTCTGTCGCACTGACGTAGTCGGCACACTCCGCAAAGCAACTGTTTGGCTATAGCATATCTTCTTTACATTGGCTCAGGCGGAGATCACTCTGGTTCATGTAGATGGTGCGATTTGCATTCCATTCCTACCATGTGAATCTGGGGGAGGCAGGATTGCCCGGGCTAGAGAATAGAGGTTTTGGATGCACTGGAATTTACGTATAATTCCATGTTTGGAAACATCTTGGGCGATAAGGTTCTGAGTAAAGGCATGATTGGTAGCACACTGGTAGCTGCCCTCGGTTATGACGTGAATCTGGAGGGGGAGTTTGAGGTTCGGTAAAGTGACATGGTATTTTCATCTTCAGCAAAAATATTTCTTGTTTTGTTTTTTTCTTGGGGTGATATCTGGGCGCTTTCTGCCTGTCGTTATCACGTGTTAGTATTCGTCATTCCTGATTGAAGCTTTTCGTTCAATGTTGATCCTCGATTGTCAGGTTGCACTAGAATGTGAGACAAATTTGTAGACCGGCCCGCAGCCACAAACCGCCATGTTCTCAGCATCATATTCTCTTAGGTCCCTGAATCTCGGAATACATGGCTGGCACTCGTCCAAATTGAAGGATCAACATATAAGTATCGTGTTTGCCCCTGAAAAGCGCTTTGGAAAAGGATTGATCTGACAAGAGCATGATTTGCAATTTTCGAGCACGTCAGATAGACACGGGCTGCAATGCATTGACAAGCAATTAATCAGACTTTGTCAAAGATCATTTCCCATACACTCGAGTAACTCGTACCTGGCAGCCAATACAAGGTGCTCAGCTTTGCGACACTATGAGCACATGCAAAAAAAAGCAACCATGATTGCACCACAGCTGACCTAGACCCCCCCTCGCGCATACGGAGTCGAGATCATCATGGCGAGACCAGCCGCTTGGGACGCCCGATGGCGTTACACGAGCTGACCTTGTCTCACCCTGTGAGCTTTCCCAAGACAAAACCCCGGGGGCAGCAGTTGGTAGAGCAGTAAACCCACTACTTTATCCATTCCAGGGCCCGATCTTTCCTTCTCCCCACCAAACACCCAAAAGAATTGTCGATATCGAGAGCTTGTGTTTTTCATGACGATCAGACGAGTATGGGCGACATCAATGTGGACCTCCAGACGTCCATGACGATGGCCGCTTTCATTGGCATCTCAGTAAGCTTGTTTTCTGTTCTTGGTGTCTCTGTCAATTCCGAGCTTGTTCGACTGCAAAGCACTGGGTAGCCAAATAATTTTCACGTGTTTGGCCCGTAATGCATAGCAGCATCGTTGGAATGTGACAAAAAGACAAACTATAGTTCATAATAAACTCTCAATAGAAAATCACTAACTCTTGATCCCATAGTGGTACATTGGAATTGAGGTCAATCTGTCGCTGCTCCTCTTATTCAAGAGACGTCGAGGATTGTACTTTTGGTCGTGCGCGCTCACGTCGTGGGGCGTGATTCTGCAGCCAATATTCATCATCCTCGCCGACTATGGCATATGGAGAGACCCAATACCATCAATCACCATGATCTACCTGACATGGTTGATCATGGTTGTTCCCCAAGGTTGGGTGCTATACTCGAGGCTTCACCTACTTTTGCGCGAGGCCAAGGTACTACGAGCCATTCGGCTGGTGCTTATCTTTAACTCGGTCGCGTTCTCGATACCGACAATCGTCATTGGCATTCTCGCTGTAAGTATCTCCAGGATGTACTCGTATATGCCACAATGGTAGCTCTGACATGATGCGGCCCTGATGGTAGCAATCTACAACGGTCAATGAGTCACTAGTCTCATTCAACATTGTCTGGGACAGAGTCCAACTAGTGGTATTTTTCGTACAAGAGACGGCGCTGAGCATCCTGTACATTTACCAAACGCGCAAGTATCTTCACGACGCAGCTCCTCTCCTCGAGCGTTCTTGGTCCGTACCCTCTCGTGGCACCCAGGAAACCCAGAACAATGAGCAGAAGAGCTTGCTGCGGCAGCTCATTTGGACCAACATTCTCATTATTGCGCTCGATATCAGCCTCCTGGGAATACAATGCGCCGATCTATTCTATGTCCAGGGCGCCTTCAAGCCGTGCGTCTACGGAATCAAGCTCAAGGCTGAGTTTGTCATCCTAAACCGCCTCATAAATAACGTTCAAAGGCGAGCCAATGGAGGCTCGTATATGAGGACTGGCAGTGAGAGCAACAACAGTGCGGCAAAAGGTGGGAGACATACCAGAATTTGGCACAAAAGGCCACCGTTGAACCCGATCGAGGATCCCCCACTGGAGTTGGGTCATTGGAACGGCGAGAACGAGTTCAGATTGCACAGTAGAGGGAGCCAGGCTCCAATTCTATCTCCTTCCAGGTGACGATTCATTAGCAGAGTTCCAAATTATAATTTTTGCAAATTTTATCAATTTGGCATTGGTCGCATCCCAACGTTTTCTCGGGACGGATAGCTGACTGTCTAAGTACCTAATACTTGCTCAATCGTATCGGCCCCATCATTATCATCATTTGACTGCAGCGATATTTCAAGCCCCCCTAGGCTGCCAGCCAGGGTCTGCGAGCACTGTTCCATTCTCGATAAAGCCGGGCGCGACTGTGAGGATTGCATTAGTCACTTGTATGCAAAACATGACATGTTGAACAATGACCACAGTGCTTGTGTCTTACCTGTAGTTCCCACCAAAGTCCAAGAGCCCAGAGAATGCGCACTTTGCCACGTGCCGCTGGGGATGACAACTTGTGGCCTCTGATTGCAAAAGATGTCGGGTCCCAGGACGTGTCTGACTACCGGGTTTCCGTCGTCTAGAGACAAGGACAATGTGAGCGGCGCACCCGCGTAGTAGTGCCAAACCTCGGCCGCGTCGAGCAGGCGGTGCCACACGGACTGGCCTGCAGAGCCCTCGAGCAGGTAATAGATGGCGGTGCTGACGGAGCGATTGTTGACACGGGCGGGATCTTCAAAGGTCTGAATGTAGTAGCCCTTCTCTGGGTTGGGCGCCAGCTGCAGCTGCTGGACGACGTCTTGTGCGCTGCGCTGGTCAACGGCAGTGCTTGGCGACTGTGACCGTGCTGCGGTTGAGAGGCCGAGCAGCGCTGCTGCAGTGGCTAGGTAGACGTTGTACAGCAGCATTTTCGGGATTGGGGATGGAGAAGTGACAAAGTTGATATGAGAGTACGAGAGTAATCAACAGGCATGCATGGGTTTCTGTGCGCCAGTGATATTAAATTTTGACCTGTCGATCTGGGGTCATCTGTCAGCCAAAGTACGCAATAGCGAGGTGGGTAGGACAAACACGGTATCTTTTGCTTTTCTATCAAACTCGCTTGCAGTCCTCAGCCTCACGAGAACTTTCGCCTATGCAACCAATTGGACCCGATTCTCGAGATTGGATTCCTCGAGACAAATCGGATGAAGCAATATGCCGTGAATTACGGGCATGTAAACTTTGGGAGAAGCAAAACCTCACTAAACCCATCCAGAACTTGAGTTGTTGCTTCATGTGAGGAAGATTAGTAGTACCTACTAGCGCCAGTGTGAGGGTAAGCGCTATTGAGTTTTGTTTGCAGCCACTTGACGGCAGTCGCACGCAAAATCGTGGCTGCCTTATGTAGGAAATAGTGGCTTTGGCGCATGATTAGTCCTTTTCCTATGTACTTGGTAGTAATTGAAAGAATTAAAACAATTGCTACTTTGATATATCAATCTGGCACCTCAACAGGGCCCAACTACATCAATGATACCCAGTACTTGACCTCACTTAAGTAGGGCGACGGGCGCTGTAAATTCACTGGTGTGCACCCTAGGCTCTAGCCTATCAGGCCACCCATAAAGATTTAGTGTTCTGTACAAAATACCCGTCCAAGTCCCAAAGCCACTCAACGGCCACATAGGAGAAACATTCTCTATAAGTAGAGAAAGAAAGGGCAGAGACCGCGTAAACACTTGACACAGTCAGGTACAATTGTTTCCCAAGCTGAGACAGTTTTGACTTCTAGTTCCGGTCTGGACGTATGGTTCTCTGGTACAGGGGTTTCACACAGGCAACAGTGGCTTTGAGGGCATGCACTAAGACGATAGGTGCAATTTCCTAAACAAATTTTGAGGCTGCTGTCCCATATTACTCAACTACACGCGCAGCAACATCGACGGAATGTATTTGATTTTGAGCACCTCGCCCGCACTGATGTAATCTGTAACCTTCACTTGACAGCAGCAAAGCTCCTTACAGTTGACCACTGACACCGGCTTCATAAGCATTGACCGAGGCCGTAATCCAAAGCTATGGTATTCGCTCGTCAAAGTTGGCTGCATGGATATGGCATCTATTGTAGGGATTCCAGCCAGATTCAGTAAGCTTGCCCTCAGTTGTGGTTCTTCGTCAGAATATGATCAAGATGATGATGCCCAGGGACCTTGCAGTTCATGATAATTGGCTCTGTATTGTTCGGGCTTCCATGGTCCAAAATGTGCCAATATCTGTATCCGAATGCGAATAACTCCGCTATGCCCGAAGGATTTCAGTGCGTCAGCACTTGCACGAATACACAGGACTCGGCTGCCACGAGTCCCTTTTCTTTATTCTTGCTGGCTATTCGTGATAAACGGAGTGGCAAAAATCGCTTGTGCAAATCAGATATACATACCCAATCATTTAAAGTGGCTGTTGCTACAATGAGCGAAGCAGACAGCAACCAGCAACATCCTGCACCTCAAGCGGTTCACCATGAGATGCGGAATGCAGAAAACAGCGCCGCTTACCTTTTGGGCAAGCTGGAGGACATGAAAGCCATCAACCCGCAGATCAAATTGCTCGACGTCGGCGCCGGCTCGGGCACCATCTCGGTCGCGTTGGCCAAGGCGCTCCCCCAAGGCTACGTGACGGCCATAGATATCAAGGAGGACATACTCCCGCGCGCGCGGGCCATTGCCGAGATGCAGGGCGTATCCAACATCGAGTTCCTGCAGGCCGACGTTTTTGCTCTGCCCTTTGCCGACGCGAGCTTTGACGTTGCGCACTGCCATCAGGTCTTGACGCACCTGAAAGAGCCTTGGAGGGCGCTGGCCGAGATGCTGCGCGTGACCAAGCCCGGCGGTATCGTTGCGGCTCGCGAGGGCGACTTTCAGACCGAATGCATCTGGCCCGATCTTCCTGGGCTTGCGGATTTCCATGACTTTGCGGCCAAGATTATAGTCATGGGAGGAGGCAGTGCTACAGCGGGCCGGCAGCTCCTGTCCTGGGCACTCAAGGCTGGAGTACCGAGAGATAGGATTGCCGCGAGTTTTGGCACTTGGTCATACATTGAGAAAGAGGAGGAGAAGGTTTGGGGTAAGTTCATCATCACCCATCGTTCAATCTGCATGAATTGGCAAGTCACTAAGTTGAATGGTTTCAGCCCACGGGATTATTGATATTATCAAGGCTGGGCGCCTGCGTGATGCTGGACTCAACGCAAAATTTGTCACGGAAAGTGAACTCCAAGACATGATCAAGGCATGGGAAGAGTGGGCAGAAAGAGACGACTCGACGCTGGCAATGATGTCGGGAGAAATAATCATTCAAAAGCACATCTAAACGGATTGGGCAGCCCAAATTCCTTGGAAAACCCTATCGGGTTGGTTGTGCTACCATCGATACCAAGAGTCCAGACGGAGAATTGGCTGATACCTATGCTGCGAGCTTTTGTATCTATGGCCGTAGAGACATTTGAATAATTCCTAGATACAATATAAACAAGTTCCCTGCTCGGTTACGAGAACTCTTGACTTTGATCTCAATATCTTTCGGCCATTATAGAACCCGACAATCTTGTACATTTACAATTCTCTGGCCAGGGCCAAAAAGTTGCCATGTACTCCGGGCGGGCAAAATCCAGAAGGAAACATCTTTTCGTACTCTTTTCTTTCCTGTTGGTCCTTGATCACAACTGATATGCTCAATCCTCTCTCGGTGAGCTCCTGGAAGGTTTCGGACCCAGAGCTCTTGTAGTGGTCACGCGCAATGTCCGCCACCACTTGCATCAATGACATATCTCCTTCCTTGGCGCGCACGAATATCCAGGGCAGAACCCAATTTCGTAGCAACGGAGAGCCAGAGCCTTGCTGATGGAAGCTCTCATCTGCCTTTGGTTTTATGGCCTGAAGAAAGTTCCAGCAAGAGCGGTGCATCTTGAGCCATGGGAATGCCATGCTGAGCTTTTCATTGTTAAGCACGTGTACCAGCTTGAATATCACTTGATCTGGGGTTATCTCTGGGTCGTTGATCCTGTTTGGTCGGCGTCGTGTCTTGCTGTCCAGCAATGTTTGATTGATCTCTAGGAACTTTGACAGATCCTCAGAGTTGGTAAAGGCAAGACCTGTTGGTGCTTTCCCCTGGTACTGGTAACGGCTCAGCTTGTTGACTTGGTCTATGATTTCCGCTGTCCATTTACTTGGGCCAGTTGAATAAATCAAGCGGTGCAGAAACAAGTTCGAGACGGGTGCAATGTCGGCAATCTGTATCTCTATGTTGTGTTAGCCAGTCAAGGACTATGAGATGACTACGAACATGGTTATCTCATTTTGGGCTGGAGAGTGTAGAAATTGTTTTGGGATCAACGTTGCTTACTTCGAGGTTTTCTTGCTACTGCTGGCCTGGAAGTTAGGCGCGGGTTGGTGCTGAACAAGGTGGCCGAGACACCGCAACGAAGGTGAAACCTGCTGAAATACTGCTGGGGGGTCGTTGGTGGGGAACCCACAAAGAAGTTGCTGTCCTCAAACAAAGCGCGCACCATCATCATATCATGCCACTTGGTTGTTACCAATTTCTCACTATGGAGGGCATTGTGTAGGTGCGCAGCGCACATGACGGTCTTCCAGTATTGTTCGACCTGCAGGCCGTATGTCTGATATTTGATCGTGAAGGAGAACAACACTAGCCCACTGAGAACAGGCGACATTTTCAACATCTTATTGCGCAGCTTGGTGTCCGGCACTTCCCACCCATAGAACAGATGGGACTTAGCCCTCACTTCATACAGTGGGTCAGCGAGAGCTCTGTCGATGCTCCTGATGGTCTCGGACATGAAGTCGGGGGCCGCCTTCATCCATTCCTGGGATGCGTAGGTACTGCCATGCAGCTCGAGATGCTGTACCATGTCGACCCTCATGTGATTGAGATTGGTTTCAAGGGTATCGAATGCTCTACGCACATCGCTGCGTAGAGTTTGATGAATGTCAAGAAACACCTGATCAATAATCCTCATCAGTATTGATCATAAACGGAACAAAAAGTACCCTTGAGGGCTAGTTTTAATACCAACAAGAGGGGGAAAGGGCAATGGAGAAGTGTTGGGAGAGACTTCAGGATAGAGGTGCAAACTAACCTGTGCTGTAAACACCAAGTGAAACGGAATATCACCGGTGCGATGCATTTCCCGCATCCCATGAATTATCTCGTCGCATACTTGATGCCGCACCTTGGTAATTTCCATATTCTTAACCTCAACAAGGAAGTGAGCCAGCAGCTCCTCGTCCTCGGCATATTGCTGATCTCCCGTCTTTGTAGCACGATCACTGTCCTCGGCATACGGGAGCACTTTCTCAGTGAAAGTGACCATTTTATTATGGCGCGTGTTCTCGCGAAATCTGTCCACCAGCGAGTATGCCGAATAATAAGTGTCAACGCTTAAGCGGTAGTGCTTATGATGAACGTAGGGGTATCCAGGATCTGTCTCTGTATTATTTTCGTAGTCAGATTGTGTGTAGGGTTCTGACGCTTGCTGCAACTGTACTCCCAAAGTCATGTTGATACAGTTCTCTAAGCCACCAGTGGCTTCGATTAGAGGAACGATCCCATCAATGATGTTACGGGCCAGTTCGACAGCCGTGTTGGTGGCAATGGCTGATGTTATCAGGTCAAACACCTTGTTTTTGTAATTCTCCCAGATCCAGTCGAGGCGATGACGGATATGGTTCAGGTCATCCATGACCAGAAGAAATGCCATTTGTGCTTCTCTGGCGGTAATCAAGCGTTCAGCCTGATATACAGCAGTATCGCCGAGTGCCGGTTTTGGTCGCTCAGTGTCAGGGGCGTCGAGGAAATGCTCTGATGGCTCGTGCACAAAAAGTCGGGCGAAGCGGTTGGTGGCCTCCCCCAGGCGGTCTGTCGGCTCCGTTGGATCACTGGTTTGAGGCGACATCTGGAACCAAGGCCGAAGCGTCTCGCGTACCGATTCAAGGATGGAGACAAAGAATGAATGGTTACGATCCAATGACTCGTTCAACAAACTTCCATGCTTCTCTAATCTTCGACCAAAACTCTGACGGACCCTGATAAGACGGTCCAGGGTTGAGGCAAACGAAAAAGGTACCGACACATTTTTGCTGGCAATGTGTTCTGCAAGGACAACAAAGTCCCTTATTGCGATACGATATGTTCGGTGAACCTGGCCTTGATTCTCTGCAGCTCGTTTGGCATCCTTTCGGGCCTTGCCCTTCAGCCTGCCAGTCACCGCCGCCTTGCTACTTGTCGTTTCCGCGTCTTGCGGTTGGGTCAAAAAGTAGCCTGGGCGATAAGCATGAATCAGTAAGGACATTGCTTAGCGATGAACACAGATAACGTACCGTGTGCTGAAGCAGTAGAGGCAAGCCAGGCTGCAACTGCGTCCGTGTCGGCTTTGTATTGCTGGTATGCACCAACAAGAGGAGTAGGCAACATCTTGGGCGCAACGTCGTCGCGACTTCCAAGAATGGATAGATGTGGCACTCAACAAATGAACACAAATTGGACAAGAACGTGATTGAAACGCAGAGGACATGAATGGAAATGAACAATTTGTGCTGCTGGGTTTGATTGTTGACAAGGGACACAAAGTAGTGGGAGTGTCTTTATGTTGCTCAATCAAGCGTGGAGAAAAATGCACGAGCAAACGGCGAAGACAGCGAAAAGGTTGGAATACTCCCCCACTAGCGTCAAGAGTGAAATGTGTCTAGCTTGAATAAATTATTTGTTTATTTATATTACGACAATAGTCTTGGCCCATGATGATTCAAGCATTCAAATTATCACGTTCCTACCTAGTAGTTTGAGGTGGATATCTGAACAGAGGAAATTGTTGATAGAACGAGTTCTCGGTGAAAATCGTTGTCTTGTGCAATAATAACAGCATCAAACAGAAAAGCGGACTATGAGATGTCTATGTAACATTCTAATATTAAGCTTGAAATTAATGATCTGATCTTCCTCGTTCCTCATGGAAGCTCTCATCTCGTCCATCCATTCTTCTGTGCGTGGAAGAGTGACAGAAAAAGGCTCGGTGCGATCGTCAACTTATCTACAATAACCACCCTTGGAAGAAGACGGGACTCGTTGGGAGAGCTGTTCTTGCCACCGATATTGGAGAGATTGAATCTTAAATACCCCATAGTGGAAAAGGATCTGGGGAAACAGTGACTGTTTTTCTAATTGTAATACTACACAGTGATTGCCCTGCACAGAATGATTGTTCAACCACGTACCCCACCGCTACAGTAGGCAGACTAGAAAGCTCAGGTGCGTGCGTTGGCCAAATATTTGGAATTCTTTTCAAGCACGAGCCCATGACTCAGGAGATACTTGCAACATGCCGCGACACGGAGCCAAGTCACATGTTTAATCTTGCTATTTGTACTGGGTAGTAGGAGAGTGTCTTTAGGTTTTTTTTAAATGGTATTTGAATCCTTCCCTGCTTATCATTTTTCAGATCAACGGGCCATGACTCGCCCAGTTTCCCTTGTTGTATTTGAGTAGCCTAGTTAGGCGTGGGTGCTGAATTGGGAGTAGGCATAGCAGTACGCTTGGCATATGGCACGGTGGAGCAGTAAGCTGGTCTTGTATCCGGCCATGAGAAATCAGTCGGCAGGTTGAGCATTTCAAAGCATGGATCCTCGACACCTCCGCCCTCAACATGGTCGACAGCTGCCGGCACCCAGTAAATTGCCTCGGGATCAATGGCAATGGAAATCCAAGAGTAGATGCCTTCCGCAACTGATTCACCAAGCAAGACATATTCAGCTATGGGGTCTACCTCTGCCTCGGTCGTCTCTTGCTCTATTATGATGTCTTGGTCATTGGTCGTAAGAGTGATGTTGTTTTCGGTATAAGGATAAAATGTTTCGACTTGGTTGATGACGTCTTGGTCGTAGAAAACCTGCCCAACGTGCGAGGTCCACTTGCCACCAGCGATTGTATTGTTGGGCAGAAGGGTCCAGTTGCCAGGGGAGTGCGCAGCCATGTGAATATGAGTAGCCCTGCCATTGTAATGTCCCGGGAATATGGTCTTGTATGCAACAACTCCATCGTCATCGGTAACCTGAATGCCACGCAAAAAAGTTGTATTCATGCCACCTTCGGGGGCAGGATAACCAGAGTATTCGCCGGTGGCGTTTGCGTGCCATATATCGAGAGCAACACCCTCAATCGGCTCACAGTCGCGAGTACTGATCAACTGGATGTCGAGATAAAGTGGTACGCCAGGCTCGTCCTCGGTAATGTCACTGCGCACCATCTCGCCAGAGACAAAATATGGCCCTTGAGTTGACTCTGGTACGAGTGTACATGATCGCTCTCCAGTAAACAAAATCTCTGCGTCCGTGTTGGCGGTAATGCCCGTCAAGTTTGAGTGGTGCGTGGTATTCAATACAGTTGCAAAGTCACGACCGGCAAGACGTGCATTTTGGCGTCGAAGAGCTCCAACCGCGGAGGCTCGTCGGGAAATTGCTGTAGAAGTGTGACCGCGGGTGATGAGTTTGTCCTCGCAATGGCCAAGATTGCGCGCCTTCAGACTCTTGTATGAACCAGCGCGCTCTGCTGCCTCGTCTCGAACATTATGTCTTGGGTGTGCGGTGCACAGGGTGGCAGCAAGAAGGCACAGAGCAATGAACATGAATGATGGCATGGTGTTTCACCAAGGATACGTTATCGAATACGCCATTCGGTGAAATTTTCATCTGGACGATGAGCATCTATCTATACCTTGTGTTGAATAGGCAAGTACGGAAAAGCATATTTCCAGGTATAGGCATGGGTATTACGGTGACGGATGGGTAGTTCCGACCACGCGTCGTCATCGGCGAATGGCCTCGGGTAGACTCCGTGATTGGCAACTGACACGCGCCATATTCTGCATTTGTATCAGGAAAATCTTCTGTTATAATACGAGCCCAATGTTTATCCATTGATCTCGGCATAGTTGGCCATTCATTATTGTATATGCACCGGTATGCATTTCAAAGATTTTATCTAAAATAGATGCTAAATACTCAAGATGTGGCTTTTCAGACCGCTATATTCCTTATCGCGGTCGCATTGGAACCTCGAGATAGAAATCACAATCCGTTCAACGACGTAGTTGTCTCATGCTCAAGTATATTTGCCAATGAATTTGTGTACTGTATTACACACAAACCTAGGATACTATATAAACATCAGCCACGCTGAGTTCTTGGCCAAAGATATATGCATACACAAGACTAGGTTAACCCTCTTCATCTTAGTGCCGGTAATCTCCCAAAAGCTTAAGAGCATTGTGTTACCCATCACCTGCGGGGCATGTCCGACGGCTGAACTGGTCCGGTCCCGGTCCAAGGAATCCAGTCAAGGTGCAGATATATAGACGTAGAGAGCATCGACGTGCAGACCCCATGCAACAGTTATGGGCATGCCCCCGTACTTTCACCTACCTAAAACTTCGTAGCACCCGAAACGCTGATAGGCGGTTCACACGAGACAGACAGAACTTTTCCATGTACTATCAACCAACAGCGTATATTGGTTATGATGTATGGATACCTACTGCAATCAATGGGGCTTTTTATTAGATTATCACCTCACGCTTTAATATATAAACCCGACTATACTTTTGTGCTTATTAGAGTTTAATCCCCTAAAGATATGATGTCTACTATTATTATTTATGTCGAACCCTGTATAAAAACTTTATACCACGCTTAAAGAATACTGACCATTTCCTATTTGACACAAAGTTGGGATAAGTCGAATGGGTCAGCCAAGGTAACTGTTCATCGGTACCGAGCCTGTCAAAGTCTGGAGCTTGTGATGACCTGGCTTACCAAACTCTGAGTGCGCGCGTATGACAATGCGTTGGCGGTGTCAATTCAATAAAAGTCGCTTACATAAATACTAATCCATGAGCTTGATACTTAATATGTGTAATGTCAATGAGGCTGGCAAAGGATGCCCCTCGCTGACCGAATCAAAATTTGCACTTTTATGCATGGGCGAAAGAATTTAAGGTGGTACTTTGCGAAATATCCCTGTTACCAGTCTGCGGCTGAATATATTCGGGCACCTTGCAGGGTGCTCAGGAGGTTAAGGCTGGCCTTGGGAAGCATTAAAGGAGATATTTTCCAATAAAAGCACGTAGTGTGACAATTGCGTGTTCGCAATATTGACTCGACCCCGACAAGTGACACGTATAAAGCAGAACAGCGAAGAGTACCAAGCTACATTTTAGAACTTTTGGTCTTTGGAATGGTTCAATTGCCTCCAGTTTATGCAACACTTCTTTTTATTTATTTTTTTATTTTTTAAAGGAAGAGAAAACAAGTGTCACATAACCCGATTACTATGCATCGCATCTCAGCAGCCTGACGATACATCTCTTAAAGGTTTGAAAGAATGTACTCAATCTGACCGACAGCTTGGCCTCAGCATTTCACGGCTTCACCTCACATGCAATTATATCATACATGTGAGGGTTTGATGACTAGGAGGTCACTTTAACACTTGGGAAAGAAAACAATGCAAGACAAAAATGCTACTAGACGACTATGTTCTGTGGGACGGGAGCTAGGTGCGAGTGTCTCGACTAATTTCTTAGCTGACACCCACTGCACCGACAGGTCGAGCTTCGGCGGAACTGAAGGAGGCCATAAAATCCATGTCCAGGTAGTAACGTGGTGCACAGAACTGCTATGTGTATCTCGCAGGCGTGCCATTCTTCTAGTGAATATTTGACGACATCATACAGGCCACATGGATTTGATGGTCATGTTGCTTCTTGCTTTGGATAATAGTTTGATACCATCAAGGCTGAAATGTAGTTCTTGAGCTGCAATACAGAACGAAGCCGCTAGTACATTCTGAAATGTGACATGAAATGATTGAACATTGAAGCTAAAATAGCCATTTACGACGAAGGTCAGACAATGACTTTGAAGGTTATGAAGATCTAGTGACATTCTACCTAGCATCCCTAGCAGGTTTCCTGTTTGGGAGAAGCTCATTCATGGGAGTAAAAGTAATGTTTTAAGCTCTGGCAAAGCTATCAAGGCCTGCTAACTACAAATAGGCAAGTAGACCACTCAGGTCAGATCAGATGGCAGGCGCGAATTTAGTGCTGGACGAGGGGTAAAATAAACAACGTTGGCAGCTGTAGCTAGACCTTCTCTCTGCAGTATCAATATTACCACTCCTCTTGTTTCTGGAATCGTTTTCCTGATGAGTCGTGCCCAGTGAGTATCTAGATCCAGTTCCACAAAGCTTTTTTTTTTTTTTTTGCTAGCAAGACTTTCATTTCATCCACAGACCTCTTTGTCTGTTGATAAAATGGGAGAGCTGGTTCGTGGGTGGTTTCTAATCGGCCTTGGAGCAAAAACCCGAATAGAACTTAGTCTAGTTCACTGTGGGAGATCTTGGAGTTCTATGGCTCGTGAAGCTCTTCCTTGAGATTTAAAGTGCACTTTTCGTATGTGTGGTATTTCTCATGTACCACGTCCCATTTGGGAACCAGGTACCGGCTGAAGAATAGTCCAAAGTCTGACCATCGCGTATGAATGCAAATCGGAAGTACTCAGGCATTGCTAAGGTTGCTGGTCGTTCCCAAGTGAAGTTTGTTGACGTAGTTTCACGAATATCCCCACGATATCGCTCCACGTCATTGACGAGGACACTGATGGCGTCAAATATGGCAGAAGGCTCTGTCATCCAGGCAATTGAGATGGTAGCTTTGTCCAGCATAGAGGATATGGTAGGTTCGTAGATTGATGGTATGTTACTGCGCAGCAAGCCGTCACCGCGGAGGGCCTCGGAAGTCTGCAGTATTGACGCAAAGCCCCATCGTGCAGCGCCATTGACGAAAAGGCCGAGGAGTAAACCCTGGTAGAGCAACGAGGATCGTGTTTGAACGCTCGTGCCAGGAAGCAGGAGAAGGGCATAGATGTAGTGGTGGAGACGGAGCTCAACACCTGGTATCATGAAACAGGCCAACAAGCCGACTAGGAAGAGGCCATAGAGCCCCAGATATCTCAGCAAGCGTCGCTCTAAGAAGAAACAGTAAATTTGCTGTGTTGCTATGATTACGATGACCGTCACGATGATAGCGAGGGCGAGTTTGGCCCCGGGTTGCTTCTCCAGGTCATCAGCTGTGAGACGCTGTATTGGTATCCAGTCAAAGGTATAGTTTGATAGGGCACCGATCCAGAATGCTCCAAGCCAAAACAACGTCTTCTCAACCTGGGCCTCAAGACCTTCCAATGCTTTCGTAATGCAAGTTCGATACAGAACGAAGGCAATGAAGGCTGCAGGTAGGAACCTTCCAGCAAATATCGAGATGCGATCGGGAAGGACCGTCGTATTGTGAAAGGCTGCTGAAGGAGGGTCGGATACCAGGCTGACGTGAGCAAAGATACCAGTAAAAGTAATCCCAAAGTGCAGGGACGGCGAGGAAGTGAAGAGGGAGAGAACGATGGTAAATAAGATAGAGACAGCGAGCAAGAGTCGCCGCGGGTCCTGAGTGCAATTTACGCTTTGATCGCTGGAGAACTGAAACGACAGAGGGAAATATGAATCGAAGGGGATTGACTCGATCCCATTTCGCCAAGAGCTCTCGAACGTATCGACCTGGCCAATATATGTGAGGCGACCACAGCCACCTTCACTGTCAGTTATGATACCAGCATGAATGGCTGCGCCACAAATGAACGAGTCGCCCCGATAAGATGCATCCCCTACAACCAATGCTTGGTAATTAACATCCAAGGGACCAACGGCATGAGGATTCAAGACCTGAACGCCGAGACAGCTAGCTGGACATCGGAATGCAAAGGAAGTATTGGAGAACGGCCTGCAATCAATGCCATCAAGTCCGCACACGTTTTTCTTCTCCCACGGGCTGTCAACACAATCGAGATTCAAGACATTCTGACCGAATTGATCTTGCAGCGTGATTGTTCCCAAATATAGAGGTACGAAGAACGCGATCAGCCACGACAGCAAAAATAATGTCAGCGCAGCGGAGCGAGCCCATGATGTAGTCAAAAAGTGTTCCATCAATGTGAGAGGATACCGCTGATATATTGGAAACCACGGTTCAATTCTCAGCTTCCGAGGTTTTCCGAGATCTTTCGGCCAGCGGGCCAGTCTGGTGCGCCGACGCGTTTGCGGAGTCGGCAAGCCATCGTGCTCGAAATATTCAAATTCCTCTGTGATTAGTAGCTGTGCCTCTTCATCGTGCCCATTGGCGCTGTGGTCTGGCTCGATCGGTGGCAACCCAACGTGCACCGGCGCGTCGCGGGGATTTCCACGGTTTTTGTTCGACATGCTGGTCGTGAAGAACGCAGGGAATCAATTCCTTAGCTTCACTAGTGGTCAAAAGTGTCAGTGATAGAACATAGAAGTATCGATATGCTCTATTCCAGATAGAAATATTCGGACGAACAGAGAAATACGTACGAAAAGTGCTCCAACTGAAAATTGTCAGGATGGGAACAGACTTGTTGCGTGGGCTGCTGAGATGGTTTGTGCATGGGCCCTGGCTGCAAAGCATTCAAGGGCATACATACATAGGTACGGATGGAGGTTGTCGACTAGAACCAGGCTGGCCAACCGGAACATTGGGAAGGAGCATTATTGTGATGTGACTCTGGAGAAGATGGTGAAAAATATGTATTAGGAACTATACGATACGCATACGGGTGTTAGCCTAAGTATCTTTATACTGGTACCCGGTACTATGCGTATCACACATGATGAGTGCAGCGCGCTCAGCCACAAGTATCGAAAGAGCATATACAATGACCGAGGCATTAAAGCTACTTCATGTACTATGCTAGGAATAAGGGTCACTTATATACTAAACCGAGCGACCATTATACTAGGTATATTGCTTGCATACAGATAACCCATAATAAATAGGCTGACATGGATATTGGACGAAAAGGTGGTTTCCTATTAGAGTTTAACCTAGTCTGTCATAGGTGTTAATTGTGTGTTGTATTGATCGTATTGCCTGCTCTTAGTTTTGACGAGGTGCAGGCTTATTTGGATGGTCCCGGCTTACCCCCAGCAAGCCCATATACTGTGTATCTCTCTGTGAATCCGGAACCAATAACGCGTTCTGCTGTGGTCAAACGTACTCTGATAAAAAATCCTTCAATTTGATCGTGTTGTAGGTGTCCAATACATCAATTGGTCAAGTTGCACCGATTTCTTACACACCATTCTTTTCCAGCATTAACCACCCTTCTCTCGCCAGCCTTAAAACGCTTCAGTGAAACCCTTCTACCCAAAGATGCCTCCTTAAAGGCGCAACAATGTTCTTTGATTGCAAGAGAGCCTGTTTGCTCTATTGTCATTGAATCTACAGTCACCACGTTTTTATTTGCTGGAATAATTCCTCATCCGATAAGATGGCTTCCGATTCATCATTCAGCCCAGCACAGAGATCACCACTTGTTGCCTACCACGTGCTCAAAGCGCTTGGACTGAGACTGCTTGCCCATTTTCCAATATTACGGAATAATTTTGGGCTCAGTAATGAAACCCCCAAGCAGATCATGCGGACTTCGGTCCCAATGGCTATTGCTGGCCTTACTATTCATATCTTCCCGATTCTGGTCTCGGCCGTCATAATCGCTCTGAACATGAAATATCTGTTCTTAGGTCGATCGCTCCCAGGTATCATATACGACGATAACATTACCACTGCGATCTTCCAGGTTATGGCCAAGATACATGAACTCCTCATTGTTTCCAGCCTAAGCACTATCATTTTTAGCGCTGTCCGAGTACAGCTCTTATACGGCACCGGTGTGCCGCTGGGAATGCTATGCTCGGGGTTTAATTTTCCCCAGATCACGTATTTCTGGTCAGAGGAATACTGGGGCGCCATGACAGCTCCCTTACCACGTCGCACACTTTTCCCTTTTGGTTTGCTTCTTCTCACGGCTGGACTGATCGCAGTGACGGCCGGGCCTGCCTCAGCTCTTCTAATGCTTCCCCGGCAGCAAGCTTGGAGTGCTGGAGGTACTTCTTTCTACCTCAGGGGTCTGATCGACGACCTGCAGCCAAGCCGAGTTGTTGCTGCGGAGTCCACGATGAATAAAAAGTGCTTGAATTCAAGCGGAATCAGTCTCTCTACGTGCCCAAGCAGTGGGTTCCTTTCGTTGATGTCATATGCTATGAAACAGCAGAACATCAAGAATGGAGACAACCTTCGTCCGCCGGCCCTAGGTATCACTGGACAATTCGGTGAGCTAAACGTCACCATCGATAGCGTGACAACGCATATCCCATCATCACAACTTGCTGGTGATATCCGCGGTGTCGCTTGTCAGACCTCAGTTCTGGGCTCGTGGATTCCTGTTACGATGTATCAGGACGTCCTCTACAACGACTGGATTCAAGCCTACGATTCTATCTACTATGAGACTAGTAAACTCAATGAGCTAAGCCAGTTCGAATATAAGTACAATTTCGGATCATCCTATTCAACGAGAACATCAATTCCTATCGTGCGCACTGCCTGCTCTCCAGCACAAAATGTCTCTAGCAATCAAATCACAGTGGATTTTCCCATACTTCCAAGATACTCCTGCTGGAATGATACCGCGTCGATCGACTTTCGGGGGCTTGAGTCCAAAGCCTCCCGACAATTGAAAGTCACCTGGCTTCCACTCCCATCAGCTTTCGGAACTACAAGTACTGGAATGGTATTTGAGTCGCCATGGTCCTATGATGGTGGCTCAAGAATTGTTGTTGGGTGTTCCATTGATGCAAGGTGGATAGATGGGAGAGTCGGAGGTTCATTCGGCCGTCCTCCAGTATTCGATATCAATAGTCGCAATTTCTCGGAGTCCTGGGGTCTGTCGTTGATGGGACTATCTAGCCAATTCCGCCCCTCCGATGATGGATCATGGACTTCGATCACGCTTGATGAGTCATGGCTTGCGAGTCTAACGCCATTGAAGGAGCCGCCAAGTCCTTTGAGTTCTAATATGACAACCTTTGAAACGATACTCCAGAGTTCCGCCCTGATTGACCACGACCTAATGTATTCTGATGATCCTGCAACCTTATGGAATGAGGTTATTCTTGGCTCATCGAATAGGACAATTTTCCTGGAATGGTTGACATCCCTGTTGATAAGCGATGGCTTGTCAAGATATGGCAGCGAAAGGGTACTGAATTTTACTGGGCCCCCGTCGGAATGGTCTTTAATGGATTATCACAAGGAGTCGGACTACAATTCTCGGCTCTTGCATGGAATTAACGTGCTTCAACCGCCAAAGGGCGTGGAGTATACAACTTTTGAAGTGGAATTCACCCTTCAAGGACTGTCGTACCAAGCTCAGATCATCACGGACTACCTGTCGATCGCAGTACTATCGGCACACATTGTCCTTGCCTTAGTTCATACGGTCTACGTGCTTCGAGTCCATCAGTCATCAGACGCTTGGGGTACGATAATAGAACTCATTATCCTGGCATACAATTCACACCCCACATCGGCGATGCTCCACAATATCTCGGCTGGTATCAAATGCATAAAGACTTATCAAAAGGTTGTCATTGTTCGCGAAACACATGTTGACAGACCCACTGCACACGAACGGGATGGTGATCACAAGCAGGCCGAACTGATTGTTTTAACAGATAATGAGGGCCTCCGTGGACGGAAGAGCGGTCGCTCTGTGAGCCGTACATGGCCACTAATGTCCTCGCAATCGACATCGAATATTGAGCTCACCGAAAACAGAGCGTTTCCCTCTAATCCTGCGACATCACTCATTCGGTGGTATCCTCGGTCAAGTTCAGGGAATTCTACCGCAAGAAGGCGACTTTTGGATGGCCCAGAGGAGCAACAACGTATCAAGTTGAATGGATTTTATTCGTAAATTCATAGAATAATTAAAGATTGATATCAAGTATCAGGATTCCAATAATTCCAGACACGAAACGCAAACACTGACAGCCTTCAAGACTGTCTGCTATCAAGTCCTTTGCAAAGTACACTAACGGACGTGGGTGTTCGGGATCTTTTGGCGCGGCGTATCAGGCCATGATCGTCTATCCCAACCACCGATGACCCCTGTCTGTCGTTGCGCACCATCAACCAACCACCAACATGCATGCTATCGAGCAGCATAATGAGGAATATTGCCAGCAATCTTTTAAATTGACAGTCTCTCACTTCAAAATTTCACATGGAAAAGCCTCGCAAGAGGGTCGATTCCGGCGGCGTTTTCACGCACAATGTCGCAGGTGGATTCAAGATTCTCAGCACGACGATCCAAGACTCGGAGCTCTGAGAACACACTAGATGAGACTATTGAACTTGTTTCTGTCTACAACGACTCTACATGTTCTTGTAAGTGCCCTTGATCAGGTCCGCAGCACGCTCTGCTACCGGACAGACGGTTGTCTGGCAATTTCCACGGGTTGCCAGTGGGATGACATTAGAGTCCACAATCCACAATCCCTCGACCCCAGAAGAACTCGAGGCTGTGGATGGCGGCTTGCTCGGCACAAACTTTGATCTTGTCGTACCCCTTTTTGCTCCTTGCTTCATCCCGGCTGACATCTTTGAATGTTACCTCATCCTCAGCTGCACCCCAGGTGTGAGAAAGAATAGCGTATAAAGGGATTTGCTTGTCAAATTTGGCAAGGCTCAGTTTACCATCCTGAAGACGTAGGAGACGCATCGTGGAGAGGAGGCACAGGGCGAGATGCCTCACACCGCGTCCTGCTATCTGATAATACGGATAAGTGTGCCTGGGAGTAAACGTTCAAATCGATCAGATAAAGTCAGATATAATCAGGCTTATTGCAAGCAGCTTGGAAAGGCTGCGAGGAACTCCGATAGTCATAGCGCGATGCAAAAGCCAGCTGTAAGGAGGGAGGACGGGGGAGCCCTGACATCTTTTCATTCACTTGTACGCCTTAACGACAGGGGACTAAAAGAGCTTTGCAGCGGGGTAAAGATACGCCAAGCTTTGATGTCGGCAAACCAGATATGGTTCCAACCCACCATCTCTTTGGAGTCCTACCATGATAATTGTTATTTCTGAACTCGAGTGGTTGATCTTTCGGGACACACATGAGATTGGCCATTTCCGAGCTGTTGTGCCACAAATCAGGTCTTTCATTGTGACGTCTATTCAGGGATGGCAATTACATAGTAACAGCGAAGATCCCAAAACGTCTTGATATCACGCCATGCTGCATCTTGGCCAAACCCCGCTTCCTGGCAAAAATGATAGTGGCCGCATACGAAACGGCCAAATTATGCCAAAATGGGCTAGCTCCGGTGTACACTTTGCGTGCTTATTTTGGTGGTGCCGGGTATTCCCCAGGGCTTTCCGATTATTTACGTCAATACCGTGGGGTTCCATGGTGTGCTACGCCATCTCTGTAGCGTACCACATCTGACACTAATGTTTATGCTTTTCGGCGCGCTCATTTATACTGCCAGCAATATAAGGCGACATATTGCCGCTGCTTCGGTAGTTAGGGCCTCTCGAATCGATAGTCTTTCCCGCTGCGAGAGGGAAGTCTGATAATTCGACATATCGGTTACCCTCGCCCTGGACTTCGTGGACACTGGGTCCAGTAGTATTTATTCTCGGATTCTCAGCACTCCCGTTGTAGGAGCGACCGAGAGTGGCGGACATTAGGCGAACAACCCAGACCGAGACTCTCTGAAGCTGCAATTTGGAGACGATAATCGCAAGTGTCGGTAGGCAGGCGGCCACGATGCCAATGGCGACCTCGCAGAAAGACCACACACTAGACCAAACGTGATTCCCTGATGGAACGGATTAGCAGAAGCCAGACCATATCAGAAGTTAGAGCGTGATCAACTTACAACTTGAATCGCCGGGTGGCGCTCGTGCCAAAGCGACGACGCGTATAATGCCAAACACGCATACTACACCACCTAGCAAGAAGATCCCGGACACCTGGGCGCGTTGTGTGGTGGTTAAACGAAGGTGAACGATATGACGGACTGGCAACGCCAGTATACCGACGTCAGTTACCACATTCACGATGCTTATCAAATTAGGATGTGACTGATTTGTGTGGGGATGCTATAGACTTACCCAAGGGCAGTGAACGGCGGCAGCGTGTCGAAACACTTCCCTGGAGCTCCTGCCCACATGGACGACAGCGGAACGCACTGGAACACAGTGACAAAAATGAGGGCCAAATTATAGGCCGCAATGAAGATGCCGAAGATCCACGAGACTAGGGGCAAGTGACGGATAGGGAAGAAGATACGACAGTAGAAGCACAATATGGAGACCTTGGTAAGAACAACACATATGGCATACGCCACGATGGCCACGACATAGACCTGAACAACGCCAGCTGCGTTGGTAACAAAGATGATGTGCCTGCCCTCGCCAAAGGTAGTACTTATCCAGCCCACGATGGCGAAGACCGTCAGTGGTACCAAAGCCGCGAGAATCATTCCGTCATCGAGGCCAAATGATGGCTTTCCAGCCTTGCGGGCCCAGATGCGCAGTCCAACGAAGATATAGGCCAAAGTTAAGCCCGCAGCGTAGGCCGCTATGAGGCTCGGTCGCAAGTCGTCGGCCGCATGTTCTTTGTAGTATTCGATTTGTTCTGGTGTTAGAGACATCGCGATAAGTTTCAAAATTTCGGTTGTGGTTGCGAGTCAAGAAAACTCCGAGAGAAAGTTTTTGTTCGAGGTCAGCTTCAGCGTCCGACAGTGGGAACCGGGGCGGTGGCGATAAAAGGAGGGTAGGTCTCCCTGGTGGATGCTGCGTACATACTCCTACTTTGAGATATTGGGGATGGAGATGTCAGCGTCACATGGGAGTTATATGCACACTGCAGTGGCCATTTGTACACAATCACGGTGCATACACCAGGGTCATTTGGGGTCCCATGCATCCTTCTACAAAACCTATGTACATGCCACTTCAATTTGGTTCAGCCTTACCGGCACACCGACTTTCCACTTCCTCTATACAAAGTCACCCAAAATAAATGCAACAGCTAAGTGTTCGCAATAAGAGCCCTTTTACCGGTTGGTGTCGTGGTGGCGTTGGCTCGCTATAGCGCGGAGTACCAGTAGATCTTGCCTATGTGAATCTTGATGCGGGTTGCATAGGATGCAGCATCGTGCGATTAGAAGCCAGGGTCCTATAGTGCAGTTCCGAATGTGTTGGAGATGCCGGCTTTCCCACTTTTAATTTAGACTGTTGGTTTCGCTGATAGTGTTAAAAGAAAAAGTCCACTTATGTCTCTTCCCTTCCTTTTATGGCCCAGCAAGTCTTGGCTTGTCTCTTGTATTTACCTAGTAAGCCAACTACTCGGCCCAGCCCACGTGCCTTTGACCAAAGACTTGTAGTATACCCAGAGGGAAAAGTCCTTCTTAAGATGATAGAAAGCGCGGCGTGGGACGGCTTGATCGATGCCGGGATCATGGCAAAGGTCTCTTTGGGCACGCCACCGTATTTGAACTCGGCAAGCAACACCTTGCCGTACTCCGTCACGAGCGAACACGATGTGTAGCCGTCATATGTCTTCTGGGGTCCCTCTCCGTCCACCGCTGCCAAGAGATTCGAAATGAGAATCGGTGCTTGCGATGTGATTGCTGCGGTGGTCTTGGATGTTGGGAGGCTGGACGCATCACCTGCTGACCAGACGTTCCCGTACTTCTTGTGCTGGGTGGTGGAGTCGTCCACGTCCACGAGTCCTGCCTCGTTGGACAGCGGGCTATCCTTGATGAAGGCATGGGGACCCATCTTGGGTACGGCGTACAGAAAATCGAAGTTTATATTGGTCTGGTCGCCGCTGCCGAGGTGGTTGAATATCGCCGTGTTGCCGTTAATCGAAATCAGATCGTGTTGAAACAGCCCACTAACACTCGGTAAGTGGGCTCCAGATCATGGCCCTACGGCTCGAGAAGCGCGGAGAGAAGGTTGAGATTACGCAGGAAATGGTAGTCGCCGCGGCAAGGAGTGGATTGTACCCAAGTCCGTAGCCGGCTACGTGGAGTTGCCCGCCAGGTATGAACATGGTGTTGAGTGATTCATGGTTTGAGTTGGTAGTCTTGAGCCCGGTAATTTCAGGACCGTTCGCTGTGTGATCACTCTGAGTCGGAATTGGGAGTTTCTCCAGACAGTGACTATTTGGGCGGGCTGTGTGATCGTCGTCATTGTTACATGTGGGCTGAGGGCGCCGGCTTTTTTGAGCTCAACGGTGGCCAGATGAGTGAGCCATAGAGACGCACCCCAGGCAATGATGCTGACCACGATCAAAGTGACGCATATGCAAAGCCAGACAATGGATGCAAGCGACTGCTTTCTGTAACCCTGATCCCACCTTGGTACAATGGATTCATCTTCGTCCCCAGTGCGTTCGTTATTACTCTCGAGCTCGGGATCCCTCTCCAGGACCTTTTCGTGCTTTCCAGATCCCGACGCTGGTTGGTATTTGGTGAGATCCATTCAGTTTTCACGCATGACTCGATCAGCAGATTATCAAGAATAAGCATTGCGCTCTTATGTTCTGCCTCATTTTGGTCTTCGTCCCACAATTCTATAGCACTGTGGTCCGCAACATATTATTAGATTACCCATGGCCGCCAAGTCCACTTCAATTCAGACCGCCCACTTATCGACCCGAAACTCAAAGATGATTATTGGTCACCAAATGGGCGAGATCGAAACGAAGATAGAAGAACGAAACAGGGCTCCAGAGGAGTGCTTTGCGTCTAGTACTCCCGTAAATGTCTCCCAACTTGTCTTGTGCCTCTTTCCCACGCATAAAGAGTCTAAATTATTCTCTCCACTCCCCAGCGCTCACTGGCGCTATTTATATGCTCGATAGACTTGTCTATTATTTCCAACACCTCGCCGACGTGATAAATCAGCACTAAAAGCACTGGAAACGCTTGATCATTGAGCTCTCGAAAATGCGCCGCCTCCTGTCGCAATCTGCCATTTTCGCGAACGAGCTCTAGTAGGTTGTTCGGTGTTACGGACATGCACCCTTGCCGCCCAAAGAGACAATGCAGGAAGATAGAGACACGGCCAAGAAGTCGGCTAGCCACGAAGCGGAGAGGTGGGGATTGAGATAATGGTGACTGCCTGCGAAAACTCTTTGACATTGAAGAATAAGTCTGCTGTATGGCTTTGCGAAACCCCCTGGGAAGTTTACACGGGCTCCTTACCATTCTTGTCGAAGAGGACTAACTTAGGCAACTATCGCCTAATAATGGATGTGACTCAAATCAGAGATAACCGCATCTGGTTCGCCGACATTTCAGTTCAGCGCATTTTTACCCCGCTGCAGGCATTTTCGCTCCTCGCAGATCTCATTATGCAGCTGTAGCATCGCCACCGTTTAGAAGTGGAGTCAGGATTGATGCTAACCAGAAATTTCGGGTCTATGATGCCAACTCTTGGATTGGTATGGTCTTTCTGGTTAATTTTTGTCACTGCCTGTGGACTGGGCAGCTTGGGCAGGACTCCAAAGAGATGGTGAGTTGGACCCGTACCTGGTTTGCGACACCTCAGCTCGGCGAATCTACATCCCGCTGCAAGGCATTTTCAGTCCTCGAGGTCTCAGCATGCAGCCGCAGCGTCACCACCTAGGCGTACAGCCTGACGAGGCTCTGGATACTTCGGGCGTCAAGAAGGCCGGGATGCCTTGGGCGTCAAGGTGCTCTTCAAATACTCTGTTTTTATCGAGCCTTTTGTAATTAAAATTTGTGGCAGCTTTCGAAGCTGAAGGTATGCTCGAAAGTCAGGGAAAATGCGAAGAGGCGGAGGAGATCTATCAAGATACTCTTGAACTAAGGAAGTAGTTTTAGGACCGACCCATCCATCAACTTTACGAATTAGCAGAAATCTTCATCAACTTGTAGCAGCCAAAGCTCGTGACGCTTCAGCAGCAGCCTCTGACGATTTGGGAGATAACGGAGGTGCTGCGATATAGTTCATTACATGATAAATATCGTATATCAAGATCATAAATCTTGGATCCAAATCCCATTTCAGCCCGCCTTGCTTGAGATATCAAGCCAGCATAATGACTTCATCCAATTTTAGACCGCTCCGTTTATCCATATTCGGATCGCTCAAAATAGCCTTTGGAAGAGTAATGGCGAACCGACATGCCAGGTGTTCCAATGTCACAGTGGGGCCATATCAAAGGAGAAGGTAAGTTCTCCTCTTCAAACTCGCAGCGGACACCATTTGTCGGCAAGGTCTCGACGATTGCAGCATCATGCCAATAGACTGCCGCGCAAAGAGCCCTGGTGGACGAGACTCTATTGGTCTTTGGAACGAGGAGTCGCACTATTTGAGCATTTCGGTGTACAGCCCTGACCAAAGCGGGCCCGTGAATGTCATGACATGTCGCGTTCGAATGGTTCAAGTCTGAAGACGGTGTTGGTATTTTCCGGTTGAAACGATGGATTGAGTTTGCGCTGGACTAATCGCTGCCAATCAAGACCGTTGAAAGAAGGGTGATATTTTACTTCCGAAACTCCATGTACTCCCAATCGTTGCAAGGGATCTTTGACTAAGAGTCCGTTGAGAATGTCTCTTGCATCAGATGGAAGCTCGGGAGGGATTTGTATAGTTCGATTGGTTATTTTGCGCTGCTGCTCCTCAGGGTCTCTGTGGTAAAAAGGAGGGACCCCAGCCAACATCTCGTAGAGTAAAACACCCAGCATCCACCAATCGACCGCTTCAGTGGCCTCCTGACCCGCAACGAGTTCCGGGGCTGTATATTCGAGTGATGCCGGCAGAGGACAGGTTCCAGAGCCGGATGTTGTTAGACCATGACTATAGATAGCAGGGCAACAGAAATTAATGTGACCATGCGCATCCAAAAGAAGATGCGTTGGTTCAAGCAAAGCAAGGATCATATGCTTATTGTGGAAGTACTCCAATATGAGAATCAGCTCAGCAGCATAGAATCTAACTTTGTCAACATCAAAATATCGCTGCCTTTGAAGGTGATGAGATAGATGTCCACCGCTGGCTAGCGGCGATAGGAGGCTAAGCTGTTCGCCTGATATAAAAGCGAACTTGAGAGGTGCGACAAAGGGTGACATATGCCGGGGCCAAGGCCTTTCGCCTTCTCAGATACCAAAGCAATACCGGCCGTGCCTAGTTGAACCGCTGTCATGGCATATATTCGGCCGGTATTCTTTCTCGTGACATGAACGAAGTTGGCATGCTTGACTTCACGAAACTCCCAGGCATTCCAATCTTCCAAATTCGGGACTTTCTGCTGATGATACGAGACCATGACTTCCACTTGGCCGGTGCCATCCTCAATATCCACCAGCAGTTTGCCTACAGGATACCCATCCGGAAGAGGGCTTATTGTGATGTACCCACGAGGCTCAATAGGTTGTCCCACCGGAGCATTATCGTTTCTGGCAGAGAAATGGATCACCAAGTCGGGACACGTGGTAACGTCAAAGTGGAAAGTGTCTGCCCACAAAGCGTTCCCTCTCTTGCCACCCCACCAGGCGGCCCTAGCAGATAATTGAAAACCTTCACAATCGAATAAGGCGTAGATGGGCCTTTCATCAGTCAACTCCGGGGTTGAAGGCTGTCTTATTCGATATGCGCAGTGAAGCTTGACGGTTAGGATTCCACTTTCAAAACCGGCCCCAGCAGCACTCGGAGGCTGTGGCGGGAAGATGACGCTTGAAGTAACTATGGGTGAGACATTGTTCAGAATCATTCGTGTCTCTTGTGGCCGTTGGGGCCGGTCGAACGCACCATCCCCATCCATAGGCGGTAGAGAAGCTGTTGGTGGAGTCCACCAGCTTGCGTTGCTTGTGGACATCGTCATTCAAGTGGGTATAGTTGCACGCCTTGCGATCGGCGCTTGTGCTTCGGAGCCGGCCAGGTGTAACGATTGCCAATCGTACTGTGGCCGGGTCTACGGTTCACATTCACTGCGGCCCGAGACATTGCAGAATAGCGCGGGGTCACGGCCAGATCATGACCCCATTTTCGGGAACGGGGCTCGCTTCACCCGTTCGATTCTTGCTGTTATGTAAGCAGGGGTAGGGGTTATATGTTTACGACCTTCCCTTTCAGGCTGATTCGCGCTTGTCGCTGAGACGCCGGATGAGTCACGTATCTTGGTGTCTTTAAATGGTATATGGTCATCCTTGGCTGCATTATATAATCTCGGATCTGCTATGCAAACATGGTCGATGCATCTCCAGTACCATATAAGGTTAGGTTTTGTCTGTTCGCGCATCCTTCCGCCGGATTTGTACCGCGGCGGATGATGCGCGGGCCATTTCAGTAGGATTGGAAGTGGAGTATTCATGCTTGGCTCATCTGTTCGTGTCGCCCTATAACCATACAATTAGTCCTGTCGTAGACTTTGACCTGCAGTAGTATCGCCAACAAGTCGCGATTTGACTACTGAAGACGAATTTTATCCTCGAATTCGATTTGAGCCTTATTGAAAAGGGAAAAACGTTCGAGTGGGCTTGGGTTGAGGCAATCCTCCAGTTGACCTCCCGACCTTACCATTATGGATTTACATGGATTGAACGTGTCGTATAAACGCGACACTGCAGATATCGCGTTTGGTCCACAGAGGGATGATGCATTTGATTTCACGCTCCTCTTCGAGCAGAGCATTCTCGGCATCCTTCCTTCTGCTTTATTTATCTTGCTTTCCATAGCCCGCGGGACGTCGCTGTGGCACAAGGACACCTTTGTGCGTGTCGGATGGCTCCTGTGGGCAAAGCTTGTAAGTCATACATGGAGAATGGGATCATCCAGTGTGGCCACGATATCTGACTCTCTTTGGCGCACAGGCGGCAGCCGCAACATTGATCTGCTTTGACGTTGCTCTTGTTGTATTGTGGGCGCTTCCGACTACACTTGGGACGCAGGCGTCACTTGCTGGCTCTGTCATGAATCTTGTTGGATCATTAGCCATTGCCGCGCTATCGTACACAGAACACCGTCGATCCATCAGACCATCCACTCTCCTAGTCGGCTATCTTGCTCTTACCATCTTGCTTGACCTGGCGCAGACCAGAACACTGTTCCTGCGATCCCCAGACAGTGGCCCGATACAGGCCTTGTTTACTGCTTCACTGGCCACGAAGCTTGCGATTATGTGTCTGGAAGAGCTACAAAAGCGCCCCTTGGTAGCTGACAAGACCAAGGTCTTCGCATTGGAAGAAACTAGTGGCCCCATCAATCGATCGATCTTCTGGTGGCTAAATCAGCTGTTTCTTAAAGGCTTCAAAGGTTTGCTGCAGGTCGGAGACTTGGGCGGTATTGATAACAAATTTGACTCGGCTGAGCTCTTGTCAAAGCTTGATGGTGTCTGGCAGGCAAGCGATAAAAGCAGGAACAATGCTCTCATCAAGGCAACCTGCTCTGCTTTCAAGGTCGCCTTCCTCGCTCCAGTTATCCCCCGTCTCTGTCTCGCTGGCTTCAGCTTTGCGCAACCTTTTTTGATCAATCGAGTTGTAAGCTTCGTTGGCGAAAGCAAAAGCGATAGCGATCAGCGAAATGCTGGCGGCATTGCCGGGGGTTTGATTGGGGCAACTTGTCTGGTCTATCTGGGCCTTGCCGTGAGTTGGGGGCGTACCCTCGTAAAGAGATGCCGTTGCACTGACTTCTACCAAACAGTTTTCACGCGTTATTTACAATCATCTCGTATTTCAACTCATTACAATACTTCGGGGCAGCCTCGTCTCGATGATTTTCAAGAAGACTGTCCATCTTGATACCACATGCGCAAAAGACGGTGCCGCAGTCACTTTGATGAGTACCGATGTTGACGGCATTGCGAGTGGCATTGAGGAGTTGCATGAGATATGGGCAAGCGCTTTGGAACTCGCGGTCGCCGTCTACCTGCTGGAAAGGCAGATCGGGCCTGCATGCTTCCTTGTCGTGATTCCAGCTGTTGGTGAGTGGACTTCAACGCTTCATTAGGAACCCCTCAGCTGACTGTGTGTAACCCAGTATCTGGTATTGCCACCAACTATGCTACTGACGGCATTGGTCCAGCTCGAGGAATGTGGAACCAAGCCGTGCAGAAGCGGGTCTCTATCACTTCATCTATGCTATCCCAGATCAAGGGGATAAAGATGATGGGGCTGACGGACTACATTGCCAACCTGATCCAAGGCCTTCGGGCGAACGAGCTTGAGTTGTCGAAAAAGTTTAGAGGTTTCATCATTCGCATCATCATGATAGGTATGTCGTAATATGCGCACAGATGGAAAATGTCAACTGATGTAATCTAGCCAACTTCTCGGACCAAATGACTCCAGCAGTCGTAATCACGTCCGCCGTGTTCTGGACAAGATCCGGACCCAATGCATTCACGGTTTCCGCAGCATTTACCGCGCTGTCCATTGTAGCCCTTGTCGCAACCCCCATGGCAAACCTAATGGGCTCGATTCCGAACTTCAAGGCATCTGTTGCTTGCTTTGATCGGATCCAGACCTTCTTGATGTTGGAGGGCCACGAAGACCGAAGAGTCGATACTGGTGGTGGAAACCATTCTTCGTCTTCGACTGAGAGCGATCAGCGTGCTAGCTCATCGCAAAGGGAGGAGCAACTCGACATTGAGCTTCGTTCCGTGCAAAGTCGTCCGCCACTCGGGTTTCCCTGGAACATTCCAGTTTCACTTTGAAAGGTCAGACAGACCCTGTGCTTCAGGACATTACCGCATCACTTCAAAGGTCTAGCTGTACAATGCTGGTCGGTCCTGTGGGTTGTGGCAAATCTTCCTTTCTTAAAGCTATCTTGGGTGAAATACGCCTCTCTGGCGGGACGCTCAGGGTTGAAGACATTGGTACATCCATAGCGTACTGTGACCAGACTGCTTGGCTCCGGAACATTTCCATTCGCGATAACATCATTGGCCAGGGACCATTCGATGAAAGGTGGTATGCCTCTGTGTGTCATGCCTGCGCACTCAACGTCGATATCTCTCAGTTCCCTCTAGGTGATAAGAGCCTGGTTGGAAGTGGGGGGATTACTCTTAGTGGTGGTCAAAAGCAGCGAGTGGTAAGTGCGACATGAAATGGACGACCTATTATTTAAGAATTGCTGACATAGCTTGACTTTCTTCGTATAGGCAATTGCTCGAGCATTGTATGCGCGGAGGGCAATTGTGTTGCTCGATGACGTCTTTAGTGCCCTCGATACTATCACATCTCAAACCGTTTTCAATCGCATCCTCGGTAGGGATGGACTATTGCGAAAGCAGGGTGCAACTGTTCTCCTAGCTACAAACGCGGGTACGTGAGCTACGAAGAATGGCAGCTGGATATCTTGTGATAGTTGAGCGACCACTGACATACTATCAGTACACCAACTCCCTTTCGGAGACAACATTATCGTGCTTAGCTCCTCCGGCCGTATCGAGCAGATTGGGAGCTTTGTCGACCTGCAGGCCCAGGACGGCTACGTGAAAAGCCTAGCCCTAGAAGTCCGAGCCAGGGATGCGAATGAAGATGCAGGAGTGTCTGACAGCGACACAGCCACTGATCCCGTCCCCGTCACGGCTGCAGCGGAGGATGATAACGACTTTGCACGACAGACTGGGGATCGCTCACTGTACAAGTTCTATCTGAAATCGACCGGCTTACCCCTATCTGTCGGGTTTCTGCTTCTTGCCATTGGCTATATCGCCATGGGAAGAATGCCGTCAATTTGGTACGTCGTATCTGCTCTGAATGGTATCACCAGCTCCTTCTATCGACAAGCTCTTGAGCTTAGCTATAATCTACATGCCCCCGTGACTAACCATGCGAGTTGCACAGGGTACGCATTTGGACCGAGCATGGCATAGATCAGGATCGTGGCGCATATTTTGCCGGCTACATTGCTTACTGCATATTGACTGTCATCCTCTCGGGCCTCATAATCTGGTTCTTCATGTTTCTGATCATTCCAAAATCTGCTAAACATCTTCACTGGCTCCTACTAGACACGGTTGCCAAAGCGCCCCTGTGGTACTTCACCACTACAGACAGCGGCATCATCCTGAACCGCTTTAGCCAGGACATGACGCTGATTGACCAGGCTCTCCCAATGGCTTTCTTTACCACGGCGTTGGATTCGCTCACTCTGATCGCCAGTGCTGGTATAATTGCGTCAGGCGCGCAATACGTTGCTGCCATGATACCGTTGTGTATAGCACCCATGTACTTCTTACAGAAGTTTTACCTCCGTACATCACGTCAACTCCGGCACCTCGATCTTGAATCCAAATCGCCGCTGTATACACACTTTACCGAGACCCTCAACGGTGTAGCGACTATTCGAGCATTCGGTTGGCAGCAAGGCTTTCAGGAGGAGAATCTGCGATACCTGAACCAGTCCCAGAAGCCTTACTACCTCCTGTTCTGCATCCAACGATGGTTGAATGTTGTGATGGACTTGTTCGTTACCGGCATAGCCATCGTTTTGGTGAGCTTTGCCGTAGAGTTTACGACGACAACATCCAGCGGAGCGATCGGCCTTGCCATGGTGACCCTTATTGGATTCAACACAAGTCTATCAAGGGTCATCAGTTCATGGACTAGTATGGAAACATCACTCGGCGCCATCGCTCGTTTGCGTGACTTTATACGGGATACTCCCCAGGAAGGCTCAGCCACAGAATCTCTGGAGCCGCCGAAATCGTGGCCCTCAACCGGTGCCATTAAGATCAATAACCTGACTTCTACCTACCAGTAAGCCAATGAGACCTAGACAATGACAGTATACCTAGATTCTGACAAGTCTATAGCGCAGAGAATGAGAGGGTTCTCAGTGACGTATCACTACAGATTCAGCCCGGCCAAAAAGTAGGAATTTGCGGTCGTACAGGAAGGTATGTTATCTCTTAAAATGGTTCCCTCAAGTTTTACTGGACAGCGGCTTACATATCACACAATAAGTGGCAAGAGTTCACTCCTACTGAGCCTTCTTAAGCTTCTGGAGACTCAGTCTGGGTCAATTGCTATTGATGGACTCGATCTGGCGTCCGTACAGAACAACCTCCTTCGGACCCATCTCACAGCCCTTCCTCAGGATTCCGTCACTCTGCCTGGCTCCGTCCGTACGAATCTCGATCCCTTGGAGACGGTCATCGGTGAGGAGGTTCTCATTGATGCATTGTCTCGAGTTGGCATGTGGGAAACCATCAGCAGCCGCGGCGGTCTGGAGGGAGACTTTGACAGCCTCGGGCTATCTCAAGGGCAGAAGCAACTCTTTTGCCTAGCGCGGGCCCTGATAAGCAAAAGTCCCGTGGTGCTGCTTGACGAGGCTACTAGCAGCGTGGACCATCATTCGGATGAACGAGTGCAAAAGGTACTGCGTGAAGCATTCAAGGAGAAGACGGTGCTGGTGGTGGCGCATAGGCTGGAGACGATTGGAGACCTGGATGTGGTCGTGGTCATGGAAAAGGGGCGGATCGTAGAGGTGGGTGACCCTCGTGAACTCAAGAACAAGCCTGGGTCGCTTTTTGGGAAGCTTTGGGAGAGCAGACATGGTTGAAATGAGTGGATGGAAAAGGCATGTCAAGAAAATTAGCATGAAGCCTCTCTGCTTGCCAACCTACAATTCAGTAGTCTATCGCCGTGGACATTCAAGAAGCCATTGTCTCATGTTCGAATATGTTACCTTGCTCGGTACTTATTGGGGTGTGTGAGGACCTTCTTGAAGTTCTTGTACACGTGTAAGGCGTCCCAGCTGTCGATTTCTAATTATGATTTCTGGGAAAGTCGTTTGTGTGCCCTTGGAGCCCATCTCGACGCATCTTGCTATCTACGAGGCTAGTGTCGAGGGCAAGTCTGATTCAAATTTATCGTATTGGCATCGAGAGTCAAAGGTGAAAAGCAAGTATCATATCTTGGACACAAAAGAGTGACGTATTGCAACTGATATTTGGTAAATCGTGTATAATCTTACATACATACGTAGACCTTGTTTTACCGGAACGGCCAGCAATGCCTGAGTGAAACTAGCATGACATCACATTCCAAAGCCAAGCAGTATGCTCTCAATGGCTTGGTCTAGATGATGTCTATGGGCCATGACAACTGTTGTTGAAACAAGGTGGCTGGCAACGACCCACATTATGGTTGTATAGATCTTTCCACTGTCTACTGTAGAGTGGCTTTGCTGATCAACGTAATCAATATTGAGTATACATTTTGCCACTGTCGTCATACTTAATATAGATTTTGTTTAGCTGAGTGCAAAACCTGAAATATGATATTTCCCTTCCACAGAATGAGTCTTTATGATTACATACATCAGAACTAACTCTCCAGCCATCAAGTTACCCACCCCAGCTTTGAATCAAGGAAAATAGTCACTTTTGAGCTGTCATTGGAATTACGTCTCATGATCTGCGTCATGTTCCCCGCCGGATCGCTTTCATTGTTGCATCCGCCCCAGGACCCCTTTTTTCGACATGATCTAGCCTCCAGTTCGAGTGGTCTGAAAATGGTCTGTGTGCGGCCCCAACTTTTCTTTCAGGGTCGTGTCCATGGGCAAGGGGAGGGTCCATATCACGTTTTGATTTCCAACATGACCACTTGCTCACCGTTGCACGTCGATCCATATCGTGTTAACTTTATCTTGACATATCCTTGCACCCAACCGTTGGGTATCCACTCCACTATTGAACAAATCGTTCATCCCCACAACCTGAAACTGACCAACTATCAGTCGTCTTGCAGCAGCTGAATACGAGGCCTGGCTGATGCGTCTCTGTCTGATTGGCCACCAAAATATGGAAACAACTAAGCCACTCCTAATTGATTGGTGCCAACGTAGCTAACATCTTCCGACTATGGACTATGGATACCTACGTATTGATGGCCAGTGCCGCGACGGGGGGCAAAAGAAGAAGAAAATAAATCCAACACGAATGAAATTTTTGCGCAAGAGTGAATATTGTGTCTTTGATCTAGAATTATCTAATGCATTGTTTGAAACAAGCGTTGGAAGGCACATATACAATTCTTCAAGATGGCCGGATTCTATATGACTAACCTCCAATGTAGGTTTCTTCCCATACTTTGGACTGTACCCGCAGCCAAAAGCCACCAATCTTGACACTGCTTCACTTATCGATTTCTTATGAGGATTTACTGACAAACATGGGTTTTAGCTCTATGTCAACGCCGCGGCTGGCCCGACCCGACATATGAGTGCTTTCGAGACGGCACTGGACACCAATGCATGGTCCTTGTGAATGACCATGATTACCAGACGGACATCACGTACGAATCGGATTACATGGCCAAGGAAAACGCAGCCATGGTCGCCTGGTGGAATGCAGGCGAGCAGCACTCTCAGTCCAGTAAGAGTCCAAGACGCCATACCATGTCCAGCATCAGCAGCAGCAGCAAGAACCACGGCAACCGCAGTACCAAGATGAGCATTTCTGCCTTCAGCGACGATAGCGGATATGGAAGCGTCTTGTCAGATTCTAATTTGGAAGATGTTCCAATTACTCAGCGCTTCGGGAAAACTGTCGAGAAGAAGGACCTGAACGGCATCATCAGTCCCTTTCTTGAATCATTAACAAGGTCGTTCTCGGAGAAACACTGAACTATTTGAACCATCTCATCTCTGGCGAAATCGCCCACAGTTGAACCACGGCCTGTATGCCTGGACTGGCTCGGTACCACCATCAGCGGGACATGCTGGCACGTCCAACACTCTATCGTTAAGGTTTCCTGGCGCGCAATATAATGAGATTCACGACTTTGCAATAGTATTCCATGTAACATCATTGCCTTATTGATTAACTCTCGGCTTTTTTTTCTTTTTCGTTTTCGTCCAATAGCATGGATCCGGCAAAGGATACCGCTTACTGAACAACCTCCTTGCTGGCCGCTTCCCAGATCTGCTGGACGCATCGCAAGCCTGCCTCGAACGCTCCGTGAATCCATCCGTGCGTGAAGCTAACCTGCTCACCAGCAAAGAAGACCCTATTATCCCAATCCGGCTCTTGCATGGTATTGTAGAAGGTTGACTTTTGCATGGGGCCAAAGTAGCAGAAAGCGCTACCACCCGCGAGCTCGTCGGCCGGGAACACCTGAGAGGCCCCAGCCTCTAGGAGATCCATGGACTTGGCCTCGGGAAAGATGCGATCAATGTTCTCGGCGGCCGTCCTAATGGCGTTCTGCGGCGACAGCGAGCCCAGGATGGTTGCGTCTTGCTGGAATGTATACGCTGCCATGATGACGCCTCGGTTCGAGTTTTTGAACTGGTCATTGTCTTTGGTCTTGGGAAACATGGTATATCGGATTGGCAAGTCACTGACTAGGCCTCCATCGAATCCTTGTCCGTGCTTATCAAAAACTTCCTCCCACCAGCGTTTCTTGTACTGCAGCAGGACCTTGGTGACCTCGACGTAGCGGACTTCACGAATGGCCATATCCTGCATGGGAAGGAATGGTGTAGTCCTGGTGATGGATGCCAGTGAAGTATAAGGAATAGCCAAAATGAGATAGTCCGAGGTGATGGTCTTCTTGCGTCCGGTTCCTACGATGTCGTAGGTCACTGTAACAGGGGCTTTGGTTGGAACACCAGGACCTTGAGTCTCGTCTAGGCCAATGCTGCTGACTCGAGCACCAAAGGTGATATTGTCTACAAGAGATCCTACAGAGACAGTCAGAAATTTATCATTCAGAGTGCAAAAGGCTTCTGTGCTTACTCTCTCCTCTGTCCGGCGACACAAATGCATTCGGCACAGCGTCCATACCTTGCTGAAGCTGTTGCATGTGAGCTTGTGCACCCCCCTTGTTACTGGACAGAAATGCGTCCTTGAAAGATTCGATAAAACCATTCTCGAAGACAACGTGGGCGTTGCCCAGATTGTAGAGATTTATGGCGTCCTGGCTCCAGTGCGCAACCTCGGTCAAGTAAGCCCTCAAGGTATACTTGTCATAAATGTCCGTGATTTTGACATATGCCTTTGTGAGGGCGTCCATGTTGATCTCATCCGGATTCCATTTTTCTGGTGCGATGCATGCGTCATATGTGTCCCAGAATTCATTCACAACTGGCTTGACCGCTGCAGTGAACAGATCATCAACAGTTTGTTGCTTTTCGGACGTCTTCAGGTGGGGAAACAGCCGGAGAAGCTGGGGGTCCTCGTGTTTGAGCATCTTATTGAAGCGCTCGTATGTCAGTGTTTCCCCATAGCCTGAAATGTATATGAATTTGTTCTGCATCTCGAAATCAAAGAGGTCGTCCTTGAGGCCAAAGTCCTCAATGTATCTGTGCAGCAAGTAATGGTTTTGTGGAATTCGCATTGCTCCGCCCTCGCCATGGAGTCCATGGGCAAATGTTGGCTCGCGAAATGTTTTGACGCGGCCACCGACTCTGGATGAAGCTTCCAAGATGGTCACGTCGAAGCCTGCTCTCTTCAGTTCATAGCCAGCACAGAGGCCGGACGTACCGGCGCCGACGATGGTTACCTAGAAGTGTCAACGAAGGTCTGGGGAAGCGATGGAAAAAGGGTGGCAAACCGTGGGAGCGTTTTTGATCTTGCCGGGACCATCCTGAATAAGCTTTTCAAAAGCCGCTTTGAGAGGCAAACTCTCGTCAGGAATAGGCCTATCATCAATACCGACACCTCGCTTGACACTTTGGAAGATGTCGGCCAAGCACTCATTCGGACCTTGCTGACGAGAACGAATAAAGTAGCTGATCACGGGCAAGGCTCGCTCAGAATGGAGGTCGCTCCTCAGCATTTTGAATTTGAGTTGTCCCATCGTTATTCGTCTTGGTATTTGGTCTTGTATAAAATCTTTGCGTTGGGGTCGTTTGAGGCAGCAATCTGTACGCGGTTGCGATCCTGGGGTTTTATGGGCGATCCTCGCTGGAGAGCTACGTATTCATCGGCAACATCCGTATTAGAGATACTCCGATCAGCAAAGCTACTTTGGGTATGTTTTTGCTGCAACATGGGTGTTCAATAAAGTCACAAGCAGCCTTTGGAACCTTGTAGGCAGCTGGAATGTCGTATTGTGATACAGTGGGCATGCATACTTATTGATATTCGACAGTCTATTGAAGGCTAGGCCTAATGAGTGGTCTGTGGCGGGCTGAAAATTTGCGACAACGTCCCCAGCGACGCTATCGTCAGCCAAAGCCTGCCAGATACGGAAAGCTGGGCGGTTCGAGAAGGTGCAAATCTGGACATTGAATCTGAATTGGAAAAGATTGTATAGTCTAGTGAGCAATGCTTCCTGTCACGGGCCTCGCTTGTCCAGTATGATGGTGGTAGAACCTCTGCAGGTTGGAATGGAGATGGTTCAGGACATGGTTGTTGCCCGGCATGTGCCGTCAAACAAAACTCTATCCTCAGCACATTCTTGAAAGTTACGTATGGGGTAAATTCATCTGCCGAATTCCTTAGTCACTATAAGCTTTTTTTTTTTTTTCAATTCTGCTAACCCCATCTGCTCCAAGCTGACTCGGCTGAGACACCACCATGTCTTGCATGAGCTCCCCAAAACGCTTTTCTGCTTCCACATGCAATAATAACCTTCCAAACTTATTGGTACAGGTCATGATACGTGCTGGTGCTGGATGACCAGTGTCCGTGTCAATGATTGGAACGCGACAGTGACGAGCTGAATTCAAGATGCATCAGAGTTAAAATTGCTTGCCACAAATTGGGACCTAGGTAGGTAGTGGCCAGCTGAATCTGCATGCAGGGAGATCTCTAGCGGACATGCAAAGAGTTAGATTGCAACTTCTTGCCTCAATCATTCATTCAGGTCTAAAACAGGACACAATATCTAATGTGGTTCTATCTATTTTTTTCTATCGCTCCCGAGTGCGTATCAAGGCCTCTTCTTTGATGCGCATACACTTCTCATCTGTCTCCTTCATGATTTTGTTCTGAGCAATCCATGCCGACACCCCTTCAAAATGGTTGGCTCCTATCAAAATCTCGCCGACTTCTATCGCCTCTCTACGGAGTAGGTCCGTATACTCCAAGCAAGTCTTACTCCAATCCAAAATTTGGCTTGTGCCCTGCAACACAGGAGTAAGAAGCATGGCCTGGAAAGCAGACGATGCGGTAGCTCGAAACGTATGCGATCGAGTGACTGATTGCGCTTCACCGACAAGTAGGACCTTGCCATCAAGGAAACTATTCTGTCCCGCTCTCAAGTCCGATACGGCTTGTATCAGGACTGATTCGGCCGGCACAGCATCTATAATCTTCTGGAACTGCGGGCACAATACTCCACGCAGGCGATCCTTTAAAGGTTGGAGCAGATGAGGTCGGAGCTGGCCTGCCGGGAGACTGTGCGAGTACTGGTGCCCGTCAACACCAAGAAAGTGCTCTCTAATAGCGTCAGGAGTCATGTGGGTGTAGTAAGCTATCAGCACGTCGGGCTTGCCCCCTGTGGAACTGGTTTTGCTTGGAATGAGATACGACGTGAGACTGATACCATCATTGACCTGCCCCATGGCCGAATCGGGATAGAGTGCGGCAAAGTCGTCGCTCAGGACGCTTCCAGGACAGCGGCTGCGTATGCAGACGTAACCTGCCTGAGTTCTAGGAACCGGACCCATCATGAGGGTTCGGACGGTACTATTGGATCCATCTGCTCCTATAACAATATCGACGTTGGGGATGGTTTGCAAACCATCGGCAGTCTCGTGAACGACCGAAACATTATTTTCAGATTTGTTCTCTGTTATGTCAACAACCTTTGTTTCGTAAAGAATCTCCCCGCTCCCTCTGGAAGAATCGTTGAACAAGGCGTGCAGACTATCCATGAGCGAACTCCAGCTGCTCGACTTGGTTCGCTGCGCCAGCGGGAGTTTGCCATCAATCGAGCCATCTTGTTTCATGACGGTAACGAAAGCGCCGCCGAGCGCCGTCTTCAGATACACGTCCGACTGGCCATAGACGTCGAAGAATTCCGACACTTCGGCCCGGATCCCCAATCCCGAGCCGCGGTCGAGAAACTCCACCTCGGCGATGCGCTCTAGCACTGTTACCGAGTATCCGGCGTCCCGGAGGACAACGGCCGCCATCAGGCCAGCCACTGACCCACCGACCTATGATTTGGTAAGCTCCATGTCGGTGCAGGTATAGTGTATCTACTAGGTAGTTAGTAGAGTTGGCGCAAGAACTTACCACTACGCCTTTCTTGGTCATGTCGCCCATGATTGCTGTTATGAGTCGACCCAAAAGAACTTGCAGTCAATATGTGTAATATTTCAAGAATTATTGGGAGAGGAAAACAACTCTCAAGAACACGTTATGCTCGGGTTTAAATCTCGGCGGGCTCTCCTAATCCCGCTACAAGGTAAGCACTAACTGTGGGTTAACGGACCAGGCATTTATTCAACCCCTTAAGCCAGCTTAATAAGTAATTAATGTTACGGCCTAATGTGGCACGGTCAGGGGTATCTGTATTGGCGTCAAGATGGATGCTGTACTAAATCCTCTCGACGGCAGGGTTATTTATCTGTATCCGGCCGTCAGCTTGGAGGGCCACCCCAACCGATATGTACAGTTTGGCTGCTTATCCGGCTGACCAAAATTTAAAAAACTGTAGCTTGAGAGCAATTTTATGAGCTAATTAATTGTATCTGACTTACAATACCTATGTTGGTGTTGCCATTGTAACCAGACACCATTTGTAGCAATGCTAGCCAATCAAAGACGCAGCGAGCATGACAAGGTTTCCTAGATTATCCATCTCGGAGCACCAATCCTCCCAATTGGCCGGTGTCTTTGAAGCAACATTGTCCACGGGATCCGGCGTCATCATGATGTGATGCTCGCAACGCGCGCCGCCCTTGTCTATCTTGACCAGCTCACCATCGACAGCCAAGCCAAAAGCAAAACGCTGCTCCGTCTCCAGCAAGCCGTCGGCCTTCCATGCAAACTCGCTTTCAGCCTCCCAGAGCTGCTTCTTGGACGGCAAGGGAGCTAGCAGAAGATCAAAGGCCATATCGCACATACCGGCCGGCTCGAACCACACGAGCATATTGATTACCTGGAAGACGGTACATAATCTGAACCACAAGTGAGCGACTCCAAATTGGATTATTTAAACGCGGAAATATGCTCTTTTCTCACCTTCTGCTCGACTCTTCGAATATCCAATCTTTCCAGACCGTACTAGGTGCGGATTCGGCAGGGGACGAATAAGCATTCTGGTTACCCATGTTAAAGGTATTGGCAACAACCTGGGCGAAGATGTTAGCCTGGTCAACACGCCGCAAAAGGTTAAAAAAAAAAAAAAAAACCTAGAAAACAATAGAAAACTATAACGGCTCACAATAATGGTCCTCTGGAGCAGAGAGTCCAGATTATTATAATCGGTCTCGCCCTCGTCGACTCTCATAACAGTATATATCAAAAGAGCCTGCAAAGAGGCAAGCGCTTTCCACCTATTCATTTTATGATGCTTTAAATGCAATTGTTAGCTTTGTAATTGGAAGTAATATTTTGTGAGGCTTGCTTACGGTGTCATGCAAACGCTCACATTCCATCCGTACATTTCTCCAAAACAAAGCTCGACTACCAGGAAGGTTGCGGCCAATCATGTGCATGAGACTGATGCAATTATACAGTGGCTCCATATCCTCATCCTGGTTGATGGAAAACTGCTGAGGGTGGATAAAGGGCGGGAGATTATTTTGCTGTAAAATCATTATCGAATAGGACTTCATCATATGCAACAGCATGTTTGCAGCTCTTGATGCGCCGGGTCTGGTGTTTGTTTTGCGGACCAAAGAACGATGTGCTTCCGTGGGCGATCTCGGAATTGCCAAAGGCGGAATGAGCTGTTGTAGCAGAGGGATCGAGTCAGCTAGAGGCACGGATATGGAGCCCAAGTATGGCGACTTTTGTCTGGGCGTTTGAAAGACAGCGACGCTGTCGGCTTGCGGGATCAGAAAGTTGTCGCCGAGATCAATATCCAGATTATCCCAGTCGAACTGCAATCCTTCAAACCCTGACAAGTTTGTGTCTGCATTGGCATCTTGCAGCGCATCGCCGAACGTGTCTATGCTGGCAGCTGCTGGTCCCACAGTATTATTCTCTTCAATCACTATGTGAGCGTCGTCTCCACGCTGACTTCTCGGCACCGCTGTAGTCCTTGATGTTGCCGCGGGATAGTGGCAGTCAAGACCACTCTTCATACACCTTGAGCACTGGGGGTGTTTATTATCGCATTGCCTTTTTCTTTTCGCACATGCAACACATGAGCGAGGTCGAGTGGCCGGACTTGACCCTTTCTGGCGGCAATAATACCCATGCCGCTTCAGCGTCGACTCTAGCGCACCATACAGTGAGTAAGGTATGCCAAATGTTTATTGACAGTGCGAGTCCGCAAAGAAGAATACTGCGACCCCTAGAGACAAATACTCACGTTTGTCAAATGGCTTGTTGCACTGATGACAACGAAGAACGGGCTGTACAATTTGTTCATCCATTTTCAATCTTGTCCGCTGCGCAACTTTCCCGAGCAATGCCCGCCGACAGACAGACACTCGACTATATAACCGCCGCGACACACTTGTCAGCGTTCCCCCTCAGCACCTATCAGCACTATTACCGTTGTGGCTAGACTGCGGGCGGTACAATTTGTACGTGCATGACGGCTTGCCATTGTCACTTTCGCATGAATCGTCTTTTGATTGGACAAAGGAATTGCTTCTGACCACACAGGTGTACTATGGTATGGACAAGGCGGGTTGCTTTGCATGTCTTCATCCGTACTTGGACACATTTCGCCTTTTTGACTCACTCAACGCCATTGTCGAACTCCGCTGATAGAATCATGTCGAGCGCAAAATTGCAGAAGATTATATCAGCTTCTTTTTGTAAGCAACTTGTGCTCATTTCAAAAACTATGACTTCAACCAGGAGATTGGAAGATACTGTCATGTATATAATGATGAGACTCGTTTGCTTGATGAAGGATTCTGCATTCAACATCAGCTCAACCTTGAATAAGAGCAATCATCAAATCACGAACACCTCTCTTGCAACTACTTGACCTTTCCAACTCTTCATCATGGCTATTACCTTTCCGTCTCCAACCAAAACTTTCCACTCGGATGTCTACTCGACTATTCATCCCACGCGGCCTGAACTGTCTGCCAAGGGCAAGAATGTTCTCATCACTGGAGGTGGTACCGGTATTGGAGCCGAGACAGCCCGTTCCTTTGCTCAAGCAGGAGCAGCTCGCATTGCGCTGGTGGGCCGTCGAGAACAGCCGTTGCTAGACACGAAGGCCTCGATCCTGGAGAAGCACCCCGACATTGAAGTCATCACCGCGCCAACCGACGTCACCAAGCAAAGCGAAGTGGACGCTGCCTTTGCCAAATTCCTCGGCGAGGACGGGAAACTCGATATCCTGGTGAGCAACGCTGCCGTGTCGGGCCCGCGAGAGAATGTCAGCGAGGCAGATCCCAACTACTTTCTCGAGGGTATTCAGCAGAACCTCGGTGGAGCGCTCTGGGTGTCTCGAGCTTTCACCCGCTACGCCTCTCCCAACGCCACCGTGGTCAATGTCTCCTCTTCGGCTGCGCACATGAACTTTGGTGGCTTATTTGCCTCGTACAGCGTTGCCAAATGGTCCGTGTACCGACTTTGGGACCTTGTTGGCCACCAATCCCCCAACCTGCGTGTCTTTCATATTCAGCCTGGTATTGTGGATACTGCGATGAACAGAGAGGCTGGAGGCATAGCTGCCAGCGGCCATGAGGATAAGGGTAAGTTGTTTCCCTGCTACATAATTATTGAGATTTGGTCTGATATCGTCACAGCATCTCTACCAGCAGGATTCATGGTGTGGCTCGCCAGTCCCGAGGCCGAGTTTCTCAAGGGCAAGTTCCTATGGACAAATTGGGACGTGGATGAGCTTAAGGCAAAGGCTGAGGAGATCCAGAATGGAAGTTTTCTCAACCTCGATCTTGTCGGATGGCCTTTCAACGATACAGGTAGCAAGTACGTCGGCGAGGATTGGAAATGGTGATTCCACCAATTGCCTGCTATTGGATATCTACTCGCGCTTTTTTCATTATTCATCAGAATTAGTCGTTCACTATAGAATATATTACACTTAACAACAACCTCGATTGGAGGATGAGCTGATTAATTCTTGTGTTTACCCTGTCAATGTTTGATCGAGCTCTCAAGTAGGAGAGCAGCACGCTCTACAGAGGCCCCAGGCGAGTGACTGAATCCTATAGTGCATAACACTTTTCCACGCTGACGGGATCATTGCCCCACCAGTTTACCATGACAGTGCCCGTAGTGCCCAAGAACAAGAAGATGAAGAGAAGATTTGCATTGAATCCAGTGTCGAGCGCAGCGCCGCTAATGTATGCCCAAGTGTCCCAGAATTTGCGACGATATCGATATAGGTAAAAGTTGGTAAAAGTACCCAGTAGGATGGCCGTGAACGGGCCGGTGCTCAGGTTTCCATAGAAGACGGCGGCGCTGGCAAAGAAGATGGTCGTATTCCAGAGGTCGAAACGGACGCGGGGGAATTTGCGATGTAGCAGCCATATCACTAATGGTGCTACTGCACCGACAAGGAAGCCGTAAAGAACGGGGCGGAAAAATGACGAGGCAAAGAGCTTCTTGGGCCCGACGAGAGCGTATTGAATACCGGCCGTGTTATAACTCTTGAAATCTTGACCCGTCCATTGGCCAAGTGGGTCGGTGACCTTGCCGCTCACGTAGTCGTACTTGGTAGCCAGCACCCATCGCATCACTCCGTAGTTGACGGGCAGGGCAATCATGTTTGCGAATATCTGCATCCCTATCACATCGCGAGGTGGTAGGTGCAGGTAGTGTCCGATCTGTGGCAGCGGGTGTAAGCGATGCATCAAAATGTACAATAGAATTTCATCGAGAACTAACTTTTTGGTCTTCCAGTACTACTCGGGCGTCATACCAGACATTACCGGAAATGATGCGATATGCTAGCTGGCCGAGGGGATGGCGCGAGGACCCCTTGGCCTCAATCATGTCTTGGAGAATGTCAGTCTACTTGTTCAAGGCAATATGACCGGCTGACACTCACATCCGTAGATGAGCTCATTGAAGAAGCCAACCTTGATCGAAAAGCCCGACATGGCATAGACGAGACCCATTGGAAGCATGGCTGCCGCACCAAAGCCAAGTGCTACAAAGTAGGTCCATGTCGGCATCCAGACTGACCCGGCGGCCACGATGGCTAGCAGAATTGCAATAGGGATTAAAGTCAGGAGGCCCCATTCCCTTCATGAGGTCAGTTACCCAACTGTCTAGTGATGAATCTTTCACTTACCACAACTTGATGCCCGGGTACTGCTGAATAATACGACTATCAAGCGACGTCAGCGATATTCACCTTGCCAAGGACTAGGGTTTGCTTACCTCAACCGATCTTTGTGGTAATGTTCATGATTGTTGCGAGCCTTCCAGATGCTCCAGATCTTTGGTCCCAGAAACAGACCGCACCACACAAATGATGAGATATATGATGCATACCACTGCTAATTATCAGATGAAATGCATGAGTTGGAAGCACAAGTTTCTCACCATGAATATTTCCCACGTGTATTGAGCTCCAGAATATGCTAGACCGACTTCCTCGTATTTGGTCTCGTTCACATGCTGAGTGCCACTAGCGTCCGTGTAAACTATACTTTGTAAGCATTTGCCATTCGGTGAGATATAAGCACAGCTTCTTACTCAAAGACGTAAATGGATACGATGATCCATTCTTCTGAAACACTCCGTTGGACATGATATTGTAAGTCGGCGAGCCCCAGAGATTGCCAAAATACGCCACTGGTATCAGTATCCACGTCTAACACATATGTCAGTGGGCGATGGACAGGACAGTCTGAGATCCGCGACATACCGTCAAGACAAAGGCGACAAATACTGTGAGCTGAACACTATAAGGGTATGTAATAATAGTCGAGGTAATATTCGACCAGTCAAGAGTGATGTTGAGGAGGCCAATCCCGCCACGACCGGCACCTAGAAAGTTGACTGTATGACTCTTGCTGGCGAACCAACACAACGGCGCGAGAGATGCCAAAAGTGGAAACATGTATTCGGGGAGGAACTGCCAGACAAACGTCGCAAACAGAATACTCCAAAATACCTGACTTATCTTTAGCACTGCAACGCCTAAGTTTGGCTCAATCACAAGTGGCCATACCTTGATTTGCTTCTTTGCCTTGGATATGTGGAATTCGGATTTTCCTTGCATACTTCGGTATAATGTGACTTGCTGCATGGAAAGAGGAAATATGAACTCGGGATCGTCAATGAGTACCTTGCGAACTGGAATCATTTAGTTTTCCTCATATTCCCGGTGATTCCTCTTTGAACATACCCATTGCCGCAAAAGAAAAGCCAAGCAAAGATGCACCCTAGATAGACTTAGCACTCTATACCCAACAAATGCCCAACGCACTCACCCAGCCAAAGAATAGGGCCACGGCCGGATTCATGGTTATGCCATAGTAGAGAGCCGCATTCGTCGGCAGAAACGCTTGCACAGTTAGTACATCAATTGTGACCGCAATGAACTCGGTGAACCTACTCGCCCATTGCCCTTGACTGCCAGCGTTGGCAGCAATCCCAATTATGGCATGCTCCTTGATCGAAAATGGTCCGGGGTTCAGGGAGAATGACCATCTCCCCAATGGGACCGTAAAGTCGGGCAAGATGCGTGCCAAGAGTCTCCCCAGCGGTGCAGAGGCTAGGATAACAAAAAAGACGGGGAAAGGTGCCGTCGTGGTTCTAAAGCTGGTCGAGCATTTTAGTAAAATTCCTGTGTGGATGCTATTGGATGGACTTACTATGACAGCTGTGAGACGAAACTGCCTATGATGCAAAAAATCGCCGAGAGTAATACTGATCGAAACGTGATGACAGGCAAGGTCGGATCGTCCTCAAACCCCACCACGGTGCGGACGAGCTGCGGTATGTGGGCAAACTCCTCCGAGTCAAAGTCGTATTGCGGCTCTTCGAATGAACTTTCAGATTCCGATTCTGACTTGTTATAGATTTGAGAAGCTACTTTCTTCTCTTGTATTTCTTCAATAGAATCATCATTGTGACCCGATGATGAATCGACCACAATTGTAGGTTCCGACTTCTCATCCGGCAAGGGTGCCATCGTGTCAAAGGCACAATGCGAAACCGACTGGAGTGGAAAGTTGACGATGGGAAAGTTCACAAAGAGGTACTGCTGGGCATCTTCAACAATAATTCAAGAATACAGACGACAATTGCACTGCTTCTTATCAAAACATGCAATACCAAGCGCTACAGAGTGCAACGTTGAACCGACAGACGCGCATCCGGCCGGCATCCAGCGCCGAGACTGACTTGTCAGGGACTGTATGCTCGACCATTGAATAGTAGCCAATCCCGACGGCCATATAGCCATGCATGTTAATCGAGGTGCCATACGCAAGTGTGGGACAATATGGTGTTTGGGTGGGTTGCCCAAGCGGGCATCCTTGCCAGTATCCACTACATCATGGGATAGGGAATGATAAGATATGGTCAAGTATGGCCAGGCACAGGTTTGAAAATGGAGAGGTATAGATAATATACACCTATTTGCGCATTAAACGGCATGGCCACGTGCCCGATCAAGAGATTAGATGACCCTGGTCAATTCCCAACAAGATGCCATGACTCTAAGAGATGCTGTGCTTCGTAAGATAGCAGGAACTTCCGTTGCGCGGTTCTCCTCGCCGTCTCACTTGGGCAACATGATCTAGACCTCTAATGACCATATTCATCTTCATTTTCAACCAATATGTCTCTTAAGCGAGCGCGCAGTAGTCCGCCTGCAATTCTCCCTCTTTGGCATCGTTCCATGCGCAACCAGCATACGCAACATGGGATCGGAAGTGTAGACCCGAATATGAGGTGCCGATATGATGGCGTGATTCGGCCGATACTGACACCAGCGAAGGGTATAATGCCCCAAGGCTCGGCAGGGGTCCTTTCGGCTATTATTCAACTTTTGGTTTCTTGGGTGTCGTATATTCATCTCCAAACATGAATATCATGAGGAAACACCAAATTTTCTAGTTGTCATTGACATCGATCTCGTACTGCGTGTTACCTTCTCGAGAAGAGCTTGCTCCAAATCTCGCCCAGCGCGAGAAGGCTGGATGTTTGTATCTTCCTGCGATCTTAACGACAATGCGATCGCTTTCATGCACGACGATTCTTGGGAAAGGAGCATTCAGAAACTTCTTATTGGACTCTATGTAGCCTGCACGCTGAGTCCTCAAGATGCGCAACCGCAAGTTGTATCGCAATGCTTGCGATCAATGGGATACTTTTACATACGTTGAGTGTCAGCTATTGGACGCATTGTGATGGTCCCAACAGCCGCCAGATTGTAAGTAAAAAGGATCACTTTTCGAATTACTATTTGTTTGCGATAGATATCGCATGGAACATATTTACAAATAAAACTCTCCGCGCCGTGAAACTAGACAACCATTTACCAGACTTTAAGAGTAATCTTCACAAGATTTCAAGAGTTTCTAAACCCCACACTACCCGGATCGGATCCAAGTCCTCCTTCCAGCTTCTTACTGATGCTGGGAGTGGACTTTGTCATTGGATCCGTCATCTCGCGCACCGCATTGGCCTCGCGGCTATAGGCGCTGGGTTCCGTGCCCGGCTTGAGCGCATTGGTGATGCCGCTGGTGGTGTCCTGGCCCTGGTGCCGCATGCCAGAGTAGCTCGGCATATTATCTTCCCTCTGCGTCTCGGTCATGGCCGGGCCCTCCTGCGGCCGGCTGTAGTGCGCCTCTCCCACGCCCGTCGCCGGTTGCCCGGCCGTTGGGCCCACGGAGCTATGCTTGGTGGGTTTAAGGGCATCTTTGAGCTTGCCCATGAAGCCCTTGTCGTTCTTGTCTTGGTTGATGACCTGTTCTGGGTTCTACGACATGTCATGTCAGCGGAGGAAACCGATGTTTTATACCGTGTCAATACTTGAACGCTTACATAACCAGCTCCGCCGCCCGTAGACATTGTGAAGGGTTAAGAGGTTTCTATGAATTTGATTACAATTTTGGTGGCTAGCCGAATCGCATCGGGAATGATGATACTATCTAAGGATAATTGTTGATCAGGATAGAGATGAGCTCTTGTAGTTGTAGTAGCTCTAAGAGCAGCTCCAAATGAGAAATGATGCATGTATTACGTTTTCAAAAGAGTATAGAGTTTACAGCCATCAGCAAGCTATGTCATAACATGCGCTAGTTAAACTCGCATCATGCTAGGTCTTCCAATCACAAGACGTAATAATTAGGTTACATTCCAAGTCTAGGACATGTGTTCATGACTTTCTATACACATACAGGGTATGAATGATTTGTTCTTCTTGTATTGAGCAGTAACCGAAATGGCCACCGATTTAGGCACCTGAGGCAGGACCTTTGGAGCAGGTTTACTCCCAGGAAGATATTGGCGACAAGCAGTCATGACGGCTGATATACCTGATCATATCGTCGAACGCCAACTCGGAGCGTCAGGCAGGGGCTTGCCAGATAGCAGGATCGTGGTGTGAGAGCCATTCACCCCAAAACTGAATGCAAGCTTCCCAAGTTCATCGTCCTCTTGAAGACATTGCAGTCCAGAAATTAGGCCAGCTCCTTGGGAATTTGCATGTCATACAGACCTACAGAAGTCATTTAGGGTGAGCGTAGCCGGTTACGCGAAAGTGGCAGTGCTGAGCAAAGATATAATGCATTAGCTAATAGGTTGACACATGTATCATATGACGCTCATCTCAAGCAGAGACATCCACATCCATAGCCTGCCCTGCCTTTTCAATCTCAAGGCATTGGTCAAGTATATCTGCCTTCCAGTCAGCGTAATCTCGTCGCTTCTGATCGGTCATGGTCCAGCGACCCAACAACATGGAGTCACCGTGCTGTACTTGAGCTTTCTCGCCACCGCCATGGTCCTGAGCATCTTCCATCTCGGCATCCACTTGTGAATCGCCTTTTCCTTGAATACCAGCAAACCATTCTCCATCTTGCCACCCTCTCTCAGCAAAGACTTTGGCGGCATCGTCGACATCCTTGGCGCCAATCTTTGACCAGCCTTCCCAGAAAACCTCTTCATCTTCATCATTTCTCTTCACTTCTTCGCGGGCTTGCCGAAATACCTTGACTATATCTCTGCGCAAATTGCCATATTGTGTGCTGCTAATAGGGCGCTTCGTTTCCATAGCCATGTATCGCGTTGTCACGAGAAAAAAAACTCCTGCAAACAGAGCCGCTAGATGGTCGTTGATCCATTCATCCTTGCTTCTCTTGCCGTGGGGTGTAATAATGCTTTGTAGTCCGGCTAGGACGGTCCGGCCTATGTGTTCCGAGTCGAGATGGGTGCAAAGATATTGGGCGGTGGGCCTCATCCAGGACGGCAGGACATCACGGGCTTTGCGACCCGTTGACGGTACCACTGCCTTGCCTGTAGATTTTGTGGGTGTTCCATTGCTTTTTGGTCGAAATGCTGCCAGCGCGGCTTCCTTTCCTGGAGTAGCTCTTTCTCGTGTTCTCTGTTCACTGCCAAAGGCTAGGCCAGCCTCTCTTGCTTTCCCACTCGGTGTCCTAGTCCTCTTGGTTGGAGAGCTAGTGGGCAGGATACGATCTAGATGTGTATAGAGGCGCTTGTATACTCGCGGGGGGACAGGAGGACGCGCTTGAATGGGAGGGAGGTCCAATGTCGTCTTCAATCGCTCGCAGGCAATGTGGGCGCAAGCGTAGAGTCGCGCAACCTCTTCCTCGGCCTTGAGTGTGCTTGCATTGTGTCGCGACTGGGCGAGGAGACTCGAAGCAAGCTCTACGAGACTTGGGGGGAGCGAGGAAGCCGAGTTGAGGGACGGGAGTAACGAGAGTAGCGTCGGTTCAAGTGAGCGCGACATGGTTGGTGATGTAGTCGGCCACCTTGCTGGAGCTCCGAGCTATGGGAATTCTGAGATTCACATGGGCTTTTCGCGGAATTCAGGTGCTACATATCTTCAGCCAACCCACAGCAGCTCTAAGCTCCGCGCCCGGGGTGTTGCACACTTGCAGCAGCCAATGAGGTGTGGGTACCTCGGGTGCGCAACTTTTGTAGAAGCAATGCAAAGAAAAACCTCTCGGGACGTTGGCGCATGCAAGCTTAACTGTCTGCATTGTATAGCTTCTCGTGTTCCGTACCGCAAGCCCAGGTATTCTCGAATTTGAATGTTGAATGTAAAGTTTTGTTCAGTATTGCAACTTGCATCTACTGAAGATGATGTACCGGCAGATCAAAGGGCCTGACGTCGCCACGAAAAGATCCCTGAACGCCTAGATGCGTTCCCCTGCAGCAACTATCGGGTGCGCTAATCCCCAGACCCCACGCGCATCAAGGGGTCGAGGTCGCGCATTTGTGAAGGGAGCTCATCGATTAACTACTTGTCTTCAAGTTGGCATTTCGTCTTCTCCAGCTCAAGATCGACAATTGTCTCAGCCTCTACCAGCGCTTGTCTGCCACAAACTGCCAGATCTTGATTATTAATACGCCAAGATGCGCTCGATACTCCTTGCAACGATAGCCCTGGCTGGCGGAGTAGTTGCCCACGGTGATCACGGCGGATCGCAGAAGCCAATTGTCGATGAGAACGCAAATTGGATGACAAAACACATGGCTGGTATGTCTTTGAGTTCTACGAGCGATGTCTGTCCAGCTTCGGAAAGCCAGCCGGATCTGTGTCTTGCGCGGACAGACGGCATTGGTCGCCCAATGTCCATTGGGGCGTGGTCGTGGCGTTTGTTCAGCGCATCGCTAACATTTAAGCACAGAGGAACACCACATAAGCGATTTCGATGCGTCCTCCTTTTTCCTGCTGCACGATTTCGACGGCGACAGCAAATGGGAACCTGAAGAAATTCTTCGGACCTACGGTCTCTATGATGAATCCAATCAGAACGTCTCGCCCCAACGACGAGCTGAGATAACGCGACAAATCCTGGCCTTGATTGACACGGACGGTTCCGGTTATGTCACGCGCGATGAGTTTGTCATCTTCATCAACGAAGGCAAGACCCTACCGGATATGGGTACGGGTCCAGGACATCATGGCGACGACGAATATGAGTACGAAATTCACCACTGGGAAAAGTACCACGATGAGAACACCAAGCTCGAAGATCTTACACATCCCGAAGATATTGAGCATTTCCGGAAACACGAACTTTTGGAAGAAGAGGAGGAGAAGCTTGAAATACTCAACTCGATGAGCATTGTTCCCGAGAACATCCCGGCCAAGTTCAGGAGAACAAGGTAACACGCATAATTGTCTGGAAAGGAGATTCCAATAGAGCATGCAGGATGAACATAACGAGAACTACTTAATATCATTGACCGACGTAATATATACATCAAAGACGCAATGCCAAACCCCAGGCGCAAATGTCTTGACCAGCTCAACGTGTTCCACCCTTGATTGGGTCGAATGATCTGGACATAACCCTTTGAACAGATCTTGAATATCACTCTTTCTCTTTTCGATATCATGGACGCCCACGTTCTCATGCAAATGCAACCACGCTCCATCCAACCCGCGGGTCATCTCAAATGCATCTTTCCAGATGGGTTCGCTGGTAGGAAGGAAGCCGCCGTTGACATGTCTGATATCCAGCAGAGTGCCCGTGTTCTTGATTTCTGTCAAGCAGGGTAAGGCTGCCTCGTTGGTGTCCAGGAACACGATCATGTCCTCCCCCCCTTCTATCATGTCGTGCATGCTGATCGAGGATCGCTCTGGGGCTGAGAGAACACGAACGTTCCACCCGTTCTCAATGGCGCCCCTTCTCAGACCCTCGACGCTCCACGGGTTCAGCTCCCAGCAGATGACGCGCATTCCGAGCTTTGCGTACGAAAAGACAAAGTAGCCAATCCCAGCGTAAAGATCAACTGCCCACTTGCCTTTGAGTTCTCGCTTGTCCATCTTCCTGTGCTCGAGGCCCTGCGTCGATGACACCGAAGAATGAAAGTCCAAGAGCCGGGCCTTCTCCTTTACGTTGCCGCGGCTGAACATGGTCCACCTTGGTGCCCAAGTCTGATAGATGCCATTCTGCTTCGTGGATACCCAAAAGGCGTCTTTGAATTCCTGCGCCGTGGGCCCCCCGTCGGGTCGGAGGACGGCGGCAGGACCAAAATCTCCATACAGGATCCTCAGTCCGCTGGGGCTCCGGAGGACGTTCTCTTCCGCACCGTCGTCGCCGTGAAGCGGAATGCCTTCATTGGCAGCCAAGTGCGTGAGCCGTGACTTGCAAGTCTTGGAAACCTGGTCTAGTATCGACGTCCACAGAGTTTCCATCTGCGACTCGGGCACCGAGCGCAAAAGATCCGGCCATGGACTGCAATAAAATGAACCCGCCGGCAGCAGGACCATGGGCTCATAGACAACCCATCGTTTGGGAGCCCTGAGGATTAACTCTGGGATATCATGGTTTGAGAGCAGTTCGGACGGCAAAGAGGCGAACCATGATTTCAACGCCGACTCAATGGCATTGGGTGGCTTGGGCTTCTGGGGTCTCTTTGATGGTGGTGCTTGTGCTGTAGTCATGTTGTAAGAGGCAGACCGCAGAAAATGTTCAATGCTATCTTGGTGGGGCAGATGAACGCGGAACGCTGCCAAAAGGAGGGGCACTTTTTGGTAGACGTTCATAGTGTTCGTTCCAACTCCAATCAACTTCGACATTTCTAATACAAACCTCCAAGATAATTTTAGAAGCATTTATACAACAAGGAATTCGCTTCACTAGTACTTTCTCACCCTAACTTTGCAAAACATGTCACAACAACAGCAGCCCAGGGTCATCTCCACTGAGCCATTAGTAGGTGCCTGGTGAACTATTCTCGCTGTGAAGCAAGAAACCCGTGCTGACAACGTTGAATAGGATACCAAGGATTCGAAATGGCTCAAATTGGTCAAGTGAGTTGCACAATTCAATGACTGGAAAGTAAGGCTACGCGTTCAAGGTACGATACTGAATCTCGCCGCATTTTCTTAGAATCAATTATGAAGATGCACATGGCAAATCCCGGACTTGGGAAGCCATGAAGCGCCCCACGCGTCCAAAAAGCAGTGCGGTGGACGCCATTCAGATTCTGGCCATCTTGGACAAGGCAACAGGCCCCGAGGTCTTGTTGGAGAAGCAGTTTCGTCCTCCCACGGGCAAGGTGGTGGTCGAGTTCCCGGCTGGAATGGTGGACGAGGGCGAGACGCCTGAGCAGGCTGCTGTCAGAGAGCTGAGGGAGGAGACGGGCTATGTAGGAGAGGTCATTGAGGACGAGGCTGGAAGGCCCGTACACTGGAACGGTAAGTTTACTTTTCCGCATCATCGTGGCTTTTACCTCATCGCATTTGCTTATGACAATATAGGGCCTGCATCCTCTAGTTCATGCGTATACATGATCCGAATGAAGATTGACCTCCAAAGGGAAGAGAACAAGAACCCAAAACCGGAGCTCGAGGATGGCGAGATCATCGATACCTTTTCCGTCCCTCTCAAAGATCTCTACTCACAGGTGCGGATTCTCAGCGCAGAGGGCTTTGCCATTGATGGCAAGGTAGGATCCTTTGCAGAAGCGCTACAGACTGCGAGCATGTGGCAAAGCAGCTTGTAGTCCTTGCAAATTGGATCGTTCGTACCCAAATGTCTCCGTCGCGATTAGACTTGACTCAGCCTATATACTTCCAATTGTTACTCTTCCCTACATTGACAAAATAGATTTATATTCAGCTTTTCATTTGGTCCCCTCACCCTCAACAGGTCAAGGTAAATCTTTCTAAACTACGTGTGAATTGTTCTATCTCGCTGCTCGCGTATGGCATTTCACTTTCTTCGTTGATGCACGATTTGCTTCGGATATACACCAAAATCAAGCAGCAATCGAGTTATGCGCCTCGATATCCAAAGACTTTCAAGAACTCGAATATTTCCTTTAATATCTTTGAGCCAAGTTGAAGAATTGATCCAAAGCTCAGCTTGAATCTATTCAAACTTCAATAGCTTCTAGAATACCCGATGAATCATTCTCAAGGATACACGCCCAGCCACCAAATCAAAACTGTAATGACAAAGGCTGGAAAGTCACAGTACCCTTGCAAAGCCCATATCATAGTTTTCAATACTTAACCATGGAGAACCGACAGCCGGTCGCGTAGCTCTTGGAGTTTCTTTCCACTGTGTAGCACTGACCTAGGTTTCGCCCCAAGCCGAGCGCCCTTCAGCCCCCAAGGAGCCTCGCACAGCCTCTATGTGACAGCCTTGCGACGTTATGCAGCAACTGCAGTGTCTGGGAGCTGAGTAATTCCCCGCACCATTTCTGGTCGCATAAGAAAAAGGTAGATGCAAACTTTCAGGTACAACAAACATGGAATCTTGCACATGTCGCATATATCCCCAACTTGATCACCAGTTTTAGCTCGTGGAACGACAACTTTTAATACATCTCATCTCAGCTTCAGGTCTGGCGTGTCACCGGGCTGCACATATATCTCTGCACAGGACATTCAACTCATAACTTTCATCAAGAATCGATTCAAAAGAATGGCATCAGCCATGTCCTCGGGCAATTTCGAAGATCATGACGAGACGACGAGGCTCTTTGGGACCAACATTGATGCCGGAACTCCATGGCGGCAACATGAATCGGCATGGATCAGAGCTCCGGTACAAATTGTCATGGCTTTGGGAGACTACTGGAAAGGACTATTCAGCACATTAACCTCGAACACCAAAGCGATATTCTCGGTGAATATTGCGGTTCGCCTGATGGTTGTGTTTCTCCTTTTGACTTCCGTACTATTGATGGTTCTTTTGATTCTTGATCTGCTTCATGAAGGGACTCCGATTGGTAAAATGGTGTCGTTAGCTTTTGCATCGATACTGTTATCGATACTCAGCAGGTTTTGGTAAATTGAGTCATCCCAATAGATGAAAGTGCGCCATCACCATCCTACTGAGTCCACACACGAAGTTGGAGGTGACAAATAAGCCGAACAGGATATCAGAAAGTCAAGTCTCAAATGCACAAAGTTTTTGGAAGCTCCACTAATAGGTTACCGGCGAGAGCCCCAAAATATTTCAGAAACTTAGACGATGGCCGTTCTGTCTCATATTCATCACTGAAAGGATGATTTGAGTGACGAGATTCTTTCACCAACCATTGCCATCATTACCTCGGTCGGTTAACAGCATGCCTGATTACTAGGCTAAAGAACCACAACCGGAGTCTGATTATATGGATCACAGCAAAACTCACGTGCGGGCGTGGACGGCGGTACGGGGCGGAGCTCTTGGCCTGCGTGCCTTGTGGGGGTTTGCCGAGAGCCAAGCCAGCTGCGGCCGATACGATCAGCGCAATTGCGGCAATCAGAATACCAAGATTCCACCAAGAACAACCGAGAATTCTTGGCTTGTCTCAGCGTGCTGCACAATTCATCACCACTGTGGCTTTGGTACCTTTTTTTGAGTAATGCTAACAGCGCTATGTTACCTTGGCTAGCAGCGCTATGCATCACTATATCCCGTTATCCGCACCTGCATACAGCCCGCCGTAGATACGAAAACAGCGAGAAATGCGAGAATTTAAAAGGCCATTTCGAAGGATACTAACTTATGCGTTGCATCGTAACTAATTGGCTTAATTACCCATCCACTTTTCGAATAGGCCCTCGTCGTTGAAAATAACGATAAATGCAGCAGCTATAGCACTGCGCAAGGCCTATAACCTAGGTAAATGGAGAGAATCAAATTTGAAACTATTTCCAAGAACTAGAATTTAAAATATAAGATGTTAGCAGGCTGGGGGGGGGGGGGGGGGGGGGGCAGGCGCAGATTACGGGATATAGTGGTACATAGCGCTATTAGCTAAGGTGACATAGCGCTGCTAGCATTACTCCTTTTTTTCGCTGGTGCCTGATGCGTGTACGCCAATCAATGGGACATTGCATGCAGGGCCACGAATGAAACAACGTCAACACTCTTGAGAGGTCGGATTCCACGACAACCTCGCATATACGAATGATTATGGAATTAATCAAGGAATTGATCTTGGTCAATAGCAACCAACTGCGATCACCGAGGCAGTTGATCGGTCACTTTCATAATCACCTTCGAACAGATACTCCTCTGCAATTTCCAGCTAATATGAAGCTTGGAAGCGATGAAAAATTGGCATTGGTGAATTTAAAATCTTTCTACTCTCGCGTACTACTTTTTGGAATCATATATGATGGTAAATTATGTACAAGTCAAGGTGGCTACTAACAGACCTTGTGATTTCATATAGATGCAAGGTGATGCTCAATGCCAACATAGCAACAGCTCAGTTTCAAGACACGATATATCAAATCCTCTGACCAGCACCTTCCCTTCTCCCGCATCACTACGACGTGTCGGGTGAAAGGAAGATATGCGATGAGACTTGGCTTTCCCCACCCGCCCGAATATGCATAATTCGAAGCTTGAAGTCTGGGCAAGGCGCACATGACGTGTGCCAATTGGTTGGTCTTCTTGTTCGTGTAGTTGTCCAACTCTATTTCCTCAGCTTGAATGAAGAGGCTGTGCTCTGATCATCATTGCAGCTTTCTGGATCTATCCTCGGTACGGTACCATCTGCACAGATCTCGTGGCACCACCGCAAGGACATTGGACTTTGCAAAGTATGCTGAGGTTGTATTGTGCTATTTTCATCTTTTCAGAGAGAATTGAACGCGTATGAATGAAGGCAGTCTAGAAATTTGGTCTTCTTAGAGCACGATACCCAGATATCTGCTCCACTCGTATCCTGAAGCTCTTAAGTATATAACAATCAACGAGGGATGCAAACTCCAACATTTATATCATCAATTGACAAGCACAAGAAACTCGACAAACTCAACAAATTCGACACCCACCAGCACTCAGAACATCACATATTGATATTTCACCTTCATCATGCAGCTCATTGCTCAACTCGCTTCCTTGGCCCTCCTTCTGAAGGTTGTTGTCGCCGAGAACGTCGTTGACACTGGAGACGTCCCGTCAGCCTGTCGATCCGACTCAAACTGCCAGCAGGTCTTTACCATTGGCACTACTTGCGACGACCAGACTCGCAACGAGTCCGACTACAACAACTGCGTCTGCGGTACTTCCAATGCGCAGTCCATTCTCAACACCTGCGCCATCTGCGTCTACAACAACGAAGACCGGGACGATGATGACCGAGTCGACAATGGTGAGCATGAGCGCGCTGCACATATCGCTCTAGTCCTTTTGATACTGACATACTCTATGCAGATGTGACCGAGTTGATGCGTACATGCGGCTGGACTTTGGATCTGGCCGCCGCTACCACTTCTACTTCCGGGTCCAGCTCGACCACTTCTACCACTACACCCACGCCAACAGTTGCGACAATTACAACCTCTGGCACCACGCTCGTGACCACGCAGACCCCTTCCATTACTGCTGGTAGCGCTTCTTCGTCCACCACGCCTAATGCTGCGTCTGTCCCAACAGCTGCAGCTGCAAACGTGCTTGCCGGCGCTTTCTTCGCGCTGGCAATGATCTAATGTTGCGGGATTTATTGCAATCTAGTCCGCCATTATGGACGAGGTTTGGATCAACGCAGTGATTACAAACATTTGGGAGCTCTATTCAACATGGTTCGTGATGATGTTCATTGGGGAAGTGGTTTCTGCATGAGTCCTGCGGGCATTGATCGAGTGTACGTAGCCAAGGTACCAGTTTGTGATGGAGACAGTATGGGTCCAGGATTTCATATATGGATAATGCATTATTTAGCATTGATTGACTCGTAGCTTTTTCGCTGGACGAATTATATAAATAGTGTGCCAGAACTTGGAATCTTTTTCGTCGTGTGGTCGGCCGTTCCAATGATGTTTCTTTTCATGTTTCGGAATACTCAAGCCAGACAACTTGGCTATCGAGAAGCATCAATTACGCAGAAACTCTTCAAAATGAACTGAGTGGCAGGTATAATGATCGATTCACAGCTTGGGTATCAGCATCATTGGTTCAACTTTTCTGCAATTCTTCCTCATACCCTCAGGCAAGCTGAATGGTATAACGAAAAAAAAAGTTTGCATCAGGATGACTGAGAAAAAGTTCAGTTTCCATGATGGAGTTTCCAAAAAGAAGTACCCGTGATGAAGCCAGCAGCCCCGAATTGCCCAATGTTGATCGCGTGCAAGACTACCCAATCAAGCACGCAACGGAAAGGGCACGACCTCTTCTTTTTACCCAAGTGTTGATCGGTTAGGGAGGATAACCCAACACCAGCACTGGATTATCTTCTGCACACTGGATGGTCCGCGTTGCTCATCACACGATCAAAAACCTCGAAAAAAAGAGAGAGGAACTGATGTGTGTGAAGAGATTAAACATTGACACGCGTGTAATAGCTTGCGCCGGATTTGTTGTCCCTCGTCTTTCCCCCTAGACGATATTGGAACTCCGTTACCCTTGGAAGAGTACGCATTGCGCTAGACCTCCTCTTGGCACTTTGAAAGTGAAATCAAAGATATGGGCGGCAGGTTGGCATCCACTCACCAAAACTGAACCGAGTGACAAACGCTCATGAGCTCCGAAGAACTCACAAGGGCTGAATGGGGTTCGGGGGAAGTGTTCACAGCCTGGAGGCTGCCCCATCCGTCACGCATCAGTGTCGTAAAGTTGGGTGCTGTTGTCAGAAGACGACAGATCCTCGTTACGAACATGCTGGTACGATTGGTCCCGAAGCTAGCTGACCCACCATGAAAGCTTGCGACCAACGAACAAAAGAGAGACACTTTGAATGGCTCTCAAAAGTTATCTTGAAAGAAGCTTGAAGAGACGACGCAGACTACATATGAGTTCAAACAAAGCAGTCCAAGACGGTCATCAGAGCTGGCGGCCCCCAGGGTAACTGACGTTGGAACATCAGGTTTTGAATGAAGAAGCAAGAGAAAAAAGATTTGGAAAATGAGAGGAATTCCAGATGGATTTATACTAGTAATTCTGGCGTTTACTGATTGTGCAGGTGCCCACGCCGCCTGCGCCAACGCACAGGCCCGCGCCCGCCGGCCTGGGCTGCCAGCCGCGCGAACAGCCCGCCCCACCTTTTGTTGGCAACCCAACCAGCGTCGTAGCCTCAGTCACTACCACATTTCGCCGCAAACGGAAATCCAGCAACTAGTTCGGCGCCCGTGGTGTGGCACGTGCATCTGAAACCAATAGAAAGAAAACATTGAAGACAAAGGACAAAGGCCTGCATAATGCAACATTTTTTTTTCTTGTGTATCTAAAAGCAAATGAATATTGTTGATACATGTTGTTGCGAAAATATGCAGCATAAACATGCATGATAGCAGCCTGGTTATGACAAGACGACCGATCTCCCAAATATTTTGTATCATGTCCCCCATGGATCATCGCAGCAATTTATGTATCTTGCAAGCACGCAGTAGCTGTATCAAATTCTAAAGACGGAATCCGCAATACGCTCCACAACCATTGTATCAAGGGCCCAAAATGACTGGCCAGTGACTGGCTTCAATTTGACCATGATCAACAGAGTCCAAAAGACGGTTGCAATGCCCAACCCCAAGATGAACCCGCCTATTCCAGTATTCATCAGATCAAATCTGGAGGCGTGCCCTAACCGCGAAGCTCTTGTTTGCTTTGATCGGGTAATCTGGTGGTTGTCCATCTCAAGTCTAGAGCTCCCCTTTCTCTCCACAACTGTCAGACGCCTTCGGACTTTTTGATTTTCCCCATTGATGATGACTTGTGCATTTTCGTTGCTAGGGTTAATCAATGTAGTTTGTTCGACCTGCACCTGGGCAAACCTGCGAAACTTGGATGAAAACCACGAGTGTTCAATGATTTCGCCAATTGCCAATCTTTCTTCTTCTTTGTATTTGAGCATCCTGCACAACAGATCGCCCAAGATGAGGACCTCTGCCTTTGACAACCGGTACGCAATTGCCTTGGTTTCGTCGCCACCGTGCCGGTCTTGCAAATTTTGTTTCTTTGCCAACATGTCTCTTGCGATTGCCGCGTAGATGGAATCCATTTCGGCATTCTGCCCCTCGCATTTGACTGTATCCTTCCCTCCACGGTTGGTTCCGACGTCAGAATCTCTCTCGGCTGCATCATCATATATTCGCTCGCGATCAGTAGCTGATACTTGCTGCCAGGTAGCCTTATGTAGTTCTGGTAAAGGCCCCAAGTAACGTTCGTAGCCTGCCACCATTGTTTCCGCAGATCTACATCCACCAAAGAGGCTTTGGCCGGTCCGAATCTCGACAATCGTGCAAGCAAGAGACCAAATGTCTGTACCAAATCCAGATCCCATCCCCAACAAGAGTTCTGGGGAAGCATACCTCAATGCGCTTTTTGACACCATGACTGGGTGAGAAGCAACGGAAGTCGACTCAAGTCCACCGATACATACTTCGTCTGGAATCAACAAATTCTGCAGTCGTTCTGGCCATTTTATCCCTTGAGGACGATCTTGAGAATAATTCTCTTGGGCTTCCGTCGTCCCAAGTATTGTCAGCATCTCGGCTTCGGCGATATCCTGGATCTTTTCGCTAACTTGTAGATGAATGTTCGAAGGCCGGATGTTGCCATGGCGCACGCCATTATTGTGCAGGAATTGTAACCCTTTACATATTTGCGAACAAACGGATCGTATTAACTCTGGGTCGTCAAATGCCATGTCCAATATGCTTGGGCCCATGACTCCAGTCACCAAGCACAGACATCGGCCATGATGGCTTTCTAGTACGAAATGATCAAGAGGCCAGTAAATATTTCGTTGTTCAGCATTGCTGTTTTGACCGTCCATTTTCGAGACTTTGGCTGCTAGTCGACATCCCCGCTCTGCGCCGTCGATGTCTGACTCGATAATCTGTACCGTCTTCCACTGCGCGGCATTGTCGAATTGATCATGGCATAACCAAAATATACCGATTGAATCTTGTCCGAGTTCGTAAATGAGTCTATATCTATCTTTCAGAACCTGTCCTTGGCGCACATAAAACTGGCCGTCGCGATTGACATGGTGTTCTTCGTCCTGGTTCATGGTGTTTTTTGACTTGGCTCGTGCCGGCGAATTGGGATCTGTTTGTGCAATGATCGATAGGAGCCTCACGGATGCAGCCCTCGTCTCTACTGAGATGGAATTAACTAGAATTGAAGCGCGCTTTGTATAATATTCATAATAATCACATTCTTAAAACATTTTAGGTTTTAAAAGTCATCACTTCAAAGTCACACGAGGACTCCTCGAGGGGCAGGACAATATGTTCTGAAATATTGTGCGCCACGGAACTTCGAGATTTGGCCGAATGCGTCATCTCGAGTATCACCCACCATATTTTTCAATGTTTCAAGGGGACAAGTTTGCCCAATTCCCTTCGATTCAGGTGAGACAGCCCTTTGTTGCGGTGCGAAACATTTGAATATGACCAGCATTCCACAAGTCTTAGTGCCGCCAACTAGGTACCTAACCTAGCTCCATTGAATCTCCTGTACTACCGTGTTAGATACAGGTAGGCAGTTTTCATTTAAGATTGACGTGCATATTTCTACAGAGCATGTGCTGTCATTCATCTACATTAATATTACGCATCCCCCAGGCTGTTATCGGTGTCTACATTAATCCACGGGTGCACCTGTCCGCTGCGCAATGCCCCAACCCTCCCTAGCTCAGCAACGTCAGCTAACCTGAGCCAGCCCCGCATAACCTTAACCCTGGAGTCATCGGCCACATGCCCAATAACCCAATCAAACTCCATGGCTTCTGCGCAGATCACTTGCACTACCCTAGAAATCTTATGTTGGAAAGAAGCTCTCCATCAGCTGGTCAAATGGCATTTCAGGCGTCTCAACAGATCCTGTGGAGTGCCAATTATTGTCGATCGCGTTGAGATCCGTGTTTGGCAGACTTGCACAATCAAAAATGCTGAGATCCATTTCTTCAAAGCTTTCCAAGTCGAGAGGCAGCATCTCAGAGTCTGTGGCATCTTTTTTCGAGAAATTGAGATGTACCTCTGCAGAAATGTCGTTTTGCACGTCTTGTGTGGTGGAGCTCGCCAAGGGCGGCATTTGTTCCTTGGCCGCCTTGTCGTCCTGGTCCCGATGCTTGACTTTACTTTCTGAATGCTCTTCCACAAAGGACTTCAGCATACGGGGACTATATGGTAGTAATGACTTTGGGAATTCTATCGACTTTGAAGCCCCCGTGGTTCCTGGGATTTGCGTCTGCGACCCAGCGATACGAGTATCTGTCCCTGAAGGACCGATTTCTTCAAGGAAGCTTTCAATGCTTCGGTCCTTGTTGTCTGTTTTGTCTGTGACTCCGATACAATCCCACTGTTGCAAGAGCTCATGTCAGTGAATATATCCAAAGAGCGTTGTGAGTCAACTAAGCAGTAAGAATCACGTACAAATCTTTCCATGTATCTCCAATGTGGCTTCATATCCTGCAAGAACCTCAGGGCCGCGTAAATGTTGGATTTTGTGGTCGATGCGGCGTGTGATGTCCTTCTCAGAATATTTACATGGATCGCTGTCGATGCATACATGCAATAGCCCATGAATGGCGCAAGGGTTGCAGGGTCCCATTCAATCGCCTGAAGATCCCTTGCTACGGCCGACAAGTTTTGGACACTATCAAGGGCCACTCGAGCATAGCCTTCGACAAACTCCAACGGCAACTCTTCAGGAGCTGCACGCCCGCCAAAACCTGGCACCAGGGTGGAGTGCAACACAAGCCGGCTTTGATTATATGAGGTGTGTATTGTGCTGAAAAAGATCTCCTGCTTGGCGACGAGTTGCTCGTACAAATTCCTGGTATTGTATTTGAGCGTCTCGGGAAGACTTTCGTTCCATCTTCGAAGGGTATGGTCCAGTGCAAAGAGGCTTGAGATGGTCTCGCTCATAGGAACACGTTTCCTGGTGGCGACATGGTCACAGACTCTGACCCTAGTAATAAAAGAAAAATTGATTAGCACTTTGAAACGAATATCACTGGCTTGCGCAAACATTCGTTTCCAATACTAACCAACTCAGTACCATTTTCATCAATTCTGCTTTTAGAGACCCAGCTGAAGAACAGCCGGATGTCGCCCTGGCCCCTCGATCGTCGACGAACTGCCCAAGATTCCCCTGATATTCTGGCTTGCCATCACGATACGCATCTTCAGATATCGGCAGAGGAAGGGCAAGCACCACTGGGTCAATGGAAGAGCCGACAACATAATGATCCATGTCTACACAGTTTGCCATCCAGGATGTCCAGAAACATTGACGAATATTTTCATCAAGTATGACCTGCTCCGGCGACTGCTCTAGATCTGCTGGGTTGTGTTCTTCCAGGTCAGTGGCCATGGTCCGAATTGCCCGGTATGCAATAGCTGTGAAATATCAGGTTCCATTACCAAGAGTGACAATTAGACGTGGTGGTTGCATTTACCGGAAAATGTATTGTTACGGCGATGGTCACTGTAGGCAAACCAGTAGATTGCGAGTACTTGGCAAGCTTGAATACTATCGAGAGTAGGTTGATCCATGTCTTGTAAGACCTGACCTCCCGCCCGAAGAGCCCATTTCTTGCCAACCGCTTCTAGATCGTGCCCTAATGGGTCAAGGACAGATCTATTGGGGTGCTTTTTAAACGAAGCCGAAGTAGCGAAACTGCGAGCTTGTCAGTGGCTTTTTCTTGGTGTTCCAGAAGCTTCATGGGTATTGCATACTTGGTCGCCATTGCACAGACGGGGAGTAACAAAGTCTGTGGTAATACATTTTCCCTCCAACGACGAATGAAAGAGGGTTGATGGAATATTAGGGTTGCATTGAAATTACAGGTGAAGAACAACTCGATGAGGACTCTCTGAACACTTCGGTCATGCAGTATCAAGTCTTGCTTGTCTCCCCCATCCACCCCAGCAGGGTTTCCGATAGTATCTGCAGTCTGGGAAGGACGCCATGGGGTGAACTGGTGGTGATTTGTTTCGTGTGACGTCCGTAGTCCTCGCGACGACCTGATAGAAGCGAGATGCTTCCGATCGGGAGGGACGGGATATGAGCAATCACTACCAAGGCGGCAGCAGCGTGCACACTCCGGTATCTCCCGCGAGCATCGTAGCTGCAATGCTGCATGAGCCGATACACTATAGAATACTTGCGGTCCAGTGGTGCTGGCAGTCTCGTACCTTTTGCGCCCGGCAACGCCGGCAGGCCGTTGCAGAGATTGCACTCATCACTGAGGGTGCGGCGGCGAGTCTGCTTCGTACGGGCTTGCTCTTCTTGTCCGACGTCAGTGACGGTGTTGTCCAGAATGATTGTGTCGACTATATTCCCAGGCTTTGCGCAAAGTGAAGTCTTGCGATTATTTCCGACAGGATGTCAGAGCTAACGCACTCTACTTTACCTGCTGAGATCCCAACATTAGGCAGATTGGGAGCAAAAGGCAGTAACTAAACCAAGGCGTTTAACCTTTGAGCGAGAGCAAAGCACCTGTCAAACCCCTCTCTTGGGAGTTAATTGGATCTCCCAAGCGGCCCCTACTTCTCTCGATCCTTACCCGACCCCGAGTTCTCATGTTTCATTGCAGCGCATATGGCGGGTGATGAGTAACGCATACGCATCAATATTCCCCCACTCGCATTGGACATTATGTTCTTGTTCATCCAGTCACAGCACCACAGTCGTGGAGAACCCTGGAAACTTTGCAGCCTGTCATTCGTGTCGTTACGGCTGGTAACGTAAGGCTACAATCCTCTTGTTTGCAACGTACCACACTCGCATGCAATCGTCTCCCGTGTACCGACCGCTCAAGGTCCTTGCTTTGGATGATCCTTCTTATTATTGTTTTTATTTCAATCATCACGAGGCTCGTGCTTGGGTGAATGATTTCTCGCTGAGCTCCAAGACATAGCAGGCGCCAGTATCTTGAGACATTTGTTTCCCTGCTCTGTCGACATTCCCAACTTTGTCCTTCTCTATCAGTATTATTCATATTTCCTTCCTTTCTTGTCAAGCTCTGTACCTTCTTCTCACAAGGCTGCACCTGAGCTACGATAACAGATTTCTAGAGACGCCGAGCATGCAATTCACAAATGTCTTATGGACTTGATCATCTGTCCAATGGTTTAATGTTACGACGTGAACGGCCTGAATCAATAACTTTTTTTTTTTTCTTAGCATGATACTGGAAGGAAATTGCCCTGCTTATATGGGATAATCAACTCCATGTTCCGGAAATCCGTCATTATCGGCCAGTGACTCGAGCGGCGGGCGGGCGGAAGCCCGAGTCGGTCCATTGTGGGGCTGACGGATACACCTGAGACCATCTCAGGGCACTTGATATGCGTATCACTATATGGTCACTACTGGAGTGGGCGGACAAGTTAGTCGGTCGGGATGCGATCAAGACCATCAAGATTCAAAGTAATTTGTTTCCCCGGCCTAGCATCGGGAGTGTCATGGGTTATAGTTCTCCTTCTTCGGAAATATTATTTAATCAGCCAGTCAGAAGCAAGCAACACCCATGTACCTCAAATGCGATTTTTCTGATACGACATTGGCCTTCGGCTTTCTCGAGGCTTGGGCGTGTACACCTAGTCTGCATCATATGGTCCAAACATGCAACACTTTGCGAGCCATTTGCAGCATGCAGGTACTGCAGGTTGACTCCGCAGGATACATTCAGTGCACATGTGTGATAGACATGTATGCACTCATAGGTTGAATCTTTACTGGCCGATTCGGAACCTGCAAGACTTTCACATCGCACTCGTCTATTGCTAGGATCTAGTTTCAGTTCAATGCTACAAATTCTTCTTATCCGTCGGGCACTTCATTGCCTATTTGCTAAATCAGGTGCCCATATACCTATCAACGTGAACTTCAACGGCAAGCATTCGAGTGTAAGTGATCAATCCATTTGATTGAAAGTATGGCGCCACGTGGACGCGTGCTACACTAACCTAAGGTTAGATGCTTGCCTGGTACCGAATAGGCATCGATTTTAGTGGGACGGTGCGAGGCAACAGTGTTTGTGCCCTCCAAGGCGGGGCATTTTTACTGACTTGACTGTGTTGGCGTCATGCCTCGACAGAGCTTCAGCATCAATATTATCCTTCTTTCCTAAACCACCTTTGTCAAGTTGACACTTTCGACCCTCCGCTTTCTGCGTAGGCCAGCCCTCTCGCCATGCCGTCACTCGACGCTCGTGCGCATCTGCGACAAGCCATTCAGCCTCTGGAACGGCCCGCTGGATACATCTCGAGAGCTCTGACCGCCGGATTCTATCCGCTCAAGGGCATCTACTATTTCCTGGCACATCCAGCCTACTATCCTCTATTCTTGGGCCGACTCCTGCCGCTTTCGCTCATCTCGGTCCTCGTCTACACGATTCTCTTCACTTTTGCCTTCCTGCCGCAATATGCCTTCCTGGCCATCTTCCACGGTTGGGGGGCTTGGGTCAATGCCGTATTCCTGACGTTGGGCGAAGGGCTGGTGATCATACAAGGATTGTTCGAGGGCTTCTTCGTTGACGAGTGTCGCGTGGATGTATTTGATGTAAGGAACTTGCGCTGGTTATTACCCAACCAATCGAGGAGCAGCAGGTACTAATGGCATGGCAGGCCACCCTCATCGACAAAGGTCTGGTCGATCTGATTAGACCTCACCGAATTCTCTTCCCCGATGCTCCCAACTCTGTCAAGATGCTTGGCAAGCCGACGACCGAAGCCGCCTACCAACCCTGGAGCCTGATCCAAATTGTCGAGCTGATCTTCTGGCTTCCTCTGAACCTTATTCCTTACGTGGGAGCTCCATTTTTCATCTTGATCACGGGAGCTAGACTCGGAACTTTTGCACATTTTCGCTGGTTCGAACTCCACGGGTTGAGCAAAAAGGAGCGCAAGCGGGAGATCAGTAGAAGAAGGTGGGACTACATGTGGTTTGGAGTTGTGGCGATGCTGCTGGAGTTGGTGCCCATCTTGTCGTTCTTCTTTCTATTGACGTCCACCACGGGCTCGGCGCTTTGGGCTGCGAAATTGGAACATAAAATGCACCCGCCGCCAGCTCAGGAACCCGAAAGTGCAAATGCCAGCGCGCCGGCAGAGATAGATGATCCTGATGCTCCACCTCCGCCATACACGGATGATCCCGTCTAAGTGCTAGATTAGAGAGACACCAGAGGTAGATAGTTGCTTCACTAGACATCATGTGTGCCCTCATATTTCTGCTTAGTATTTTTCTCGAAGATGCGTAGTCCCGAGACATGAATTCTAGTCGTGTTTTCGAACGCTTAGGCTTTCTTCTTCTACATCTGCGATGTTTAAATGCAGATTGCGGAGTATCGTATCATGTGGGAATGGCTGAAAATGCTTCGCACATCATGCGTATAGTGTGGAAAAGTTTCAGTCCATGGCTATCTATGAATAATTCGCAAAAAGCCCACTACACCCATATGCATCCGGTCATGTTATGCTGGTAGCTTGTTTCAAGTATAAAGCGGCAGTTGTTTCAATCATCCGAAGATATGTGCTTGAAGAATTTCTGGTCTGGTAGTGCTTTGAGCACGGCAGCAGAATCACAACAATGGGTAATTGAGCCAGGCCTGAACAGCAGAAAGGAGGCCGTCCTCCCGCCAAGCGGAAACACTTGAGAAGTGCAGTGCCTAACTTTACCCTCTTTCATGAGCGTCTGCCATTATTCGCAGGTGAGGCGTGCCAAGAAGGAAGTTTTAGTCATGTCAGAGAACCACTGGTAAGTCATCGTCTTCGTGGAGAATCTTTTCTCAATCCACCTGCGCCTCTACGCCAGGGCCTATGATATTGAAACTTGAGATTTGATTTTAGTACAAAATTTGCTGCACAATAGATGTCAATGCCAGTACATTAGTGCCGAAGAGTCATGTCTTGCACTCTCGCCTCTGCGAAAAGTAGAGAAATTTCCCCAAACAGTTGGAGGCAAGAAGCTACACTATACCGGAAAACAGCAGAGATTGAATCTTCGCACCCCATCTACCGAGACAGAGGGAAAGTTTTTTACGAGTCACGTATATGAGCGGCAAGATATGACTAGAGATTTGTAAAGGCAACCAGGTTCAATGCTCCTCCTGAATACAGTAGGAACTCAGATTGAAGTGCCCAGAGCGTCCTCACTCCATGGTCCTGCCCGAAATAAACGTTGGAAAGCACAAGCATCGTGCCCAAATACTATGACGTACGTAGTACGATTTCTTTTATCCTCGGCCGATCAGGAACTGCATATCATTGACGTCCCTTCCTCAGTCTCCATTGACCTGAAAATTGTTGGGACTGATCCGTTTGCTTTCCATTACTGGTGTGACGCGTCCATCATTGGGCAACTACACCTTGAAGCGTACTTACCGTGCCTTTGGATTCGAGCACCTCCTTCAAATGTTGACGTTCCGGATGCCATGCTCCGGCTCGAGGGCACCTTGCTTGTGTGCTTAGTAGTAAGGCGGGGAGCTCAACATTTGAATATTGTTTGAAGGCTGCCTAGAAGTCGGTCTCTTCGCAGTTTCTGGTTTGTCTTCAAGAATTGTAATGGATTCATTCGTCCCAAATGTCCAGCGTGCTGCCTTTTGCACGGAAGTTCATGCACTGCTGTGCAATTAAATCCAATTATTCTACATCTAGATAGAAATTCATTTCCAAGCATTTGATGCGTTCAAATTCAATGCATTTTTGGAGAAAGTCAGGTTCTTGTGCCAGGTGTCATGGATTGCGGTTCTTCTGTCCTACATTCCTGAAGCCGAATTCTCGATACACGCAGCTGTTCATTGATCCTCTCAAGCATCGATGTCATTTTTCAGTGGTTATCTAGGCTGTTCTATCAGTCCGCAACATCGTTACGAAAGTTCCAAGACTGGATCTGAGGCAACGCGGGTCTCGAACCAAGAGCCACCTGTTCGACATTCATGTGCTTGCCAGTCTTCTCATTTCATCAATCTCTGGCTTTCTGTTGGGAGTGATATCAGAACTACCCAACTTCAATGCCTTCCGTCCAACTCAGAGGCATCATACAGGTAGATTGTTTGCAATGGGTGACGTAAGAAAATGTAGACGAGGAAGGCACGTCGACGGCCAAAACAACCGCGTCTCCCCAAGGCGGTGCGTAGTTGCAAAACACAGGCAAGAAGCAGAGGAAGGCACGCTCAATTCAGGAAGGCATGGACACTTCAAATTTTCCATCCGCCCAAAATATAATTCCCATCCCATCTCCCTCCCATCCCTTTTTCTTTTCTTCCATCTCAAACTTCCAACTTCAACCTCCACTCCTTTCCATCATACGCTCCCTTCAGTCATCTTTGTTTCTGTCATTCCCCATCAGTAGAGAACCTGCTTCTGCCTTCACACCACATTGCAACTGGACACCACCGGCTCCTCTCAAACTTCACTGTCCTCCTCGCAGCCATGCGTTCAGGCGCCTTTGGGGGCATCACCCTCGCTGCTCTGCTCTCTGGAGTATCAGCACAGTCCTACGGTAATCCTGGTGCCTCTGGCCAAGGCCAGCCTGGTGATGGCGGATCATCTTCTCCTGGTAGCAGCCCTGCTGGCAGTGGTCCTGGTAACGGTTCCGGCAATGGTTCTGGCAATGGTTCACCCCTGACGGTTTCTCCTGTTGTTCTCACTTGTCCCATTGTCCCCCCCAGTACGGTCTTCATCACTGTCACTCCTCCTGCTCTTGCTACTGTCACGGTTACTTCTCCTGCTGGTCCCAACGGCTCCAACCTTCCCAACGGCCCATATGATCCCAATGGTCCTTTCGGCGGCTCACTTCCTCACACTGGACCATATCCTTCCGCACACTCTGGCTCCGGTTGGTCTCCATCCAAGACGATCTCCATTCCCTGCTCAACTGACTCTGGCGCCGGTCCTGAAGGTGCTGGCAATCCTGGATCCGGTCACTCTGCTACGGCTGCCCAACTCACCACTGACTATGTCACCATGTCCATTCCTCCTCTGGGTGGTCAGACTGTTGGTTCCATGATCACCTACACCATCATCACTCCTCTTGTTTCCGGCAATGGTGGCAATGGTGCTACTAGTCCATTCGGTGTTTCGTCTTCTGCTTCTGGTGGCTATGGTGCTGGTCAGCCTTCTCCAACTGTCACTCAGTCTGCTACCCAACCAGGTGCTGGTAACCCCGGTGGTCAAGGTTTGCCAACTGTCACTGTCACTGTCACCACTCCCCAAGGCGGCAATCCCAGCAGCTCTGGCCCTGGAAGCAACCCCAATGATCCCGACACCTACGGTCCTGGCAATGGTTCCGGCTCAGGGCCCAACCCAGGCGGCAATGGATCCGGCAGCAATCCCGGCAATGGCTCTGGCAGCAATCCGGCAGGCGGAAACCCCGGTGGCCAAGGTATCCCGAACTCCACCACTCCATGCGAAACTGACACAGCTACTGTCACTGTTCCTGGTGGCAATGGAGCAGGTAATGGTCCTACTATCGCTCCTGGTGGCCAAGGTCCAACTGTCGCTCCTGGAAGCCCTGGCAATTCTGGCCAGAGTAGTAATCCTGCAGGTCCTGGTGGCCAAGGTTTGAGCACTTCCCCTGTCACTGTCACCATCACTGTTCCTGCTGCTTCTTCGTCTGGCCTCAGCAACCCGGGCAGCAACGGCAGTCCCGGAGGCTCACCAAGTCAAAGCTTGCCTTTCGGTGGCTATGGAGGTTCTGGCGGTAGCCCCTATGATCCTGGCTTCAGTACATCCACCATTATTGTCCCCAGCGCACTCACTCTCACTGTTCCCAACACTCTTGGCGGTCCCGGTGCCCAGGGAGGTCAAGTTCCCACCATCATCCCTGGCATTCCTCCTTCAGGTCAGAGTTCCACTGGCGCCATAAATGGACCATCTCCCTCTGGCAGCTATGGTGGTAACCCTGGTGGTTCTGGCAATCCCAACGGTCCCAACGGCCCTGGCGGCTCAGGCAATCCCAATGGTCCCAACGGCCCTGGCGGCTCAGGCAATCCCAATGGTCCCAACGGCCCTGGCGGCTCAGGTAATCCCAATGGTCCCAATGGTCCTGGTGGCAGTGGCTCGGGTCCTTTCACCATCACGGTTCCCAGTGTTCCAAGCGGCAGCAGCCTTCCTGGCACTTCAGGCAACGGCCCCAATGGAGGTGCCTCCGCTCCCATCATTGTCACTGTTCCAAGCAACCCGACCACAGGGATTCCAATTGGTCCAGGTGGTCAAGGAATTTCTGGAGTTACCATTCCATCCCCTGAACCAACTCTTCCTGGTGGCTATGGCAGTGGCTCCGGCTCTGGTCCTGGCAACAATGGTCCTGGCAACAATGGTCCTGGCAACAATGGTCCTGGCAACAATGGTCCTGGCAACAATGGTCCTGGCAACAGTGGTCCTGGCGGCAGCGGTCCCAATGGTGCAGGTGGTCCCATCACCATCACCATTCCTCCCTCTGGAGCTGAACCTACTGCTTCAGGAGTTCCCGTCCCCATCACTGTTCCTGGAGCTGGCGGCCCTGGTGGTCAAGGAGGTCAGTCAGGCCCATCAGGTCCCAGCACAGCGACTGTTCCAGTTGGTGGTAGTGGCAGTCTTCCTGGTAGCTATGGTGGTAGCTCTCCCGCAGGCAGCTCTGGCCCCAACGGCTCTGGCTCTGGCCCTTCTGGCTCAGGTCCTAACGGCTCTGGCTCGGGTCCCAACGGCTCTGGTTCTGGTTCCAATGGCTCTGGCTCTGGCCCGAGTGGCTATGGTTCTGGTCCGAGTGGCTCGAATCCTAATGGCCCTGGCTCAGGTTCTTCTGGCTCAGGTCCTTCTGGCTCAGGTCCCGAGGGTTCAAATCCCAATGGCACTGGTTCACGTCCCAATGGCTCAGATCCCAATGGTTCTGGCTCTGGTCCAAATGGTCCAGGTGGCCAAGCAATCTCGTCACCGCTCATCACCATCACCCAGTCGTCTATTCTTCCCTCGACCAGGACCGTTCTTGCATCTGCCCCATACACTCCTGTCGTGACAGTTGCTCCTGGAAGTGGTCCTCAACCCAGCAATGGTGGCAACCCTGGCTCTGGCAATCCTGGAAATGGTTCAGGTAGCCCCGGCAACGGGTCAGGCAACCCAGGCAACGGATCTGGTAACCCAAGCAATGGATCTGGCAACCCAGGCAATGGTCAATCTACACCCTGTCCTGATGAAGGCTCAGTAATCACCATTTTCCCCTCTCCGACTAATGGCCAGCAGCCTACTGGAGTCCCTCCATTCATGACCGTCACCGAGGGCTCCAATCCCAATGGTGGTTCGATCCCCGCTGGTGCATCTACTCCAGCCATCACTGTTCCTGGACCCAACCCTTCAGCCGCAGAGCCGTCTGGCGTTCCTGTTCCTGTGACAGGAGGACCAAACCCATCTGGTGAGTCAACGCCTTGCACAACTTCCTCCTCTGCTACTCAAACATCTGGCCCTGCACCCGTGAATACCTCGTCGACCCGCGTTCCACAGTTCACAGTCCCGTCGAGTGGATGGAATGCCACCATGTCAATGACAGTGTCCAGCACTGGCGATGTGCCATCGGTTGTGCCGCCAACTTCAACTGTGGAACCGCTGGCTACCACGATCCCCTCCGACTGTCCTTCCTTGACCTCTACTCTGATTTCCAGCTCCATGATCACATGGTGTGCTACCTCGAGGCCAACATCAACCATTGATGTTCAGTCATCGACACCTGCTCCTGTTCGACGTCAAACTAATGCGGACATTCCAGTTGTTCCCACTTCCCAGCCTGGCGGTTACCAGTGGGGTGGCAGCCAAAAGCTTGAAGCATGCGGCAACGCTGCTGACAAGGGCAATTTTACCCTCAAGGTTAGTCCATCTTCGACACTTGCTTGATTTGAGCTTTGCTAATTCTTGTAGATGGATGATCTCTCTGCTCTCTCAGCCAGGTCTGAAACTTCTGATCCAGTCTCTGTGCTCAGCCCCTACCACCGATTCTGGTTCACATCAACCTTTGAGACTTCATCTTCGGAAGGTCGCTTCAAGCCCTCCTCTGGCAGCACCATGCTTCAGTTCACTCCATCTGACGACCCTGCACGCTTTGGCAACGGCCCCAGCCATGCCAATGACTGCTTCTCCTTTGACTTCTTTGGAGCACACCTCGGCTGCGACTCGGAAGAGTCAGACTGTGACTTCACCTTTACTGGCATGACCTTTGACAGCAAGTCACAGGAGGAAGTCGAGGCGCTCTCACAGACTGTCCACGTCCCCGCCTGTCGGCAAACCACTGATTGCAAGCTGCAGCATGTCTCTGTCGACAACTTCAAGGGTCTCTCATCAGTGCTTGTCGATGTCAAGGTCGACAATGAGGAGCGAACTTGGTGGGCTGATGACCTCGAGCTCGGCTGGTCCGACAACACTTGTGACAAGGCCAACTGCCGATCACAGATGCGCGACACTGTTCTGACCAAGTCTGCTGGCAAGCGTTGGATCGCATGAGCACCCTCTACCTTCTACGTGTAAACTGACGGGGATAACTTTTTTGTTTTGATTTGATCGCAGTGCGATTTTGCTCGCCATGTCATGGTTCTAATTCGCACAATGTTGCGCTGGGAGTGTAATGGGAATGGGGAGGAAGTTGGTGGAACATGAGTGTAGATTTTGGCATTTGATGAAGTCCTTCGTTATCGTAATACTAGCTCCGAGTCCATTGTAGTTCAATATCAAGACGCTTCAGCCTCATACAGCTGTCGATCCCTCACCGTGACTCGTGCAATTGACTTTATGCTCGGGAGAAAAGTTTGGATGATCATGACAGGTAACAGTTCATATTATGATCTTCGATGCCATATATTGCAGAAGTGATCAGAGGCAGAAAAAAAAGAATATGTCCAACAAATGTTGTCATACGTCTTTGACTCTCTAGATCGTGTATGACTTGCCATGTCACAGTGAATCGAAGAGGGTTGGATGTGCATTTCCAGCGATGCGTACTGGGTGCATGTAGGTTTGCATAAGCGGTATGCGTGTAGCTAGGAACAGTTTGGTGTGCCTTTACATTTCCGTGTGACTGTTCATCGGCCATCGGCTACCATGCGGTTACGGAGATAAGATGGATTGATATTGAACTGATCCACGGACATGACAAAAACATAGTAATGGGGGGTTTGGGGTCTGTGCTGTCCGTCACCCGTGTTAGTTGGACTCTTCTCTCTGCTCACGTCTGATGGATGCAGAAGGAGAGGAGTGGGCGGCATGGCTCATGACGCTCTGCATTTCGGGTTGAGGCCGGGAATAAGGTCCATGCATCATCATCCTTCATTGGGGGGTTGGTTGGCTTGCAGATTTGACTGCTTGTTCTTTGCCGAGCGGAAAGTCGGCTGAGCGGTTAAGTACCCGTACCTATTTGTTGACCTGCCAGAGTCTACCTAGAATGCTGTACCAAGCACGCCCTCAAAGTGATGAGCTTTTGAACGGTCTCCAAAGAGAGTAAGAAATTAACGGGGTAATTTGTACACTATGCGTAGGAGCAGAGATGCACTGTACATGTGTAATAAAAGACTCGTATTGAAATATAGAAGGGTGGTGGAATTTGGTTGGTGGGAAAGCAGCAAGAAGCATTTGATAATAATGCACAAAAAGTACCAACGCTACACCGGCCATCCATCGGGGAAAAGTTGCTACGAGTATCAACTCTTAGTTTCGTTGGATGAGTAATTAGCTATGGAATGAATGGATAACTGGCACGCCCTTCGAGGTTTGGCCGACGACCTTTTTTGCAGGATTAAAGAGGGCGGAAATCTTCCTATTCGGAGTTGCAACCCCGCTCAAGTGGACTTTTGCTAGTTTGGGACTTGCCTGTATCCACCCCCGTGAATGCGCCCAACTTTACAATGCAGAATGTGTCAGGGGACTGGTGGGACTGTCTCCGATGCGGAGGAATATCCGGGGCAAGGATAAGTCACTATGAACCTCGGTGGAGTAGCCGGTTTTTGTAATTTGAATTGTATTTTGACGTCTGGTCCTGAACCGTGACCCGTTGCTGATTGTCTTTCATGGGCTACACATAGTCCCCGTATATAGTCTGGAATCACAAGGTAGAAAACAAGACCAGTCTCCTTGATAAGATTCACCGACACTACGGGCCACTTGCATTTTGCCTCGGAACTGACCACGAAATCGGTTCTACTGCCCTAACCTGACCCGGCCTCTTGCGCCAAGGGAAATACCAAGAAATCATGACCATGTCATCATCATCGTCAAAGTCGGTGGAAGAGCAACTGCCTCGGGATGTTGAGAAGCAAAACGACCACATAGAACCCGCCAGTAGCGGTCACTCGGACAGCGACGAAACCAAGCAATCCAAAGAACACGATGTGAGCGCCGAGGCAGGCGAGGAGGAGGACTGGAACGTACCACCGGAACCAGATATCTTGGATACGGACGCCGAAGGTGTCGGTGGCACAATTGCCAGAGTGCTCAGCCGAATATCCACGAATGCAAGTTGGAATCCGGGCCCGCCACCGGACGGTGGTCGGGCGGCATGGATATGCGGTATGCTTTCCCCATCTAATCGAGTGAATAGTCAGCAACATGAGACGTTTTTGGCCGTTTGAAACTGATACGATAGCTAGCACTATGCGGCCATCTTGTGATTGCAAACACTTGGGGTTTTATTAATAGCTTTGGTGTTTTTCAATCCTACTACACCTCGCTCCTAGGACGTCCACCATCTGATGTCTCATGGATCGGTTCGATACAGATCTTCTTGACCTTCTTTACAGGAACTTTTACAGGCCGAATCACAGACGCCGGTTTCTTCAGGCCGATCCTGCTTCTAGGAACCGTTTTGATTGCTCTGGGAATCTTCACCACTTCGGCTGCCACACAATACTGGCAGTTCATCTTGAGCCAGGGAATATGTATGGGACTAGGCAACGGTTGTCTGTTTTGCCCGGCCATCTCTGTTGTCTCGACATATTTCGAGAAGAAGCGGTCCCTAGCCATTGGCATCACGGCAGCCGGCTCGGTGACGGGAGGACTCGTGTTTCCTGCCATGGCGCGGCAGCTGCTTCCGTCGATTGGATTCGGCTGGACCATTAGAGCCATAGGTTTCGTCCAGGTCGGCACTCTTCTCATTACCAATTGCTTCATGAAGTCCCGGCTACCGCCGCGAAGGACAGGCAGTATCGTCGAGTGGGGCGCCTTCAAGGAGCCCGAATATGTCTTTTATGCCCTTGGCATGTTCTTTGTAAGTGTAACCCAATGCTTGTTGTCAGTGTGTCTTGTTGGCCCGTTTTGCATACTAATTAAAGGTGGTGATTGCAGAATTTCTGGGCCGTCTACTTTGGCTTCTACTACATTGCCTCGTTTAGTCGCACCGCCATCACCCCGACCCTCTCGTACACGGACTCGCTTAACCTCCTGCTCCTCATGAACGGCATCGGGCTCATTGGCCGACTGCTGCCCAACCACTTTGCCGACACGGTGGGGCCGCTCAACATCATGATCCCGACGTGCCTCATCACGGGCGTGGCGCTGCTGTCGTGGATCGCCGTGCACACGCCGGCGCAGCTCTACGCCTGGACCGTCTTTTACGGCATCGCGGCCGGCGGCATCCAGTCCCTGTTCCCCGCGGGCCTGTCGAGCCTGACCACGGACCTGCGCAAGCGCGGCACCCGCATGGGCATGACGTTTACCATTGTCAGCTTTGCCGTGCTCACCGGCAACCCCATTGCCGGTGCCATCATCACGGCCGAGGGAGGGGGGTACATCGGCGCTCAAGTCTTTACCGGCGTGAGCATCTTGGTGGGTATGACGTTGATTTTCCTCGTGCGGGTCTCGCGCCAGAGAAGGTTGAAATGTGGTTGGAGATTGAAGATGTAAGTAGAACAAGTATAACTTTCCTGGTGGCAATTACCATCAAGTATATACAGGTGCATGATGGACTAGACATATAGGCTTTACATATAAAAGTAACTCGTACGACCCACCATGACTGCCAGGCAGGATTCTAAGCCCATATTGCCAAGTCATGAAATCTGGGGGAATAATGATTAATACTGTCTTGAACGTACTCCATTTACTTATCAGTATCTACTGTATCGTGACATGTTTACTGGAAATACTGGCCCGTGAAACCAGGCAGGATCTCTTTGCCTTCACTGGACTCGTAGCTCGTGCCCTTCTTTTGCTGCCATTGCTGCTTGAGGGTGGTGAACTCTGTTGATAATGGTCAGTCAGACAAGATTCTTTTCTATTCCCCTCCCATGTACCTGTTTCTCTGTGCCTCGAGCGCGGAAAGGGTCAATGGGGAATTCTGGGAACTTACCTCCCATGGTCGGAACACGGTGTCCGCCCTTTTCAAACTCATTTTGGGTGAATCCGGCTCGCTTCAACACGGGCGAGTCAATGGTCTTGAGCGAAAGATCGTTTTGTGGTCGAGCAAAGTAGAGCAGGCCCAGACGGTCGACGTGTCGCTGGTCCTTTGGCGGCACGGATACCTATACCCAAAGTTAGAATTCATTTCAATATCTCTTCCAAGAGCGGTGGGAAAGGGTGAATTTGCAAGGTTTCTAAATGAGCAGAGGCCAAGACATACTCGGTGCACTGTCGACTTGATGTAGCCGCCCGTGAGGAAGCTGAGGGCATCACAAGTGTTGACCGTCAAGCTGCCGTCGAGGGGCTTGGCCCACTTCCAGTCGCCCGTCTCGTGGTCGCGGATCTGCAGCGCGGCAACGGGCTGGCGGAAGAGCAGGGTAATGGTGCCAAGATCAGTATGGCCGCGCGACCAGAGCCCGTCTGACAGCTGCTCAATCTCCTGTGGCGAGAACTTGGAGTACTTCATGTACCGTAGGTGCGACTCGTCGTGCTCCTCCCACTTGTGCACCTTGGTGAAAAAGTCTGGGGGCAGCTCCAGAGCCAAGGCGATGAGGTGGTTCAGCGGGTCAAGCACCTTGTCGTGGAGGTTCTAAATGGTTTTTCGTGTCAGTCGTCACGTACATGTGGTTTAGATCAAGTTATAATGAGTTTTTGGTCAAGTCTACCTTGGCGAAACCTTCAATCTCTTCCAGGTTGTCCTTCAATAACTGGGGAATCGGCTGGGTAATGTGTCCATCCTTGGCTATACGTCAGGCACTTAGTAACGTCCCTTTGTCATGGCAGCAATACCAAGGAGAGTTGGTATCTGGTACAATCACTTACTCGCCATGTTCCAGACCTCGGTCTTGTCAACGACACCACCGCTCAGTACGCGACGGCCAGCCGGCCGGTAGCCGTTATAGTCACCCGAGTCCAGGTCGGGGACGTACTTGAGCTTGTCCTCGAGCGGCAGCTCGTAGAAGCGCTGGCCCAGGGCAAACTGTCGGTCGACTGCGTCTTGGGAAATGCCATAGTTGGTCACGTAAAAGAAACCCTTGGTGCGGATGGCCTCGATCAGTGTCTGCGCCAGCTCGGCGTTGCCCTCCTCGGTGCCATACTTGGACAGATCAATGTTGGGGACTTTTGTTTGCTTGCAGTTAGTTGGACCAGAATCAAAGGGAGTATAGTGATCAAGACGAGAAGCGTACGTTCTGCCCATTCTAGGTTCTCCTTTGTCTCTGGGACATGGCTATACTGATACAGTTGGCTTTCGGCGTGAGGCATCTTGTTCGATGGGTTGAATATTGATAATGATTCAAAAGGAAACAAATACAAAGTTTGACGATTCCAATGCGGGATGGAAAGCTGTAAGCAATTGGGGTATAAGCGACAAGAGATAATTTTCAGCAGTTGGAGACTCTGGATATTCTTGATTTCAAATTGACTCCAAGACACACGCCCGCTTTATACCCAGCCTTTGTATAGCCTCCGGAGATTAACAGGACCCCAAGTAAACCCAACTGACCTAGTCTGATATAGTAGTATAGCAAGCATTGTCTCATACGTCTATCATCTTTCCCCTCCCTCTCCCTCTCCCCAAGCGGGCCTCCCCCGATACTCCGGGTCCACCACCGAGGCCCGTCGTCCAACCCGAGTGCGCGGAAGGACGATTTCGTCATTCCCATGGCGATGGCGCAACACGTCCGCGCATCACACATGGGCGAGATGGGTGCGGGATAACGTGATTGACAGGTTCGGATTCCCGGACCCGATTATACGCTGGGTTTTTTTGGCTGCAACCTTCCGAAACAGACAAAATGATGATAGTCTTTTCTCTTCCTCTCTCTTATCTACGACATCTTGTTCGTCGGGGTCATGATGCTCGACACGAGGGCTTGGCTATAATACTGCGTATCAAGGCCTCACACATGTTATTTAATCATATGGTGTGCTCGCTATTGCCTTTTGCTGCACAATGCAACAGTGTGGCTGTATTGGACCATCCACCAAGCGAGACAAATTCCAAAAAAAAAAGTGATTGGACGTCGCACACAACATCTCGATCATTGTTGGCAATTTTGAAGAGATTTTCAACGTTCTATACGTACTGATCAGTAGGTTATTCTGTCTCTGACTCGACGGCTTCTCGGCAACGTTACAGTATATTTCCAAGCACCATCTCTGAACTGATGGTTCCGGTCGTCATTTTGCTGTTCTGAATAGTCAGAGTATATTCTCATAACTTATGGATTCCGGACATGACAAAACTACCCAGCATAGTTCTTCGACCATCAATGCATGAGGCAAGGCATTTCCCGTTTTACTCATTGAGGTGGTCTTCCCGTTTCCCATTGCTTCAACAGAATATTCACTTGGACTTGTTAATATTTTGAGTAACTTCGGCCCAAAATTGAGTATAGTCTAATGATTGATGCCCTTTGATCGATAGCTTCTGGACATCTTTATCAGAGGTTGCTTCCCGTGGCTCTTGTTGTTGTTGTCGTTTTCCCCAAGGGTTTTGGCGGAAGAAAACAAAATGTTCACTACCAAAATGTGCCGTCAGTATTTTATTTCACCCATAATCAAAGCTATAGCCATCGAAGAATGTGAAAACGAGCATTGCTTACGTTCCTCGGCGGTCCGGGTCAAAACCTCTGACATAGTCATTGCGGCCAAGACAAATCTGTGCATAGGGCAGAGAAGACAGAACAAGTTGGCCAGCAACCGTGGCAAGCTGTTCCACCCGAACTCGGTCTGTTCTCCGGGTACGCAGTTCCCGGTCCGCCCATAGCATTCCAAGTTGTGAGTATAGCGCAAAGCCCATCAAGTCTGATGTCTCCTCTCGTGGGTGCTTGGCCATGGCCCCGAGATCATCATCGTCGTCATTGGGCATCTTTTTGTTAATCAGACCAACCTCTTTGGCTACCCCTTGGGCTGGGATGAAAGTGACGCTTAACTCTGGGTCCGACACGGTACTTCGGTAGATGGCTACTGACTGACACATGTCGTTAAAGCGACTCGGCGAATCGCTCCTGAGCAACTTGCGACTGTTTTCACTCATGGAGGCCGTCATATCCAGCCTGGCAATTCTTTCGGCAACTTTGAGGCGGTACCCTTGGCCTCCGGGCATCCTGTCGAGGCCAGGATCCGAGGACATTCGAATAATGTCCGCGGGCAGCTTCTCATCCTGGATCTTCTGGGAGTTTTCGGAGAAACGAAGCCATTCTGAACGAGACAAACTTTGCGGCGGCCAATCCACTTGGCGGCCAGCCACATCATAGACGGCCAGGGCGGGGAATCTGGTGACGTATTGGAGGGACTTGTGTGTAACGAAATCCTCGCCCCATATTCTGAGGACTCGGAGAGAAGGAAAGGACACGGTATTGGTGCTTTGACTGCTCACGGCGGACCATTCGCGCAAAATGCTGTCAGAGACTCGTGGAAATATAGCTGCCTGCTGCGGATCTCGAGGCTGGATAATTTCGAGGACGCCAAGGTTCTGCATCGTTGATAAAGCCAAGAGATGGCTTGCTGGGCAAGAGACGCCTTCGGCTATGGTGAGATGCGCAATAAAGTCAAGTCTTTGGGACGACAAGGGCACAAGGTAGGTCGACAGAGGGGCAATGGGCCTCTTGACATGCTGGACTTGCCGCCAGAGCGAAATGGGGACTTTGCCACTTTCCGGGCGGGCTTCTTTGGGAGATAGATACTTGATGAACACCTTCCAAGCGTGAAAGGGGACGGATCTGTGATCGTGTTAGTAGCTGTTCAACGAGCGAAGATGTTTATTGAATTGGCCCATGTATGTCTCTACTCACTTTTGGGTAGCCTGGCCATGAAACCAGATATCCCAAAGAATACGCGTAGGCACGTGTTCAAAGGCGTCTTCCTCGATGATTCCGACATTTTCCCACAATTTGGACCGGCACATGGCAAATAAAGACGACCTGATGGGAATGGGGCCGGGGGAGGGCGTGCGCCTTCTCTTGCGCTTCTTGGAAGATGAGTTGGTCGCAATAGATCTACGGTGCCAGTCCTGGGACATGGAAGCCATATTACGATTCATACGTCTGGCCGAGATCTGTCCCTCGAGGAAGACGAGACCAGAATCCGGATCGTACTTGTGATTCATTTCGCCTGTCTATAGATTTCCCTGCAAGAGGAAATCGCAATGGCTCGTGATATTAATTCTCCAGTGTTGACGAGCCACGGAAATGATGAAATCGCATGCTATTGTTGACTCCTCTGTGCTACGTGGGGGTATGTAGTTGAAACAGAATGCATCTTGCTCATATTCTAGCATGCAACTTGTAAGTCTCAACTCATGCCATGTCGCGTTATGAAGCAGGTCGACAAGTCAGTTGTGTCGGACAAGCCGGGGCCTGGTGGGCAGGTTGCGAGGTTGTTGTAACTCGTAGTCTCAGTGCAAATGGCTGGGCGCTGGTTCGCAATCCACGAGGACACTTTGGTGGGTGGGCTACACCTACATTTTCTTTCACAGCCAAGAGCATATATTGCGGCACATGTCTTTGTACATTTAATTTTCTACGAAGTGCGTAGGTGAGCAGTACTTACTCAGCCCTCATTGAATTGATTCAATGGCCAACCCCTACTGTTGTTCATCACAAACTCCACCGCTGTTTATCAGCTTCGGCCTCGCATCCACTATACACGCGCCTACACAAAATCTAACCCAAGTCACAAGTACCAGGAGAACGAACAAATAGGCCGATATCATCAGAGTCAGATAAGCACGCAAACCGAAGCCTGCAGCGTCAGCAATAATTCTTATGGGCGACTTGTCCTCAACTCTTGCGCATTTCTTTTCTGCTCTGTGAAGCTAGTAGGACCCGTCGCCTAGACTGACTGGGTGCCGGTACCTTGCCTTACGTGCCCTGATTTGCCTTGCAGACAGGCACCTGTACAGGGCCCTTGTTCGGATAGCGGCCGCTATACTTGGCGCTACGTTGGCAACCTTCTAGTAGTGTATGTAGCATGTCTCTACCAATGTACCCCTCGCTAACAGTACATACATAGGTACGTGCCTTGTGGTGGCCCATCGTCATAACTCGGTAACTCCACCAGGATCAGCAAGCACTTTAACGAGGCCAAGTTGTCGTTGCTGTCAAGTCAGATACTGTCATCGTCGCCCACTTCATGTACAAACTGCTTACCTCCTCCGTCGCTGTCGACTGGTCAACTGGAATAATTTCCTCTACATCTTAAAGGAGACACGCCGTTTCACGTCCTGCCAACTACGATTAGTCTGGTGCCTCTCGTTCATTCTTTGTCTCCTTCACTCAGTCTCCCTCTCCGAATCCAGTCTGGCCGATCTGCAGACACCCCCGCCTACCATTGCCCCAGCGCATCACGCGACAGATATCACATCGTAGCGTACATCATGAGCAGAGCGAGCAGCCGGGTTCCTTCGCCGCACGATTCCGGCGTTCTCATCCCGGGACTCGACTCCATTTCAAACTCCAACGGCACATCCACCAATGCGGGAAACTCACGCCCCGAGTTCCAAGCCCAGCAACAACAATATCAGCAGCAGCCACAATATGAAGAGTATGGCATCAGCTCCATGATTTCGGGCTGGTTTGGCCGGAGGTTCGGACCCTCGCGGTCCAATTCACAGCTGAGCGCCGGCGCCGGCAGCATGCATAGCAGTCGTACATTCCCTACCGACCACCCCTCGAGCTTCGGCGACGGCATCAGCACACCCTTTACGCCTCCTCGGCCCTCTCGGTCGGCCAGCCCATTCGTCATGCCCGACTACGAGCCGCTGATCTTGACCGGCTACCGCCAGGACACGGACCGCGGGGCCCAACTGCTGAGCACAAGCATTGGCGAGGCGATACGCATGAATTTCCCCGAGCGCCTGAGGATATGCGAGGAGTGGAAACTAGTCTACAGTTTATACCAGAACGGCAGCTCATTGTCGACCCTGTACAAGCTCTGCGATGAGTTTAGAGGGCGGAGGGTAGGCTTTATTCTAGTCGTGAGGGATGGCTCTGGAGGTGTAAGTAATTGCTGTGTATTTCATTTTGCAAGGACTATATCATGACAGCAGCCTTGGATGATTATCCTTTCTCTTTTCCTTTATGCTTGGCTAACCACAAGACTCTATGCAGACGTTTGGTGCTTATCTCACAGAAGCTCCGCACATCGCATCAGGCTATTATGGAAACGGAGAGTGCTTTCTGTGGAAAGCTTCAGTACATGTCAGCTTGCCGCCTCCGCCATCAGATCCAAGTGCTGATCTGCTCACCGGCACATCCACAACTATCCACTCGCCCACCTCGACCAGATTCCCTTCCGAGCACCTGACGCCAGAAGCGCCAAGTCCACCAAACAACAAGCTGGAAGCAGCACAGATGGAAGATCACTCCATACGTTTCCAGTACTTTCCATATGTGCCTCCAGATGTGCGCCACGGCAAGCACGACGAGGGACCAGAAGATCCCTGGGAGATGTCGAGGGATCGAGACCAGTTCTACTTTATCAGCTCCGAGCGCTCATTTCTCGCCCTCGGAGGTGGAGAGGGCCACGATGCTCGTTATGGACTCTGGTTAGACGACGGCTTCAACCGTGGTCAGAGTGCCAAGTGTGGCACCTTTGAGAACGATCCTCTCAGTGACGAAGGAGAAAAGTTTGACATTGTCGGTGTCGAACTCTGGGTCGTCGGTGCCACTTCATGATGGCTTGGTTAGCTGGGCCTTGGTAAGAAATGGCTACTGTTTGGTGATTTGAATGGTTTTTATGAATGATACCCAAAACGCAAAAAAGAGAAAATATGAGGAGGGGGACGGCACACGATGAACATACTCCCGAATAGGACTTTCATGTAAGTTGAGATCTGTAAATTCAAGTCTCCCATTAGCACTCCTTGAAATGGATCAATGTGGGCTTCTGATGAGACTATAGACCGGGTCACTAGGAATGGCAAACTCCTATCAAATCTAAACAACAGATTTCAAAATTATACTGTGTTCGACCGCGTGATACCCTATGTATAGTCCCAAAAAGACCCAGTTACACCACTTCAGGTACTGCCGTGATATATGTAAGACAGGACTACTCACTGCGTCCCAAGCTCTAGCTAGTATTTGAAAGACGTCATATGTACGAATGCATAACATATCCCCGCAATGCCCGGACCGCTCCAACTCATGAACCCTTTGAGAGTTTCCAGTATAAATCAAAGTCTACCGAGTGCAATAACAGCTTGGGAGTGGAAAGTTACTGCTTAATCAAGGCTCAAGATCATCATTTCCCAATGGCACCCAAAGGTTTTGCAATTCTTATTGGGGCTGGTAAGTCAGACCTCTGTCCTATATAAGCTTTCACTTATATAAGGACCAGAATTTATTCTTCTGCACCATGGCTGATAACTCTTCTTTCTTACCAGGCCCAACATCAGGCGCCGGCATTGCCCGCGTACTGGCAGACCCAGAGCAGGGAAACCTTGCCGTGGCCCTTTTGGCGCGCAACAAGGAGAATCTAGAATCACTATGCAATTCCCTGCGCCAGACGTCCCACGGCGGCGTGCTATATCCGTTTCCCTGTGATACGCGCCCGGCCAACCTTCGCCGCGTCTTTGGCGAAATCACGGCCCACGACGCCTTTCAAGGTCTCCCGCTCGAACTGGCCATTTTCCACGTCAAGCACGCCCTCAAGGCGCCGTATCTCGAGACGGATCCCGCCGACTTTGAAAAGAGCGTCGCCGAGTACGCCACGGGGGCGTTTGCCTTTGGGCAAGAGGCCCTGCGGCAGTTCTACGCCCAGGCCGAGGGGGGCCAGACGGTCCTGAGCCCGAGCCACCCGGCCAAGAAGGGCACCGTCATCTTCACGGGGACGCTGGGCGCGCTGCGCACCAACGAGGGGTTCGGCGCCTACGGCGCCGGCCGCAGCGCCGTCCGCGCCGTCGCCCAGGCCCTCGGCAAGGAGCACTCGCGCCACGGCGTCCACGTCGTGCACACCATTGCCAATGGGCCCATCAAGGACGTCGTCGCGGCCGATGGGCAGCAGCAGCAGGATGACGGCATCCGTGCCGGCAAGACCATGAGCGCCGAGAGCGTCGGCCGGACGTACCTCTGGCTCAGCCGCATGCCGCCCGACTTGTGGGTGGACGAGCTGGATATGAGACCTGCTCAAGAAAAGTGGTAAACTTGTGTCATGATTCCGGGCATAAAGGTGTCGCCGTCGAGGGAATAACATGAATAAAGCCTATTGAGCATGTCCGTAAAACCAAAAGATAAAAGGTCAAATCTTTAAACACAAGGTCGATTCAAATGTACCATTCTTATTAATATGCAAAATATATCCCCTCATTGGTCTGCTCCGTTATGAAAGACATACTTTGAACTGCTTCCGTGTCAACATCGGCGCGGTCTCTCTGTATGCAACGCAAGAGCCGTTCGCAGACTCCGCATCCGTTCCGTATCTCGCCAGTGGAAAACGCCGTCATGGGAAGTCCGGCTCCGTTCACTGCAATTTTAACCCTAGCAAAGGCAATGAATGACTTTGTGTCACACCGAGCTAAGCATGGCATTAAGAGGTTCCTATACAAGCTCTCATTTTTGCACTGCTGTAATACTGGCTTGGTTGACCAAGACATGAGATCCAAGGCAAACATAATTCATGTAACAGGTGCAAATTGCACATCTTTCTTGACTAGCTTTACTATAGAAGAGACATTTCCATTCATTTTCTCGTGAACGTTTATGTAGGAAAACACCTGGACATGTTGGGAAAATAGAAAAAAAGAAGGAGCCATATCCATCCTTGCATCTATCCATCCAACCCTCTCAAAAAAACAGAGTCGGGGTATCGTCGACTAAAGAGTTCTCCAGGCGCTCCCCTCTTTCCTGATGCCATGAGCTTCTGGCATGGCTTAAAACCATACTGGCTTCTCGCAATTCTCTACATCCTTTAGACAAGGACTTGAGAGACTGGAATCCAGCTCGCAGAATTCTTGCCTACTGCTTTTAAAGGCTTGCTGCAAACCTTTTGGCATCGCCGCACCGCATGCCTTTTTCACCATGCCAAATCGTCATACTCGCCATTCTACCATCAAAGTCAACGCTGACGTGAAGCACATGCCACTGGTTCAAAACAAGAGCTTCCATCGCATTTCCTTTCCATCCCGTTTGAAGCGGCATTCTCTAGAGACCAGTGGATCCATTTACCGCATAATCTCCTGGTAGATGAGCTGCTTCAGTTGCTCCTTGCTCAGGTTGTCCTTGTGCTTGTCGAAATCAAAGAACTCCTCGGGGATCGGGGGCGCAGTAGGCTCATCCTCAGGGTCGTGATAAGGCTCAAGGTACGGGTGCTTGAGAGCGTCCTCGACAGTAATGCGCTTAACTGGGTTAAAGGCCAGCAACTTCTCCAGCAGGTCCAGGGCCAAGTCTGACGTCTTGGGGAACAAGGTGCGCAGGGGAACCTTCTTCTTGAAGGGGAGCGAGCGAATATACTCTCTGGCACGGCGCGACTTGATGCCGTAGTAATCCTCCATGGTCGGAGTTCCCAGAACGTCCAGGATCAGAGTGAGCTGGTGGTGGTCTATCAAATTCTATGAGTACCATGACATTAATTTGGCGGGGAAAAGCGACTTACAGTCTTTGCCGGGGAACAGGGGCTTGCCACTGAGCATCTCAGCCAGAATACAGCCAACACTCCAGACATCAATGGCCTTTGTGTACTCCTTGAAGGTCAACATGATCTCGGGGGCACGGTACCAACGGGTGGCGACGTATTCAGTCATGAAACCCGAGTTGTCCTCCTGCGAAGCGGCGGAACGTGCGAGACCAAAGTCGCAAACCTTCAAGTCGCAGTTGGCATTCAGGAGCAAATTGCTAGGCTTCAGATCTCTGTGGAGGACATTTGCTGAGTGCATAGCCTTAAGAGCACGCAGGGTCTGATAAATGAAGTACTGGCAATGGTCGTCGGAAAGGTCCTGAGTGCGAATAACTCTGTGCATGTCCGTCTCCATGAGTTCCTGCAGGGGTTAGCGATCAAGTTATTTGCATCAGTGGCAGGGCGCATACCTGGATGAGATAGACCTCGTTGAACGTCTCATAGTTTCGGGGCTTCTGGATATCCAGGATGGAGATGATATTCTCGTGGTTGAAGTAACGCAGAAGCTTCATCTCTCTGAGGGTTCTCAGACAGAACATGGAGTGGTCAAAGGGAGTGATCTTCTTGATGGCCACCTTTTGGCCTGAAGGCTTGTGAATTGCCGAGCTTCGCCTTTGTTAGCAGATGATAGAACGATAAGATGCATTTTTCACTTACCAAACAACTCCATAAGCACCCTCGCCAACCACATCCTGAATGTCGTACTGCTCACTCACATTGAAGGAGATCTTGCGGGACCCCGCGGGGTTGGGTGCCTGAGCTCGTGACATGATCTATACGTGCTTGTATCTCAAGAAAGAGTCTGGCCTAAAAATATCGAAGAAATATCGTCTATATAGACTTCCAAAGATCGTTGAATGTCAGAGCTCAAAAAAGTTGGCTCGCTCTGTGTTGTATTAGAGATTGATACGTAAAGCCTCCAGTCGGGCCTGCCCGAAATCGACAGAGGGCTTTTTTGGTAGATTCGCGGGTGGCTTTATTCGCCTCGGTGTCCAAGAGATTCCTCTTTGACCAAATCGGTGCCAGTAGATGGGCAGTTTGATGTTATTCCTTTGTAGAGGACCGAGTGTACCGAGTTCAGCGGTCGACGGGTTGTTGCAGGTCTGTCTGTATCTGAGAACAAGCCCCAAGAATTAGCCGTGATGCCTAAGCGGGCGGATGAACAAAGGGAACCGAGCAATGACAAAGTGCAGTGAGCTGCATATGGGAGGAAAGGGGACAGGTTTATTGCAGACGAGCGTCGGGACGATCAGTTGACAGGCCAGCGCTTGCCTCAGATGTCTGACAGCAAGCAGCCGGCTTGTATGGCCAGTGATCCGCCTGGCGGCGACGTCTGTGCGAATGGTGATGCGGGTGTTGCAGGCTCGAGTCCGCTCGGATGACGAAAACCTTGGTATGCCGGAGGCTTCTCTAGCTGGGTTGTCTGAGAGTGTGCTGGGGGTCCTGCAGAATCGCCCTTTTCTTTCTTTCTTCAGAGCCGTTGAGAAACCTGGGCGCGGATCATCTGGGTGGATTCGGCCCAGGTTTGACGAAGCAGAATACTGGCGATATTTGGGCGGTTGAACCCCGCAGGCAAAGGCAAAAGCTCTATCGAGTAGCTTACGAATTGAGTTTCGACAGAACTCTTCAGACGTCTTCGTCCGGTGTATTGGGTTCTGGAATCCAGATAGAGGGCGATGAGGGCAAAAGAACAGGCAATGGCTCACACAGTCAGATAGAGAAAAAGACAAAAAGAGAGTCTCTTCTCGTCTGAAGATGCAAGTTGTTGCGCTGTTCCTGTATGATCTTCGTGAGGGGTAATAGGGAAGCTAGGTAGGTACTCAACTCACCTCTGGGTTTGTGTCGGCTTGATTGCGAATTGCCCCGCAGAGGACTTTTGACAGATGGGACGGTGGAATGAAGGCACGAGATACCTAGGTAACTCGAGAGATTTCTTTTTGGCGGGTTTCAATGGGTACCAAAAGGTGATGCGATACTTGAATCGACGGACAATTGCAGCAGGCAAGAAAACAATCAGACGGGGGTCGTCGAGAAAAGAGGTTGAATCAACAACGAAGTGTCGCGAGACAGATCGTTATGGAGTTCCGTTGGAAGCACAAGAATGTGGACTTCTGACTGGGTTGCTGCCAGTCCGAGCAGGAGGAGATGGATCAAAAAATGGATGTGGACGAATGGCTGGCGGGCTGGATGGTGGTGGGCTTGGTTGGCTGGTAGGGGCTGGCCACTGTGGATGTTGGATGCGGGACGGAAGTTGGTTGGAGGGGTCCACGGTCCACCACTACATTACCTAGGCCACATTATAGGTAAGGTAGGGACCGAGCTGGGCTTTGGTTGGAGGGGGGACTCGGGTCGTACTGTACCTTGCACCTATGGGGTTCGACAGCGCAAGGTTCAGGGGGAAGTCCATCTGCACATGTGCCCCTCATCCATCCAGACCCAACATGTATCCTTTAATGGCTCTGATCGCTCCAAGAACAAAAAAAAAAAAAAAAAAATACTAGTCACGAGATTATACGGAACTGCAGCGGTCGGAAATTTTCAGGATGACGGTTCGTAGGAAAAAATTAGAACAACATCAGAGCGTCACGGCTTTCCAGTGAGACAGAGCAGTCGAGGATTGATCGGCCAACTAGAGTCAGAAACACGGAGCGCACCAGCGGCACAGAGAGACCAAACCAATCGTAGATACACCTAGCAGAGTAACGGCGGCTACAGAGAAAACGGCTTGGGGTCGAAACAGCTAGAGGGCCTGCCTTGGTAACCAACTAGATGGGTACTAATCCATCAGGTGGTGATATCTGACGGCGCTTAGACATGATATGTTTCCTGGTGAATTACCGGGTGACTTCGTATTGCTTGGTGATTGACTATCTACGTATCAATTTCAATATATGCATTGTTTCTGCAGCTTGACGAATCGTGCATTCTTTCATTCTTCTTCTCACAGATAGATATCCCCACTGTAGTTTGCATACTATCTGACAACCTAGGTTACTATAAAGTCTCTCTAGAGGACGCTATATTTTGAAGCGAGCTATAAGACTGCTGGAATTGACATGCTCGGCTGAATATTTCAATACCGCCACTTTGTGACTTATCGTCTGCGATATTATGGTTGTCCCTGCCAGTTGCCGTTTGATGTGACAAACTGATCGAGAAGCAGGATGGGTTGTGTGGTCAATCCAGCAATCAGTATCAACAACGATCATGACCATAAAATATAGCACATATGTGTATACCTTTACACAAGCGAGATACTGTAATAGGTAAGCAACGGTAGCGGAGACAGCCGCGAGCGGGCGGAAACTCTAAAAAAGACATGGAAGTATCTTGATGAAAGGCCCTGAACCCTGAAGGAGTCTACACAGTAACCTACTAGGAGTTCAGCTTGAGCTCAGAGCTGTCCAGCCGTAAGATCAAGATGAGACAAGGGTTGTTCGAGTATCAAGATTAAGGCTGTTCGGGTGGGTATGGCGATGGATCAGTACTGGAGACAAGTGGTACAGCAAAAGAGCCGCGTCGAACACCATCTGGACACATGTACATGGATTTATTTATTTTCGCAGACATACGTAGCTCGTACATACATCGACCCGCGCGTACAGGTGGCTCCTCTGTCCAATCTGTCAAAATGTCGCCTCCCACGTGGTAACCCTCAAGTCAAGAAGAAAAACAAGAGTGAAGGGTTTTTGCTTTTTGCTTATATACTGGCAAACTCCCTGAAAGCATGAAATATCCCGCTGCATTTATATAGAAAGCTGGAATCTTGCATCTTTTTACGCACACTGATCTTAAACCGGGCTTCCTTTTTTTTTTTTTTTTTTGGTCTTTGGCGTGAATGATTAGGTATGTACTTCCGGTACCACACAGTGAGTTCCTCCCAGGTTCTTCGTGGCAGCAGGTAAAAGGCCCCTCTAACGATCACAGCGCACCCGCTCTCGCGCTCCATTACGCTGCCGCTAGCAGGGGTCGCTCAGATGGTTCAGTAGATCTCTCAGGTTCAGGTCAAGCTCTCGGGCGCCGGGCGGGAGGAGCAGAACGAGGGAGGGAGCAAAAAGAGCACGCAACCAAGCAAGGAAGTCAGTCACCCGAGAGAAGAAGAAGAAGCAAGGGAAGGGGGGAAAGAGAGAGAGAGAGAAGAAGGTTTCCCTCCCCTTGCCAAGTTTCCTCCCCCTGTCCCGATATCACTACTTCAAACAACATTTGGAGCTCCCCATGGTTACCCGTGTATCAGATAATATGTCTCCAAAGCTTGACTCAGTCATCATTTCTCTTTGCCAAATTCATATGTGAGTGTGTCAAGACGGACTGGGCCTCGCAACCAAATGTCACACATACGCACATACACACACACACACACACACACACACACACACAACCATACCGTAGTTGGTAATTCTCACATGCCATGTGTGATTTGAATCAAAGGCTGGAGATACTGCCCTTCCATTCTGCCACCTTAGCGCCCACCAGGAACCCACCCACCTTGTATAAGCGCCTCATACCCGGGAACTCTTACCAGATGTGAGCCAGCCGGCGCGTGTTTCACGCTTTCTTGTTTCATGAATGGTCGAGTCTCTTGATCTCGGAGTGGGTGGGTGTGTGACGAGAGAAGCGGGATCAACGGCCTCCAGAGTCATTGAACTTTGTGTGAAAATATGATGTACATCCATGACTCTGGGTTCTGTATGGATGTGTCTGGGGTAGGTACTCCATACTCTCCTCTGGCCTGTATACGTCTGGCGCAGTATGATGGCGACGGCCCCGGCTGTTATCAAAGATGAGTTGGTATGGTATGTACTTCGTACACCAACAGCGTGATAGCGAGTACACTTTTGACAGCCAGCTTTCTCATTTGTCACAGCCATGTCACAATGCTGCATGCACGCGAAAGCTACATATAGGCACACGATGATTCTAGATACGGCTCTCATACAGGCGTCGGTGGTTTTTGTAATATTGGGTGCCAGGTGTACCTCATATTCGCGTGCATCTTCATCTCCATTTACCTACACCCATTCCACTGGGATCTTGAGATCCACAGGTTTGACGCAGTAGAGCCCACACCTAAATCATGCTCCAACTCCAGATATGCATTATGCGCGTAGCGCTCAACCTTTATGCCTTCAAGGTTCTGGGTCACGCCTCACGCCCACGAGGTTTCGTATGAAGCCCATTATTTGGAATCGACTCCCAATTCATGGACTGGACTCGAGAAAAAGGTGTGGTCATCCAACCTTCCTGCAATCACATCCAAACATGGGAACGGCTTATCCACCCTCTCGGGTTCGGCAAAAAGTCAGTACACCAACACCAGGGCTATACAGATAATAGTATTTTTCATTTGTTTCGTTTCACTTCGTTTGTCAGTTTGGCGCGGAATTGCCAATCTTCTTCATCTCTCGTTCTCTCTCTCTATACTCCTTACACCACTTCTACACAAACTATGCCCTGCCAAGCAATGACCATGTAGATATCTTTCATTACTGCACCACCTGATGACGCATCTTTGTCAATACCAATCTCTTTTGCGCTCTAGCTCCTGGGACACATCATCAACTGCTCACCTTTTCTCTCAAGCTGCTCATCCACTGGCCAAAGCTCATGCCTTGATCTGCCCTGTCTTCCACCAGCAATGTCTGGGCCCATAGCTTCAGGCTAGGCTCTCCATCCTCCCGGACAATGTAGAGGTGGGGAACAATGATGCTGCCAACACCCCGAGACAGGTGATCCCGGCTCTTCTGAATGACGGCACGCACCCGCTCGTTGAAGTCATTGTCCAGTTCGGCAATGGATCCCTTGCCCACTCTGAGCTGTGTTCTGTCTGCCACGCCAAAGACGTCTTGAAGCAGTTGTGGCACAGCGTCTCTACCAACCCAGATGAATTGCGTCTGTCCGTCATCTATCAGATACAAGCCATAGCTAACGAATCGTTCTGATGAGAGGTTCAAAGGAGGCGGGAGCACGATCTGACTAGTCTCTGGGTCCGGCACTCCAGCGTTGTCGGGCATGTCATGTAACGAGTAAAGTCTGGGGTAAATATACTGCATGAGGAGCGGTAGGGGGAGCGTAGACAGTTGGCAGAGCGCGGCAGATCGGAGATCAGACGGGATCTGCGATGATCTTCTGAGACCAACGTTCTTGATCAAGCCCAGGAAAAGCGCAGGAAGACCGCGCAAGTTTGCAGGGAACTGCAAACCAGCACCTCCACCGCCGATTTCTTTCTTGAACGTCTGCAGAAGCTCAATCAACTTGCTCTGCAGAGCATCACGCGCAGCGTCGAGTCCGGAGCTAAGCGCGCGCTCTACCGCCTTGTGGCTGAAATAGGTCGTGATGGCGCACTGATCTGCCGAGGCATAGATATCTGCCAGGTTCGTGGTGGTAGGAATGGCGAGGGTCATGACACGGATGCGCCTCTCACCATTGCATGTAGTGTAGAGCACACCCGCCTGCAAACAAACGTAGTTCTTCTGCAATGTCTCGTCGATAGCAACCTCGACCACGTAACATTGGTCGCGGGGGAAGGCAGGGAATGCACAGAGATCAGAGCTTCGGTTGAAGAAGTTACCGTAAAAGGTACTCATGCGTAATCCAGTAGTTGCACGCACTCTGAGCACAGCCTCCAGACCAATCTCGGAAGATAGATAGTCGCTGAACTCGCGAGCAAACTTGATGGCGTCTTCCGGACGGCCTGCATTCCAGCCAGGGTAGAACCATGTTTGACCACCAGTGTAGCGGGGCAAGTTGCTGAGAGATGCCACATCCTGGTACTGGGAGGAGAAAAGGAACATGTCGATCGAAACCTGGTTCTTGGAGCACTCAACGGCAAAGGACTTGTAGAAGCTGTTTGCCGTCTGAAGCAAACTACTTTCCTTTGAAGTTCCGAGGAGTTTCTTGTCCTCTCTCATCTCCAGCTTTCCAACGCCCAAATTGGGCAAGGAAGCACTCAACACGGTAATCTTACCACCAAGGGGCGAGATCAGTTTGTGTCCAGCCCTCAGAGCCGAGCCCATGCACGATCCGTTGTTCTGGTTGTTCTGAAACATCTCGGGGAGCTTGTTGAGAAAGGTTTCGATGCTCTCTCTGCTCTCGGTCAGGGGAACCAGGAGATCTTGGGGGACAGGCAAGAACGGCTCATCCAGGTCGCTGACCACGAGCATGCTGGTCTCGGTGTTTTCCTCGCCGTCCTTGGGGATAGAAAAGTAGTGCAAGCTCGAGTCCACGGCCATGAAACCAAGACGAGTTCTTCGATCTGCGTTTGGTATTCTGTTTAGGCTGTCGAGGATTGTACGCGCGCTTGTTGCGAGCAGACCGGTAGAGACTGCAGCGTAGCTAACATCGAAAAGGAAGAGATACACCAGCGGCTGGGGCGGGCGGACCATGTACTCCTGCGGGGCAACAAATTCAACAACGGAGTGGTTCAACTCTGGTCGATCCCAGCGGTTGACACTCTTTTGTGCAGCTGCATCCCAATCAAAGGCCTGGGGAACATCGTTGGTCAGGTTGCACATGTTGCAACGCCATCTGTGGCCCTGGTCCAAGAAGACAACATAGGGGTTGATGTAGGTCCTGCACCTGCGGCATCGAGCGATGACCTGGTCCTGTACAACTGGAACGTCGTCATCAATGTCATGCAAGGCCGCATAGGGCTGAATGACGAGAGCGAAAGGCAGCTTTGACTTCTTCAGAAGGGAGTTCTGTGTGGGAATTGCGTTGAGTGTAGATCGCATGTACTTTGGCGGGCAGTTTGCAGTGGGAGACTGCGTAACACTGGACTGAGAAGCAACATGTTAGCAGGCAGTGGCCTTCGCAGGGGCTCTGGTCATGGAGACTCACATTTGGTGGGAGAATGCAAGGGGGCGGCGGTAGGTCGAGCTCGGAGACGTTGAAGGGTTGGTTCAACAGATCAGTAGGGTATAGCTGGTTCAGAGCGAGTCGCGACTGTTGTCCAGCTTGCTGGGCAGGCTGTGCTCCCACGTTCATGCCCGCCATACCAGCGGTAATGCCAGCGACGCCCTGGGGAGCTCCAGGAGTCCCAGCTCCTCCTTGATAGTAGGCATCTGGAGCTTGGTAACCACCAACACCAGGAGCAGCGGCTGCAGGAGCGCCGTAGCCGGGTGCTGCCGGCGCACCACCGTAGGCCGGAGCAGGAGAGCCGGCATATCCAGCCTGGAACTCTGGTTGACCTGGGTAGCCGGCAGCTGCTGGTACTGCGCCGCCTACACCAGGGGGCGGAGGCATACCGCCCGTTGTCTGGCCTCCAATGGCGGCATTTCCACCGGCACCAAACTCGAAAGCCTGGGTCGCATAACCTCGCTTCTTCTTCTTTCCTGCTGCTCCTTCTGCTCCGGGAGCTTGTGTGGCCTGGGCGGGGGGAGGCGTGCCGGCGGTGGCAGGATCAGGATACGGTGGTTGTTGACCGTACTGCTGCGGCGGGAATTGGCCGTAGCCTTGGTCAGCCATCTTTGGGCGCGTCCTACGCAATCAATCGATGGAGTGACTGATCAATCAACCAGCGGCGTCTCCGAGCAGTGAGTCGGGGCGAATTTCTCGGACACGAGTGCGTCGCCAAGTCAGTCGTCGTGGTGGTGAATGGTGAGGTAGGTGTGAGGAAGGCTGTCTTGGGCTGTCGTCGGTGAGAGCTAGAAAGTGGGATGGATGGGTACTAGCTCTATGGAGAGTTGGGAAGTGTGGCCTTTACTCCTCCGTAAGACAGGCGCCAGTTTTACACTACGTAGTTGGGTATGTAGGTGCTGTCGGATAGGAGACTGTAGGTAGTAGTAGCCTACGTGTCGCCAAGCCTCAGCGCTCTCTGCTATGATGGGTTATTGGGAAGTACGACAGCACAGGCTTTTGATAAATACAAAATGTCACTTTCAATCTTATTTTTTTTTTCCTGTTTTGTTCTTTTCTCAAATGACTAAGCTTTACTGTCTGGTCGAGTTGCCAAATTCCCTGGGTGGTGTTGGTGTGTGTCGGGGAAACAAGCAGGACAGGCAGCTGGATTTGGCGCTGGCGACAGCTGCCGTGCATTTGAACTCTCTCAGCTGTGGTTGTTAGCTGGCCTCAAAAGAAACGGAATCTGGGAAGCTGAGGGAGCCGCATCTTATCTTATCGGCAGCCCCTCGGCTCATCAATAACGGGATTTGATTCAGCGTTCATTGTCCATAATGATGCCCCGCAATTAGACTGGGCACGTTCAGCACCCGACACCGACACTGATGATGAGAGGTAACCCAGCCAGCCCAGCCAACCCCTGGATCTTGTTGCAAATGCTTGTGTACAATGCTCAAAGTACGCGCACGCACTCAGAGCCGTACAGCCGTGCACGCATTCTTGGCCATTACAAGCAGTAGAAGCCAGGCCTTTACAGTGGATGCTTGGTCCTTGTGATGGCGCTAGATTGGGGAACGGTCCGCACCAGCTCTTCCAGAACAGTGTTGCTAAATGCAGCTCTTACTTTCCCTGGGAGGACGCCAAAGAAGCTATGGGTGAGGGCAACTAAATGTAGGTAATCAAAAGCGCATGTCTCATTTCCTACCTGCAAAAACCCGGATCCCTCTTGGGTTTATTCTTACTCGCTTGACACTACATATCTCTCAATAGAACCAGCCGAGGCGTCAAAGACGTTTTTGTTTTGTCTTGCAACTTTGTCCAACGTCGGCGACAACTAGCACATCCAGTCAGTCGGTGCCTGTCAATCACTTCTTTCTCAACCGCCCTGGTGGCTTTTCACTAAGAGCAGAGCACCCGCCAAGCACCCACTCAAGGGATCCCAGTGACATACACTGGACCTTCAACACCAAGGGTCTACCTACCAACCCAACCTGTCGCTGCAACCGTCGACTGTTCTTCGTTGCCCATCATGGCCTGGGGAAGAAAAGAGGCGCCCAAGCCTTCAACTCTAAGGTGAGCCATGTATTCTGCGCTGTTCTAGACGGGCTGCATTATGCGCAGACGAGACAAGACTCTTGCGCCTTTACTACTGTACTTCAAGTGATTGATCCTCAGTTGTATCCACATACCCACTGTTCCTTTCACATGAACGGCAAAGTCCCAGATTGTAAACACCAACCACATCAGGGTCCATGCTGTCGTTGCATATCACCGAGAGAAACTGCTTTCCATTCAACCTCCCGCTTTCCTTCTATTGGTGCCTTTGTGTTTCCCCATATAATGCGCGCCGCAATGCTAACCTAGAATGCGCCAAACGCATCAAAACAGCCAAGTACTCCCCCTCGTCTTCCTGCTCATCTTCCTCGGCGGCGCCGCCTTTGTGGGCTACCAGATCTGGCTCGCCGTCAACCAGGTCGAAAAGTCGGCGCGCGATCGCATGGCCAAGAAGAACGTCGTCTTCACCAAGGACGGTATGCGCGTCGGCGTCAAGCACGTCGAGCAGGAAAAGTATGTCGACAAGACTCAGAGCTGGGTCGTCAAGGCCTGGAATCTAGGGACCCAGATACCCTCCGCCGTAACCAAGAGGAAATGATATACATACATGCATCCCGCCATCAAGACGAAAGAAGAAAGGGCAAACTCGATTATGGGGAGTGCAAAGAGGCACAGTCAGGGCTGTCATATTCAGCCGCTAGAATAACTGTAATGGAAAGCCGATTCCAGATTCGCATCAAATTTTTTTGGGCGAAATCACGACGGGCAAATATGCGACAGATTATCGCGTTTTTCAACATGGTCTTTAAGAAGGATTACCCCAGGCCGGTTCCAGTGGGTGGGCTTTTACGACTTTTCTCTCGTCTTTTTTCTTTACCAACCGCCATCGACAATAACAGTCACTCCAGGCAGACAGTTGCAATTAATGCTTATTTCCAAAGCATAAACAATTTACACGAATTCTTTCATATCAAATCTGCTGTGTGTCAGTTCCATCGTGAGATATATAGTTGGTCAAACTCCTCGACTATGTGACGTTCAAAAAACACCTAAAGAGTCACAAGTATATTAAGAGAAACATTTGAGAACTTTTCAGAGCGACACAACATGACAATTTCTCATGTATTTCTAGGCGCATTCCAAAACAGAGTGCGAAGCAGACATAGCATAGTCAAATGAAGAATGTACAAATAAGTAGGTCAGGTCAAGATATACAAGGTATATCGAAAACCAAATGACGTGTACAGACATGGGCCCAAGATACAGAATACTTTCCAAATTTACCATGATGTCAACCGAAGACAAGTACATGATCTTGCTAATGTATACAAAAATGACTTGTTTTGCTTGCATTTCTCGCCCTTTTCGGTTTTCCAGAAGATGCTGTGTGATGGTATCAATAAACGCCGCCCAAAAGACCAGGGGAAATCCCTTGATGAAAAGAAACAAAGACAAAAGAGTTGATTGATCCTTAGGGCCGCTCCGAGGCAACAAGTGGTCCAGCACTTGATATCAGCTCACTCTGTGTTGGGCCGGCAACATATTGACTACCTGGGTATTGGTTCTGCTCAGGAAGCTGTAATAAAACCAGTTAGAAATCTGTCTGTCTTGGGAAAAGATAAAGAATTTGGAAATGGTGAAAAGCAAGAGGGACAAGACTTACTGTGAGCCAATTCTTCGCAACCCATTGAGTAGATGGTCCAGCATTACCCGACGCCTTGTGCAAGAGCTCCGACCGGCTCTGTTCAAAAGCAGCCTTTTGCATGGACTCGCGCTGCTGTAGAGGGTTCATGGAGTACCCGGCCGAGGGGGGAGCATTGCGCGCATTCAGAATCTTTTCAAAGTTCTGAGCGGAACCGTAAGGTGAAGCCATCAGCCCATCTCGGTGTATCATCATGGACGGGATCCGGACTTGCATCTAAAAGTAAAAGAGAAAGAGTGAGCACAGATAGACCATGACTTATAATGAGAGGGGATTTTCCAAGACAACTCCTTACCTTGCTGAGGATATGGGCATATTTAACACCAAGATCGTCTCCAATATACCGAAGTCGGCCATGCACCCACGTTCGCTGCGTATCCGTGGCATAGTCTTGACAATGTATGCATGCCAGTGGCCAAGTCAGAAAGTACCCAGCCAGACCCTTGAGCGCGTCTTCCTCTCCGCAGGCAAAATGTCCGAGATTCTTCCTCGACAGGAACTCCTTCTTCTTGAGGTGCCAACCCAAGTGGTACGGGACCGAGGCGATAATGTCGCTAATGGTCTCGACGCAAGTCCTCGCCGCCGTTGCGTATTCCGGAGTGGTGCGGTAGTCGACGGGAGAGCACACCCAGGCGGCGCACCGCACGATCAGCGAGGCGTTGATGAGCCGCGACGTTCTGCACAGATTCCAGACGCTGGCGATCCAAAAGTCGGCATACAGGTCCACGCGTCCGGGATAGATCTCGGCGTTTGCATAGTCTCCATTCGGTACGCTCGTCTCCCAGTGTACAGTCTTGTACTGCCAGAACTCTGGCAGATTGTTCATCCAGTTTACCGCCTCTTGATCCACCATTTGTGCTCTGCGAATCATGTTCAGCATCAGTTCGATATTCTCTGGTGTACGCGGCATGCAGTTCATCAGTCGTGTGACTTCGGCTCGCAGTTCTCCCGTCTTGATCATTACCCGTTGACATTTGGCAGCCCATTCGTCCTTGACCGCATCGTTGATCCACCACTCGACACCCATGATTGGCGCTTTTCCTGACGTTAGAGTGTGAATGATCTGTCTGGATTTTAGTTACCATTGAAGAAGCGGGTGTATACAACAGCCTTACCATCTGTGTTCGAACAGCGATGAAGAGGAGAAGCCCAGTCCGCGTCCTCAACTGTTTCCGACCCCTCTGCTTCACCAACTGGATTGCGCCTTCAATGTGTGATCCCCACGCCGACATTCCCAACTGCTTGGCCGTCAGGTTTTCAAAGAGTCCCAAGAGAAGAACAGCAGCCAGCGTCGAGTCCGTCTTTTGGGCTTCAGGATCTCGCAGAGCTATGTTGGTGCCAGTGAGTGCATGTGTATACTCGTTCAATGCCTTGTCCGCATACTGATTTCTGGCCCCAGCACAGTTGTTCAACAAGGCCATTGAGCACGCGTTGAAGGCCCGTTGCAGGTGACTGTTGACGCCTTCTGCTTTTAGCATGGGCAGGAGAAAGTCGAAAAAGCCTCGGGTGCTGCCTTGCTGCGGCATGAGAACAAAGTTGGCCACAAAATGACAGTCGGCGCGAGTTTCGGCCGGTATAGCCAGCGCTGGAGTAACAGCTTGTTGGAGCGGCGACCTGATCACGTTTGAGAGCCCTTCTACAGGTGATGTGGAGCCGCTTCGTTCTTCTCCGCCGTCTCCCTTGCCCAGCTTCTGGAGGGCTTTCTTGTTTGCCTTGCGCGCCCTCCGCTCAGTGGCTTGGGTCTCATTGCGGAAGACGAGATCAAACTCATCTTTGTATCCAGGACATTGTCTTCGGGATTTGGCACACTGGTTGCACGTAGGCTTTGTTTCATCACACTAATCTTGAGTCAGCAAATTAATCCTCCAGGCAATCAAGGCCCTTATAGGTTCGTACGTACCTTGATGCGACGAGTCCGGCACATCTGGCAGCCCCTTGAGGGCTTTCCACAATACACCATTTTGTCTATATTGTAATGACAGCAAATTTAGAGGGAATTGTTCTCTGGTAACCCAGCACGGACCGAATCCGTAGTCTCCAAGGCAGCGCAGCGATTTCGAGTCTTCAAGGACGTGATACCTAGTGATCGTGTCGTATAGTTGTATAGTTGTCTGTACGGCACAACTACGCACGAGTCAGGGACCTTTGTGTAGTAACTTTTCCTGGCAGGCGAGAACTCCAGGGTGATTATATGCCCCAAAGGCAGTTGATTAAAGCGGCAAATATGGAATCTCATTCCACACGATTGTTGAGAAGAAGTATCAAGCTTGACAACTCCAGAGTGAGGTCACACGAATTTCCGAGTTGTTGCCAATCGCCACGAAAATCCCAGCACCAGCACAACACAGCCCAGCCAGACGGGCAAGTTCAGACGACCCCAAGGGGCTGATATCGACGTTTTGGTATGTGTCAATGTCGACCAGGAAAAGAAGTAGACTATCTCCCGATTCAGCAAGAATCCTTGCCGGACAACCGCCCTCACAAATCAAGGTGAGGCACGCTGACAAAAAAACAAGCGGCGATGTCGAGTTTATGCAATCCTTTGGAGGATGAGCCTCGGGAACTTTGAAAACGGAGGATAAAGTATGGGCAGGCCCAGGCTGCTATTGGTCGATGGAGATATGTACAAGCAGGTGTCTTCGGCAGAGGCTGGGGGGTATGACTGCCGACAGCAAAGTTGTTTGAGATGTGTTCGCTCTTGGGTCAAAACGGATGGGAAGGGCGATTCCAGTTGGTGTGTCAGGGATTCTCCGATCTGGGATAGACCTGGTCAGGCCTCGGAAGCTGAAGCAGAAGCCAGAGATGGGAGGGTGATGAAGTGTAAAGCAGAAGAACAGACGATTTCGATTAGACTGGCTGCCTTTGCTTCCGACAATGATGCGAGGGCAACTCTAATGATATTGGAAAAGAAGAAGCACTTGCATGGCAGAAGCCAGGAGGTTTCTTGTAACGCCCTTTTATCACGTATGGATCTACCACCAAGATCTGCTCTTCTTCTTTTTCTTTTTTTCCCTCTCTTCCTTTACTAGACCTCAGCATACAAACAAAACAAAATCAAGAGAAAAGGGTTGTCCTTGACCCACGATCGACGATGGGATTGATTCCTTCTTGCATGTCTTCGTCGATGGGGGGAGAGGGGCCAAGCAGCCACAAAAGCCGTCCGCTACGTCCGCGGGATCTTCCGTACCTGGAATATACCCACAGGCACTACCTACACTAATGTACTTGCACTACTACACGGCGCATCGTGTACCCTAGAAGGCTTGTGGAGAGGTCCATGGAGGGGTGCGAGAAGATCAAGTTACAGCGCTATGACTATACCTACCGAGCCCGGCCCTGCCTACACTACTGTGTGCAGGGCCTCCTCTTCTTAGTGTCGCAGGGGTTGCCGCCAGAGGCCCCTTGTCTCAATGTCCTTTGCCAGGGATATGGGGGGACAGAGAGACCAGAGAGACCATCGTCAGTCTCGCTGGTTCTCGCTTGCATGGCCCGGATATCATGGAGAGAGGGAAAAGCGTCGGGTCATGGGCTGATAATTGCCTGGGGGGTGCCTCCGGGGGATAGTGGATGGTCAAATCAACTTGCTACCTGTGTTTTCTCGAATTCGCATCCAGTGCCTCTTGAGATCTCCATAACGGGACCCCTTGCTCTAAATCGATTTCCATTTACGAGTTACATCCTGCTGGGTAATCTACCAGGGACATGACAGACCTGTGCAGGACCAGGTTGGCTGAAAGGTCATCAAGGCAATCAAACGCTGGCGTCGACAAGGTAGTTGCGCAGGAACTCTTTGGGGTGGGTTTGGTCAATGGTACGGTAGGTATCAGGTCTACAGACACAAGAGTTCAATCGGTGGGCTCTCAACATCTCTGGTGGTCTGTCTGTCTATCTTTGAAGGTCATCTACAGAGTACAGGTACTGTATGCACTATACAATTCATGCGTCCAGGATGGCTGCCCCAATCGAGGCCAGTAAGCAGAGACACCAGCACTGGAGCATCCGAGGCAGGGCACTTGGACCCCTGGGACATATCCGTTTCTGCTGAAGCTCAAACCGTCCGAGTCGAGACGTCGGCGATCAGTGGCTGGCCGTTGACGGGACCGTCGCTACCTAGTTTAAAACATCAGACTGGAAGTGCTGATAGGCGCCAAGCTTCTGCTGTGCTTTGCTCTCCACGACTGTGGGATTAATGTTTGCCCTAAGGTTAGGTTGTTCCTTTTGCTACAATCAAGAACGCCAGTACCGGTAGCATGGGCTTGCCCACGAGTCCTGAGGCTCCTGAGGTCTCACTTTGAGTCGACAGCTCGATACACCAGGGAAGCGATGGATTGAACCTAAAATATGGGGCATTTTGGAGGCGCGTACAATGCGCAGCCAGCTACTATGCAATGTATCTCTAGTCTCTACAGAAAACCAAGCACCCCGGATACGTGGCTCAGTAACTTACTTCCTCTCACGTTGTTGTGGCGAGTCGATCATGGGCGTGATAGCCAATCAATACAGTAGGGCTTCTGTGATAAAATGGGATTCCTTGAGGCCCCCCCATTAAAGTCTCGAGCATCGATCGTTGACCGGCATTGGGTATAATGTTACTACCACCCTCTCTCCGTTATCAGAGCCTGGCAGTCGGTATGGTAACACTGCCGCAGCATATAAACTGCACAATATGATCTGAGATGACTTGCAAGTACTTGATTGACACCAACATCAAGTGCGGTTGCACAGTTTCGAAACGACAAGAATCAGCAGATCATAACTACAATGTCTGTATGTAGATGACAATAATTTATTTGGTCCCATCTCCTACGCCTACTATAAAAACCAATATACGTTGTACAACAGCTCAAGAGAAGTTTAAAATGTCTTGACGACAAAAAGCATGCATGGTACGTGCATACATAGATACGCAGGTGATTGCGAAATGGTTTTACAAAGAAACCTTGCGCGGGTGATTGCACCCATATCGGTGATTGCAGAAATCCCGGCCGATCGGAACCCAGATGTCTGTTGACAGATTCAGTAATTCTTGGGAAGGGGATCGGGAGGTTCACCAGGCACAAGGATTTTGTTGCCGTTGACCTGATGTAACGATCCTGGGGAGTATCATCCTTGTCGCTTACATGTATGTTCATCCACAGGCCTTTCGATCTTGCCCCCCCCCTCATTCACGCACAGATATACAGTATACATCATGCATCTGGCAATCTGGCACATTGTCGTTTATCACTCCACTCGGCATACATCTACCGGTAATGCAACGTCCATACTAGGTCAGGGCTGATGCAGGCAATATATGTTTGATGATTATGATGATTCACATACTTGCTCTCCTTTTCCCCCCTCGGTTGGCATGTGGGCTCACCCTTAAGGAGACGAATGAGATGTTACCAACGACTTTGACCAAATATCCCACAAGGTTCACTATGATGATGCTCAGTACTCTGCAAGGCTGCATCGTTGCCCATATCGTGGTTATACAATATAATCGCCTGGCCTCCACTCTCACGCTGACGGGCTGCATGTCATGTTGCTTTTTTTTTTTTTTTTTTTTCCTTCTTTTTTCTTTCTCTGGCCTTGTTCCAAGATCTGAGTATCCCAGAGATCAAGGCGACCCTTGGTAATTAAACAAGGTCGCCGACCTGGAGGGTCAGCTGCAGCGTGTCTTTGCCCAATGCTACGTCTTGCGCATACTATGTACTACAACCTGTAGCCTGCCTTGCTGCCCGGGGGGGTAATCCAAGCGCACGTGTTCGCATCTCACGCTGCAGATGGAAAAAAGAAAACATCGTAGCACAATGTTCCTTCTTCTTGCATATATTCGGTCACAGCATCCGAACACGAAAAAGAATCTTGTCGATTTTGAATTCCCCATTGCGATCATCATTGGGTCAATGAATGACGCCTTGCTTTTTTTCATCTGTTTGTGATATGGCATAACCCCTTTCAGGAAATCGCTTCGAACATTTAGCTCCACGATGATCATGACATATGCACTCTCCAGTTTGTGATGATCATGTTTATAGTAGATATTGCTTTTTCTCAGAGGCCAGAAGCAGAGCTTTGGACAACATCTGACGGAATATATCCAGTCAAGTCGTTTTCTTCTGCCAGCCTCACTCTTACCAAGCCACTTCTGATTGAAAACCGTTCTCCATTTCGATAAGAAATTAATTTCATACATGGAACCTTATTGCTTAGATGTACTATGCCCAGGGTGTCAGTGCCTCCGGATAGGAAGAACTTGCGATATGTTGTCAACCATGTGTATAATTCAAACGATAGGAGTTCGCGTCGAGACCAATTTCCTTCCGAATACGCAGGCGTACTCTGAATGTGGCCTTCACTTCTTTAGTGGGTTGAAAGAGCTGCTCACGCTTGGACGAGACATGGTCAAGAAAGGGCCAGAAAGTCTCAACGGCCATTATGCCAGCAAAATGCTCATACAAGAAACCATATTGACCTAACCAAACTCTCGATATGCCCCCATCCTTTCCGTAGATTTTGCGGATGATTTTGTAGTCGTTGCTCAACAATGAATTTCCGCTAGATTTGAGCAAAGCGTTGGAAAACTCACGGAACTGACAATACTACCATGATCCCGTACAAGTTGAGCGGCTCCATCTTGCAAGGCAAGTCTGCCAGAGTCATGGCTTGAACTACCGCGTCATAACGGCACGCAGCAGCGGGAAACTTTGCGATTACGATGTCTGAGTTGCCTGGGATCTCCGCGATTATTCGCAAGGCCAAATGTTTGATGTGTCAGTTGCCTCTTCATCAAGTGAGTAACCACGTTCTCACTTGAATGCAATCATGGGGATTCTTGACGTGTAGAGAACTTTGTCAGTATTGTATGCGATATGAAATACAAACAGTATACGTAAATACCTACCCAAGGCAGATGCTGCAAGTCTCTGAATGATAAATATCAAATACACAAAGCATCTTGATTTCTGAGAACATATCCTCTGAACGCTCTATCATGTTGTAGATTCAAGAACGCTATTGCTGGGAGAAATCCTGGATCGCTTTCCAAACACCCTCTGGACTCGGTGTTTCGGCAGAGACATCGGGTTCGTATGCAAACGTCTTTTTTAAAAAAGCCCGTGTCGTGGGACCTATCGTGGCAATGAATGTGTTCCCATTACCACTAGGCGCTTCTCCCGCTCCCCCTCCTCTCACCTTGCCCGTCTCCGCGTCGAGCATCCCCAGCCCCTCGAGCATGCCGTCGCAGCCAGTCGGGCTAAACACCACGACCCATCTCCGCCGCGCACTCGCCGTCCTCTCGAGCACCTGCGCAAAGTCGGCTGGGAACGACTCCATGACCCCGGTGCCGTACACCACCGTCTCGTCGACTTGGATCCTCGTCTCGGGCGGCAGGGACGGGTCCATTAGGGCCGTCGGGATAATATCGCGGCGCTTCTCTCCGACAAGGAAGAGGAGGGCCGGCTTGGTTGGCCGTTCAGCATACCACTCCCCGTAGTGCTGTTGTATGTACGGCGCGAGGGCGTCGCCGTTGCCCGTGTGCTCGCCAAACACCTGTAGCGGTGGCGTTTGGGATATTGCGCGGAGGGCGCGCGTCGTCGCGGGACCTACTGTGTATATTGGTATATCGTGCAAGTAAGGCCATTTCTCGTCGTCTTTTGCGGGCAGTATATAACCCATTAGTTGACTGTGGCAGCAATAATAATGTACATCTCGAAAGTCATACCTTGGCCTTCCTCGACCAACTTGGCAAACCCTTCGACTGCTCTTTGCGATGTGAATATCAAACCTCCATACTGCGCATCCTTCTTGTTGCTTATCCTCCCATTGCGCAGGAGATTTCTAAATCTACTCATGCCATCTTCTTGAAATTGGTGCTGTAGCACAGGGACGAATATCGGGGCGAACTCGAGGCCGTCACGCGGCGTAGAAAAGAGCTCTTGATAGGTATCGTTGGGGACGGATTTCGTCTTGAGTAGGAGAATTGGTTGCTTTTCTGTCGTTATTGACATGGTTTACGACTTTTGAACAGTTTAAGGACTTAAAAAAAAGAGTTCATCAAACAAAGATGGTCTTCCTGGATGCAAGCAACGATCCAACGCGACCAATGCCATTCGTCACTGCCAGTAGCTTAAGTTGCTTAACCCCTCCGTACCTGCAGCATCGAGTCCCTGTATGAGCTTCTATCGATAAAAGCTCCGGGCCCCTGGCGACCCGCTAAAAAAAAAAGACCGCCGCCAAAGCGGAACGATCCGGCCTGGAGAGAGATGGACATTATGTTCGATCTCTTTCGATGACAAATCCATAGAGCACTTTAGATACAGCCACTGCTTGTTTGCGCAACAACTTGTTCCGAAGACGTGTTTTCTGCAATTGCCATTCGTTGTATACTTTTGTCGGCCGTGTAGACACTCATTCAAGATACTGGAACCATGACAGCCGACTCGGGCGAGCCCTCCGGCGCAACCACAGCTGTCACCGGCTCCAGCTCCGCCGCACTTCCTCCGGGCGTCGTTTTGGGCAAGGATGGCAAGCCGTAAGTCATGTCCAACTCTACTCGTCCTTGCGAGTCTTTCATGAATGTTATTAGGTGATGCTAACTGTCTCGCTTTCTCTCTCCTAGTTGTCGGACATGCTCCTCTGGCTCGGCCTTCAAAGCCTTTGCCAAATCCTCGCTAAAGCCAAGCAATAACAACACCACGACGACGACAAAAGCAGCCACCGCAGGAGCAGCAGTAGCGGCAACCGGTGCCGCCGCAACACTCACGATCCCCCGCGACTGCCCTCCCGACGTGGAACAGCTCGGCCGCTCTACCTGGACGCTGCTGCACTCGATCGCGGCCACGTACCCCACGACTCCCTCGGCGCGCGAGCAGGCCGACCTCCAGACCTTCATGTCGACCTTTTCCCGGCTGTACCCGTGCTGGGTCTGCGCCGACGACTTTCAGGGCTACATGGCCCGCGAGAAGATGCCCGTCGGCAGCCGCGACGCCTTTGGCCAGTGGTTGTGCGAGGCCCACAATGCCGTCAATGTCAAGCTCGGCAAGCAGACGTTTGACTGCAGCAAGTGGCAGGAGAGGTGGAGGACGGGCTGGAAAGATGGCCGGTGCGACTAAAGTGGCCAGCGTGGACTTGCAAAATAAAAATGTATTCATAGTCATGATGATATGTATAACGACAATGTTGAAGGACAACAAGATGGGTGCATTAGACGACGGCGTTTGGTAAGACTGATTTCAAGATGTATACATCACCGCTCAGAGGTATTTAGAACTCTTTTGTACATTACCAGCGCAATGGGTTGATTGCGCTGGACGAAAATCGAATCACTGCTGTCAATCACGATTTGATCATGCCATCTATATTCAAGTTGGTCTAAAGGGTATCTTTATTGAAAATGCCAAGACTCTATTTCCACCCTTCCAAATCTCAATTAGAAATTTCTAATTGTTGGCTTTGGTCTCGATCTTTTCGATCAAGTCGGCACCGATTCGAGCAACCTCGGAAACAATCGCTGCTTGATCGACATCCAATGAATCTCCATCGCTTCCAGGCTTGTATGCGCACGGCATATCAATCTTCCTCGTCCTTTTGCCCAGTTCAACATTGAACAAAGCACCTACCACGTTATCATCCTCACCACCATGGAAGAATACCAGGGCATTTGCATAAACTGCGCGCAGCTGTTCGACCAGCGTTTTGGATGGGTGCTGCACGAGTGGTAGGATGGAGCCACCACGACCAACATCCAGGTTCTTGAAGCGTGAGTGAGTCGCACCATCATCTCTCAGGACGTTTTTCACAACCTTGGGGTTGAGACGGATGACAAAGTCATAATGCTTCAGAGACGACTGGAAGAGACTGCGGGGGTCTAGATCGACTGCTTTGGTCTTGACGAATTCGCACGCTGACCGAGCGAGCTTGGTCATTTGGTTGGCCACAACTCGGGATGGTCCGCTCTGAGTGTAGGCGGTGCCTGACGCATCGTGTGATGTTGCCACAAACAAGACGACCCGATTCATCCGAGGGTCCGAACGCCGTAATTCATGGAAGCGGGCGAACACGGCAGATCGATCAGAGACCACACTCGACTCTGAGTGGTCGACGATCAAAGGCTCATCCGTCCAGTCCCAGCGAGCAATGACCTGCAGAGCGCGCAGGAATCCAGTTGTCGCACTGGTGGGTGTCTGCCAAGGGAAGGGGGTCAGGAAGGCCTTTAGGGCAATGAGTTCCAGTACCTCCTCGCTAAAGTGTGAAGCCAACTTGTGACTACCGAACCAATGCTTAAGAATCCTTATCGAGTCGGACAATGGGGGGTATCTTGTACACCATGTCGAGACCGCCTGGTTGTGTAGCGGTAAATATGTGTATGTACGCTTGTAGGCTGCAAGCCATCGTTCGGCATCAGCATGAACATGCTTCTCTAGCTGCTTGTTTCTCAGCCGAGCATCGAGTATTTTCTCGTCTGCATCGCTCTGCAAGCGGAGTCGGAATACAAAACCATCTTCATTAACGACATCTAGGAAAGCGAGGTTGAGTGAATCATGATCAACTTGTTCCAGTCCAACATGTGTCTTGATCTCTGGGTTTGATTCTGTCAAGGAACTTCCAACCTTGAGCAGGAACGCAATCTTGAGGCGTTGGTTCGCTGCAATGTTATCGGTCCATCTGCTTGACGCCTCGAAAGAGATGATCAAATCCATCGGTAAGCGCTTCCCAGGTTCCGGTGGATGCACTGATGCGTAGCGTAGTTCGGGGCATGCCGGCGCGATTTGTCTTACGTGAAGAGGGAGATCCTCAATTTCGCGAATCTCCTTTTCTAACGTGTCAAAGGCAGTTCTCGCAGCTGCATAGTACTGCGCATCAGTATTGGCAGTGTGTGCAATTGCTGAAAAGCTGTTGCCGCCAAAAAAGTTGAGACTCTCTGCCTGCAATGCAAGGTGTTTCTTTGCAATGTGTCGGATAACTTGCTCTGGGATGCTCATGGTCGAATCCAACTGCCACTCGATGGACTCCAAGATGCTGCCGTCCTGGAAACGGCGCAGCTCAGCAATGTCGCCCCAGAACTCGCGATACTTGGTCGCCTCTGCTTTCTGCTCAACGGATGGACCGAGATCCATTTTTCTGGTGGCATGAGATGGCTCCAGTACAAACCCAACAAGGATGCTTTCGTGTGTGGTTGTAGGGTTCGCCGAGACAGCCCACTTGGAACTTCCGGGCACCATGAGGTGCACAAGTTGAGATCGATCGCCCAGAGCTCTCTTGGAAATTCGATAGAGCTTTTCGCCAAATTCCCAAATGGCGCCTCGGTGATCTGATCCCTGAGATGGTTTTGTCTCGGCTGGCAAGTTGACTCGAACTACAAGATCGAATATTTGTAGCACTTGGTCCACCTTGACAATGAATAATGAGTCGAACTGATCAAGCGAATCGCTTTGCAGACTGGCAAGAGACCATTTCGCCTGTTGTTGGAGGAATCCGGCAGACGAAGGCGTCATTTTGAACAACAAGTTGTGTTCCCGACCTGCGTCAAACAGAACCGGTCCACTTTGGCGAATACTGTCGGCGTTGGCCGCCGACCCGATAACGACGGACTTTTTCTGAAAGTTTGTGCCGACCAGGTATTGAATGATTGCTTTGAAAATTTGGCTGGCATTGAGAGAGCTGGATAGTATGGGCTCGCCTTTGCGGCCCCCAGACTTCAGCAGAAGTGCGGCCAAAACCGCCCATTCAAAGTGACCAAAGCCACCTCCAGACAGTGTCGAATCTAGCCCGCGCTGCTGAAGCCAAACCCTCCCTAACATGCATGCCTCTTTGTAAGCGCCACAAGTCTTTGCTGCTCCGTTGACGAGCTGAAGGTAGGATAGGAAGAGACTCTCGGCCCTCAGCGTCGAATTATAAAACGGCGTAGGCGCTGTCGAGTCCTTATGCGTGTTGCTGGCGGGCAGAAGCTTGGACGAGGGAAAAATATCTGGCTCGGCACAGGGTATCATGCGAATCATGTAGTTCTTCTTGACATCTGACTTGCTGGATTTCGGGCGCACCGACAAAACAGGCAGTAGGCTGTTGCCATGAAGAAAATGAAACGAAAAATCAAAATCGGCCTTGAAGTTGTTACGAAGGGCAGCCGTGATCTTGGCAAGATAATAAGCCCGCTTGGTGAAATAACGACGATCCCGAAAATCCTTTTCCTGGAACAAGGATTTGGGCATGACGACAATCATGTCAACGCCAAACTCGGTTTGAGACTTGACCATGGTTCTGAGCTGGTAGGAGCCAACAACGTTGAAAGCAGCCGGCTTGGCAAAGGCAAGCTTGTATTGCGAGTCCTTGCCCGGCTTGGGGCTGGGATACGGGATCTTGATCTTGCCATTCTTCTCATCCTTCTCGAACTGAGAAGTGAGGGTACCAATCTGAGTAAATAATGTTAGTGAATTGGGTGGGTAGACGGAATGAAGAAGTCGTCAAAACGTACGAGTTCGGGATCGTGAGACTCGATGGCCTCGATGGCGTTCTTGAATTTGTGTAGCGTCTGGTCAACGCCATCGAAAGCCTGGGGGTAGTCAATTTGGACTTCATGGACCAGCTCTTGAGTAGCTTCGACGAATGCGCTCGAGGCAGAGGTGGGAGCCACGCCGACATGCAGCGACGGACCTGCGCCGCCGTGGCTGAGCTTTCTCCTCTTTGCCGTACTTGAGTCCATCACTCCGACTTGAGGATAACGATGCCAGCGAATTTATGTCTGCTGTTGCGACTTCACGGTAAACTACACTCACTCATTCCTCCATGTTTCCCAAAATTTTTGGAGATACTGATGCTTATCGCTTATCGATAGTAGGTACGGCGGGGATTGCGCTAGACGCTTGTCTGAGCCACACATTTCTCGAGAAGCTGGTGTGGCTGGTTAGTTGCTCTGGGCTGTGGCTCAGTCCGAACCCCACAATCAACCACAGGGAAATCATTCAACCGCCCTACATACTCAGTACGAGATAGCATTATGCAGTCAGAACCATCTAGGTTTAGCCTCGAGATGAATGGACGGCTTGGCGATGGTGCTCACAGGCCATTCCCCGGCTTTGTGGGGAAAGCTTCTTCCAGACTCGACTTGGGGCGGCAGAGTGCATTTCCCGGTAGTAGTGAGCAACAGAGGCAGCATCGACACTGGAAATACAGTCGAGATGTTTTTGTTTTCCTCGGAATCGGAACGACGGGATCCAGCCGACTTTTCTGCCAACTATATATATCTAATGGCTTGAATCCGTGTAGATTCGTAGACATGTCAACACATGTGAAACAACAATAGATTGGCACTTTTCCCTCCTTGGTGAGTTGTGATGATGATGGCCAGGTAGGTCCGTCTCTTGAGGCACCTCTCAAACAAAGCCGGCAACCTTCTCCGGCTGCGTTCCTCGTGGAAATGGCCCAAACTTGTCCCGCCACTTTCCGAGTCAATTCCTTTTTGACTGGTTGAACCGGGCGGAATCGAACCTCTCTAGTCCCAATGAGGGCGGTCAGTTTAGTAGCAATTCCCTCTCAGCACCCATTAGCACCCTGGTCGATTGCCGACAAGTGCTCCCGGGCTAGCAGCTTGGGCCCTGGGCTGCTTCCGAGTAGCGGAGTAGCTCTTCGCTCTTTCGGCTGCAGCTCCCATGGGGTAAATATTCACACGATGTCTCTCTCCGGATTCTTCTCGTCGTCTCTTTCGTTTCGCCTTGACTCGATTCGTCTTTCTTGTGTATATCGTCGTCGTCAACCTTGATTGGTGTTTCTTGTGATCTTATCCTGGGGTAATTTTTGGATATCTTCATCTCCCAATTGATCATCTTTCAACTGCAAACGGATTGCGGTGCCGTCATATTATAGACAAGACTCCCTCCCGTCCGGCTCTAACCGTTTTATTATTCGTCCTGAGATACCCGTCACCATGCCTTCCACAGCCATGTGCATGCGAACACTGAGGGCATACTCCAAGTATGGCTCCAACGTAAGCGAACCAAAAGTCCATGCAATTCTTTGCTTTCAATCATATTCCGGATGCTAATTCTAAGATGCTTTCCAGCACACAATGGTCCTCGCAAGGGCCTTCTCTGCCACCTCGCGCCGCGCCGAGATCAACAAGGTCTACCCTTCTGCGGCCGAAGCCTTAAAAGATATGAAGTCTGACACGACAGTACTATGCGGTGGTTTCGGTCTTTGTGGTGTGCCAGATACCCTCATCAACGAGGTGCACAACAAGCCAGAAGTTACCGGCCTCACGGCCGTGTCCAACAATGCCGGTACCGATACCTCCGGACTCGGCAAGCTGCTCAAGACGAAACAGGTCAAGAAGATGATTGCAAGTTACATTGGCGAGAACAAGACGTTTGAGAAGATGTACCTGACTGGCGAGATTGAGCTGGAACTCACCCCCCAGGGCACTCTGGCCGAGCGTTGCGCTGCTGGCGGAAAGGGTGTACCGGCTTTCTACACCCCGGCCGCTTTCGGCACCGTTGTGCAGACTGGTGATCTGCCCCTCAAGAACAAGGCCGACGGCACGCCGGATCAGTTCTCCTACCCCAAGGACGTCAAGGTCTTCAAGGGCAAGCCCTACCTGTTGGAGCACAGCATTGACGGAGACTATGCCTTTGTCAAGGCCTGGAAGGCCGACAAGCTCGGTAACTGCCAGTTCCGCTTGGCCGCCAACAACTTCAACGGCGCCATGGGCCGAAACGCCAAGATGACCATTGTCGAGGCCGAGCATATTGTCGAGCCCGGTGAGATTGCCCCCGAGGCCGTGCACCTGCCCGGCATCTACGTCAAGCGCGTGATCCAGAGCACCGCCGAGAAGAACATTGAGAAGTTCACGTTCGCCAAGGATGAGAACGACCCCGAGGCCAAGAAGGCTCTCGGTAGCGGCGAGACTGCCGCCAAGAGGGAGAGAATCGTCCGCAGAGCCGCCAAGGAGTTCAAGAACGGCATGTACGCCAACCTGGGTATCGGTATGCCCATGCTGGCTCCTAGCTTTGTTGGCCCCGAGGTCGAGGTGCAGCTGCAGTCCGAGAACGGTATCCTGGGTCTGGGACCTTACCCCAAGAAGGGTGACGAGGACGCTGATCTGATCAACGCCGGCAAGGAGACTGTTACCCTCAACCCTGGTGCCGCCGTGTTCGGTAGCGAGGAGAGTTTCGGCATGATCCGCAGCGGCCGCATCAACCTGACCATTCTGGGTGCCATGCAAGTCAGCGCCAGTGGTGATCTGGCCAACTGGATGCTGCCCGGAAAGGTCAAGGGTTTCGGTGGTGCCATGGACTTGGTCAGCAACCCCAGCGAGACCAAGGTCGTGGTCACCATGGAGCACACGGACAAGAAGGGCAATGCCAAGATTGTCAAGCAGTGCGCATTCCCCTTGACCGGACGTGCTTGTGTGTCGAGAATCATTACTGAACTGGTAAGTTTTACTATTCACTGCATTCAGGGCCCGCTTAGAGAATCTTATACTAACTCTGTACCCAGGGTGTCTTTGACGTTGACTTTGCCCACGGTCTCAAGTTGATTGAGATTGCCGACGGTGTGACTGTGGAGGAGATCAAGAGCAAGACTGAGGCACCATTCACCGTCGCTGAGGACCTCAAGCCGATGCTGTAAATATGCATGACTTTTGCATCGGACACTTAGATGGGGAAATTTGATTCGTGTTTCAAAATGCTTTGTATATATTGGACTTGGCATGGTGCATGGCATTTGGGATACTTTTCTGGATAGGCAAAATCAATGATTTCAAGACTACAAGTACTCGGCGGTTTTTACGCAACCATGGCAGTGACTATATTAGCGATGTGTGGTTCCAAGGCAATGTTGATTGCCAAGTTCTTTTTACCAGAACAGGCTTCCCGTTGGCGGCACTCACAAGAATGATAAGACTAAACCAAACGTATTGAATACTGAAACACTTCGCTTCTTCTGTTTATGATTGAATATCCTCATATTCCGTTTAACGCGTACTCTCATGCTCGCCTTGTGGTATGGCGATTCCGTGATTACCTCTGTACGGGGCAATCTCGGCCGGTTTCCAGCCACCTCTCTCGAGAAGACCCGAGTCTTGGAGCCGGAACACCTCCACTTTCAAGGGCCGGCAGCATTTGATCATTTCCTTTTCACTGTCCTCACCGAAACCCCAGAGTGATAAATCTCCGCCAGGGCATGTGCCTATTTTTATGCCATGTCAGGAAGTGGAATATATATATCAGGACTTGAAGTCAAGGCAGCCATTTCTATGCCGTGTTCGAGGGTACTTTTTAATGACATGAAAGTTTTCAAACTTACTCAGAGCCATGAGGAGATCCTGCTCGGCAAGAAACTCGATAGCATCGCCCGCCTCGGCGGGGCAAGGGTTCATAAAGTAGCGCCCCTTCTCGTCGAGACCAGTGACCTGGAACAGGTTGATGACGTCGTGAACATCGTACTCGGTGAGGCCGTAGGGGAGGACGGCGCGCACCAGGTTGGAGTGGCAGTGGAAGTCGTAGCCCTTGGCCTCGCCCGAGAGCACGGCGCCAATGTAGGGGTCGCACCGCGTGCCCAGCAGGTCGTGCACCCGGCCGCCGTGCTCGTCGGCGCCGTACCACGAGAGCGTGTCCGAGATGATGGTGGCCAGCGGGCGCATAAAGGGCAGCGTGGACCAGAGACGGTCATACGTGCTCACGTGCGATGAGTATAGTTGCTTGGTCCGCGACGCCCAGAATCGCTCGCGTGGGTTGTGTGCGTTCCAAATATTGAGATCGCCTATTTATTTTATAGTGATTAGTGACTTGGTCCTACCACGAGGTATAGTATCGAGATATGATCTACGGACCGACTTGACCACCTTCCGGTGTGCTGATGCGGACAATCGACCCGGCCGGTGCCTTCCACGCCTTTCCAGACCGAATTGGCAATGTAAACTCTTCTACGAGCACGCGCGGAGCCTTCTGGGCAGAGGCGTACAGTTCCTCGTCCACCTTGAGCGGCGAGCCTGCCTTTGGGAGATAGGCCGGTGGCATCTTGGGAACGGGCGGGCGCGCCTCCAGACGTCTGGCGCCGGTATCATCAGAGGCCATATTGGGAGTGTGCTTTCAATTCAAAACTTGACAACTATTTTCTCAGAGATGATATCCAATTGTCGGTATGTGCCCTAGGATCTTGCACGTTGTATAATAAAGTCTGTCTGAAAGCGGTTGGAAGTACGTAAGGGTTAGGAGCAGGTGGATGGTCGCAAGTTGAGACATGTCATGTACACCATACATTAGTAGGGTTTAATACAGTACAATTCAACTGTCGGGTCTATAGATAATGGTCCGGTGTGCTTCCGATTCGTGATCATGCATCTACAGTTATCACAAGAAAAGTGTCACCATGTCAAGAAGTATCAGCAATCGGAGGACGAAGGCCGCGAGGGGACAAGACTATTATTCAAGCCTTGACTAATATCGCGGGGTAGTGAGACCCACCTGTGTGCTGGTGAAAATAGAATGGACAGAATGGAATATGAACGTCGTTATACTCCTCTAGCTTTGGTTATGCATGGCGGGAACGTCTGTTCATGATTGCCATTGTGCCCGTCATTCTCGACGGACTCAATATTTCCCAAGCAAGTCTTCATGGGTATACCCGACATCGTTTCATCAATTACTCTAACATGTAGCTCACACGCCAAAAATGATGGTGTCGCTGGCCCAAGAACGTATGGTTATTCAATACTCACAAAACACACAATCAAGAGGATCTCATCGCTCGAGTTTCATACTTTCCATCATTGAGAATTGTGTATATACTCTCACAGGGCACAGTAAGGGTTGTAATCTGAGAACAAAGAAGAAAATTTACTTTCAAGACCTAAACGCCATGCTCATGCAGTATCTCTGATTTATGCCTCTCCTTACTCCCGCCACCTTCATTCCTATATCGTTCCATCTTTGGCTGCTTTTGAAGGCCAGCCTAATACGTCAACATCTTCTGACCAGATCCTTTGCTCTTGCCCTCCGAGGTCATTGTACTGAAAGCACAGAACTTATCCTTGATGGCAACAACTTCGTACGTTCCTTCCAGACTGGCAGTCACTACCTTTTGGTTTTCATACGAGACATCATGCCTAGTCTCAAGGACATGGCTCTTTTGTCCCTTCTTGGCATTGGTCGAACGTGTGTAGGTGAACTCAAAGGGTGGTGTACCCCAGAACTCGAATAGAATCTCGACCTCTGAGCCCTCGTGGATGTCGGTGCGCACAATCTTGCCACGACTGATCCTGACCGAAGGCATGGGATGGATCGTCTTGGACAAATCGATCGCAGCGCGGCATTCTGATGCCTTGTCGCTAATAGAGGTGATTTTAAACTCGCCAGGCGCTTCAGCGATACGACGGAAGGTGGTGGTCTGAGATTTGGCCTTCTTCTCCTCGCCAGCAAAAGTGTAGTGTACTTCAAACGGCGGTGTGCCAGATAGGGTGTACGCAATCCTCTCGCCCACGCAGTAGTCGTTCCGTGTCTCCAGAGGATAGATTGCTGGGGCATCATACAACTGAACCTGGACCGACGGCCCGCCGACCTCAATCTTCTGCTGGCAGCCACGAGCATCACGAACCTTTCGGATCCGAACCGTCTGAGCGCCAAGTTTGAGATACTGCCGGGGTATCTGGATTCCATACGTGTTTGATGGAATGCTAGGGATGCGGAACGTCTCAGGGATGCTGCCTGTATGGTGACGAATCTCTATTTCGACATAGAAAGGTGCAACGCCCTGGAGATTGATGGGGATCTTTTCCTCGTAGTCTTGTTCCGACACGCAGAGCTTGAAGATCTGACCTGGCCTGGCAAAGGAAGCAGTTGGTTTGGCGTTGACAGTCTGTTCCAGCGTAAGGGGTTGGAACTTCCTCTTGTCATTATTGTAGAGGTTGTCTGCCAGTGCTGAGAACTTGTATGTGTATAGTCCTGCCTTGTTAGTATCCATCGGGATCGAGGCCTTGGGCATTGCAGCGTCGAATTCCTTTCTGGCAACCGAACCTGAGCCACTCTTGGGCTTGTGTTTGAGTTCGTAGGAAACATGGTATGGAGGAGATCCTGGCGCAAGTTAGTCTGCCTGTCACGAGCAACCGAATCTTGGAAATCCACAAGTGAATAGTACTTACCCTTGAGCGCAACCTCAAATCCATCAATATCACCTTCACAGACATCTTGTTTGACAAAGACGCTGCCGCGTTGCGAAATGGTCTCAGTCTGAACCAGAGCAAGCTCTGGCCGTTGAAACCAGTTGACCTCAAAAGTAGACATCTTTGGGTCGACCTGTCCGTGGCATTGCCTGTCGGAAACATCAAGGATTTCAAAGGTGCCACGTTCAGATACCTCAAGGAAATCATTGTTGGAGCGGGCAACTATGGTCTGATCCCCTCTGCTGCTTTCCGTGTTGCGGTATGTCACTCTCCATGGAGCTTCACCGGAAAGTTTGAGTGGTATATTTACCTTGGCATCTTCAACAACCGTTGTCGTCTTCTTGTTCTCAATGACGCCAAATGCGGCACGAGGCCGCTGGCGACGAACGGTGATCTTGATTTCTTCCTTCAAGAAGATACGACAGCCAGTCTTGTCCTGAATGCTGGTCAAGGCAAGTGTGTAGTCACCACCACGAGACAGAGGATCAGTTTGAATGGTAAAAGATTCCGTTGTGATATCCGTGACTTTGTGGGACTTCTTCTTGCCCTCATGGACAAGTTCCCATTCGAGAATGAACGGTCCGTCGCCACGCAGTGCCACGTCCGCCTTGATCGGCTCATCCAAACAGGCGCTGATAGCGGCTGGTTGGTCACGGAAAAAGGCAGAGGCAGGAGGCTTGACATTCTGCTCGAGATAATACTCGTCGCTAAGTGGCAGAGGGATGTTCTTGTAGATGGCATCCTCCAACTGTCTGAATCGGTACTGGTAGCGGCCAGCGTTCCGAGGCAGAAGTTCAATCTGCTGGCGTAGTCCTTTGACCATGACGCTCTCTCTGTGAGATCGCTCGGTATCGCTAATGACATCGTAGACAACCTTGAAAGGAGGCGTACCCACGAGATCCAGGTCGACTCGCAGACCAATGGAGTTGCCGGCGCACTTGTCGGGAATCTCCTCGGATCGTAGAGACAGCTTGGGCTCCAGCGGGTTCAACAGCAGACACGAAGACGGCTCCTCGATCTCTCCCTCGCAAGAATCACACGATATCGACTTTAGAGTGTAGAGACCAGGCGCAGAAATTGCTGGTTGATCGACTGCATTCTTGGCAACGAAAGTGCCAGTTTCAACGACATCGCCGTGATCACCGCTCTTACTAAGAGTGTCGATCGGCGAGAATTGCCAGGTAAGAGTATATCCTGTTTGGCTCGCGGCGCGCCCAGGCAGGCTGAAGCTGACAGGCAGGTTTGTCGATTGCCCCTTGGCCACCTTAAGGGGGTTTCTCAAGTCACAACCGCGTAGAGTCGCTTGAGGTCGTTCTCGAACATGATAGTTCTGTGCCAGATGTTTTGGCTTTGGTTTCGCCTCGACATCGTCACCAGAAACAGTGTACTTGACAACATTTCCGAAAACATCGTGGACCTCATCAATGGAGTACTGCCAATCCCCGGCCTGGCTCATTGACTCGTTGAGAGACACGGCGACAGTTTGCGCTCTGGCCCAAGAAACGTCCTCACCATCTTGCAGAATGAGACCAGAGGTCCTTGCAGAGCCAAGCAACGGAGAAGAGAACCCGTCAGGTTGAAGACTCTGGAAGTGGAAGCTGTGATCTTTACCATTGATGGTCCGGCTGTAGACAATCTTGAGCGGCGGCGTTCCGTGGACATCCAGAGATAGGTCGGACAAATCATTGATGCAGCGATTCGAAGACTCGGCACGGCGGACCTGAGCTCTGGGACAGGGCACCACGTATGTGGGTTCGGTGATCCTCTGCACCTCCAACTTGTATTCGTCCAAGACCTTGTGGAGACGATATGCGCCCGACTTCTTAATGGGCACGTCATACTTGTACGAGGTGACTGTTCCGTCCTCGGTGATCTTCTTGGCTTGTCTATCAATCTCACGAATTTGTGACTTGGTGAATTTGACCACCTCCTCATTGTTGGTTTCCAAATCGATACGGATCAGCTCGACCTCGGCCGGGATGGTAGCATTAAAGTAGAGCGGAACTGCAACCACATTTTTTCCTCCCTGTCCAATGCAGAAGGGTGTCTTTTCAGGGTTTAGCAAAGCAGAGCCCTCGGGCAGAATGTTGATGATCTGCTTGCCCATAATCAGGGAAGAATTCTGCAGAATGCTCGAGACCTTGACATTGTGCTCGGAAATGGAGAGCTCTCCTCTGTCGTAGAATATCTTGACAACACCAAGCAGCCATGCCGTCCACGAGACTTGGACATTGAACATGAGCACCCAGTTGAGTGCCTGCTGCCAGGCAAAAAGGGTGATGACAACTGGTTGGGAAAAGTCGAGCCATGGTATCCTGAAGGTCGGCAAGACGACGAACAAGAAAGTGAAATCAATGACTATCCATTTTGCGAATAGTGCAAAAGAACCAGTATCTTCCTCGACCACACTGAGCCAGTCCCAAAACCTGTACGCAAACAGGGCAAAATATATCGAGACGGCGTAGAATCTCTGACTAGGAGCGTCGATGACTGTCAAGGGTATCAAGGGCGGCCGATCGGTTGCGGCGGCGGCAGCGGTTCTATTCTCTGGTGCTGGGGGCAACGAGGGCCTTGCTGGGCGCTGTTGTCTTGGTGTTGAGCCAGGTGTAGGAGGTTGTTCTCTTCTCTGTCTGGGAGCTACGGTCCCTGGGGTCTGTGGGAACCAGCCCGACCGCACGCGCGGCGTTTCATTCATGGCATTCCGCGGTGATGGCAGCTAATCGAAGTCTTTGTTGTTGTCCTTGACGGATTGCAAGTCACCAGCCAGCCCAGCAACTACTCAGCTAGCAGGAGAGCAAGCTAAAAAGCTGTCGGCGGCAGCTCTGGTGTTTGTTCGTTTCGTAATGAAGTCCTCGAAGACGCGAAAGGCTGCCGAATAGCTGCTAGAAATGCCGGGGGGGTTCTTTGGGCGGGGGAAGAAGAGAAAAATTCTCGTCGGCGTCGGCGTCGGCGTCGTGGTGGTCGTGGGCGGTTGTTTGGTCTTGAGCCACTGCAAGCTGTGCAAGGTCTGTCTGTAAACAAGGGCCCAAATTTTTGGACCAAGTTCCCTTCTCTGGAATGTCCCGTCACGGTCCCAGAAGCGCGTCACTGTCAAAAGCTGCAGGCCGTGAGCAACTAAAGTTTTCGCACTGCTCGTTGCACTATTTTAGGCACAATGTAGATAATTACGCACTGTGCATTCCCCCACCATAGCTCTTGGTCAAGTGTTGGTTGTCTGCTTCCAAGTGGCCGTGCACCATTACAAGTTGCTGCTGGTACCTACATTTTGCGCTTTGCCCTTTGATAGAACTCAAGTCAGAACTCCTTACAAGGAAGCTGGCTGCTCTGAGTACAAGACTGGAGCAGCAGCTACAGCCTACATTACCTTACTACCTACCATGTAGTGTTGCTTGTCATAGCACAGGTCCCAACTCAATTTCAAAAGGTTCTATTCAATAACTCGAAGACGTATATCGTATTTGCATCAACCTCTGACTTGAGGTCTTTCTCCAGTTTAAATCACATCACTTCAAAACAGTGCATACTCAAATACCATCGCGAATACATTCCGCAACTGCGAGTACGTGCTGCTCGCTCAGCTGCATCCAGTGGCAGTTGGTAGTTGAAGGAGGTGCCCGGGTGAAAAGCATAACTTCGAGTTTATCGTTTTTCATCTGAGACAACAGCGTCAACCAGCTTTGCCATTACAGCAAGAAGACCGCGGCTGGGCAAGCTGGGTTGATCCTTTTGATTCGAAAAGTCCCTTTAAAAGAGAAACGCACGCCCTTTGTCAATCTACTATTTACTGTCCGTAAACCTGTTCATCACTGTCATCTTCAGCCTTGCCATCAATGTATATATAAACTTCCTGTCATTGGTCTCCAAGTAACACCCAACCTCCCCTCCAGATCGTTCAATTCCGTCCCGCGATCCCTCCGGATGGGGTAGATAACTACACACCAAATTAATACGCGACTGCCGGCTGACCATTACCTCTTATTAGGGTGGGTTTTGGTGCTCTTGTGAGTCTGACGTCGTCGCTCCTGCGCGACTTCATAGAAGTCACCGAATTGGCATAGCCTCCTGTTTATACCGCCAACATTGAAGTCTACATACACCTGGGTTTTTCACACCTCCCTTCATGTATGTGGTCAAGTTATACGACTCTTCTGCGTTTTTCTTTCAACTACAACAACAAATCGAAGAATACAACCACGGGCACAGATCAGCCAATTGTTTCATGCCTATCAAAAGAACATCCGCTTTACTATCACTCAATCAGTACAAATGAGTAGTCACCGATGAGGAATTTGCTAGACGGGTTGTCAACAGAATTACCTCTCACCCTTCCTTGTTTCTTCTCTTCTGCCCTATTCATCAGGCACCAGCTTCACTTTTTTTTTTTTTGTTACTTTTTCTCAAACTGCCACTTGTTCTAGGCAAGCAGGACCTTCAGTCTTGATCTTTCCATCCAATATTTCCACTCGGACTTTTTAAACACTCACCCCGTCTTTTTCCGACTCAAGGCTACCAACACCACTTAATAACTAACCTAGGTACTTTTGACGATCCATCCCGACATCTTGCCTGCCATGGAGGAACCCGATACAAAAACGCACAACCCAGACAAGCTCCCTTCACGACTGGAAAGCTTGGAAGAAGCTTCTACAGGCGGCGATGGCAAGCAAAATGAGGCGCCCGAAGAACAGGCCAACAAGGGCAACGGGACCTTGAACGGCGCTGATGACAGCGGAATTGACGTGAATGGCTCCAGCTCTAAGTTATCTTCAGCCGGCTCGCCAATTCAAGAAGAGCATGAATTGATGAAGGACACGTCCAGCAAGAGCCAGCCTGGTGTCGTCGACTCTGCGACAGCCAATGATGACGTTGGAGTGCCATTGCGCCGTTCCACACGCAACAGGAAGGCGCCCGCCAATTTCGACGAAGCATATACAAACGCGACAGCTCAAGAGGCGGTCAAGCCAACAGCTGCGTCATCAAGGCCGAAACGCAAGGCTTCATCCGCTGCACAAAAATCCTTTACCAGCAAGGAGGATCTTGATCTCGTCAATGAAGCCTTGTGTGCACCCATGGTTTCGGAAGAGCTCAGATCATACAAAGGTTGGGTCGAGCTCGAGTCGGACCCGGCATTTTTCCAAGCCATGCTTCACGAGATTGGAGCCCCGGATCTCAAAATCACAGAACTCTTCAGCACGGACGCAGAATCCATTGCTGCCTTGTCCAAACCCATCTATGGCCTGATCTTTCTGTTCCCTTACGAGAACCAAAGCGAACAAGGTGGTGAAGAGCGCCATGACTGCCCTGATGGCCTGTGGTTCGCGAACCAGACCAACGCAAATAGCTGTGCCACTGTAGCACTCCTCAACATTGCCATGAACATTCCCAACTCGCAGTATGGCCCGGAACTTCGACGGTTCAAAGAGGAAACGACTGCACTCTCTTCCTGGGACCGTGGCAACGCCCTGGACAGCAATGATTTCATTCGTTGCATACACAACTCTGTTGCCCGTCGCACACAGCTCCTGAATGAAGATTTGGTGTGGCAGAATAAGCGTGACGAGGAGGAGAAGCAACAGCGCAAGCGCAAAAGATTCAGCAAACCTATCCGCAGATCTAGAGCCAATTTAAAGGCTCAGTCCAAGACCTCCAATCCAAAGACATCACCTGCGACAAATAAAAACAAGAAAAAACCGGATCCTGCCAACGGTACAAACCATTACATCGCATATGTTCCCCACGCCGGCAAGGTTTGGGAGTTTGACGGTCTGGAGGATAAGCCCCTCTGTCTCGGTTCTTTCTCCGGCGGCAGCGACGATTGGGTCACGACTGCGATTGAAACTATTCAAGTCCGCATGGCTGCTGGTCTCTTTTCCAACACATTTAACTTACTCGCCCTCTGTTCCACCTCTCTTCAGAGTCTAGAGGACCGGCTCATCCAAAGCCTTGCTGGGGCGCAAAAACTGGAGCAGGACTACAGATCAGACGGAGAAGGTGATGACCTGTCGTGGCCACATCCTCCCATTGCAAAACTTTTCTCTCCTGAGAAACTCCAGGCTTTGAATTGTCTATCCTGGGACATGGTCGCTAACATCGGGCCGACCGAATCATTTATCAACAGGACATCTCAGGCAGACTTTGGCAAAGAGCAGGCAACTTTGCTGATGGCGGAGCTCCTTGTTGAACAAAATGATCTCGAGTCTGCGCTGGCCGCTGAGCTGAACAGCCATCGTAGTGCACGATCCGAGTATGAGTCTCGACAACGAGACTTTACCCCTTTTATCCACCAATTTCTGCTCGCCCTGGCGGAGACAGGACACCTGGAGGAGACTGTCAACAATTTTATTGAGTGATGCAATAAATCGTGGCCGGGGTGCGCTTCTGATGTCCAAGCGGACGAAGAAATAGGTCTTGCAAGTGGGCATTTCATGCAGAGCGAGGAGTGCTCGTGGCGTAGTAAAAAACTCATTGCTGTTCAAAAAAGAGTCGGATATCATGAGCTGGGCGTTCCAAGGCGTTTTGGGTTGGTCGAGCCATGTCGATAGAGCTATTGGGCTGGATTGGTCCATACGGCAGAGCTTTTGCAGCTTTTACATTAATGAACATGAGATAGACAATCAAAGTCTTTGACCCAATGGAAAAGGCTTTCAAGTTGTTTTTAAATCGTACCAAGCTACAAGACTGCTTGATACAAGATTAATTGCCACCCATGTGCGTTACATATTTTACTCTGTACATATACACAAATGATATTACGTCTCGGCGACAATGGTATTTGTCACACTCCCAATACCGTCAATCTCCAGCCTCACGGTATCGCCGACTTGGAGGCGGAACCGAGCATGTTCAATGCCAGCGCCGCCAGGAAACGTTCCAGAGCCAAAGAACTCACCGGGAAAGAGCCTCGTGGCTTTCGAGGCGTGCGCGAGCGCTTCGCCCATTGTGAACTGCCACTTGTCGGCTCGGCACTCGCTGACCACGTCCCCGTTGACCACGACTCGCCCCGCCAGCTTGTGCAGGACCGGAAAGATCTCGTCTGCCGAGACCACAATGGACGAGATGCTGTTGGCGAAGCACTTGGAGTGCTGCGGTCCAAAGCCGCTATACGGTTGTCATGGTTAGCATGTTGGGACTTTTGGTCCGACAAAAGCCCCCGGGGGAGGGGGAGGAGAGGCCCGTGTCTCCATCCCCTCAAGGCAGTCAACTCACCTCGCCATTTCAGCCATCTGCCCATTTCTCACGGAGAAATCGTTGAACACACAGAACCCGGCAATCGCCTGCTCCGCCTCTTGGGGCGTGGCGTTGTAGAGCTCGCGGCCGAGGACAACGCCGAGCTCGAGCTCAACGTCGAGGTACTCTGCATAGGCAGGACAGTGAACGGGGGCCCCGTCGGCCACAAAGGCCAGGTGGTTGGACTGGTACCAAATGGGCTGGCTATACCACAGGGCCGACGGCTTGAAGAGGGGGAACTCGCCGCCGCCGCCCGTGAGCAAGCCGTACAGTCGCGCCAGGTAGTAGGCTGCGGGTCGGTAGAGCTGCGTCATGCCCATGGCCACGCCGTAGTAATGAGCCTCGAAGAGCATAAAGTCCCGATATGACCGCGGCTGGAAAGGTAGGCCTCGGCGCAGAGGATCCTGCGCGTTGGGCGGGTTGGCGTTTAGGACTTCGATGAGGGCAGCACCGGAAGCTGTCGTTGCAGCGTCGTCATTGTCATCTACTTTTCGGACTTTGCCGTTGATGCGGTGGAATTTCATGATGATAACAGACTGCGCGTTTCGTGAGAGGTTGCATCAATCATGTACAAAATCAGAGAGTGTGAGGGTTTTGTGAACATGTTAGTTACATGGGTCGTCTTCCAGAAAAACCTTGGTGCGGCTTACCGAGACACTGTTGGTGCTGACAAGATTTGACAAAATTATGATACCTTGCTTGAATGGAGACAGACAAACTGTCTCTTGCTCCACTGCACCACGATGCGTACACTAAATGTGGCAAACTGCCTCATTTCTCTTCATGGCGTAATGCTGAAGTATTTTCACCATCGGTAAAAGTTCAAGCATCTTTTCCAATCGTACAGGTTGAGATCTACACAAATAACGGCTTTCTTTCTTTTCTTTTTTTTTTCTTTTTTCTTTTTTTTCTTTGAAATAACAAAAGAATTCTCCTTCTTTTTATCTCGCAACATCCATATCTCACTTGAATACCCAGCGCGGCGGTGCCAGATATGTCGAGACAGCTCCCAGATAAGTCCGGTAGCATCTCGAGCGTTGTGACAACATATCAAGTGATGAGATAATGCACAGATAATGACACGTCGCAAAAGAAAGCACTTGATTTTGCGAGCCCTCAGCAAGATGGGTTCATTTAACGACAGACTCATTGAGTAGAGCATGTAAAACAAGACTGAATTATAAGCTCTATGTATTCAAGGAGAGATAATATGACCGCGCTCTTGTTTGTGTAAGCCGATACGCCGTTCCCATGAAACATTCCAAATCTCACGCCAAAGCCATCCATCTACACATTCTCCAGGTCGACATCGTTAGACTCAAGTTACTCCGACTTGGCATTGTTCCTCGCGCTGGCCTCGGCCGTCGTCTGCAAGCTTCTCGGGGCATCCTCCTTGGGCATGTAAATCTCAACGAACCTGAGGCCTTTGCGCTCGTTAAAGTCCTTGTCTGCAAAGAGCTTCTCGACCTCGTCCTTGGTCTTGACGGTGTACTTCTTGGTACCATTTTTGGCCTGCTTCTCCGGCCCACCGCTGAAAACCGTGACAAGTTCCTTGTAGTCCCATTGCACGACGTCGTTGTACTCGGCTTCCATGCCGTGAATGAAGCGCTCAATGGTGTATCCGTCATTGCAGATGACGAAGCTATTACAACAAATTAGTACGATTATACATATCAAAGGAGCGTCACGTGGGGGAAAGCCCCAGAGAAATGATTCCCTCAACTTACATGATCACATCAAGTTCATGCTTGATCATCGTGCTCAGTTCCTGAGCAGTCAGCTGGAAACTGCCATCGCCCTCAAAGAGTATCGTTCTTCTCTGCTGTTGGGCATCTTTCGCGCCCAGTGCTGCACCTTGACAGGCACCAACAGCCCAACCAATTGAGCCCCAAAGGGTCTGGTTCAGTCCTGTGGCGCCCTTGGGGAATTTGGTATCCCAGATACCAAAGTTTGCTGTGCCAGTCTCCGTAACCACAATATCGTCGTCCTTTAGGAATTCCGTGATGCGGGGCCAGAACCACGCCTGCGTGACAGGACCATTGTCGCCCGTTGCCTTTGCAACTGTCTGCGGTGGCTTGGGCGCTTTCTTCACAGAGAGTTGGCCGATATCGACCCGGTCGGTGACCTTCTTGAGGACACCGCGCATCTTAACGCCAGGGTATTCGCTGTATCTTACTGCACAGTACGTGCTGTGGAAGTCCACCGTGTTCATCTGGCTCAAGCGGTAGCTGAATCCTGCAGTGTTGAAGTCGCTCTTCAACGCGCCAACGGTCAAAACCAGATCAGAGCTCTCTACCGCCTCCTTGACATCTGGGTGCGAAGCATCACCAGCATACACGCCTCCAAAGGTTTCATGTGTCTCATCAATGGCGCCTTTGCCCATGGGCGTAACAAAAACGGGGATCTTGGTCTTCTCGATCAAGGCGTGCACCTCATCGAGCACTCTGTGCCGGATTGCACATGCATCTACCAAAAGCACTGGGTTCGTTGCCTTGTGGAGGTAGCGCAGGACGACATCGACGACGTAGTCCTCACGCTCAGCCTCGTTCTCTGGCTCACGAAGATCAATTGGAGTGTCGAGCCTGGCGCCCTCGACCTTGGTAGTGACGCGGTCTGTGGGCCACATGATATAGACGGGACGGGACTTGAGATAACATTCGCGGAGGGCGTGATCGATCTGGGCGGCGATCTCGGCCGGCTCGGTAAGCTTGGCTACTTCACAGGAGACGGCCTTGGACATCTCGGCGAACACGCCAAAGTCGCCATTGCCGAGTGTGTGATGCAGCAACATGCCATTGCGTTGAGAGATGGTGCTAGGGCAGCCAACAATGTGTACTACGGGTACCATCTCACTGTACGCGCCCGCCACGCCATTGAGCGCCGAGAGTTCACCCACTCCAAATGTTGTGATCAGAGCCGAGATTCCCTTGATACGGGCATATCCATCGGCAGCATATGCTGTGGGTTTTCTGTTAGTCATCAAGGGTACAAATAGACAACAAAAACAAGACGAGTCAGGGGCGGACCGTCAGGTGCTTACCAGCATTCAGCTCATTCACACTGCCCACCCATTTCAGACCGTTTTGGGGCAGGTAATCTAAAGCCACGAGGTTGTAATCGCCTGGGAGTCCATGAACAGAGCGAACTCCAATTTGGTGCAGACGAGTAAAGAGGTAGTCAGCCACATCTACGGGCTTTGTGAGGTTCTTGGTTCGGATATCGACGGTATTGCCCGCCATGTTGATGACCAGGGATGTCTATGTGGTAGACTTGTGGTGGTGCAGGGAGTTGTGAGTTTGCGTAACAGTAGGTGTTGAGTTACAGGGTATGCGAGTATAATAATCAAAGGAATGCGGAAGCAGCCACGTTGAGGATTTATATAGAAGCAGGATGAGAAAAGTATGTGGACAGATGGGAATGGTGGTGTGGTATTAATACGATAAACGAATCCCTTCTGAGCAGTTTCTCGGGCTCATGCGAGGCTCATGCAGAAAAAGTTACTCAGCATAGTAGCCAGGGAAGCTGAGACCTGCCTGCGCTACGTATCTACCTACCTACCTACCTGACCTATCAGACCCGACCCGACCTTGCCAAAGAAACATGCGTGAATGTGTGTGTGTGTGTTGTGATGCGTGGGTTGTAGGCAGGGAGCTACTGTACGGTTTGCATTGTGGTGATGCAATGGCGGGCTAAACAAGCTCAAGAGCACCCCACAGAAACTTTTGGATACATGGTTAACAGGGCCTGAAATCGACCTAGACAGCTCACTGGAACCTGACCCGAACGTGATGGGATGTGATCCATTCTCAAGGCGGTTCTCGCTTGTCATCGCCTACCGTTACGGGCCGAATCTGCACCCGCCCATGGTGAGCTGGTGGGCAGCTCGTGGTTGCATGATCGCGATTTCTTTTGTCGTCAGGCCATCTGCCTTTCGCGAGGTGGAGAATGTCTTAAGAGCGAGAGGCCCGGAACGCCCGGCGCTGGCCGTCTCGTTCACCCCCGGCTCCGATCAGCCCCGAATGGATGGATCATGCTGGCTGGACCCATATCTACCTGGTACGCCGCCACGAATTCGTTGCGGGAAAAGAGAGCCTGTTACAACTGCAGTTCAGAAAAGTCCATATTCCTGAATATCCCGAAAATAGTCTGATGAGTCATCTCTTCGATCGTGTACTAGTGGTAGTGTGCTGTAATATTCTCCGATTATGAAAGTAGCCATAGTTGCTTAACTATGAAGATTAAATTTAAAAGAAAGAAAAATTGCTAAATGTTCTGATCAACCTTGTTTGATCATAAATTGGGTATCCTTCCCTTGCAAATCCATTTCATCATGCATGATCATCATTATTCGACATCTCGACAACCAACTCGGCTCAATTTCAAACTTTCAAATTTTCAATCTTCAGGGAAAAGTTCCCGCATGTTACTGACAAAAGCCCCCTGGACATCGTCGTAACGCTTGAAGAATTTGCCAGCCATTGGAATTAGATCTTGAATTTCGCGCGGCAGTCTCTTGCCATCACTCAAGTCAAGCATCTCCATGTTGTCTTCTGCAATGACATGGTGGTCTGATCCATCGGTTCCCACCATGCATCTGTAGAAAGCTTGGGCGGTCCTGTTACTCGTCCAGCCCAAGTTGTCCCCATCCCAGCCCATGGACTCACTGACGCCGTCGACTGACCATCCGAGGATGATACCATGATAGTCGTACCGCTTGTGCTTGAAGACCTGGCCCACGCGGTACTTGACGGGTATGGGTGTCATGAGATCGCTGCGCCTGCGAGGTGCCCGTTCAGACGAGTCAACCTGACGGATCTTTCTGATCTGGTCCCTTACTCGCCTAGACGGCAGTTCCCATGCGTTTTGACGTCGACCAGGTGCAGAAAAGGTATCGTACATGGGGCAAACATATTTCTCGACAAGCCAAGCATCTTCTGGAAAGTATTCGTAAAAGTAGTTGATGAGGTCTCTCACATCCTGCTGCCAGTCCCAGCGCACATCTTCGTTGTCGGGCAGCACGGGGACCATCATGATGCTTGCCCATATCATACTGTAGAGTGCCGGCTGGAGATTGCGGGCCCAGTCTCCGCGGCGCAACTCGATCAAAGGTATTAGCTCAGCCACGGGACGCTCTATCGTCCGGAAACTTGTAAAAGAAGCACGAATGTTTTGAGCCGTACGCATAACAATGAGGTCGGTGGCATTGGGAACCAGCATAGTGTCTCGTCCTAGGTGAGCGCCAAGACGATACAGGTACGCATGAAGCTGCTCCATCGGAACCTCGGCAGCCGAGCAATACGGGTCGAGAAACATCTTCTGGCGGTCCTCCTCGCCCTCCTCCAACGGCTGGCCGTCCAGGGAGAAGCCTTCTGGCGCAAGTACCACGGCGTGGACATGGCTAGGGAGGGCACAGCAATAAGCCTCTACGCCAATCCTCTCAGCAAGTGCAGAGAAGATGGCAGCCGATATGATGGGCAGCGAAGGGTGCTGGTCGTCCTTTAATGCTCGGCCAATGAGGCAGTTGCGCAGGTAGCGAAAGGTTTCGGATTCGTTCTCCATTCCGGTGATGTTGTTAACGTGAAGCCAGGCAGCTAATGCAAGTGCTTTTCCGCGAGTGGTCATGCCATTGACATCGTAGTGCGCGGCGCGGAACTGGCTGATCAAGTTGTCGAGCATATCGGAGATCTCGTCCATATCGCCTTCATTGTCGTGTAGCACAAACATGTCAAAGGCGCCGAGTGCGCGCTCGAGCTGCATTCCACATCGCAGGCGGTCTGTTGGCGAGAGGTTGTCTCCGTCTAATCGAGCTGCATGTTTTTGGTATTTGGCCCATTCTCCAACAGCAATGCTTCGGTGGATACTGTCGAGGACGTTACACGAGTAGAAGCGGCGGGCCAGTACGTCGTCGGCGGTATCGGCAATCTTGCATTGGCTCAACAGGAAATCCTTTGCATCATAGCCGTGTTGACAAATCTCCTCGGTCTTTTCCAGGCGAGAGACGCGCGAAGCAACAATGCCATCGAGAAGGCGGGCGATGCGCCGATTGCGCTGCAGACGGAGGGCGAAGAGGCCCTTCCAATCGACGTCCGAGGCCCTATTTCGCAGCTTCTGGGCAATGTCGTGCTCCGGGTGCCAGTACCGAAAGCTAGTTTCGCAGTACAGCTTCCATAGCAATTGGGTGTCGGCAATCCGGTGGAACCGTTTAGAGAGTCGGGGTACGGTGGTCAATGTTTCCTCAGGCGCCAAGTAGCTGAGTATGTGGGCGATGATCTCGTCCGGGAGCTGGTCAAATGACGGCCACATGTTGAGGAATTGATCGTCGTCCACGGAGAGGTGATACTTGTTGCAGTGGGGAGAAGATGCAAAGAATTGCAATTGAGAAAAACCACTGCGCAAGTGTCGAATCCAAGTAAATGGATCGACCGCTCGCATTGAATGTTCCGCCGCTGAAACCTGGCCCAGACTAATGGAGTAAGTAATGTACGGTAAAAGGCCTGTCCGCCGAAAGTTGGTGCGCAACTCGGAGGAGTAGTAACCTTAATGAGAACGGCACTACCGTACGTACAGTGCCCGTATCTTCTACACTACTACCGATCGTGATCTCATAGGGGTCTTGCGGATTGGTTCTGACCTTGCGCTTGGCTGTATTTGTACCGGAATACCTAGCGCCCTACCTGATCAATGTCAAGAGTCTTTTTTGCCTTTACGGAAAGAAAGAGAGAGGGAGAGACAAAGAGACTATTTCGAGGGATATTCTTACACTTTTATAAATCATAGTTTTCTTTTCTACCCAGGATCAAAAGCATGGATTGATAGTCTCGAAAATGCCAGCCACCATTCATCGATGCCATATTGAGAATGGAAGGTAGGTAAGGCGGAATCGATAAGGTATGATTGGTGGGGCCGCTTGGCATCCAACTTCCACCGTACCAAACTAAAACCCTTCACTTGGTCATAGTGAGCAGAAATCTGAAAATAGTACTTGGTAAACATTTTATATGTGTAATTGTTTACGTTTCCTCCATTATAGTGATTTTGGTAGCAAGGAATCATCCGATTACCTTCAACAACCGCAGCGTAACTGTATTCCGCTCGGCTCACAAGGTGCGAAAGCCATTGGAAACTCTTCATAAACATACCGGGTATGGACAAAGTAAAAAGAGAGTCAAAAGCCTTCAAATTAGCGGGAGAGTCAACTGGCTTCGGTGCACGGTTGCTAGGTCGAGCTGAGATACTGCAAGCTATCCAAAAATGCCACTAAAGCTTCCCCCGCCGCCGAGGACCCCCATTGGCTGTCCCAGCCCAAAGTAAACAAATTGGTGGGTTTCGTCCCGGAGACGCGCCCGGCAGTCAAATGGACATCGCGTCACCCCCACTGACAGAAAGTCAACCACAGTAAAACACACAAACTTGTTTGGATTCATTTACATTCTCGCTGTCGCAGCTAAACTCGCATTCGACGACCTAGATATTTGCAGATGCTCTACCTATTTTGTCGCTTTGCCCATCTTAGCCTCGAGTCAAATGAAGTAAACAATAACAACAACAGCGGCAGTAGCAACAACCACACACCAGATACCCCTTCGCTACGATCGCGCACCACGAACACACATAATTAAACCAAGAAGAGCTGCCCAACATGGTGCAGCACGACTTTGGCGGGCTTGATACGCCTCGCACCAACGTCGGTGATGCCACATATATGGATCGCGAACCCGATTTCGACATGACGCAGGAGCCCTCTTTTCAGTCGCCTGCTAAGGACAACAACATCCTTCATCAAATGCGCAACGGCCGTTCCGGTGCCGTCAACCTCAGAACCCCACGCGCTTCTCGCGCAGCCCTGACAGATAGGCGAAATCAGCTGCCGCAAGGCATTGGGGGCAACGAGTTCACCCCCATGCTCAAATCTGCCACGAGGAACAGCGCAAGGAAATTTGGCAAGGAGAACAGGAAAAGGAACTCAACGCCCGGCGCACTCAACAGGATTGTTGAAGATATGGACATGACCAACGTCGCCGTGGAGTCTTCTCTTTACGGACCCTCTAGAGGCAGCAATTCGTACATAGACGCCACACCCATGCCACACGTAGACGACAGCAGCATAGCATCAACACCAATGGTTCTGCCCCCACGTCGCGGTGCCGACAAGGGTCCCCTCAACGACGGCAACCAACTCTCGCTCCGTGAACAGGAGAACGTCATCGATAGAATCGAAAAGGAGAACTTTGGCCTGAAGCTCAAGATTCATTTTCTCGAAGAGGCACTGCGCAAGGCCGGCCCCGGCTTCAGCGAGGCCGCCCTGAAGGAAAATACCGAGCTCAAGGTCGACAAAGTCACCCTTCAGCGCGAACTAGCCAAGTACAAGAAGCAGTTAGGCAATGCCGAAAAGGATCTGGAGACATATTCGGAACAGATCCTCAGCATGCAGGAGAGGGCCAAGAAGAAGTACGCCGACGAAAGCCAGAAGATTGAAATCGAAAAGCTCAAGCAAGACCTCGAGGACAAGGCGGCCGATCTCGAGGATCTGCAGCGGCAAGTACAACAAGGCACGCAGGACTCGGACAGGATCGAAAAACTGGAGGGAGATATCGGCGATCTGGAGGCCGATATTCGACAAAAGGACAACGAGATCAACGAGCGTGAAGAAGAGATTGAGGGATTGAAAGACAAAGTCGACGAGATGGAGGAGAAATGGAAAGATGCCGAGGCACGACTAGCAGAGCTCGAGGAGAAGGCTCAAGCTGGTGAAGATTTGCAGGAGGCAAAGGAAACCATCGAGGATTTGGAGGCCAGCGTGCGCCGTCTAGAGGATCAGATCGAGGGCTTTCAGGAAGAACTTGAGCAAGCCAAGACTGACAAGGAACGAGCCGAAACTGATTTGGAGGAGCTCCAGGAGGAAATGTCCAACAAGTCTGTCGTTACCAAAGGATTCTCACGCCAGCTGGATGAAAAGGTTGCTCGCCTGCAGAGCGAGTTGGAAAAGTCTCAGGAGAGATATGCCTTCCTCGAACAACAATCTGCCGAGAAGGAAAAGTACACCAGCGAATTGAAGTCAAAAGCGAAGCAGCTCCTGCAGCAGAGGGACTCTTGGGAAACAGAACGACAATCGCTGGAAACGAAACTCGAGCAGGCAGAAAAGGACTTGGGCGCGCGCACGGATGAGAAGAACCTTCTGCAGCTCCGTCACGATGCACTAGGAGCCGAGTCGGCTTCGTTGCAAAACGACGTGAGCCGTCTACAGAAGCAGATCACCCAGCTCGAGCAAAGCTTGGACGGAGAAAAGGCACATGCCTTGCAGATCGAGCAAGACATACGAGCACAGTTCAAGAGCGATATCGACCACCTTCAAGACGAGATTTCTCGCCTCCAGGCTCAAGTCCGCGAAAAAGATAATTTGTACGACAATGACAACGAAAAGTGGGAGAATGAGAAACGCAGCCTCGAGTCTGAGCGCAATCGCGCCGATGAGCGCGCTGCAGGCCTTCAACGAACCATTGACAAGTTGCGAGAAGTTGAAGGCTCTCTGTCGGGTAAGGAGACGAAACTGCAAGAAGCGCTCAACAGCGAGGTTGAGCGCCACAAGAGCGAAGAGCAGTCTCTTAGCCGACAGATTGAGAGCCTCAAGCAAGACTTGCAGGCGCGTCAGTCGATACTCACCGATCTTCGCACAGAAGTTAGTACTGTCCGCGAAGAGCTCCATCAAAGTCAGCGAGACTACCAAGCGCAAGCTGAAAAAGTTGAAGCTCTCGAAGACGAAGTCGAGGTTCTTCAGTCTACCCTAGACGATGAGTCCGAAGAGGCGGGCCAGAAACTGGCTCAAGCGCAACAAGAATGTGACGATTTGCGACAACGCCTTCGAGCTCTTCAGGGCGACATGGACGACGCCCAGGCCAATCGACAAGTTTCTGCTTCTCTTTTGCGTCTAGAATCTCAACTTTCCGATGCCAACGCCCAGCTTACTCGAGCGGCCAAAGAAAAATCCTCTCTGCAGGATCAGCTCGCAAAGCTAGACTCGGAAGTACGCTCTATGCGTGCCTCGCTTGCCGAGGCAAAGGCTGAACGTGAGGAGGCCGAAGATGAGCTTCGCCGCTTCCGTCAGCAAGACAATGATACCTATCGTGTTGATCAGGAGCGCATCGATCTACGAACCGCCAAGGTCAAACTCGATAGCGAAGCCCGCCGTCTACGGGATGAGAATCGCTTGCTTGATGAAGAAAGAGACGCCGTCGAAAAGGCGCTTGCCGACGAAGTCGACAGAGCTGCCGCCGAAGAGGAACGACTGAACAAGGAGATTGTCAAATTGCAGTCCAGGATGCGCCAATCAAGCGGCAATGATAGTCAGGAGCTCACAGCTGCGCGGCGCACCATCCGGGAGCTGGAGCGCAAGATTGACGAGTACGAATTGCAAATAGCGTCAAGGTCGATATCTGCCGGTGCTTCGCTGGGCGCTGAGGCAGAAGGCAACTCGGAGATCTCCTTGATGCGCAAGGATCTGTCTTCGGCCCGACAGAAGGAGCTCGAATTCTTGCAACGAGAAGCCGACCATAGAGACACCGCTCGTGGCCTGAAGAGACAGATTGCCGATCTCGAGCGGAAGCTTCACGAGTCAGAGATGACACACCTAATCGAATCCCCAAATGCGTCTGGCTCTAACTCGGCATCAGCCCGCAAGCAGGAGATCTCGGAACTCAGGCATCAACTAAGCACTGCCAACAAGTCCTTGCAAGAAATGCGCCGTAAGCTCCGGGATGCAGAACGGTCAACATCAAAGAACTATCCTGCTCATGATGATGTGGTTCGTGAACTGCAGGCACAACTCGAGGATCTCGAAGATGAGAAAATTGCCCTCGAGTATGAGGCGGCAGATACGCAGAACGCAATGGCCGAGCTGAAGAGCCAACATGAGAGAGCAGTACGCAAACTCGAACATCAGATCTACAAGCTGCAAAACTCTAGCTCATCTCGCCACAACAAGACGGATGGCCATGATATTCTAGAGCCCAATGAACGCCAGGAGCTACGTGCTATGCTTCGCGAGTCACAAGCCGAAGTGCAAGCTTTGGAGCACGACATCCGTCAGCAAGCCTCGTCAATCAAAGCCTACGAGGGCGCCCAGAGCACTATGCGACAGAAGTTGGAACGGGCGCGAAGTGAACGGGCTAACTACAAATCCAGAGTCCTCAAGCTTGAGGACGACTGTCAGCGCCTGGCTGACGGTGCCCAGAGTGCCATTTCTTGGATTGAGACACACAAATCCTCGTCGTCTACGTCGGCCTTGGCTGCGCCCACCTCTGCAGCTTATGCGGCTGCAAAGGAGATTGCGGCTGCGCACCGCACATCGATTCGCTCCGCTTCAGGCAACTTGGTGCTAGATGTCGTTGATCAAGCCGACCACGAAGCCGTGATTCGTGCAGCCGACGAAGCAGCGCGACGCCATGAGAAGGAACTCAGAGGCCTCGCCATGCAGATGCGATGGATGCAGGCACGCTGGGAAAGAGAGGCTAAATTGAGGACCGACGCTGCATTCGCAAAGAAATTCCTGGAGCTACGCCTCAATGTTGCCGAAGCTTGGTATGTTTTCCTTGTTTTTTTTTCTTTATTATTCTCTTAATACGAGAAGGTCTTACTAACGCATATCCAACAACAGCAATCAAGCAGATCTTCGCATCTTGTCCCAGATCCACAAGCAGCTGGGTATCAAGTCTCCGGAGCAGCTTCTGCAGTCTCACAAGACACACACATCATCTCGGTCATCAACGACACACCTTAGAGCCAGCCCAACACAAACTCGAGCGCAACGCAATCTTCGTGTATTTGCTAGTGCTATTCGAGCTGTCGCAAGAATGCGAATCAGCGCAAAGGCATGGAGTAAACACGAGAAAACGAGAAAGAGGTTGGAAGTGGCTTGGGAGGAAACCAAGAAGCGAGAGCCTGTCCGAAGATGGGAAACAGATCGCGATGATACTCAGGATAGTCATGACAACGACGATCGTGGCCACCCCAATGGAAGAATTTTGGAGGACAAGGGACTGCAGAGGAACGGCAGGAAGAAGAGCCGGCGAAGCCGCAGTGGTGGTGATGGAGATGAGGATGCTTGTATGACTTTGAATTTTTAACTTGAGTGCGGGATTCGAAGGGGGGAGCGTCATGAGTTTTGTTTTGTGTATCATGGATGGGTATCTGCCCATAGGCAAAGGCGTTTTTGGAACGGGGCTCAGCAGGATTCGATACCAAAGCCTGTCAAAAGGGATATTTCTTGCAATGCATTGTTTTTGTCAATATGGTTATTTGCAGCGGTTCTACGTTGAAGACGGTCATTGAAACCAACTTGTAGGATCATACACTAAACATTGAATGAATGGTCTCGACGCATTTGCACATTCATCTTCATTTTGACAATTATTGCCTCGATATCATTCCCGATGCCCTGATACCCATCTACCAGCGATCTACATATTCCAAATCATAGCTTCCTGGAGCGGTGAAAGAGTTTGCTCCGTACATTCGGCACTTTGACAGTTTGGATCAATTTAGAAATTAATTGAATCACATCTTCATCATGGCCTTGTCAATTGATGACTCCATGGTTTCGGCCGTAAATGTAAGGTCATCGACCCCGGGAGATGAAAAATATTATTAATGACCAACCTTGTTGTTGTTTGGAGCATAAAAGTCAAAGGTGAGGCAGTGTGTAGACGACATCAACAGACATCGTGTATCAGCGAATAGATGCCTTGGAATACTCTGGAGATATAGATGGATGTGTCATGTTACCGATATGAGCACTGTTGTGCCGCCGTCTGGGATATTTCAGGCGCAAACACGGCTTGCATTGGGGAGAAGCTCTGTGGGTGTGGTGAGACAAGGCGGCGGGCAAGGGTTAAGGGAGGGGGAGCCCAATGGGGGAAGCGCAAATGATCCTCGTTGGCCCAGTTTTTGAGAGTCTACCCCAGATCATTTGTGGTATTAATGTGTACATTGCCCGTTGGATTATGTATATAGCACTGGTAAGACTGGGGGAGATGTTGGCCAATCACACACTGGATTGCTGCGCCCTCGGTTTTATCCGTGATCATATATCACTTCATGTAGCTGCAACGGCAGCCTCAAAATTTCAGCTACACAAGTATAAACGGTAAGTGTACAGTAAACTTGGGGTTGGATGACTGGAAACTTAATCACAAAACAAACAGTGGTTCACTGAGGGAACGGCAGTTGTGGACGAGACTTGTGGACATGAAGGATTTTTCAGCCGTGATATGAGCTGAGAAAGTAGTGTGTGTTTTTGATATAAGTCGTGATTTGCCTACTCTACCACCATATTATTCACGTATCAACACGGTGAAGAAGAAGAGGAGGAGGAAGTCATTTCGTCGGCAATGAGCTTGACCGCCTGCTGCCATGAGCTGAAGTAAGCCGCATGGCAGAAAAATCGAGGCGTCTATTTCCAGCAGAATGGAACGTTCCAAGCCGGCATTGCGGTTGAGGAGGGTCACGACGAACCATGCCAAGATGAAGTGGCAACGGCAGTCAGCATAATTGTGAGACAAAAGACAAGAGTGATGTAATGTTGTGTAGCTAACGGGTTGCCGTGATCTCCCATATTTTCAGCAATGGGCTTTTTCAAATGGCGGTGGTCAAATACGCATGTCAGACTGGGGGGGAAATCGGTCGTATGCAGCCGCAGAGCATACTCGATTTGTGGCCATGGTAAGACGCAAGAGTATAGTAGACCCAAAGCCACGATACCATTGCGGGTGGCTGCTCCCGGAGGTGGTGTCTTGGATACCAAAACCGCGTGTACCTGACGATCCATGCCCATGCCCACCCACATTAGCTCAAGCCCAAAACGTTTTTTTACATGCTTCGCCATGTTTGCGGCTCCCCGACCCAAAGACATTGCCTACCTAGCTCCAAGCACTGAGTATGAGGTCTTGGAGCTAGACGAGGGTGTGTTTACGCCACGAACCCTTTTTTTCTCCCCCTCCCATTCTCCCTCACAAACATTCTTCCCCTGCCTGCCAAGCCGGACATTGTGCTCCTACTAAATGGTCTAGGTACGGACCTGAGGGCGGCAGGACCAAAAAGTCGAACGATTTTCTTCTGCGGCAGGCATGCGGATAGGGCTAGAGCTGTGCGTGGTAGAGACTAACACACGCCAGCCGGCTGTGAGGTTTGTGCATAGCGGCGGCGGGTACTAGGTAGGGGTGGGAAAGAGAAATGATATTTTGGTATACATGCATACATACATGTTGTTTTCCCAGGGGACCAAAGAAGAAGAAAGAAAAAAAGCTAAGCTAGAGCGACCCGAAACAGTGGTTGACATGGCATGTGGTGTGCTGGCTGACCCTGTACACTACTGTGTATGCCGGTATAGGCTAGGACGACAACATGGGAGACGTGGTGATTGGTTTGTATTGCTGCTGGACAGCCACTTTTGGTTTCGGGATCGCCGCGGCCTTGCCAGATCCAGTGGACTTGCAGCTTGTCAATATCTATGAATGTAGGTTATGCTTGCTCTCTCACTCTCTGTCTCTCGGCTGCTGAGTGGGTGGGTGGTGGATGGTGGCCCATGATTGGCTTGGGGGGAGCAGCAGTCTCCCGGATTTTCCCAAAACCCCATCTTCCAACAGCCGGCCTAGACTCTCTGGCTGTCATCTTGTCGTCTCGGCGGGCTCCAGGGGCCCCGCGTGCTCAGACGTGAAGCGGATCAAAAGCCAAAGCGACCCGACTGACTAGAGTATGGAATTTCTGCTTTGGTCTGACGGAATGTGGGACAAAAACGGTCAGTCTATCCGGAGCGACAATTCTCTTCTGGCCTTGAGAGAGGGGAATCACGACACGCGGCCCGATAAACTAAGGAAGCAAAGTCACGAGACTGTCTACGAGAAGGCCAGATGCCCTTGGCTTCTTTCTCAGTATTGATATCGCGGGGGAATGCTTGAAGTCTGCCAAGTCATGAACTGACAATCAAGCGAAATAGTATTTTGACTAAAACACAACCACACCAACAAGACCCTCAAGGCGAGTACCGAGCAGACTGACTTATTACAGACTGATGATGACTTACAGGGCATGGCCACATGGCGGACGGGCAAAACGCGTAAACAAAAACGCCTCAAGAAGGGTTACGGGCAGATATGCGAGGTTTTAATTTTAATGTGTGGCAGCGAAAGGACTATAGAAGACATATGACTGGACGGTTTGCGAGAAGCCCCCAGACAATGGGCAGGCGCAGATGGGAGGGAATAAGGAAAAAAAACAGAAAGAAAAAGAAAATGCCGCGGCTGCGTGCCGGTTGGCTGGTTGGTTGGTTGGCTGTGTCTCAGCACCACTAAGTTGGGTGAATCTAATTTGATACGCAGGTACTAGCTAGCGAAATTCTTCAGGTGCAGCTGAAATTCAATGCATGGGGGTGGGAATTTCTATGATTGACTTTGAAAACATGTACATGACATGACTGACTTACACGGCCAAATGGGTCCAAGGGGTCCTAAGGGTCCTCGGACTATTCTTGGGCTTCATTTTTTTTTTTTTTGGGCGCCTACCAGACTACTCTAAACAAAATGAGTTATGACCGTTAGCGAAAAGGAAAAAAAAAAAACCGGTGGATAGAAGAAAAGAGAAGAGGGAGAGAAAAATTAGAATAGGGTAGGGGACGTCCGCCTTCAAAGTAGCTCCCGCTCGGTAATCTTCCTACATTGAATTCGTCCTAGTCCATGATGATAGCAAGCATCTAGACTCCGGGCTGTTACCGCGAGCTAGCTTGAATGTTTATTAGCAAAAAGGGTCTATGGAATTGTGACATGATGTTTGGTCAGCATATTGGAAGTTGGAGGAACGTTTTTTTTCCTTCTTCTTCCCTTCTTGTCTTGATTCAATGGCCGGCCTTCTCGCCTCTACGCGAGACCGATGCGATATATCAGGTGATGTCACATCGGACCAAGTATATTATATGATGGACTGACAAATATGTCGTGATTTTCAAAAGTCTAGACGTTCGAGGTCCATACATGGTTTGCCCATCCTGGGAGCGGGAACAGCGCGATCCGAGATGTCAAAAGATCGGGAACTCGAAGCTTGGCTCTTGGGGATTTGGCGGGGCGGGGAGGGAAGGGTTGCATTAGGGGTGTGCAGGTTTTTTCTTTCTTTTTTTTTTTTTTTTTTTTTTTTTTTTTGGCCAGGCGAGAGAAGGGAACTCGGGCAAGGGAGCGAGGGTAGGCTGCGGACGGATGGCGGGCGGCATCGACCGAACGCGACAGTCCGATGGTAGGTGATGATGGTGTGAGGAAATACATTACACAAGCCAGTAGGTCAATAGTAGCTAGATTGCATTTCTGTACTCTGTACATTCTCTAGGTATGTAGGTATGTACTGCTTTTAGTTCTGGCCATGAGATTTGTGCACATGTGCATAGAAAACGCGCCATGGCATTTTTGTTTCTTATTTTTAGCTTCTTTCCATGTTTTCACGACCGTGTATCTTGTATCTTTCCTTCTCTGATTGTGCATTCGTAATGGCGAAGAATAGATGCACATGTGTATTGTCATGATGAGCATTGAGGCTGTGACAACCCATGCATTTTGCCCTTTTGCATAAGGTTCAACGTGGTATGCCGTGTAAGTCAGATAATAAAATTATAATCGATGCAGTCGATGGCACAAGACGAGACGCCCAAGGATCATATTGATATCGCATGTTATCAATGGAGCCGAGGAGCTGAGCAAGCGCCGGACGTATGTAATCAAAGTAGACCAATATCGAGTGTGCCTAGGTAGCTTAGGTAGTAGGGGAAAATCAATTCAATAATGGTAATGTGACGTGCATGTGAGGTCCCCAATATTGACCGTTTCTCTTGCTCTCATAAGGGTAATAACCGAAGCAGGGTAGCGCAGGGCAGTCATTGAACCCCACTAGGAAAAACTCCATAGAAATATGGAAACCTTACAAACACGGACCAACCGTTGTTGATGATACAATCTAGCCACTGGACTGAATGTGATTCTTCTCGTCCGACGTTGAGCGCAGTTAGCTGCTTTACCTAGGTAATATCTACGTACTATGTAGTTGAGAGCCACCCCGACACCCCCCGGGAATCGCCTTATCATGTTGCTGGATGGCGATCATTTCTCCAATGCTCCAGGCCAGACCTCACGACCTTCAGACACCTCGAGAGAAAAACTCCGTGACAGCCGGCGGCGGTGATTCGGGTGGGTGGCCAACGCACCTACCTACATTACCTACCAGTCTTTTCGCTATCCATCTGCTTTCCGCTTCTTGCATGTAGGACTTTGACTCAATCGAGCCAGTGACTGGGTGACAACAAACAAGTCAAGGCCCAGGCATAACATCATCGCTACCTAAAGAGGGATACCTCATGTCTATCCTTCTATTACCTGAAAACCTAATAACAACAGCATTCTCCCAACTAACCCAGGTCCCAGATCCATTGAATTCTTACCCCGGCAAACAGGTAGATAACCGTCTCTCTACGCTACAGTTGAAGTTTACATTATCAAAATAACATATTCCGTTGGTCTACCAAAAAATACCCCAGGTAAGAGGTTAAACAAAAATTACCTACTGCATCCACTGCATCAATCAATCCCCGACTCCCCGCTTCAATCAATCAACAAAAACGCCGGCGCCGAATCCTCTGGAGCCAAGAATCCACTACACCTCCTCAAGGATTATAAACGTTAGATCGTTACTTGCCCCACGCAGTGACCCAGCACCTCCCATCGGAATTTTACCACCAAAAAGAAGCCAATTTTCTATCTACTTCCATATCCAGTGCTGGAAGCTTCCACAACCCGTACACAAACAGCATAAATTATAGGGAGAGATACCTAACAGATCAGAGGGTTAGTGAGTGGAGCTTTGTACCGATCTAACATTTATAATCCTTGAGGAGGTGTACGTCCTCCACTCGCGGCAGATGTTAACCCCCAAAAGCAGCTCGAGGGTCTAGACGCCTTCGCTCGCCGCCGTCCCGCACACCACGTCGTCGCTCGTCTTTTTTTTTTTTGTTCCCCTCCTCCTCCTCCTCCTCCTCGTCGTTGCGAGCCAGGCTCCATCTTCCAAGCTCCCTGCTACTATTCCCAACCAAGCAAAACCATCGTCCATAGTAGACATCCAGATCGTAGCAGCCCCGACACCACACACGCTTTTGCTCGCAAACCTCTGTCGCTCGCTCGCTTCCTTCCACCCCTGCTACCGAGCCCTTCCTTGTAAGTTAATTGCAGTCATGTCTCTCCTCCACATGCCAGCCCGTCCCAATTCGGCTCCATGCCGGTCGGTGCACGCGCGCGCGCGCGCACGCCCACAAGGACAAGCCTGAGGGTGAGAGGGCCCTTGACTCTGAGCCTTGAAGATTAGGAAACAAGGTCTGGCAGCTTGCTCAGGTTCTGTCCTTGGACCCCTGCCCTCGTGCGCCTCTGACCGCCCTGCTGGATCCTTAGTGTCGTCGTGACATTTCCTTTTCCTCACTCGCCCACGCTTTGCTTGGCACCCGACAGCTGTGTGATGGCTTCAGAAGTCTACCAGAAGCTTACCTCTTCTGAACCTTAGTCAGGTCGACATATTTTTTTTTTTTCGTGTTGCTACCTACCTAGCTACAAACCAGACGCGCATAATCCGCTCCCGAACGGACTACACTACATACTCAGCCCCCCCTCTTCGACCACCACTGCCGCGATATCGTTGTCAACCCGGCACCGACCCTACCCCCTCGGCGTCTCCACGTTTGGAATATTATATCTCTCGCTTTGCATACTACTGAAGCTACTGATCTAGGTCCGCTTCTGCGCAACACTATCGTCATCTGCCTGGCTATACATATAGAGCTTCAACGGCCGCTCTCTGCCCCGAGACATCCTATCATCCTCTGCGCCTCATACATCATCTCTCACCGAAACCGACAATCATTCCTTGACGCGCCTGCTGGCCGTTTTGCTGGCTGCTCAGCCTGATCATCAGTCATCTTAATCGAGTGTCATCGTCGTCGTCGTTATCGACTTATCCATCAAACATGTCGGGTTATGGTTATTCTCATGGCGGATATGGAGCACCCCAGCCTCAGTACCAGAACAACTACTATAACGGGTACACGATCATTCTAAACACATCCCTCAAAAGCATTGCCAGTGGCCAACGATAGCTAACTCGTCCCTTCAGTACTCCTCAGAGCTACGGCGCCTACCCCCAAGGCCAACCCTACTATAACCAAGGCCACCCGCCACCACAACAACCGCAATATGCCTACCACCAGGTGAGCTTCGACTTTGATTGGACGCAATGGGCGAGGCCACTCACTGACACCAAATAGGGGCCACCACAACAGCAGCAGCAGCAGCAACAGCAGCCACAACATGGCGGATACAATAATGCATATGGGAGACCTCGTACGTACTTGTTTTTTTCGTACCAGCCGGTATATCGCGGCTAACGAGCAACCTCAGCCATGCCCACGGTGAATTCCAATTCTTACAATCATGGCAACCATGCCGCGCCACCACCGCCGCCTACGGGCCCTCAGTCCTTCGGCCATGGTGCTCCGACGAATTATGCCTTTCAGTATAGTGCCTGTACCGGCAGAAGGAAAGCCCTGCTAGTGGGCATCAACTACTTTGGTCAACGCGGTCAGCTCAGAGGTTGCATCAACGACGTGAGGAATATGTCGTCATATCTGAACCAGCATTTTGGCTACAAGCGTGAAGACATGGTCATTCTCACTGATGATCAACACAACCCAATGAGTCAGCCGACGAAACAGAATATCCTCCGCGCCATGCATTGGCTTGTCAAGGATGCAAGGCCCAATGATTCGCTCTTCTTCCATTATTCAGGTACGCTACTTTGTGCAATATGTGCACAAGCCGATACCTTGACGCACTGTGACTGACTTGTTGGCGTTCTAGGCCACGGAGGTCAAACGAAAGATCTGGACGGTGATGAAGCGGATGGATACGATGAAGTCATCTACCCCGTGGATTTCCGCGCCGTTGGCCACATCACCGACGATGAGATGCACAGAATCATGGTCAAGCCATTGATGAGTGGTGTCCGTCTCACGGCCATCTTTGACTCGTGCCACTCGGGCACTGCATTGGATCTGCCTTACATATACTCGACACAAGGCATGCTCAAGGAGCCCAACCTGGCCAAGGAAGCTGGTCAGGGTCTCCTTGGCGTCATTTCTTCATACAGCCAGGGCGATATCGCTGGCGTCGCCAAAAACGTCATGGGCTTCTTCAAAAAGGCCACCAATGGCGAAACTGCCCATAACCGGGCCATGGCAACAAAAACATCTGCTGCAGATGTTATTATGCTTTCCGGCAGCAGGGATGACCAGACCTCGTTCGTATACCCTTCCATGATGTCTTTCTCCTCTTGATACCCCGCCAAATTTCTTGTGTTCTTCTTCATATCTCTCTCTATCTCTCTATATACACCCCTGCAGGCCGCTGGTGCAACATGTATGCCGATGTCTGCTGTAAAGACTCGGCTGGTCGCTAAAAGCGTGTTTTTGGCGTTTCGAGGGAAAATTTGTGTTTTGAGCCATGGCGTTGGTGGCATATGCTTCAATGGTTCTTGAAGCAATTGGCTTGGGAAAACTAGTGCAACTTAAGTTTTAGATTATTTATTATTTTTGGACGCCCTAGGCCAAAGTACAACCTTGAACGGTTGTGACTTTGCGTCTAGGGCGACGAGTCACGTTGGGCGGACCAGTCAAGGCGCGCAAAGAGGGTTTCTGCCGCCTACCTACCACCTACACACACGAGTCATCCACTACAAAGGTCGTACGATCACTAACACGTGTCTCTCACAGTGCCGACGCTACAATTGCTTCTCAAGCAACCGGGGCCATGTCGTGGGCCTTTATCACGGCTTTGAAGAAGAGGCCACAACAGAGTTATGTGCAGCTTTTGAACAGCATCAGAGATGAGCTGGCCACACGCTATACTCAGAAGCCACAGCTCTCATGTAGCCACCCCCTCAGTCAGTCTCACCACCTGGCATCGGGAAATATGCCTGTCATACAGGTAGAGCGCATTATTTGACAAGGCTTTGTTATACTAACTGTACATGACTGACGATAGACACGGATCTACTTTTTGTAATGTGATCATGACTCAAAGAGTAGACAGTCAATTTAGCGAGATGTCCCAAGGCGGCTTGGCGCCGGCATGAAAAGGGCGAATACATTGTCCCATGAGACTGGATGTCGTTTGTGCATATACTATACGCACCAGGAGAAAACAATCCCGGGGCTTTATGGGAAAATCCTGCTTGCCACTCACATGGGTCGCAACGGAGCATCAGAATATCACCGGAGTTGACAATTAGGGTTTGTTATTGAAAAGCGTTGTATTTTTCCGTCGGAATGGGGTCGGCAAGGCGTTGTAATTATTGCATAGACCCTTTCCTGCAAGACTAGGCAGACTTGTACATGTAGGAGGGTAATTTGATTTAGGTGCGTGGCTATCATTAGATGTCCGCACTGAATGTTGACTCGGTCCATTAAGATCCACGAGATTGAATTGAGAAGATACAATCTGGAAATGCGCAAGAGTCAATTTGCCGCTCCACCCTCGTCCATGTCATCATTATCATGAACCCAACAAATCAGCCGTGGCAATCTCTCATTTCAGTCACTTGCATGAGTGCAAGGATGCTCAAATGCGTTGAGGTCCCTACTGAGTCTTTACATCACTGTCGACTTTGCGCATCATCCAGGCGTTCAAGCCCCACAGCAGCCTCAGCGCTTCGAGCCTGTCCTCTGCGAGGAAGAGGTCAAACCATTTACTCCGCCAGACTTGGAGCTCACCCCAGCTCTTATCATGGCCTGTCTCGTCTTCCTCCTCTTCCTCCTCCTCCTCCTCCTCCTCCTTCTTCTTCTCTTCCCTCTGCTCCCCTTCCCCTTCGGGCGCTCCAGCAAGAACATCCAAAATGCGCAGGGGCACGCGGACCCTAATGACGGAAATATGGTGGAAAAGGCTGCTAATGACAAAGACGTCATCGTAATCGGCACCGGGTACTTTGCCAATGGCACTGTACCGCGCCTTTTTATCCCAAGTCGCTGCCGGGAGCTTCACCTGACGGTAGTTGTCGTAGATGCTTAAATGACCAGTCTTGCGCTGCTTCTTGGCGGCCGGCGGGCCGCGCATGGGCAACCCCGAGGACGGCGAGATGGGGTGCGGCGGAGATCGCGGGCGCTCCTTTGATGTCTCGGACGAGTGTGCCCCGCCGCCATTCCCCTCATGGGCGGTATCTGGTTTCTCTGATTTCATCGGATTGGAAGCGGCATTGGTTTCCTTGTCTTTGTCGCCTGCCACGCTGCCCTCGACTTCCCGGCCTATAGGACCTCCTGGACCGCCTCCCCAGCGCTTTGCATGCGCCCACCACTTTCCCTCTCCAAAGCGCTTTTCTTCCTTGCCCTCGCGAGAGCGGTGCTGGGCTGTGATCAGCGCAGCGATGAGCTCGCGGCCAAAGTCGATGTTGTTCTCGGCAGGCGACGAGAAGCTCGTCGTGTTGCGCGCCGAGACAGCAGCAATCGGTCCCTCGACAATTCCAGCCCTGGCTGCTTCGCGCGTCGTGGGCATGCGAACCAGAAACACACATCCCGAAGGAAAGTAGGAGGCGACCTGTTTGCGCGGCTGTTGCTGCTCCTGGTTTTTGGGTGTAGATGAGGTGATTGTTTTTGACAAAGGGCTCGGTGTAAGCAGCTGTAATCTCGGTTCGGTCCGGGGTGCCGAGATATTGCAGCCAAAGTCGTAAGACACGAGCTTGAGAAAAGCACTTATCACATGGTGTCTCACTTCTGCAGGCATAGTGTTCCCACTCGATGTCCGATACGTAACACGCCAGGACGATTGATCTTGAGAACTACTGGGCTCAGAACGTGAATGGGACTCTGGAGCAGACATGGCGCCCATTAACGAGACCTGTACCTGCTCTAAACTGGCGTCCAATGGCTTTGGTAGAGGGAAACGCTGCGGGGGTTTGCTGTCCTCGGGCTGGTCCTGCTCATTTTCATGCTGCTGCTGCTGCTGCTGCTGCTGCTGCATGGGCGGTAGTGATGAGTCATCCCAGTACCCAGCCATCTGCTCGAGTTGTCGGTAGAACTCATAGCAGTTGCCAAGTCTTGCTGCTTTGACACCCGGCTCAGGTCGGATGCGGCGAACTGTTCGGAAAGCGGCCTGGTTCTCTATTGAAAGCTCATCCCGCCTCTCTAGATAGGCTCTTGCCTCTGGAGACGTGTTGCCATTGCACAGGGGAAAGCAAAATCCAATATTTCCCTCTACAGATTGGCCCGTCTTGAGCCTCTCACATTCTCCTGATGTGGGAGGGAGAAATGATGGGTCGGATAGGACCTCCTCGGCTGGAGCGTCAGAATGCAGACGAAGTCCCAAGGCTTCAAAATGTGCCTCACTCAGTCCTGCCGGTCGATGCAATGACTGCAAGAACCGGACCAAAGACGGATGTCGCGTGGCAGATCCCGGAGCTGGTGGAGTGAAGTCCGGGAGCTGTACAGGAGTTGCCGGGGGTACATCCTTGGGTGGTGGACCAATAGTTGCTGGTTGCACTGCCGAAGTATGTAAGATGATGCCAGAAGAAGCAAAGTGGTGGTAGAATACGGCTGGGTATGGGGGAGAATAGTATGAAGCATGATTTGAGAGGCGTACGAGTCAGCGCCCGCGATGTCTCTTCCATGCTCCCTCCTTGCCTATAGATGGAGGATAGGAGCCGGCTTCCACTCGCACCTTTTCTGCCAAGATGATCGGCCGGCGCGGGTTCCAGACAAGACTCCGCCGGACATCATACTTCGGGGAGCGTGGACCCGCATGAAATATATCGTCGACGTGCTTGTAGATCATGCAGCCGGTCTTTGACCCCATCATACATGGATTATGCGTAGCGAAGCGGCCGGCAAAGATGGAGAGATCCATATGCCAAAGCGAGATGGAGCAGAATATACATGTATTCTAGTGCCGAGCAACCTTCCCCTATCATGATTGCACTTGCATGATGATGAGTAGAAGTAGTAATTATTTGCTTTCTCGACCCGGCACGGTGATTACGAGATGCATCCGGCTAGCAACGCGAAACAACGCCAACAAACCGCCTACATGTCTCGTTCGATTCCCCCCCAAAACCAGACTTGGGTAGGTAATAGTAGGGTAAGGTAGGCTTATGCATAAAAAAAAAAAACGATAGAAGATGAATGACTTACGCAAATTGGCGAGTCCACCAAACATGGCGGCGAGTGAGAGTTAATAGAGATGCTGGGAGGGTCGGTCAAGTAATTGTGCCGCCACATTCACGACGGACCGTCTCCTGGTCACGATGGGAGGTTTTAGGTAGTATGGGATGTACTACAGATAGGTACAGAGGTACTGCCGCCTCTGACGGGTGGGAATATAATCAGTTAGTCACCGACTAGTCAGGCCTGTCTCATTACGGAAGTGTGTGTATGTGTGTGTGCCTGTAAGTGTGTCTCGGCCCAGAAGAGGTGACAATGCTAGAAGGGGCGGGTACGGATACAGGGTGAAGCCAGTGCTGTTGTCCCTGGGTTCTGATGCGAATGACGACGAGTCGGGGGGGCGGAGAAAGGGCGTAGTGGTGTTTCTCAAAGATTGAACGAAACAAGAGACTGGGAAGAAGATGTCAGAAAGGCCCCCAATAGGAGTATTATCCGAGGTCAAGGATAGGAACAGGTGCGAAACTGCTGGTGCGCGTCGTGGTGGTGGTGCTACTGTACCTTCGAAGGAGGGGCTTTTCTACCATTACCTTGATACCTACATTAGGTTAGGGGACAAGTGACAGGGACTTGGAAGCTGGAGACAGCTTACGGCCAGAGATACTTTTTGACTACAGTAACAGATGGACAGATGGACAGGCAATGTCATAAACAGGAGGACAAATGGGAAGAGGGAAAAGAAAAAGAGATAATCAGAACAGGTTCGTCGACTGATACCTGAGGTGGACAGAGAAGATGGTAGGATGGGATTCTGGTAACATTCTAGTTGGCCGCCGTTCCGTAGACTCTCATCAGCCTCTAGGTTAGTAGAATCACAATGTACGTATGAGCTACAATGAATGCATTTACTACATACACTACGTATGTACATTGAACTTTGGTGGTCCCGATCCACCCCTTTAGGAGAAATCTGGGGAAAGCAAGGAAAAGGGACTGACCAGCGAATTACTTCATTCTTTTCTCTCCTTCTCCCCCCTCTCCGTGACCCTCTCTCTGTGTGCTCTTCTTCCAATTGCAGCTGCATAATAGTAACAATATTTATTCGTCACCGCGGCCCGTGCGTATTTCGCCCAAATCATCTCTAGTCCGGTTTGGGGGTCCCCTAAACTGATGCATTGGGGATTATCGCAGCAGCCAATTCTCTCCTCCTACATAAACCTGGCTATTCTAGCCCAAGCCAGTATTCCGTACAAATCGACAGCTTCAACATGGTACAGACCTGAGAGATTCATCTTCGGGACATGATAAGAGCAACAACACACGACAATCTGCTCAAGTAAGATTTACTATACAGCGCTCGTAGCAGTTTCAAGACCAAGCAAGTTTCCCGTGGCCCCCCCCAAAAGGTAACGGACCTTTCCAAGGATTGTTTGATGGGCCGGAGATCTCGCAAGAGAAACAAACATTCGGTGGCTCTGTATGATCGGGAACCCCCTTGGCCGGCTCAAGGTCGCCATTTAAGCTTGATTCCGGGATCGACGTGTGTTCCCACCTCACTACTATGTACATACTTCCCTTGAGCGAATGAGCGACTGAGTGAGTGAGTGAGTTGCCGATTGTCGCGTCACAGCCTGCTAAAGATGACACCTCCCAATGATCCCAATGATGGAGCCTTGCAACGACTCTCTCTCTCTCCACAAGACAACGTCTCGGATGTCTACACCAGATAGAAAGTCGATTTCCTCGGTAGTTCCGAGGTCTATCCCAGCATTTCCCAGCCTTGCCAATCGCTTTGTCACCTTTTGGACTATATGGGGGCTTGTATGGGTAACAGCACAGACTCAACCTGTCAATCTGAGTGACTAGCTGCTCTGGCCATTTCTAGAGACAGCTTCTTTCACACAAACACCAGATTTTAGATGCAAGTATCGTCTGAATTAGTCTGATACTTGGGACCAGGATTGCTACAACAGCCAGTGCTCTTTTTGTGTGCTTGAATATTACGGTACATGCCGACCGCCGACGCCCCCCCAAAGTAGCTACTAACATCAGTGCCTGCCTGTTCGAGCTTCTTTTGCTAGCAGGGACCTCGCTGAGACTGAAGGCCTCACAAATCCCATCCCATCGATCTAACCAACAACCTCAAAGTACATACATGTCCTTGCTCTTATTAGCTATTTAGTGAGCTGGATTGAATGCTAACCTAACACTATTGCAATCTCCCCCGCTTGAGATCTACCTACAGAAAACACGGTATCCCGGAATGATCGAGGAAACGCCCAAGCTCCGATGCAGCAACAGTGCTTATTCCACGCTCCCTCCCGCATACATAGAGAAGGAGAGGAAACATGTATAGTCTCCCACCAAGATCAACCGGGAGCGATCGCATCGGCTCCATACTTGATCGCCATAGACTGGAAACGCGCGCTTGAGCGAGTCTGCTCACGGGGCCTCTCTGTGGCCTGCTCATTCAGGGCTAACGCTTCTTGGCCTGCGTCCAAGCTACTCGACCTTGAGGCTGAGGGACTTCGTGCTTCAGATCTGTCGCAGGACAAGGGTTTGCCTACCACATTGCAACCGTCCGCCCCTCACAACCCCGGACACCATTGGCATCACGACTGCGGACTCTACCAATTCTCTAACGCCAGAGGCAAAGCCATGGCCATGACCAGCCAATCCGGCCACCATGTGCGCACCCGTCAAACGAGGCCGGCATGGGCTGGCTTCATGCCACAGCCAGATCTTGCCGACATGATACTGCTGCCATACTGTTATTTTTCTCGGCAACCTGAGAGAACGAACTTCCACCGGTGGGTCAGTCAAACTTCGCTTCACTTGTCATGGTGGAAAATGCTGTCCGTCTTTGTTCCGTTCTACTCACCTACCTAAACTAAACCGACCTACATGATTCAACTCGGACTTTGTCTTTCAGTTTCCGTGTTGCCCTTCTCCGGCTTGGACCATTTGTCTTTCTTGATACAGCCGGTTCCACTTTAGCCGCACTGCTTGGGTTGTTTCTCAGACCCCATCTGTGAATGACCACATTTTCCTTCTCTTCCTCCTCTCTCTCGCAACATATTGTCATCCATGAATCGAATCTAGCTGTGACCGGCCTTACGGCCATCGGTTTTCTTGATTTCTTTGTATTATTCCTTTCGACGTATGCTTGACGCTATACGCAATTTTAAACCTAGCGCGACTGGAATCGCCTTCAACTTGAAGTTACTGGAGCCATGGCGACGAACGGGAATCTTCCATCGGGGGCCTTTATCACAACTCTGTCGGGAAAGAGATGTACGGCGATACCCAAGGCGAAGAACGCGAGTAGTGGTGGAGGAGGCGCTACTTCGACAAGTACCAGTACTACATCGACGTCGACATCATCGTCCTCGTCGTCTTCCTCGTCCTCATCATCATCGTCATCAAGTTCGTCTTCATCATCTACATCGACTTCATCTACTACTTCGACCTCGACCACGGCACAAGCCACAACAACGGAAGCTGCTGCGCCAGCAGTACCGCCAGCAATTGCACCAGTCTTCACAGATACACCTACGACTGCTGCTGCTGCTGTTCCTCCTCCTCAGCAGACCCTGACTAGTGCCACCAGCGCTACCAGTATTGCTCAGATTGGTACGCAAGTTTCGCCGGTTGCACCGATACAGACAACTAGTTCTGTTGCGGTCGCGCCGTTGTCTTCTGTCACGGTTCCTACTACTACACCTGTGGTTGCGATCCCAACAACACCTGAGAGCGAGCTTCAAAGTCAAGCTACTCAAGCTGATAATAATAATGATCTAGCATCCTCAGCATCAGCCGTCGAGACAACGTCAGCCGCGGCGCTCGAGTCTCTAATCGCTCCCGTTGAGTCTTCGGTACTTTCAGAGTCTTCGACAGCGGCGGCAGAATCATCTATAACGGCAGGCAATGCTGCCCTGCTGACAACAATCGGGACTGCCACCAATGCCAATGGAGGACAGGCAAAGGTAACCGAATCGACGACAGCAGGGAGTGCTACATCCGCAGCTGGCAGTACCAACGGAATCAGCACTTCAACGACGGTAGCCGTGGTCGGCGGTGTTGTTGGAGGAGTAGTAGCATTTGCTTTGATAGCATTTCTCGTGTGGTTCTGGCGCAAGAGGATACGCCAAAAGCGCAGAAGCACATTACTTACACCCTTGGGTCCCGAGTCAGGATTCGGCAATGCCAGCGAAAAGGTTCCATATTCCATCAGTCGGGATTCAATTGGGCCAACAGGACTAGCTGAAAAACTGAAGGCTGCTGTTGGTGTCAATGTTCGAAAGTTCCGGGGCCGTTTCGGTGGTGGCCACAGTCCCTCGTCCAGCGTCAATCTGAACAGGGGCAATTCTCAATATCTCGAACGCCCTTCTCACAGCCGGGAGACTTCGGCGGATTTTGGCACTTCCGCTAAGGATCGTCTCCTTGGGTTCTTCGGTCGCTTTAACGACAAAGTGCGCAGTGAGCGCGATGACAATTTGTCGTCGAGCACACGAAATGCAAAGCCAATGGCTGCTCGCTCGAATTCGCAACCAGACTTCCTGACCCTATTGAGCATGGATGACAAACAACTTGCAGCTCAGGCAACTCAAGGTCGCACAAGTATGAGCAACCCGAGACGGTCTCAGAGTGCGGGCTCCAACGAGCACTTCTTGGGCCGCCTGAATCTCGACTTTGATTCAGCAAATCCCTTTTCGGATGATAATGCCATGACGCGCGACTCGGCAAAGGTAGCGCCTCTGACCATCATGAACCCAGATAACCCCTTCTCGGATGCCAACGCTGTACGGCCACCAACGGCGACCAAGCAGGCAGGGCCAGCCACATATGTACAAAACATTCGCCGATCCCGAGGCATGTCTGTTGGCGGTGCCACCACCAGACCTCCCAGCACCAATGCGCCGAGCGTCTGGCGAGAGTCATCAGCTTCTGTCGAATCATTTGCGACACGAAGGAACAAGTTCAGATCAGATCCCTTTGATCTCGACCGGCCAGAACTCTTGTCCTCGTCTGCAGGCTCACAGGTACCAATGCTCCCACGCGACAGTCGAGCTAGCAGCAGCCGTGTCCGAGTGAGCGGCGGCGGCCCCTTGCCGCCACACCCAGCCCATACACGCAACCCCAGCTTGACGAGTAGCAAATACTCGAGCGGCGTTGCCAGTATTGACCAATGGAGTGACCCGGGACCTGATGTAGGCCCGGGAAGCTCGAGATATGACAGCCCAACGCTCACGGGAGGAGAGCGAAAGGTGACGGGTGGTGCTAGGAGAAGCGGTGCCAGCCAAGGCAGCCAAGGGAGTGTCGGCAAGGCATATTAACGAGGCAATGTACGAATGAATTTCATGAAAAACAAGAAAGCCGCCCCAAGAGGCAGCGCTGCAGCTGCATATTGAATGACACTTTACAAACATGTAAAGAGGGTGTGTTGACTGGTGTCGGTAAAGGGGGCGGCTTTATTTTATCTGGGGACTGAGGAGTTGCCCGCGAGCTGTCGTGCTGATGGAAGGTCAGTGGCATCCGGGCCTGAGAACTGGACGAAATAGGTATTCCGCGATTGAGGGGGGGAAACAAAAACACTTGTTTAGTTTGTATTGTTTAGTTAGACACATGGGGGATGCCTAAAGTGCGCCTCGATCTTGTTAGGTTGGCAAGAGAAAGTGGGAGAGCAATGCGGAAAGGAGAGAGAAGGGAAATCAGCACAGAACGAACAAGGACCAAGGAGATGCGGACAAGATGAAGCAACAGGAGAGGGGAAGACAGCTGTGGATGCTTCTAGCTACCACCTCGGCGAGAGGGTAGATTGTACAGAGTACAGGGAAACACAAACATTTTCGAGTGCGAATCCAGACAGATGAAAAATCAAGAATAAAGAGAGAGAGAGAAAAAAAAAAGCTGCCATGAAACCATGCGAATCGCCTTTCCGTGGCTAGTCCTCCCATCGCAACATTACAGTTCACACAAGCTTAGCATGATCTGCACAGAAGGGATGGCTTCGTTTGGAGATTGTTGCTCTTCTAATTGAACTATTAGATCACAAAATCCGACTATAAGAGTCAATGGTTCATGGAGAGATTCCGACTTGTGCTTGTCAGAATGAGACGCGGACCGGCCGAGCAATAGAAGCGGACGTATAATTCGTTTCGGCTCCTTTTAATAGTATACAATTATAAGTTGGACAAGGGTAGAAACGAGTTCCCAGGAATATATTACTAGGGAATGTTTATAAGGCAAACCCTGAGTGGCTTTAAATAGTGTGATTTTATACGTAGATGCAACAGTTCGTATATATATATTCTATATTACGTATTCAGAAAACTGAGCTTCTACCCACCCCTGTCACGTATCTGTTTTTTTCTTTTTCTTGTAAAAATGTTTGTGCTGCCATTCAGCTTTGATGCCTTTCCACAAGTACAACTAGTACAACAACCATCATTGATATCCATGTTTTTGGGTTCAACCTGCTGACAAGATTGAAGCCGTTCCCCCCTCGCGGTCGGCATTGATTGGTCGGATCGTGACATCATCCTAGCTCGTGTGGCTGCATGAAATCCTGACATTGACGGGGTTGGGCGGCGGTTTAATTGGCTGATGCGAACGCGAAACGACGCGTCTACCCCTCGTTTAGTAATTTCGCGCCTCGACACTTGACACGTCCAACCGCGTTAAGTGGCCCACCCTCTCTTCTTTTTTCTGCCTCGTTCATGCGACGGGGACACCTCCAATTGTACCAGACTCGAGAAGCCGACGCTGGGCAAAATGATGAAATCGAATCCTTTGATGGAGATACTCGAGAAAAATCCATACTGTACTATCATACAGGAACAGAGCAGTCCGCGTTCGTTGTAAACAAATGCCGATTCCAAGTAAACATTGGGGCTGCATGCGGAAAAACGCAAAAGTGCAAAAAAAGCAAAATTGCCATACAAGGACATCCAAACGCCGTGACCACATTTGATTTCCATGCATTCGTCCGTCAAACCGTCCATCCTTTGAGCGCCCGCCCTATCAGGCAAAATTGGCTGCCAAAGAAAAGTAAAAAAAAAAAAAAAAAAAATCAAAAAAAAAATCAAGAATCCATCGCAGCGTCCAAACAAGCTGCATGTCCTGGCGGTGACCATCCATTTTGGGTCGTGTAGTGGTATCATCTTCACATGAGGAAATAAAAATCAAATAAGGGAAGGGAGAGGGCCGTAATGTAGTACACCCTCCTCATCTTGCCGAGCTGAGCAGATTTGACATCTGCTGGTCTAAATGGCATGTTGGCTCATAGTCCGTGTAAGGGTTCGTCAAACGTGAGTCGTCTTCTGGCCACGCTGAGAGGTGTCCTGGCCAGGGCCACCGGTGTTTTCCACGGCTTCTGTGCTGGGCTCGGGGTGATGTTGACGAAATCGGAGAGGTCAAATGGTTGCCCAGGGGTGGCAGGGAACAGAAGATTACTGTGTCCCATCCCTCCAGGGGTTCCCATCACCGAAGACGGCAAGCCCAAGTCTCTCCGGGGCGGCGGTGTTGACGGAGGCTCCATTCTAGAATTGTTTCTGACTGCAGGCGAAGGGGACGCTGCTAGATAAAGCAGCAAGTCTGCGCCCTCTTCCTTGCCATCATCCAGTTTCTCCCTGCTGCGGCGTTGTAGCGATCGGGGCCGCATCGGTGGTGTGCTAGGAGGGGAATCGCGGCTGCGGCCAACTTGAAATGAATGTGTGGGAAGCAAGTCATCATCGTCATCGGATGCGGGTGCCGTAAGGTTGGGGGAAGTCAAGTCGGCCGAGACACGGCGGGTGCCCTGGAAAAAGGATACGTCTGGGCCTGTCGAAGTTGTAAAGTGTTGCTGCCTCCGAGGCTTGATCGGTGATGACTGAATCAACTGACGGTGTGTCTTGAGAGAAGACTGTGCCCCAAATGACTTATGTGCCGTTGGTGAGGTTCGGTATCGCTTTGTGGGACTTGACATGACCATATCCATATCAAATGAAGCCATGTATGTTCGCTTGCGGTGGCCGGTGCTGCCATTGCTGGAACCAATGGCATCCGAAAAAAGTGGTGCCTTGAGCGGCGAGCTCATGAGCCCTCTGGTTGGGTATGGCAGCTCGGAAGTGCTGGATGACGAGTCGGACAATATATCTCCATCTTGCAGGCGGTTTCTCCGGACCTCTTCAATCTTGGGTTCGATGTGATCAAGGGTGAGGTCTTCCCAGCCATGCTTAGTCTTGAAATGTGCGAGGGCTAGGCGTCCCTGTAGCTTTCGGGCAATCTGTATATGCAAATATTCCTTTTAGTATCTTGTTTCCTTTTCCCATGAAATGATTGCAGGGCCAGACAAGAGTCGGGAGGTTCAAGTGCTGCTGCCTTACCTTGCTCACTTCGACCCGCTTGAGCACTTTGTCGGCAACGGCCTCGGGATGTGGCTTTAAAGGCGACGACATGCTTCTATATTTCGATTTGGGCATTCTCGCCAGAGTGTGTTTTGGCTCTTTGTAAAAGTAAACCGTATCGACCGAAGAAATTTTCTTTCCTTCTTCCTTTTTTTTTTCTTCAAAGTCCCACGAAGACCGGTCGGTTGCACGGGGAGAGTGGGTTTTTCGTGTGGAGCGATTATGTAGCGGCAGTCTGGCGCCTACCTGCCTATCTCCTAGGTGTAAGCAGAAAAGGGAGGAATCGTTCGAGGGCAGGAGGTTCGTCTTGACTCGAAACCGAATCGTCTGGCGGAGCAAGGTATCTTGACAATGACAAGTCGAGACGACAACAAGGGAGGTAGAGGAAGCAGGGAGCGAAATAAGTTTCGAGTAAAAGTGTATGTGTTGAGAGGACAGTGCTGTTCTGCAGTCGTATGTGGGGGCAGAAAGAGTAGTAGGTAGTGGCAGAAGTTTGTAGGCCAGTAGCCTGTGTCACCCAGAGCTTGTATTTCTTGCAGGGCGTGTATGGCCAGCCAGCTCCCTCTGAAACTGAGCAGCACTCTGGTCAATCGGTAGATTGAATGGTGTGGAGAGACGGGGAATGAATGGATGGTGAGATCAAAGTGGTCAGTCGGTTCTACACTACCTACTACACAGTAGTAGGTCTCTGCCGGGTCGTCTGGGCTGGCTAGGCTGGCTGGCTCTCGCTCCCGGGCTAGCGCATTTCTTACTGGGCAACCAACCAGGGAGGGAATCGAATCGAGGTCTGAAAAAGTGCACTGAGCGTCTACTTAGGTAACCAACGACACATCCATCCCGTCGGACGTTTGACACTCCCTGCAAAAGTTGAACTGCTACTACATTACCTGTGTGCAAAGTAGGGTAGGGTAGCGGAATACCATACATAACCAGCTAATTAATGTAAGTACATGTCGTACACTAAAAAGAAAGAAAGAAAGGCGTTCACCGGGCTGCTATCCACTTTTGAACACTGGGCTGATATCGTGCGCCTGGGATTCGAACCTATTGCGTCTGTACCATGCATCCAGAGATGCAGGGGAGCTCTCCTCGTCCACTAATCATACTGTCGATTGCCTCTGACTGGCCCGATGCCGACCTCCATTTCCAAGCTGGGGGGGTGGACGGGCAGCATGGGGAAGTCGGGGGGCTGGACCTTTGACTTATTCCTCTTCTGCCTCCCAATGGCAGTCTCTTCATCTTACTAGGCTGTTTGATTTTCTTGCACGGCTGCCGCGCATCGCATCTGGGATTGGACTGGGACTCATTAGCTGCCGGCCTTCAACTGTCTGCGCGATATTTCTAGCATTGGATACTACGAAGTGCCGTGGCACCAACTACGGTATGTTAGATCATACATTAATGTAGGCCGGTTACACATCTATTACAAAGGTATTATCTTTCTCATACACAGGCCACCGTTTCCCAGCCGACGACACTGGCCGAAGCTTTTTAGTTTACTTGCCTCGGTGAAATCAAACGGCCATATCTTGGCTTCATAATAGCGGCGTACCGTATCCATGTAGTGTGCGAAGCACAAGAGCACATGTGTGTCCAGAGGTTCTGAAAGAGATTGACGGAAGTGTATGATCCCTTCCATCGACCCTGTTAGCTACTTCTGATGCCCCTCAAACTTGATCATTTCAGCTGCCTCGACCAGTCTCTTGCGCATCAATTATTTTGCTTTTCATGCTGCTTCCATTTAATTCTAATTCCCGCCAGCAAATGAGTCCTGTAATACAGGCGGATTGATGGACAAGAACAGAACACAACGGAGCCGCCTACTCGTCAATGATTCGCCTCTGCCGTTTCATGCCAAGCTGGCGACACTTGTGCTTGCACATTCCTTAATCCCAAGTAGGTTCCTTGTTTCTAATGGCCGTGCAGTATAACGAGCAATTAGTACTGCGTACCTGCATCGGGTCTCTACCTCGAGGATAAGTAGCATGAGGCATAGTTAAACTTCTATGGAAATGCCCATCTTTGTCCACCAGACGATTCGGTGCCATGTACTTCATATACTGCAGCTGCATCCGTCGCTGATGGCTACGAATTGGGAAGTAAATGAAACTACCCGGTCACTAATGAAGTATTCATAACAAACAGAATGGTATACGTGTCTTGCAGCCCAATAGTAATCTGTAGACCTCTAAAGTCGATCAATCGATACCAGTTGAAGCCGTGCGCACAATAATGATTTGCGGTTAGGGCGCGCGCCATGGTACGATCATCGCACATCCTACCGCCAAGCAGGGTTCTTTACATGAGTAACCCTCGAGCTACAAACGTTTGTGCGCAAGGCATTCGATGCTCCTTTGAGATAACGAGCGTTGAATACACATTTAAGATATCTATTCCGTACCTACATGTCAAAGCCATACTCACGTGCTCATTACTGCCACATTCATGCCTCACAAAACACAGCTCATCCTCTGGAGGTGTGGCAAGACCACTGTTTCTAATGACGGTGCCAATGTGCAATTGACTTTGCGGCAGTATTTCAAAATCCAGGGATTCACAGAGCTGGAAGTCGTTCTGGCATCATCTCTCGGCATAGTTCATTGCGATGAACCTCGCCAGTACACACATCCGAATGTTGTTTCAAACAATACAATTTCGACCCCTATCCACGGCAGCAGCCACAAACCGACCCAATTTCTAGGTCAGGCCCTTTTCTGGCAGCACCGGTAGATACATATGTATCATAAGCTACTTTGTAGGTAAGCACCCGAAAATCATTGTCCATTCTTTACGACCCATAAGCCTGCGATGGATCGTAGATAGCCGATGCGGATATGCTGAGGCTGCAACCGACGTCGGGGAATCACGTTGTGGTAAGTCGGTACGAAACGACAACACATTCGTGGCAGGCCTCCAGAGGATCAGTCTGAAAAGACCATTTATCCAGAAAGATCAACATGCAAAACAACACATCCGTGTGGGGGGTGGATGGCATTGGACGGCCACGCAAGAAGAACCAGACCAAAGGACACGCATGAATAGAGAGACGAAAAAAAAGAAAGGACACATGACCAGATTGACGATGCTAACTTCCGACTGTCCGCACTTAGAAAATCTACTGCAGTATACCGCGAATTCCATGAATAGTCACATCTTAAATTTAGGTTAAGCTCTGCTGCTGCGGAAAGCCAATCAGCAGGCCAAAATGGCGACTCGCTCGCGCGTGCACAGCCAGAATAAAAGACGACATATTGCATGGCCATTACTATTACTGTAGACTAGTGAGTATGGCCACGATGTCAACCTGTATCTGCCCTCGAGGAATATTATATGTCTTTTTCATACCAGGCTCTAGCGTCAGACAGATAAGCCGTCTTCCAATGTATGTCATTACCATGACGTGTGCCACGCCGTAAATCGTACATGTATCCATTATCCTACTGACCACCTAGAAGCACCTGCACCGCTAATAACTACCGGTCAACCGGTACGGAATAATATTGCAATCAAGGTTCGCCGTGGATGTTGGGCTGGCTTTGAGTGCCGAGACCACGACCTCAGCCAGAGAGTCTACCTGCATAGTAGTACATCATGTACACACCTCCTAATCTACTTTGGTAATATTATTCTTGCCCTTGGACAAGCATGGGGCACCTAGCTAATAGCACAATTGTTATATATCAGTTCTCGAATGATTCGGTAATATTAGACTGCGGTCCACGTAATAAACCCCTCGAGATGAGCCTCAACGCCCAAGGCAGGGGACGATGCACCCAAACTGCAGTCGACAAACTGTAGTGCGACCCCGTCGGAGATATATAGGAAAATGAAGTGCTCATTAGTTACAGCTGTACATTGATTTGCCTGGCGGATTCCCTTCTATGGATATGTAAATTGTCCCATCAAAGCCCATCCACTTTCCCATGTCTAGCTTCCTTCCGAGGCCCCCCTGCCACACCGTCGATCGCGCCGATTGTTTCGTTAGTGCTATGAAACAGAGCCGATTGGTAGTTGAAATCTTGAAAAACTTTGAGAGAAGGGAGGAAAGGGAGGGAGAAAAAAAAAAAAAAAAAAAAAAGACAACTAAGGCAATGTCGTGATAGTACGGTACTAATGATAGTTCCCAGCGTTTCCGCTGCCAATTGATCTTGATCATGGACCGAACCCCCGGCTCTGTCCGCCCTTTGACGCAACGCTTACACACTTGCAAAGTATGTGCTTCTATGGATGATCCAGGTCATTGATACCAATGGTAGTGGCCAACGTGCAAGTCCACTGGAATTGACCTGAATCCTCCCGTAGATGGATACTTGTAGATAGCATAGGTACGTTGCTGGCAAAAAATCCGCACCCCCTCTTCCTTTGTGTCCCTATGAGGAGCCGCCTGGGATATGAAGGGATCGTCGTCTTGTACAACAAGGACAGATGAACTGTGAGCGTCTAGTGCCACAATTTCATCCATTCACTTACACGCATCGCGGATTCAGCACCAGTGCACAAATCTTACCAAATTTACTGTTGTGTATAGCCTGTCAACGAATATTCCATACCACAAACATCATCAAGGCAGGCCAATTGGTCTTGATGGTAAGCAGAGTTCATGTCCTGATTTTCCTCCTCTTCCTTTTTTCTGGTGCTACCCTCGACGACCAGGATGCTTACAAGTTGGTGTCTGTATGTATGTAGTCACAGCTGCTGATCTATTTCATTCAGCACAGCGCCTACCTCACCTACTAACTACCAGACGTATCTTCTGTCGCTCCTGGCCGTCGGCAGCCCGGCACCTTTCTTTTGCGGTGTCCACGGGTACGAGAGAGTTGCACATCAATCATCAAGAGACGCAGCAAACGTTTCGCCTTGACCCAAACAGCCTGATTTCCCCCCTTGTTCCTGTTTTTCTTTCTCTCCTTCTTGGCTTTTCTCTTTCGGCTTCTTCTGGGGCAGCTTACCGCTTGGAGAGACCCAGTCAATCAAATCCTGTAGTGTAGACTGTCTCTCCTTCATCGCTTGCTCATCCTTCTTTCTCTTCATTCCCTCTCCCCTGGTCTGGTTGGGTCTACACTGCCCTGGTTTGTCGTTTTCCTTCCGCTGCTAGTGCTGTAGGTAGCCAAGGACCCGTGCCAGGAACTGGCTTCTAAGCTGACGGGGCCGATTAGAGACTGTCGTTTCCGCCGACCGGCCCTTTACCACCCCCTGGTTCCTGTCCCATATCAAACGAGGGAGCCCAAATAGTAGTGCATTTTCCCACCTAGTCTGCAAGGAATTCGTACTCGGTACCCGCTCAGGCTCCAGCACTGAGGCACAATACGAAGGTAGCAAGTAGACGTCATCGCCCCGATCGTATCCCGCCCAGGGTAGCTGTGAGAGCTCTTTCGAGGGTTGCACCACATCAGAACCGCCGAACGCTGCGACCTTGATTCTTGCTGCTTCTGCTGCAGCAGCAGCAGCAGCGGACCCCCCATCACCTCCATCCACCCACTCATCCCAAATACCCCTGCCCTGCCTTCTTTTCTGCAGCCCAGCGGCTGGAGAGGCAGGCAGTGTTAAAACCACCACCACAAGAATACGGATCTGCTTCGTGTACGTAGTAGTACCTACAGTGTCTACCTGCCCTTCCTACATCCATCCACTGTCCACCTACATCCCGGGCGCTGGTTCAACCAAGGAGGGCCGAGCAGAAGAAGCCCGCCAGCCTGGCCGCCCGCCCAGTCGAGTTGCAGATCCAGTATCGCATATACGGCCGACAAACTCTCCTAACCTCGTCTTTAGTCGCCTCGGTCGTCTCGAGAACCAGCAGCCAGATCATCCATCTTTCATTGCACTTGAGGCTATCTATTGCCCTGCAACAGCGCCCGCGCTCGACGCCGTTCTTCTTGGATTGGCGGCTCGCCGAGACGACTAGTCTAGTGCAGCCATTAAAGAGTGAGGGAAGGGATTCGAGGTGCAAGGACCTGAAGGCATATGCTTCCCGCTAGAAACAAGGTCAAGCTCCAAAGCTCCACCGAATCACCGATCCATTGATACTGGATACATACTGGACCCTCCCTACACTATCCACCCGGTTTTCAAAGCCCACCGCAATCAAGTCGACCGTCAAGAAACTGGTTGAGCTAGGATAGGGACAAATTATCTCTACGCGTCCTGCCATTTCTCAAAATCGCTGCCGTACCCCCTTCTTTCAATTCCTCACAGACGGGCCAACAAAAGAGGGAAGAAGGAAAAAAGTCAACACTTGTCAACTTTCCCCCCCCCAAAGCACCAACTTTCGCACTTTGTGTGCCTGAGTGTTGTACAAGACCGTATACGCGGAACGGCCGAGTCCTTTACCTTGCCTCTCGCAGACGCTAAATCGCAATTGATCTGATTGCACATACACCCCTCTTAACCAACCAAAAGCGCCTCCCGCCACGTCCCGCAGTGTCGATCTTGAGTGCTTGCACCAGTGCCAGCTCGGCAGCAGCAGCAGCAGCAGCAGAAGAGCACCTCGATAGGCCGTGACCAAAACTTACTCGATTAGTCGCTTGTTAAATATAAGAAAGGGGAGAGCATAAAAAAACACCACAGCGCATCTCGACTTGCTAGTTCGCTTTTCGAAAGCTTCTCACGAATTTTAGACTTCTGGACAGCTTTTCGAAGGCGGTTGAGCAGCTATGGCGCCGTCATTCCTGAACTTTAAGGAACTTCGCCGACGGTCGCGGGCCAGCTTCAAAACGGAGCGATCCAACACTGATAATTCGAGTAACGACAACGACGACGGCAGCCATGACACAGCGCCAACAACTGGTACCGTCACACCAGCTTCGCTTGCCACGCAGTCGGACTTGGCCTTGAATTTGCAAGTCAAAGACTCGGTGGCTCCTCCACTGCCAGGCCCTCAGAGCAGACCACCGCTGCAAACGCAACCAAACAAGCGTTTTAGCGTCTCTGGCATGACTGGACTGGGCTCTCCGGTAATGAATGGCACAAATAAGTCTTTCGCAGTATCCCACTATGCTCCGCGCATCACCAATGTGACAGAGAACTGCTGGGTAAGTGGCATGCTATAATGACATTCCCTTTCTGACTGGCTTCATTTGTTCCAACCACTCCTTGACAATCTCGCCCTACTGCCGCGCAATCTGCGCCCTGGTGCTCGCACATGAGTAGACATGCTAATGGACATTTCTAGGTCTCGCAAAAAGTGCTCTTAGTGAACGGCACAATTGGTGATCCAACACACAATACCTTGGACGGAACGGTGACGGTATCTCGGCTCGACGACGGGTTCCCCCCAACTTTCTGGCCAGTGTACGAGTCGCACTTCAAGACATTAGTATACCTGACGCCGGGCGCAAACAGGTTGCGCTTCGACTTCAACAGCCCGAAGCTGAGCAACTCTGGCTCTTCCAATCCCATCCACAGCTCCTATCTTACAGTACACATGGTCCCTCCCATGAACTCGCCCCCATTGCAACTTGCAATCCTTGTCGCCAAGGACTCTCCAGCAACCTTCGATGCTGTGCCAGCACGAGCGGAAAAGGAAGGCAATGGACTGGAAACCGCGATTCGCAAGTTCCGCACAGCTGCATACTTGTGGCAGGCATTCACTGCAGAACAAATGTCAAGAAACAAGTTTGGTCGTCGTGTGTTCCGCTTTGAGGAGGAGTGGACGACGGGAACGACCAACCAGAGGGATCTGGAAATGGGCACCATGCGCTCGGAAGCGCGTATTCATGTCATCCGGACCGACAGGACAGTGGCCGAAATTCGAGACCTCGAAAGAGCCCAGCAGAACCCAAAGGCGACCAAAAAGGGTGAGCTGTACGACATTGCTGCCGAAGCCGTGAAGAACTATTTCAAACCTCTGCCTGGCCAAAAACAGTATGTCTCAGTGTTGATCCTGGATGCTCATTGGGACACGACTTCCAAGACGGTTGTCGGCCATGCAGCACTAGGCGGCAACGCTGGAGACCTGCAACTGGCCATTTTTGGATCGCACTGCCTGCAGAGCTACCCGACTACTTTTGAAGAAGTCGTGCCTGCTTTCACAGATTGCACACCAACGGACATTAATCATGTTGCCAATGATTGCAACGAGGCCGGAAGTTCATGGGAGGCGGCGAACATTGGCATTGGTGCACACTTGCACGAGACAGGCCACTTGTTTGGCTGCCCCCATCAGGAGAATGGTGTGATGCTCCGAGACTACGTCCGGTTGAATCGGACATTTGTGACACGTGAGGCCTACAGCACGCGGACCAAGTCGAAAGGCGGTTTGGTCCTACAATCGGATGAATGTACTTGGCATAGGCTGGATTGTCTACGGTTCAGGAGCCACCCCTGTTTCAGGGCGCCTAATGACCCAGTGCTCAATGTCGACGACAGCGTTACGGCATGGCCCGTAGATGATGGCAAGGTCTTGATCGCTGCGGCGACCGGAGTCGCCTATTGCGAGCTCTATCCAGAGGGCGACGACGTTTGCCACACGTGGATTGAGTATCCTGCAGAAAATGGCGGAGTGCAGCGAAATGTGACGCTTACCGAAAAGGAGCTGAGGGAGCGACTGCCCGAGGATAAACGCGACAAAAAGCTGAAGGTGTCGTTCAAGTCGTACGGCGGCGGTTCTCTCGATATTGAAGATTTTCATGTCCTGTGTTCCAAGGCGTCGTCATTGAAGCTGTCATTTGGCATCGGTCCTCTCGCCAAGATGGCCTTCCGCGGTAGCAAGCTAGGAATGTCTCAGATGGAGGGTAGCGAACCGCAAGAATTCATCTTCAGCAGCGCAAAGGAATCGAACCGTGTGCTCTCCAAGATTGTCTTCTATCACGGCTATGCCCTTGACGGCATGGAGTTTTTCTACGACGATGACTCTAGCCAGTTATTTGGCAAACGTGGAGGCAAGGCGGGCGGAGACTCATTCGACATGAGTATGTTTCCATGATCCCTCACACCATGCCCTTTTTTTTTTAATGATTTTGCTAATCGTAATGATCCCCTCGCAGACATTCGCCGTGGAGAATACATCACAGGCTTTGTAGTGCGCTCTGGCTTTTGGATTGATGCCATTCAGGTTTTGACGAGCACGGGAAGAAAGTCGCCCATGTATGGCAATGCCCATGGTGGATCCCAGTAAGTTTCCCCAAAGCCGCCTCTTAGGTTGAGGACGAAGTGTGAACTAATATTTACTTGTTATAGACGTACATTATTGCCTCCTCGGGGCTACACGGTCTGTGGAGTTTCTGGATCCTGCGGCAACTGGGTTGACGGTTTCTCAGTTATCATCACTCGATGGTAAACGAATCACCACAACGTCGTGTACAATTGTACCAAGCGTTTTTTCTTTTTCTTTTTTACATCACTTTTGCGGGCAACATGCCTCTTGGTGTTGCTCATTCATTGCCTTTTCCAGACCTGACCCAGGAGGGGGAAAGGATGTCGTAGGGCGGCTCGTGGTCATAATACCCATTTTGTTTTGTTTTGTCTTTTCTTCACTGTCAGCCGATGGACGGCGCACTTCCATTTGCTTCAGTCTGGTTTCTCCCTCTCCGGACATACCAGGGGTACCGGCTCGCATCAGGATGTCAACTCATCCGCTAGCCTGTAAAATCGCCATGGCGCCAAACATTGAAATACTTGGACCACGGGTCTACATATCAAGGATATACAATAGACAGGATCATAGGAAAGAGTCATGGGGTTGGGCGTAATGTTGTTATTACCGCTATACAATAATGCACACGAACATAGAGGTGTCTTCAGGGGCGTCATTGGCGGAGAACTGTTCTGCACGAGAGACTCAAAAGGTAGGCTCGATAATCAGCAGTTAGTTGTCGAAAGAAAATTCCCAAGAGGGGATGCATTTTGCATACATTTGTGTGTCGTGAATTACAACGAGAGAATGGCTTGCATAGGACGACAACAACTGTTTACAATGCAATATTTTCATGGGATGAGATGACCCAAAACAAACAAGAGAGGAGCAATATAATCCTAATGATTGTGTCCCCCCAAGCACACCACCTGGATACTGCGTATAGCTAGCTGTACCTATCGACAGGTATTACATAGCGAGTGCAGTACGTAGTACATAGGTTCCCCGATATTAAGATCTAATGCAGTCAGCTCAATATCTATTCGGCAATCTGGCGATCTTCAAGATTGATTTGCTAGGATTAAGGATTGCCAGTGTCTACTAGTTGATCTGTATCTTCAAGTCTTGTGTGCTTTGTGTAGGACCAGATTCTATTCCGTACTACTACCATGTATCGATCGAAAACCACATGCATGCATAGTGACAAGCGAGTTACGTACAACAGCACTTGAGAGTGGAGTCGGCGGGCTGAGACCAGATCAAGCCAAACATGGCTTAGCGGAGGGCACAAATGACGGCATCAACTTGAGTCTTGGTGACCTCACATAGGCGCTGGCAGACTGGGCAGGTACCTACGGCACTCAGTGATTGACTGGCTAATAAAATTGACTGCGCGTTTGATTGGCATGGAATAAGCCAAGGAAGGTCAAGCAAGTCGTGGACGTGTGACGTGGGTACCTGGCTTTTTTTTTCTTCTTTTCCTCTCCCTCCATCCCATGGCTGCACTGCCGAATTGAATTACTGGGACTGAGCCCAAGGCCAAGCCAAAAACCAAAGTGTTGGCGGAATATGTATATGTAATTGCTTTTTCCTTTTCAATTTCTCAGCTTCATAAGGAATTAAATCAAATCGTGACTCCTTCATTGACTTGTTTGTCTTTTCTCTGGAAATTCAAATATATAATTTCTATCATTTCTCTCAAACTCTTGTCCGTCTATTTACTGTCTGAGGAGAATCCAAGGACGCAAAGTCGCAGCTCTCTGCCTTGGTCGACTCACCAACGAAGACGGCACTTCGCAATTTTAACGTACCTTACCTAGGTACCTTTAGTTCTGTCGCGGGAGCACCAGTGACTTAATCAGACTTAATCAAACTTGATTGACTGACGCAAAAGACGGTGTGCTGGTTTGGTTTCTACTACGGAAACTTTGGCAATTTGGACTTGCGCAACCTTTCTTTCAATCGACAACCTCGAAACAAGAAGAACTACTCCTACTACTACTACTACTACTACTACTACTACTACTACTACTACTACCACCACTACCCACAACACTGCAAGATCACGACACCTCTACCTTTTCCAGCATCCCTCTCTCTGTCTCTGTCTCTGTCTCTGCAAACATGTCCAAGAGAACGAGCGCTGGCAATGGAGCCGTCTCCAAGCAGGCTGGCGAGGTCGCAACCGGTTAGTCGTTCCTCTCGTGTCTTTTCCCCTTCTTCCATATATCGCGTCCGGAGATCATACGCATGAAATCACAACAACAACAACAACGACTGACAATATGCCTTGCTATACAGAACTTTCCCACGATAGACAGAAGGATCTTCTGAGCTCTGCTACCGGCCACTTTTCGCTCGTCAGAGCTCTGCACATGGCCGATTACATCACAGAGATGAATGGTATGGCGAAAACTGCTTCCTTGCTCCAAGACCGCCCCCACCCTCCGTGGTCTCTCTCTGCCTTTGCTGCTGCACCTCATTTGTAGAGAATATGTGCTAATAAGAGCGCGTCTCTTCACAGGTTTCTGCGGTGTCATGTCCGTCTTCTCCTCCCTCCGCTACTGTCTCGGTGACCCGACCGACAAGCACAATCTCTACCTCGCCTTGGCATTCTTGCCCTTTGGATTGTTCTTTGACTTCATGGACGGGCGCGTTGCAAGATGGCGCAAGAAGAGCAGCATGATGGGACAGGAGCTTGATTCCCTTGCTGACCTGGTATGTCCCCAATTGCCCCCCTACCCCCCTTGAGGTTTCAGACGCGTCAATGGCGACTTGAGACTATCTCTTGCTGTTACAGTAAGATGGCTGACATGCTCTCAACAGATCTCCTTCGGCCTTGCCCCGGCCTGTGTCGCTTTCTCGCTCGGCCTGCGCACGACGCTGGACCACGTCTTCCTGGCCTTCTTTGTGCTCTGCGGACTGACCCGTCTCGCCCGCTTCAACGTGACCGTGGCCAATATCCCGCACGACGCATCCGGCAAATCGAACTACTTTGAGGGTACCCCCATCCCCACCACACTGGGCCTCGACGCGATGATGGCGTACTGGGTGTCGCAAGACTGGATCTTGGATCAGGTGCCATTCGGTGTGTGGTTCCAGGGCACCGCTTTCGAGGTGCACCCCATCGTCGCACTGTTCGTCGTACACGGCAGCCTGATGATCTCCAAGACTCTTCATGTGCCCAAGCCCTAAGTTCGGTCAAGGCAATCGTGGAGGGGTGCGCAGCCGTGTGGGATATATTCCAGGGGTTCTAGGCTCCTGCAAGGATGAAAACCAGAAACTACAGAATAATTTGCGCCATGGAGCATACCTTGTTATTTCCGGTTTTCGTAGAGCATGAGTTGTCACGAACAGCAAGGCATATTCATGACATGGCAAAGGGCTTTCGGTTGCATAATGACTTACTCGACAATGTCAGCTTATAGAACGAAACGATGATGAAATACGATGTCCCATCTTCCCCCGGGCTTGTTCCTCAACTCGTTCACAATATCTCATGTGCTGTCTCAATTCTACACCAACCAGTATCAAGAGGCGTGGACAACAGCTAGGCTACCTTGCATTTCTTGATTTAAACCGAGATGTAAGTCGTTGTCGATATATTGGTTTAAGTTTTCTTTTTCTTTTTCTTTTTTTTTTTCCGTGAAGATTGTAGTAATAATGAATGACGCTACATGCGAGCTGGTCTCTTTGGAAAAGGGAAAGACACTGGCAACGCACATATGCAATCCATCTATCAGTCCAAGGGGGGCCTTGGTGCTTGGCTTCCGACATGTTCACCACGAGGTGTACAGTACGGCTCAGATAATGAGAATGCTAGCCATGGCTTGGCGACGGGATTTGGCCGGTATCAATTTGTTCCTCGGAAATTGGAAACTCATGGATCTCTGTGAGCATGAGTTACATCAAGAAATGGGGCATAAAACAGTCAAGACATCCCTGCCATGTCATTTCTTTCTTTTTTATTTGTCTAGACAAGATCCGCTCGCTATAAGCTCTATCTAGTCAAGGCTTGATGCATGTATAGTATCATTGCAGAAAACACGAGTGGCACTGCTGATTTAGGCCTTTGCTTCCTCTGTAGCCTCCTCCTTGGCAGCCGGCTTGACAATCTCTGGGAAGGGGTTGTACGAGCCACGGTCTCCCTTGAGCGCCTTGAGCTTCTCAACGGCCTCGTCAAGAGCAATGGGCTTGCCACGGTCCTGGGCCGAGGTGTCGTCGCGCCATCTGACGTTGACCTGCCTGCCCTTCATTTCTTCGTCACCAACAACTAGATCGTGTGTTAGCAAAAGTCATATTTCAAAAGCACTTGAGGGGGGGGGGGGCCTTTTTAGACTTACCAAAGATGAAGTTGTACTGGCTCAATTGGCCGGTACGGATCTTCTTTTGCAGGGTGTTGCCGCTCAGGTCAACATCGATGTAAATACCTGCAGCGTGGAAGATCTTCTGGACCTCCTGGGCATAATCATAGAATCCGACACCAACGGGAACGACAAGAATCTGTCGGGGGGACAACCAGAAGGGCCACTTGCCAGCATAGTGCTCGCAGAGAATAGCAGTGAAACGCTCGATACTGCCAGCCATGGCTCTGTGGATCATGACGGGACGAGCACAGCCAGGGGAGACTTGCTTGACGGGCCTCTCATACTCCTTCTCCTTGGGAGCCTCGGTGGCCTCGGCGGCCGGGGCCTCGGCCTTTTCTCTGGCGGCCTTGGCCGAGTCGATCACTGCTTGAGGGTTCTTGACCTTGACCTTGGGCCCTTCCGCTACCTTGGCCGAATCCTCCTTCTTCTGAGCACCGTCCTTGGTCATGTACTCGAGGTTGAAGTTAACTGGCTGCACGAAATCGAGCTGAATGGTGGCACATTGCCAGTCACGTCCCAAGCAGTCGACAATTGTAATGTCAATCTTGGGTCCGTAAAAGGCGCCGTCACCAGCGTTGAGAGTCCATGCGCCGCCTCCGCTGGCTGTGAAGCCATCAAGAGACTCGCGTAGTTGAGCCTCGGCCCTGTCCCATGTGGCAATCTCACCCATGAACTTTTCAGGCCGAGTGGAAAGCTTCAGCTTGAAGGTCATGCCAAGGAGGCCGTACATCTCGTGCAAGAAGTCGAACAAGTCGCTCATTTCGTCCTTGATCTGATCCTCACGACAGAAGATGTGAGCGTCATCCTGTTGGAATCTTCGCACACGAGTAAGACCAGAAAGAGCACCAGATGCCTCGTTTCTGTGCAGGACACCAAAGTCGGCAACCCGCCATGGCAATTCACGGTGAGACCTCTCACGGTGGCCGAACAGCAGACAGTGACCAGGGCAGTTCATTGGCTTCAGACCAAACTTGACGTTTTCCTCCAGGTCAATCACAAACATGTCGTCCTTGTAGTAGTTCCAGTGACCAGACTGCTTCCACAGATCGGCATTGTACATGTTCGGGGTAATGACCTCCTCGTAGCCACGCTTCCAGTATTGCTGGCGAATGTACTCCAGGAGCGTGTTGTAGATTCTGGCACCATGGGGCAGCCACATGGCAGAACCGGGGGACATGTCGCTGAAAAAGAACAGTTCCTGATCCTTGCCAATCTTTCGGTGATCCCGCTTGGCAGCCTCCTCCATGAACTTCTTGTGCTCAGCCATCTTCTTCTTATCGGGAAAGGAGATACCGTAGATTCTCTGAAGGGAGTCGTTCTTGGCGTCGCCCAGGAAGTAGGACGACGAGTTCTTCTCGACGGCAAAAGTCTCAATGCGACCAGTGTCGGGCACGTGAGGACCTCTGCAAAGGTCGATGAGGGGGCCGTTGCGGTAGACGGTGGTGGAGGTTCCATCGGGAATCTTGTCCTTGATGATGTGCTGCTTGTACTTGTTGTAGTTGAACATCTCGAGGAGTTCCTCCTTGGTCATGGTAAGGCGCTCGAACTTCTGCTTCTCCTTGACAATGGAAGAGACAATGGACTCAATGGGCTTCCAGTCGGTGTACTGGACAGCGGCATCGTTGGGCAGAGACATTTCGTAGTAGAAACCTCGTTCGATGGGCGGGCCAATGCAGAGACTGCAGCCAAAGCGTCTCTCGGCCGCCTCGCCCAAGATATGTGCCGACGAGTGCCAAAAGACCATCTTTCCCTGCTCATCCTCAAAGTCGAGCAGCTCGAGTTTGCAGCTGCGCTCGAGCGGCCTCTCCAGGTCCCATAGCTGCTCCTTGTCGCCATCTAGTCGTGCGACGACAGTGCGCTTGTACAAGCTGTTGCTGATGCCCTTGGCAATGTCTCCAGGTGTGGTCTCGTACGAGGTGCCCGCCTTGATGCTGCCATCGGGCATGGTAATGGTAATAGGTTCGCGGGGCTTCTTGGCGTACTCCTCATCCTGCCTCTTCTTGATCTTGTCGAAAAGGTCAAGTCGGTGCTGGAGGAAGTCGGGCTCGGGGGACAGGAGGAGGGGACCCGAAGACTCGTCGGCGCCAGCCTTGGGCTTCTTGTCGGCCTTCTTGTCCTTCTTGGGGGCAGCGGCCTTCTTGTCGCCGACGGCGAGGTTCTTCACGCCAGCGGCGGCTTCTTCGACTGCCTGCTTTGCTGCATCCATGCTGGGCAGGTCGACTCAACAGCGAGTGGGCGGCTGTGGCTTGTTCAGGAGGAGGAAGGTGTCTAGGGGGGAAGGAAGAGATATGTTGGGTTTTTGGTTTTAGGTGGGGGTGCCGTGGTGGTCAACTACACTAATAATTCATTGATCTTGAAGAGGGCAATTGAACAGCGCGACCGATTATTGCGGGGCGCAAGATATGTGTTTGAAAAGAAACCAAACCCCAGGCCCAAGCGAGTGAGTCGAGTAGTATATGAGTCACGGTCTAATACGAACGACTCAGAACAGCAGAGACCTCTCTGTGGTATTGTCCGAAAATCGCTGATCTCGTATAAATAAATATGAATCAGTCACAAGTGGCGCTGTAGCATGTCTCATAATAATTCTTGGCCTGGCGACTCGGCGCTGCAATTGGCAATGCGATATGCTGTGACTCTCTAACATCAAATAGGTCGACGTGGATGGATCAATTCCACCCCTCAAAGAGAAAAAAGGTGGGCGGTATATCGACTCCGCTGTCGTCGTTCGCTCCTGGCTAATGGTTCATTCAGATAAGAATGCTTATCGTTCCTGGGTGTGCCCCTCTTAAGTGGAGACAGTCGGTCTGTCTGGTATGTGCTTGGTTGGATCTGGCCGGGGAGTGGACCCCATCCATGTCTTTGGTCTCGTGGAATTTTGTAGTGCTTCGGTACCCGGAGAAATAATATTCAAGCTCTGGCAAAAAAATTCCCAAGGTGCCCTTGCAATACCTTGGTAGCGCTGCCTCAAGCTTCAATTGGCGAAAAGGAATTTCTCGTCGGACGCATTTCCGCGACACCACAGCCAACGCAAATTCGACGACAACCCAATTCCATATCGTCGAACACTCTCAATTAAAAATAAAAAAAATGTCGTTCAGAGGTGCGCCCAGAGGACGGGGCGGTTTTGGAGGCGGCAGAGGTGGTGGTAAGTTACATTATACTTGACAGTCAATACTCGCAACCACTGCCGGACTTTCTTCCTGTCGCACATTTACTTGTTGTATACACCAATTTACTACCAAATATAAAGAAAAAGTCTACCCAGTACCGCAGCATTGCTGACTTGCCATTTGGTTTCCACAGGCCGCGGAGGTTTCCAGCAGCGCGACTTTGGCCCCCCGGCCCAGATCCTCGAGCTGGGCTCTTTCATGCACGCCTGCGAGGGTGAGATGGTCTGCGAATCCACCAACCCCAAGGTCCCTCACTTCAACGCCCAGATTTTCCTCGAGAACAAGACGGCCGTCGGCAAGGTAGACGAGGTTCTTGGTCCCATTAACCAGGTCTACTTCACCATCAAGCCCAGCGACGGAATTCAGGCCACCAGCTTCAAGCCCGGCGACAAGTTTTTCGTTGGCAGCGAGAAGCTCCTACCTCTCGAGAAGTTCCTCCCCAAGCCCAAGCCTCCGCCGGGAGCTGCCAAGGTCAAGAAGCCCAAGGGTGCTGGTGGACGCGGCGGACGCGGTGGCCCCGGTGGTTTCTCCAGGGGCGGCGGCCGCGGTGGTGGCCGTGGTGGTCCTGGCGGTTTCTCCAGAGGTGGTGGCCGTGGTGGCAGCGGATTTGGTGGTAGCGGATTTGGTGGCAGAGGCGGCGGCCGTGGTGGTGGCGGCTTCAGCGGCAGCGGTGGTTTCAGCAGGGGTGGCGCAGGAGGCAGAGGACGTGGTGGCTTCAGCCGAGGTCGGTGATCGCATCTCAAATCTCGTCATTTGAGCTCGATCAGCGGCGTTGTGTTGTCACTTTTCATATAGGGTTCATGTGGTCAATATTACTCAAAAGGGCCGAGGCGTTCAGGGATACAATTGTCGCATTAGTTTCTTTTTCCTTTTGGGAGGGTCCAAACATACCAAGGCAGGATTGACCGAAAAAAAAAAAGTTCTCTCTAACATGAGTAATCGTCGTCACAATTAGACAGTCTATCTTCTCACCATCTTCAATCACCTCAGTCTGCCACTTCTCCTAACCCAATGAACATAAGAAAATCTGTGAAATGGCATACTCGCGGTTATGTGTCTGTTCGCTTGCCATCACCCAAAACAAGATAATTCCAACAGAACGCCTGTCTACCGTATAATGCCATGCTCATCCTCAAAAAGAATCGCCATCAACTTTGACAGCGTGACGACTTTGATTGCCAAATATCAACGCAAGTACCGGAAACTCCATGCTCGCTAAGTTCATCCAGCATCCAGAGTTATAGAACTCCGCCAGTTCGGTTGTTCATTGCAATTTGCTGGAACTTTTGCATCATTTTTACCACTCCGGGTCCGTCTTCGGCATCCGCCGCTGTACTGTTCTCCCGACTGAGGCCCCTCCGAGGAGTTCCTTCCCATGTCGACTCACCAAGACGCGCAATGCTCTCCTCAACGTCCTCATCAGTGTATGTTGTGCCATGACGCTGCAAGGTCGCTATTGGCCGGCTCTCTTCCATCGACTCCTCGGTAATTCCTCCTTCCCCAAGATACGGTGCACGCAGCTGTCGGACTCGATGGTTCCCCCTCGATGCGAGCATAGATGCCGATGGTTGATTATGAGGGTCTAGTAGCATCGAAGCCATTGGAGAAGCCTGTGGCAGCGCCTGACCGAAACGTGCCGTCTTGCCTTGCTGCGGCTGAGGACCACGGCCTCGTAGAGCATCGCTGCGCCCCATACGGGATGCTCGCATGTCCGCAGCGAGCGTGGGCGAGTTGAGCCCAGGGAATGCAGGAGGCGGGTTGAAGGCATGTCGGCCGATGGGATGAGTCCCCGGCAGTCCCGTCCTGGGATTATAAACATAATTATCCAGGAATCCATGCATAGATGCTGCCATTTTGTTGTGTTTGGTCGCATAATAGTCCTCGCGAGCGTCGCTTGTTTGTCCCTGCTGTCGAGTAATCCTGGGGTCTCTCTGGAAATCAAAAACGGCAAACGAGCACACATAACCCAAGCCGTCAACATGAATCGTAAACTCCCTGAAGAAGTCAATGATCTGATCTGAGCATTTTGGGAGGCTAGAGAAAAGGATCAGAGGCGTCACGAGGATGCTCAACACCTCTTCCAAGAAGATGACAACTTTGAGTTTGTACAGTGTGTCAAACTCAGTTCGGACTTCATAGCTATGAAGGCGGTCTTTCCAGTGATCGGGCTCGTAGTGTGTGTAGCTGATGACATTGTTCATGTAGTATTCTGGATTGAAGACATTGTTGTCTTCCGAGAGCTGACCATGAGCCATTGCCCATATTGTTCCGCATATGGCAAGAAAGGTCAACGCATTGATGCCCAGGAAAATCTCGAAATCAACAAACATCTCTGGATCGGCAACACCTGCAAGGGCCAAGACAGCAATGATTGCACCAGAGATGAATCTTATGGTTCGCGCGGCGGATTCGGTCTTGAGTTTCGGGAATTGGTCAACATAATTCTTGGCGGAGGGGTACGACATATTCAGCCGTTCCTGGAACAGATGTGGCAATTCATTGAATTCCCTGAACTTCCATTCCGCAAGTGGGGTATACCCTCGCATATTGGCCGCGCCGGTGTTGGTTTTGAATTCCTGTGGTTCATGTTAATAAACATCATCAGATGCCACCGTGGTAGTTTCAACACGCACGTTGTAATACGTAAAGACAAAATCTATCAAGAGGTATCCTGCCAAGAATGGTGCGAATAAGAGATTCATAAACGCTGCAAAGGCAAACCGTTTCTTTAGTTCTCGGCTGAGCACTCCTCGATGGTCGGACTTCAGCACCTGTGGCTGAATTTGGCTGCTTTCGGTGAAGACGAGATCCAGGACACTAAACTGCAGAGTCCACAGCAGCGACCTGGACATGAACTGTCGGCCCCTGAAGAAGGGAATGGGGGCGGTCAAATCAAGTATATCCTTGTTGAATAGTGCTATGATGTAATTCTCCTTGCGCATTATTCGATTCGCAATATCGTGAGCGTCAAGCCGCTCCTTGGAAGACCCGACCATGTGTCGGCCGAGCTGCTTCGACAAGAACCGGCGCTGGCTTGGGGTGATGTTGCTGGCGGTTTTAACGTTTTGATCCCTCAGGCCGGTGATTCGTGATACCACGTCCTGCCAAGATACAGTCTGCATGTCGACCTCGGGGATCTCCAAGAGATAGACGTAAAAATCGCGGAGATGCATCAACCGCGGCAACTCCAGAAAGTATTGAATCATTTTTCCCACCACATACAAAGTGGTGCACCACAGGCCAAAATTCCAGATACCCCACATGTTCTTGGTGCATTTGGGTATCATGACTTCAGATAGACTTTTACTGTGTCGAATGGTGCGATAGTCCACACATTGCGTAAGAAAAGTCAACAGAGAAGCCATGAAGATGACCTTGCTATACATTGTGTCAGTACGTATCCAATAAGCGCTTCAACTGGCGCGTGGCTGCGTAAACATACATGATGTGCAAGAAGTTGTCCAGCAGAATACACCAAAACCCGGCACCTTGGTAGTAATTGTATACCTCTCTGGTAAAAGCGTCGAGATTCGAGACATTAGCCCATCTAAACATGGCTTTCTCCCTCGGGCTGATATTTAGTCCTAGCCTTCTGGTGGGAGCATTTGCTGGACCACCAGTCCCTGCCGGGCCATAGTCGTCGTCGCGATGGAGTCTTTGCTGTGCTTGTGTGGTCTCCCACTGCGCCTGAGTCCTACGACTGGAGGGCCCGGGTATGGCTGCTGTCCGTGTCGACGACCGGACACCAATCTGTGGGGAGGTGGCATGAGCAGCAGCCGGTGTTGCATCAGGCTCGACTAGTAGTGAGGCCGGTACTTCGTTGTCGCCATCGTCATCGGGAGCCAGCCACCTGGAGCTTGGATCCTGCCCAGTCCGCCGGGGTTGCGAGCGGCGGCTGTTGCGTGGTGGGTTCACGGGGCTTCCCACAGACACCTGGCTGTCATCAATAGCCAGCCCTGCGGCGCCCTGCAAATCATCGTCATGGAACTGATGGGCGAGGTTCTCATCATCTAAAGCAAGACCAGCTTGGTTCTCGATATCGACGTCTTGACCGTGGCCAAGTTGTTCATAGTACGGTCCGTCGTCCTTTCCAGGCACGAAGCGAGAGAAAAGGTTGCCAGCCATGACTGTCAAATATTAGTGGTAGTAGTAGTATTGCTTCGGCTATGCTGCGAGAGTATAAGTTTGGCGAGGACTTGATCGATGGAGGCAAGTCGGGAGCATCGTCTCGGCAGGGCGTGTCGTTCGTGCGTATCGGGCCGTTCGCTAAGCATCAGGGGATTTCCGCATAGATGGGATATACTGGGAAGAGAGAATGAACAGCGATTCTCAGGTGTATGTTCTGTTCGCTCTGTTGTGGTGATCTGCTTCTATCCAAGGCAGGTCACAGTCCCTGTTGACTCATGCCTAGTCCGTAAGGCTGTTTGCGCAGCTCCTAGTTACACGATTGTTTTTGGAAGCAATCATCTGCTCTCTGCTGGTGTGGGAAGGGATCAGGTGCCATGCTCTGTGGTAGTGTATTTGGGAAGATAGGCCAAAGTACATAGGCAGCGTGCTAAAATAAAGACAACTGGGTTCAAGGTGGTGAGCTGTTGAGGCACCCGCGCATCGCGTGCCCGCCGTGAAGTCATAAGTCCATACCAATCAGGTGCAGCACGTCAAAGAAAGGTCTATTTCTGTATGTACTTAGCTAACCTCTATTGGGTAACTAGGTACCTTGTTATTCTAGTGCCACATGTGCAGTGCTTATCGAGGGGAGCAACATTTGAATGCATTAATGGACCGATTACATACATCTTTACTGCTCGAAAACTCCCTGTCTATTATACGCATTCATATAAATACACCCTATGAGACATGTAGCTATCGATGCAAGTATTCATGGTCATTGCATGATATCGCTTCTGTATTGGAAAATATTGTGGCATACAACCAAGTAAACACACATGGCATTCAACGTTCTATATGGTAGGTACCTAATCAGAGGCCTAGCCAAGCCTAAAGCATACCTAATACTTTGGGTGTGGGCATTTTCGCCCACAAGCAAGCACTGAAGTCCGCGGGGCTCTTTGTACTACGTACCGAGTACGCACCTTGCGTACACTTTTACGTGTACACCCCGGACCCTGACCAGTCCTTCCGTTGAACCACGTTGAATCCACGAACGGAAGACACTTGAGTAGGAAGCCATAGCAACATAATTGTCGCTGTCGTCCCACCAGAAGCCTTCTAGCACCGGCCCAGACCAACTCCCGGTGGCTATGATTGTGCTGTACCTATATACCCCCATAACCTTTAGACGTGAGGCTCCTTCAAGATGGCCTCAATCGGCTTGAATCACCTTTCTCTCCCCCCTAGAGATGGGCTTGTGTCTGGGCCTCTGTCACCCGCAACACCATCCACGCCTGGCCTGGCACCCAGAAACTCAAACCCCTTGACCTCCAAAGTCACGAGTGTCCTGTCAACTTCCTATGCAGATGCAGAGTTCCGAGAGGCCCTGAATCTGCTTGATGATCGTCGGGTCGGAAACAACCCAGAGACACGCAGACAGCTGCGGTTGGAGATCCAAAAGGACGTTATTGAGAGCAATGGCCAGATCATCACAGAATTTGGCCGCGTCGCAGACCACTTGCGACGCATCGGAGCCACTATCGACAAGCTCAACAGAAACTACCACGAGATGAAAACTCATGTTACAGCAGCCCACGAAGCTACTTCTTCTACTCTTGAGGAGACTTCAAACCTCATGGCACAAAAACAAAAGGTGGAAAAGAAGCAGCAAATCCTGCAAGCTCTTCGAAATCATTTTGTGCTGCCCGAAGACGACATTGCGGCGCTGTGTTCCGCGTCGGAGCCCGTCGATGATCGCTTCTTCATGGTGCTGGCAAAGACCAAGAAAATTCAAAAGGACTGCGAATTGCTTCTGGGCTTTGAGAATCAGACGCTCGGCCTCGAAGTCATGGAGCAGGCATCGAAGCACCTGAATCAGGCCTTTCAGAAACTCTACCGCTGGACGCAGAGGGAATTCAAGACCCTGAACTTGGAGAATCCACAGATCAACTCATCTGTACGAAGAGCATTACGTGTCTTGGCCGAGCGGCCCTCTCTGTTCCAAAACTGTCTCGACTTCTTTGCCGAAGCACGTGAACAAATACTCTCGGACTCATTCTACCTTGCCCTCACAGGTACCTCCGCATCTGGGCGGGAGGACCATTCGGTGAAACCCATTGACTTGGTGGCACACGACCCTTTACGGTATGTGGGCGATATGCTTGCATGGACACATTCAGCTACCGTCAGCGAGAGAGAAGCACTCGAAGTTCTCTTTGTATCCGACGGCAACGAGATTGCAAAAGGGCTTCAGGAAGGACGCGAAAACGAACTGTGGAGGCTCATGGCCGATGAGGCTGATGGGTCATCAGAATTCGACGCCGTGAAAGCACTCAACGAGCTGGTTGACCGAAACGTATCTGGAGCTGCGCGTGTTCTCAGGCAGAGAGTCGAGCAGGTCATACAGACCAATGAGGACACGATTCTTGCCTACAAGCTTGCGAATCTGCTCGGTTTCTATCGCTTCACGTTTTCCAAGCTCCTGGGCCCCCGGTCTATACTACTAGAATCTTTGACAAATGTAGAGACTGAAGCTCTTCGACAATTCCGATCATTGATGAGAGATCACATCGCCACCTTACAAGGCGAGTTCCAACACACACCGTCTGACCTTGGTCCGCCCGACTTTTTGCAAGAGTCACTCAAACAGTTGATTGCCATTATGAAAACTTATGATTCGTCTCTTGCGTCAACTGGAGACAGAGAATCCGAATTCCAGCCAATCCTGAGCGAGTCTTTTGACCCTTTTGTCTCCGGATGTGAGAATATGTCTAGAACTATCGCTGGCTACTCCAGCTCCATCTTCCTCATCAATTGTCTCCTTGCAGCCAAGGCAGCCCTAGAGCCATTCGACTTCACCAAGAAGAGAGTACACGACCTCCAACATACTGTGGAAGAGCATACGGACATACTCATTCAGAGCCAATACACGTACTTGAAGACTGAGTCGGGATTGGCTCCCCTCTTTGATGCATTAGGGTCGGTAAAGCGCAGCGAGGTTGATATCGCCACGGCCAGAATGATCGAGGCTCTACAGCCCGGCGCTCTGACAGCAGCCAGCCAAGCTCTGGATGACTTTCTCCCCTCAGCACTCATGGACGCAACAGAAAATCTGCGTCACCTTCAAGACTCGAAACTGGCACGGGAGGTGACCGAAGCAGCAGCAGAAAAGTTCTGCGTAGCTTTTGAGCATGTGGAAGAGATACTGATCGCGATGGATGAACTGGCTGAACAGCCGCCGCCGAGTGCTTTAGCAGATGAGCTTAGCAGCTCGCAGAGCTTGCGCGCATTGTTCCCCAGGACTACCGGAGAAATCAGAGTGCTGCTTTCTTAGCATCGATACCCCAGTCAATAATATCAGCCCTCTCGGAGGGGTCGGTGTCTTGTTTAACTCAACGTTTGCGATCAATTAAGCATGGCGTAGCTTATTCCTCGTTCAGGAATGGTTGGTTCATGCCAGCGTCTGGGAAATCTAGGTGCTTTGAAGGCCCATTTCACAGAACTTACAACTGTAACTCAAGAAATCACTTGGCAACATTCGAGAGCGGTGCCACCCTCCTCTTCCTCCCTTTTCTCGAAATAGGCATCTTTCATGTGCATACTGAATATTTGAAAGAAGAGCTGCCAGGCCCAGAATGTCACTCGCATCCGTGGTCGATGAGGATGCTGTCTCGATCAGACCCAGTATACAGGCAGAAGCGGGCGACTGAGCACGCGGGAGATGGAACACTGCTCCGATTGATGCGACTAGATTCGCCGACAACAATTCAAGCTCGCACATTACGTTGAAAAATGAAAGTATGCTCAGTACCGGCGAGGCCAAGGCGCTCAAGTTCGTAAAATGACCAATATACCCACTGACCGACTGACGTATCTATCTACCCATGACGGTGACGTTGGGGATGTCCGTATGCAAATTCAACGTCGAACCTTAACCAATGGCCCGGAAACTCCAATTCCTCTCGGGTACAGTAGGCTGAAAGGCCAGTGGCAATCAAATCTGTTGCGACATTAAAGAGAGCCCTTACTTCTTAGCCTACATTCTGACTTCTCATAAAAAAAGAGTTTGGCCCTCTGGCACCAACCTCCTCCTTTTTGAAAAATTACTGTCTTTGATCTCAGCTGTACAGTCAAGAACGGCATCGGTCGCGACAGAGCCAGAACGCTGAGACAATGCAGGACGTTATCAGAAGAAGAAGAAGTCATGGAGTTGCCTTGTGCGCAAATGCATGCCGCCCTCGGTATATCTGAATGGCTCAACTGCAGCAACATGGCAGTATGGCCGCCATTCGTGGGAAATCCATGCGCCTGTATCATGAAAAGCCGCTCGCTCTATCACACATAGCAAGGAGTCTGGAGTGGTTACTGAAACTCCTCATTCCATTACAGCTGCATAATAAATGGGATGCACAAATGAGCTAGAGCTTGCATGCATTGCTGAGCGGAGCAGCACTTGAACAGCAGACCCGTCGTTTACGCACCGTTCAAAGCACATTAAGAATGAGTATGTGGTCATGATCAAAGAGTCTTCGACAGTCTACCGTTGTGCTCTCTAAGCGCAGCCGAACTTCCTTGTGGCGTCCTCTAACATACCGCCTTCCGCAGTCTCCTCGCAGATCACTTGCCGCTGCCGACTGACAACACGGACTGACGCCTCGAGCAGGCGTCTTGGTTTGAATATGGACAAGTCCCCAGAGATTCCCTTGACGTCGGATTACTCATGCGCGTTCTAGCAAAGTCGAGAAACCGGCGTCTCCCTTCTCATCAGGCCGAAACCCTGCAATATGGTCATGCTGGTAATCTATTTCAAGACAAGGAAATATGGGGTTGGTCGACGTACCGCGGCTAGGGCAGTATGTCAAACTCTAACCTGCATCGTAAATGCAACGAAACCGTTCACCAGCCGAGCAATTTATGTGCAGCCGTGAAGGCCTGCGTCTCTCTTGAACGCCAACAAGGTCTAGCTTGAGGGTGGTTGAATTCTAGATGTATCTAGCTCCCCTTATCCTCTCAATTATGCCATCATACCATCCGTCCCCTCCGGCTAATCGCGCCGTCGTATGTTTTGATTTCGATATCAACAAGGAGAAGATTGCTTGTAAAGACATGTCCACGATTATACTGACATAATTGGATCACCGAATCTCTCATTAGAGATCATCCAAGCAAGGAATCATGGCTGACCAACACAGGCATCCGCGCCGGGGCCCTCCGGTGTCGTACACTGGTCACCAGCAGGAAGACGAACAAGTCCCAACAGCAGATATTATACAACGAGTCGCGGATGCCATGATTGCCAATACCCACTCATATGCGAGGCGATACTCGGACAGTTTGTATCAGAACAGCCAGAGCACTCCGTACCTAGCACGCGAGTCGAGGACGCCCGCGCAGGAGCCGGCAGATTACTTCATGAATCTCGGAGATTATAGCAGCACCAGAGACAGATCGTCACGTCAACATGGAGGGTCTTCACGAAGTATGGAAGTGCCACGCCCAGCAAGAGGGCCGTCGCGGGGCATGGACATGAGAGAACACAGTCGAGAGCCATTCCCGACCTTTTATGCTTTCCCGCCTCCATCAGATACCATGTCTGGGCCTAGGAGATCAGAACCCGCGATCCGACCACATACGGCCTATCAAGAGCGCGAGAAGGTGGACTCAGACAGAAGCAGCTACTCGTTGGCCATGGATCTCCCGCCGCGGGTGGCGAGCTGGTCACCCACGAATGATCCCACAGGCCCTCCCAGTGCTCTGTCACGGAGTCGCTCTGATTCTGCTAGTCCAATGGAATTCCCCGACGACAGAAGGAACATGGGATACAGGTCCTTGACAGGGACTACTCACACTGACCGGCCATTCTCGCATCATGCTCCTAAGCACCATGCTCATGCGCTTTCAAGTGATTATGGAAACGACCATGTTTATGAGAGCGTCGTTCAAGACGATACCATCAGTCCCGTCAATAAGGTAGGGCCGTTTGGGGCTTCCAACGCCACAACACTACTTCAACCACAGTCGATCCAGATGTTATCTCGCGATGAGAAGTCGGTGCCAATGTCGATCCAGTATGGACGATACACATACATCCGCGAAGATGCGCAGGCGGACTGGACAGCAGCAGAGCTACAGAGGCAGCTCAGTGAAAAGCCACCTCCAGAAAAGACCAAGCTGCGAACATTACTTCACGAGATTGCATTTGTCTTCATCATTGCAGTCGCGCAAGCGTTGATGCTCGCCGGAGTAGCTCAGGCTCTCGTGCCAGCCTCCATCATTGGGAGCTCGTTTGGCTATGACAAACCAGCAGATTTGGCATGGTTTTCTGCGGCATACGCTCTCACGGCGGGCACGTTTGTTCTTCCAGCCGGCCGATTGGGCGACCTGTTTGGCCACAAGAAGATCTTCGTCATTGGCTTTTTCTGGTTTGCTATCTGGAGTTTCATCACGGGCTTCTCCCAGCAGGTCAATGGGAACGGCGGTCAGGGTGCCATCTACTTCAATATCTGCCGCGCCTTTCAAGGCATCGGGCCTGCCATGCAAGTCCCCAATGGACAGGCCATGCTCGGCCGGGCTTATGAGCCAGGGCCTCGCAAAGCACTCGTCATGAGTCTCCTCGGTGCCGCCGCCCCATTCGGCTTTGTGGTGGGCGGCACCATGGCCAGTGTCTTCTCCGAGCTCGTCAATTGGCCTTGGGCATTCTGGTGCTTGGCTGCAGTCTGTGTTGGCTTTGGGTGTCTCTCCATCTTGGTGCTTCCCAACTCGCCTGTCGAAAAGAGAAGCAAGAGAGAAAGTCTCTGGGTCCAGCTAGATGCGACTGGCATCCTCCTCGGGGTGTCTGGTCTCGTGCTCTTCAATTTTGCCTGGAACCAAGCCGGACTGGTATCCTGGAGCACCCCATATACATACTTCCTACTCATCATAGCACTGATGCTCTTGGCCGTCTTTGTCTTTGCCGAGCTGCACGCTCCTTATCCGCTCGTCCCTATTGCTGCGATGCAGTCACAGACCAATTTCGTGCTAGCCTGTACGGCCGTGGGCTGGGGTTGCTTCTCGATATGGGTCTTTTACGGCGTGCAGTTCCTCGAGGTCCTCCGGGGTTGGTCGCCCCTAATAACTTCAGCAGCGCTTGCGCCAGCTCCAATAACCGGGCTCATCGCCTCACTGCTCGTCGCCCGCTACATGATGCGCGTTGGGCCGCACTGGATCATGGTAAGTCTTTTCCGCGTTTTCTTGCCTCATGCACCTTGAGCTTGCTTGTACGGTGCAACAAGGTCGGGTTGTAGACAAAACTCGTAGAGAGGGTGCCCCCGTACAGAAACCAGACATGTTCCGGCTCATGGAAGGAGGGGTTAGAAAAATACAACAGATATCCCAGTGCTAACTCTTGTTTTCCTTGTGCCTCTCAGCTTATATCCATGGTGGCTTTCTTCGTCGGCAGCCTACTCATGTCTACGGCTCCTGTCAAACAGATCTATTGGGGCAACACCTTCTTTTCGATTCTCATCATGCCGTTTGGCATGGACATGAGCAACCCAGCCGCGACCATCATTCTGAGTAATAGCGTCGGCAAGCAGCACCAGGGCATTGCGGCCAGTCTGGTCGTCACCGTCGTCAACTATAGCATCAGCACCGCGCTGGGATTCGCAGCCACCATCGAGGCACACGTCAACGACGACGGCAAGGACGTCCTAGCGGGGTTCAGGGGAGCACAGTACTTTAGTGTGGGCCTGGGCGTCCTCGGGTGCCTCATTGCGCTCACATTTGCGCTCACGACCATTCGCAGGCAACACGCCGATGCAGATCAGCTCAGAGTTCAGGTCCCAGCAACAGAGCCATTGAGTCGAGAGTCTGAAAGCTACATCTCCTCCCCAGAGGATCAGAGGGAATAAGTGGGCGCTGAGAGCGAATCACGTTCCTCACGAGGCACGTTTTAATTGACCTGGTGTTTGGCAAGCGAGGTTCCATTTCTTTTCGTTATTCATCTTCTTACATACATAATCGGTACAGGGCCCCTCTTATTGGCCAGGACACTCTTCAGACATTTGAGGTGCGAAAATAAAAACAACGGCTCATCATATAGTATAGACAACTCTGTATGCATAGGGGCGGATGCTGACACGCACCCGACCACCCATGAGGTTGATGGTACTTGAGGGGCAACACTGATTTGATACATAGGCGGCCTCAATACTAACATTGACATGGATTAATAGACTAGAGTCCAGAAAAAAGAATCAGGTGTGGTCTCACCAAATTTTCTCTGTGCATATTAAAGTCCACCAGATAGATTAAGAGAGATATATGCTTGTCATGATTTCAACTACTCTGTAAATTAAACTACTCCGTAAATTAGGACTTGCCACCACGAATCAGCGTCTACGCGATGTATCAATCGAAACCAGTTCCAAAGACAGGATTTCTCTTGTATAGATGCAAAAAAAAAAGGTGAAATAAACTGTACCCCAGGTTAGTTGACGCGGTCATTGCTTTTTAAATCAGTGGTTCCGAATAGAAGATTATATGATAGATATACATGGCACACACACATCGCCAAGGTTGTTCTTGAACGGCTCTAATGATACCACTAGTGGGGAAAACATGAATAGTACTAAATAACATAATAAGTCAAGAACGCGGTAGAAAATTGTATGTTTGTGGGCTTTGAATGCAAAGAAAACCAAGAATCTAGTGGCTATTTTTCCTGCCATCTATCCAATGTTTCTCTACTTCTAGCCTTTGGCGTCTAGACTGTCCCGAGCACCGTTCGGTGCCAGTGATATGTGAGAAGTTAACATCCAGACTCCAGTGATACACATGTAATATTATACTTTATTCTGGTTAGTTACAACCGAGCCAAGCATTGCATATGGTTATATGCCAGCCCTTTCTAAGTGACAACTGCTGTTCCCGTGTTTCCTTGCTGCAGCATTGGATGCAGGTTCCACTCTCGAGAGGAATACAAGGGGAGGAAAAAACACTGCTGTGACTGCATCAGCGTCAGCGTCCAACATCTGATTTCGACTTCTTGGAGGGCCATATGTCGACGCTGCCAGTCCTGGGCCTCTTGCTCGGATTGTCCTCCACCTCGGCCAGCTTATTTAGCACTGCTGCGAGCCTACGCCGTGCCTCCATCTCTCGTCTCGTACTTTCTGGCCCGCTGGGTCGATAGAACTGCTTGACAATGGAGACGGTGGCATGGTAGCACTCGTAGAGCATGAGCCGGATGCTGGCATTCTCGCGGTCTTCGATGAGGTCGTCGGGTGGTGGACTTGAGATCCTCGATATGCTGCCGGCGGCCGGAGATGACGAAGAAGTAGTAGCAGTACCGTGGGCTGTTGTAGCCAGAGTTGAGCCCCTCGAGGGCTGTTGACGGAAGCCGCGGATGAAATTCGAAGAAGGCTCGTCGTTGAAGATTTCAGCCATGAGGGGATCTCCAAAAATGCAGTTGCTCCAGTCTCGTAGACCGCTGACTGATATTCTGGCATTTTCACCTTGTCCAAATCTGTCCATGTTGTCCCTGGCGACTGGCCTAGACGGTTGATTCATGTCCAGGATGGCACTGCTATCTCCCACCAGTGTTTGCCAGTGCCGATTTCTAGGGCTGAATTTGTCGCTAGTATGGATACTCGAAGCTGGGGAGGACGTCGTCTCATGAGAAGTAGTCTGTGTTTCGGCTACGTCGGTTCTCGGCCGGTGCTCCAGCTCGGTGCCACGGTACACGATCACGTTTGTATCACTACCCGCATCGAGTACGACCAGGCGAGATTGTGTAACAGCATCCAACAGATGACCTAGGCGTTGCACGTGATGTCGTATTTGCGAGTAGCTAATTGTGACGGCCAGGTCTTCTCCGTCTCGGAGTATACTCTCGACCAAGGCGTGAAAGGCCTTGGACCAGGAATCGATACCGCCCAACGCACTTGACGCAGCGGCAGAACTTGAGTCTGAAAGAGGCCCTTGCTGGCCAATGACGGCAACAGCTGGACCAAACTTGGAGTTGGGGGCTTTCAGAGTGGTCATGAGCCGTATGAATTGCCCTTTTTGGTAATCTAGATCGACTCGTTCTTCTTCAGATAGAGGTGGGGACAATAAACTGATGACTGAACCTCGACTTGGCTCTGTTAAATTAAAGGCAACTCCCAGATCGTGACTCAGGGGTGAGTGGGCGATTAATTCTGGCAGGTATCTGAAGAGAGGGGTATCCACCAATTCGGGCCAAACGAGAATCTCTGGCTGCAACTGTGTTATTGGTTGGTCGTTTTGGAAAGGCCCAAGGTTCGTGAGGGACTGTATCGATATCCTCTGGTCTTTTGTTGCGAGTGGCGATATCGATGGTGCTCTTCTACATATCCACGATATGAGCAGGGCCTCGGACAGCACGAGCCACTGCTCCGATCGCAGCAATCTAATCATGGGAGCCGGCGGAATGGTCAAGACGAGGTTACGACCACTGCTCACTTTTACACGAGCATCTCTTTGCGGTCGGATGGAAGAGAGTGGTTGAATGGACTCGACGGAGACGCCGGGAAGAGCCCGACTTATAACTATCTTCATTGCCTCAACCGATGGCGGGCGGGTGGACGAGTCCATCGTGAAACTGATTGGTGACGAGCAGTAGACTCGTGGAACAACGGCGATTGTTTGGCGAGATGAGTCTTGAGGTTTTGTGAGACATTGTGGAATAGGCGGGCTTCTTGATAAAGAGGAAGAAGAGAGACATGAGCCACCACCAGCTTTGGAGCTTTGAAAGGCTTCCAAGGCACAGTGGAACGGTAGGAGCGAAGAGCCTTGGAGACTTATCCCGGCCCCTGGCTTCCCTCGCAGAACTTCCGAAGGTGTCATGTTCCCATCTAAGAGGAGGTGAACAGGTAGTCAGGCAGGGAATTAGATACCCAAGAGTTGAAACTATCCGAGTGGAAACCCCTGATGGAGTAAACACGGGCTCACCCAATACATGTGGCAGGCAGTATAGTAGGATTCTTTCCTATCTGAAGGGTCTGTGGTAGCAATACCTGTCCAGGAAGGTATTGGTAGATATGCGAGGATATAGTCCAACGACAGGGGGGCAAGCTTTGAGCCAATGCTCACTGATAATTTCTAGAACCGCAGATAAGTGGTAGAACCTGGACGAGGATAGTACTACCACTGATACAGGACCAGGCCTCTAGTCAAAATTGGTGACAGGCTGGGATCAAAGAGAGAGAGAGCTTGATACTCCCCAAAAAAGAACGGGTGTTGTTGCACCCGAGAGAAAATGGGCAGGGAAGCTCTCAGAGGCAGGAGTATTATAACCACAATCCAGGCGGGAAAAGATCGTGGCCCTTGTATTTCAAATAAAACTCGAGGCAAGCATAAACATCATGCCGCCCGGACTGAAAGCTTGGCCTATCAAGCTATAGTATACGCCAGAATGAATTCCACATGGCAACAAGTCGAGTCTAGAAAGAAGCCCGGTGGATACTAATGACAGCAGAGTCAAGTTGACTATTTCCCTGGTCGGACAAATCCGGCGTAGATTGGCGACAACAACGACGACTCGGAGCAGGAGAAGCAGGAAGAGGAGTGGGGGGGAGGACCGATGGAATATCCAGTGTCGGCAGTCAGAAAAAGCCAACCAATAAAGCGGTATGGAAAAGAGCAGAGGTCGAATTGGTCCCATTGTCCGTTGTGGGTGGACAGCATGGTCAACCGAATGTAGGTAGGGCTGGCTGTGAATTATGGACTGGCAAGCTCGACGACGTGCCAAGAAGCAGTCCAACGGCGCCATAGATACATAGGGAGTTCGTACCTGACCCGTGATAGGTGCAGCAGGCGAGGCAGACGCCAGATCCTCATGCGGCACACGGCGGCGGATCCAATGTTACGTAGCAGGGCAAGCGGGAAACTATCTAGGTGGATGGATGGGTTCGAGAAGCCTCGTCAGTGCCGTTCTAGACGACGGGGGAGGAACAATGAGTAGAATGACTGGTTCTATGGGGGAAAGAAAAGACATGAATATCGGGCAAGACGAGAGGGCCAAGGTGGAAATAGGCTTTAGGAAAACGCGGCTGTAGCACTCGCTATGGTCTAGCTCAACAGCCTCTCGCGCGAGTGCGCAGGTCCAGCTCCGACGAACCAGTCTTGTCTGGGCAGCTTCATCGTGGGCGCGTATGTACTATATCGTTGAAAAAGAGAGAGAG